ACAGATTTTGTGCAGACAGATTTTGTGCAGACAGATTTTGTGCAGACAGATTTTGTACAGACGGCTGGGTTGGCATAACAGCCCTATACTTTAACAGCCTCACAGCCTCCCAGTTTCTTAACACCCGCAGAATCTTACTAGCACAGAAAATTAATTTGTCTTGCGGACATCAGCCCTCTTTTACCCAATCACGTTATGTGGAGCTTAAGCGCCAGGCAAGTGGCGCATGATTCGGGCCCCTAGAGCCAGTTGATGCATGCTAAGCCTAGCGGCTCTTTTATACAAAAGCCGAGGCGGATGGTAGGGTTTAGAATCCGTTTCAACACAAACTCTTAGCTACTCGATAAATATATCAAACTCCGGATTGACGTATGCACCACCTCCCTGTCTTAAACTCCTTTAAGCATTAAGGCTATAACTAGATAGATGTGGGCAAAAATATCGTTTCCTAATTTATTATCAATCTCGCGGTTTTACTTTATTCGCTTTTGTTTTGCTTCTATTGCAAGTTATGTGTGAGTGCATAAAGTTCGCGTCGATGAGGGAAAATGTATATGTAGAAACGCGTCCTGCGAACACAGTATAAATCCCAAACCTCACCGCTAGAGTAATTTTCAAAATTCGCAAAAGTTGGAAAAGCACAACTATAAAATATATTTCAACAACAACCCTAGTAATTACAATGGCCGATAATAACCCCCATTAATCCGAAAGCCCTAGTCCCGAGCAATTAGGTATTTATAATCCCTATAAGGCTAGCAACAGAGATTAGATGCGATCTAAAGCTCAACTATTTTTTGTAGTAGGAACTAATCATCAGGCCAGCGGTGACGGAGCTAGTGGTGGTGAAGCTGCCGATCCCTCAGGTGTTCAAAGCTCCTTAGCCTCGGGCGCCAAGCTCGGTACTAAGATCACTTTTATAGCAATGCGTGGCGTCACTTCAATCAAAGTTTGGCGCGATTCTAAGGTACGATTAAGCCTTCTCTTTCAGGATTAATTTGTTCTAGGCTAATTAGTGGAGCATTAGGAAAAGTCCTATTACGAAATAATCTTTAAATCTTGATTAGCGGGAACTAGTTTGGGGGTAAAGGGAGGGTTGAGATGTGGATGTCAAGGCATGAACTCAGTTAGTGATCATATAGTAGACAATTTAGACTTTTAAGTTGCAAGTCGCGTTGAATGTGCTCATTAGTAAACGTTCCTCGGCATTCGCCGCCTAGTGAACACCTCGACTGCGACTAGTCGCTCACGGTCATGCTAGTCACCTTAGTAACCATTCACAATGAGCGACTAGTCACTACCCAATAACTAGTCGTTTATCGTGACTAGTTGCTTATAGTGAATCTCAACTACAAGTGAATCACGTATTGAGTCGTTTACAATTTCTGCCCAACTACACCTCCGGGCTTTAAACACAAGTTTCAACCCTTATGACCCATGGTATAATAGCGCCGAACAAGATGATACCGTGCAAGTTTTTTGCTTAGGGATCCTGTCGAAACGAAGGCTCTTACAACTTCATTCATAAGGAAATCATAAGCTCTCCTCAAGCGCCTTCCGACTCCCGCGCAAAAGTTCCCTGCAGATTTTTCTCGCGTCCTGGAGGTTGTTAGAATGGCTCTTGCCCATATCTGCATGCTGCAGACGGCTTTAAAGTGGATATAAGCACTAACTAGGACTTTGAGGTCAACGAAGAGAAAGCAAACAATTCTTCCTTTCACTCGTCTTAAAATCTGTATTAATACAATAACAAGACTAAGAGCACGATAACAATTTTATTCGAAATCTTTTAGGAGCATTAGTCTATTTCAATGAATTCGGTTATGTTATTAAAGTGTCTCTCCCGGCAGACTTCTCTCTTGCATGTATTACAGGCCTTCCTCTAAGAACCACACCTACAGCAATAGTCGAGATCCTTCGAGCCTTAGGTTTTGACTTAAACGTCAATTGCATTCGCATTCCTAGACATGCCGCGTTATCGGAGACTAAGGCCACAGTGAAAGTAGAAGACCCGCTATTTGCTAGGAAGCTAAGCACCAGGCTTAAGGAGCAGAAGTCTACCCTCAGCGCAACACCAATGCCCATTGATACCAAGGGGACAAATTGCAGAAAGGTCTATATATCCTAGCACAAAGCAACTCGAAGTGCGTGGGTTAATTTTGGCAATAGTAATATAGCAAACAGGGTCGCACAGAAGTTTAATGAAGGTAGATACAAATGCTTAGGTCAATCCGTCAGATCCTCTATTGCGAGGCGAGATCCCGGTCGAGGGAGTCGAGGTAGCTCTTCGTACAATCCTATAGCTTAGACTATTATATTGAGCGATATGCCAAGCGATGCGACATCCAAAGACATCGAACGAGCCATCATCTCCCTGCAAGACAAACTATAGCACGTTGAATTAGGAGTGGTTAGTTACCGCAGGTCCGAAGCGGAAGTTAGTATTGAAGTTCGGTCGCACTTAGAAAAGCATAGCCCGCTCGAGAACTTCTACCTTGCGCTTATGTTGAAAGGAAAACGAGTGAAAGCTACGGCCTAGTTTTAAGATGAAGCCGACGCTTGCTCGGCATGCTCGCTGAATAACAGGCCACTCGACATCCTTAGAGACGGCAAACTCACCTTAACACTAGTCCAATCAGCCAAAATCAAAATTTCCACAACAGTATACGTCGCCTTGAAGAGCAGGATCGACAAGGTGAACAAGGTCTGGAAAGAGTAGCATCTCGTGTTCTGTGTTTACTAAGACACCTTACATTAGTATATAACGCTAAAGGTTGAGGGTAATAACGCGAAAGACCTAGTAAATACGCGGAGAACTCTTGAAGAGATTTTAAATGGGGTTATCCTAACGGATGGTAAGACTACGGTTTGGAATACAGCACTCAGCAGCAATAGAAGGGCGTATATGAAGCTTAAGTCAATCGCGGAGGAACTCCACGCTATCATCATCAGAGACAAATCAATACGCTAGCTCCGGTTCTGTGGACCCCCCGAGAAATTCCAGCAAGTAGTTCGCCAAATCACCAACATGCTTAGAGAGGAATCTTCTTCAAGCTTCGAAATAGATCTTAATTCCATCTAGTTCTCCTAGACTATCTATAGTGGTTTCAAAAGTATTAAACAAGCATTGGGAAAGAACGTTGCCATTTTCAATGTGGTATCGAGAAAGATTACTATCAATAGCACACAGCAATAGTACGAAACAACTTTAGCAATTATAGACGGCAAGCATACTATCCCAATCCGTTCCCTCCCGTATGATCCTTCTCGAGTTGAAGGAGACTACCCTATCTGCTTCTGCGAAGCCGACAACCCCATCAAAACTTCGTGCAAGCACACATACTGCCTTGAGTGCTTCGAAGAATGCTGCAGATCCGCCGCATCGACTAGCAAAGCCGAATTCCAGATCGAGTGCCAAGGCGACGAAGGAACTTGCTCAACCGTATTCACTTTGCGCGAAGTAAAGGACCATGTCTCGTCATCTGTCTTCGAAACCGTCCTCAAGTCAACCTTCGAAGAGTACGTCCAACGCCACCCCCAGGCTTTCCGCTACTGCCCAACTCCAGATTGTGGCTATGTCTACCGGTGTACTACAACCTTAAGCTCGAGGCCTCCAGCATACATGTGTCCAAAGTGTTTTAAGCCGCTCTGCACTTCGTGCCATTCGCGACACGGTGACTACACATGCGCAGAATACAAAGACATTGCATCAGGTGGATACGAGGCACTCGTGAAGCTGAAGAGAGAACTGAATATCAAAGATTGTCCTAAATGCACAACGCCGATGGAGAAGACAGAGGGATGCAATCATATGACTTGCGCAGGCTGTAAGGCGCACATCTGCTGGGTGTGTATAGCAGTCTTCGACACAAGCGGACCGTGCTATGCACATATGACGAAGGCGCATGGTGGTATTGGACTTGGACTTGAGCGATTTATGAATTAGGGATTGGAACAGGTGGAGACGTTTGGCTGAATAGGATAGTTGATACTCTGATGTTGCTGCTCTTGTGACGAGAAGCAAGCGATTGCGAGAGACAGCGCAATATCTTCCTCTGTGTATCCTACAAGGTTTCGTCGACGTTCTATCCCGCTATTTAGCTATATTACCTCCTTCGACAATGCTTACAATCTATGTCTGTGGGTCCCTAGCACGCGCTGGATACCAGCAATTTCTGACTAAAGCACATTGCTTTCTTAACATATCTGCCCAGAGATAGAGAGGATTCGATTGATCGACTGTAGGTCTGCAAGCTTAGTTGCTGACCATCCACCACATCCACCAACGCTGGTCGGAGGATGTCGGGAAACAGGAACTTTCCGGTAAGATCCGCCCCAGCCACAACTTCGAATCCACAGTTTAGTACCTCCGTAGTCACGGGGTATTACAGCATACCGTAACTACGACGCAGCTAACCAGGGCCCTTGCTCGCTTGATTAGAGGAGGTATCGGCCCATGTGGCGACTTCGTATGATAGGGCACCGCTTGGCCGCCATAAAAGTGGCAATAGCATTTTCGTGTTATTATAGAACCTAGATATCTATATTTAATCGTTCTATGTGTTTAAATAGTGAAAAAAGTTTAATGGTGGTGTTATAAGTCGAGGGGTCCTATTATAGGGTAAAAAGAGGCTCTCTGTAAATTCAAGGGGCGGCGACGACACGATGATAATTTTCGGAACTAGTGGGTTAGGAGTATTCGGAGGAGGTATATAATGCAACTGAAATGAAAATAAATAGAAATTTTTAACGCGTTCACAGATTTTAAATCGCTTGAACTTGAAGTACCTACGTTTTGTCTCGTTACGGGGTGCGTTTCAGCACGCAGGGACAGACGTTACCTACGTACCTACCTAATAGAAAAATTTCTGCTCGCTCGCTGCTGCCGGTGTGTAATAATAATATTTAACGAACGGTAGGTATAATTAGGCACGTAAACGTAACGCCTCCCTCACGCAAGCTACTGTATGTAACTCTACAGATGCCAGAAGGAGCGACGACGACGACGAGAACACGCATCCCTCTTTCTTTCTCTTTCTCTTTCTCTACCCGCCCCCGTGTGTATCTAGGTTCTACAGTAGATTAGGTTAGGAGAAGCCGAAGAAAAAGAAGCAGAAGAAAAAAAAAAAGAGAAAAAAAAAAAACCGGGAAAAATTTTTTTTTTTTCTTAGCTTTCACTCACTCACTCACTCGAGAGAGAGATACTTGGCACCTAATACTACCACCACCACCACCACCACCAACCACCATTTAGTCAGTTAAATAAAGGAAAGATTAGTATCAGATATCTACGGTTTACAAAGGCACGTAGGTAGGTACACGATTCACATACACATGCACATAAAGTACACACATACACATACACAAAAGGACAGAGAGATTCTCATCGTCATCGTCATCATCATCATCATCATTATCATCATCAGTAATTACTACCTACCACCCTACCAGCTACTACTACTACCCTACTTTCCTCCCCCTCCCCTCCCCCCAAACCGCCACCACGCCTAGGTAACTTCTCTTTCATGTCATATGTTATACTACATCTCTCTCGTCCCCTCCCCTCCACTTCCTCACCACCGTCCCAGCATCCCAGCGTCCCCAAATTTTTTTTTCCATCCCATCCATGCGACAAATACTCACTGACTCACTCACTCACTCACTCAAATTAACAACAAGAAAGAAGAACGACTCAACAATGAAAATAAAAGATCCCTTTTCATTTCCATTTCGCTTCGGAAAAACAAAAACAAAAACAAAAAATTAATCAGATAGCCACCCCAATCCATCCCATTCGCCGAAAACCAAGCAAGCACGGTATCACCACATCACATCCTTCCTCTTTTTCCTCCAAAAATATATTCCTATCCATCGTCTCATCGTGTCGCTTCATGCCCAAGTCGAAGTAGTGATAGCCGGCGCAGGACTACCCCAAGTAGCCCTAATGTAATTGTTTGGCAGTCCATTGGCGTAGAGCCATTCTTCCGGTGTCACCGACTGCGAGAAATTATCCAAGCCGCCCATGCCGATACGTTCGTGATACTCCATGAATTTTTGATAACTGGAGAATTCAGGGGGATCTTGGTGAGGTGGACCCATGGTGTGTTGGGCAACAGATGGGTAGGCAGCTGCGTGTTGCGGCTGAGTGACTGAGTATGGCATTTGGTTGTTGACGTAGGGAGAATTGAGACTGGAGGTCGAGTCGCCGTTGCTGGCACTTATGAGGCTGGGTGCGTTGGAAGATAGATTAGGTGATGGATGGTAGCCAGGCCCGGGTCCATAGGGGTATTGTGTTGTGTAAGGCTTGGAGTCATCGACGGAAGGACTGGAGGCATTGGCAGCAGCAGGTGCCACAGCGCCATTGACTGCGGCCCATGAAGGGTTAGGTCTCTGAGTCGCCGATTCGATGCCTTGCATTGGTTCTCCGTTACTACTTCCAGGGATATCATTGGTGCTTGCTCGAGAACGAACTTGATCAGCGGCGTCAGAACCTTCGGACAGAGCAACTTCGCTTGCATCTTTCAATTCTCCAAATTCCTTCAATTCTTTCTCATAGCTTTTGTAGTCCTCCAATCCACCACCTCGGAGCTTGTTTCGCTTGTTGTATACATTGTAGTATTCGTGGGTAACCTTATGGAAGTAGTCGTGCATCTTCCCAATCGACTTCAAGTACACCTTGACCATTTTCAATCTCGGTACCATCTCGCTCAGAATCCTCCTCGTAAGTCCTGGATAACCTGCACTCTTATCTGGAGGGTGACTTGGATTACGACCGACGACATGGCCGCTCGGGTCCATTTGTGGAAACCATGCCGCATACAAGCAAACGAAAGCGGCCTGCCAGACTGCGAAACCAATTTGCGGGGACTCGGGAAGGGCATTATTATCCTGACAAGTCCTCACAATCTGTATGATATCACGAGATGCCAACATGATCTTTTCCGCACTCTCCTCCCAAAACCCTGGAGGAATGTCGTATTTTTCTGGTGGGAAGGTTGGCGAGTCCAAAGGCCCAGAAGGTGCTGAACATCGAAGTGGGATGAACGGAATGTATTCTCGATGAAGCACGATGAGGCAGAGTGAGTAGAGCGTATGCATAGAAGCGTAAGTAGTTGCGTTGCGCTTTTCGATGTGGGCAGAGAGATTGGCTTCTGTAAAGGTCAGACTTGATGGTAAGGCGTCATGAAATTCGTCCAATTGTGTTCGTAGCTGGAAGAACTTTGTGGACGGGTCCCAGGGAGGATGTTTCTCTGTTCTTCGGCCACCAGCATAACTCCATTCAGACAGTCGTCCAAAGATGTCCACTAATCGAATGTAGCGGCTCAAGACTCCATCATCATTGACAGATGTAAGCTCATGCTGTACTTCAGTACCATCCAACCATTTTGAGTTGAGAAAGCCAGTCTTGACATTGTGGACGAATAAGAATTGATCGTCCGAACAAGGCAGTTGAACACGCAACATATCAACATTGATCATGGTTGGTCTCTCCTTTCCAGCACTGAGCATCCGGTCCATGATGAAACAACTCCACAGAGTACGCCTTCGAACTTCCTTCTCAATTGCATCTTCACGTGGGATTGCCGAATCATTCCGAATGATCCTTCTGTTGCTTCTTGAATCCTGTGACAGAAGCTTGTCAGGATCATCTTCGAAAGCTAATCCCATTGGGAATGCCAGCCGAATAGCAAGACCAACGTATAGCCAAGAGCTCATGCCCCTGGTTTGGCCCCATTCATAAAGACCAAGCATTAGCAATGCTTGAATGTTTTCCAATGAAGCGTTTGAGATATTGCGAATTGTTGGTCCAAATGCTGCTGCTAGAGCAGTGGCATAGTATTCACTAGCAGCAATAGGGTCATCCTGGTTTTGTGAGTGATGAGCAATCAAGCCGGGGTGGAAGCGAGCAGTTAAGGTTAATACACCAAGGAGCAGGACCCTTCCTTCCTCTATATCTCTTGGAGTAGTTGCTGGGTCTCGAGGAAACGCTGCTTGCCGCATTCGGTTCCTAAAGGTCGGTGGGTGGAGGAATGGCATTTCCGTAGAATAGTGTAACTTGAAGATCTCGTACAGCTCGTCCCAGACTTTTTTCGTGAGAATTGGCGATTCCAGAACATCTTCTCCTGGCTTTTGGCTGTTTCTCCGTCCCGTATCCTCAATCTTCCTGATTCGCTTCTTGCTCTCTCCAGTATCGCTTTCGATTGTGATGCCCACGGGAGCTTCAGACCGTTTTGGTGCTGGTGTCGTTCCTGCAACCGGGTATGTACACTCTCTGTTGCTCTGGGAGCAAGCTTTGCAGACGGAATGAATGCCATTATTGACACCTGAAGAGTTATTAGCCGATCTGAATATTATCTGTAGCCCAAAAGTACATGACAGCTTGCGGCCAATATTGCTTCGCAGATGTCCCCAAGTCTAAAGCACATGAAGCTTCCATTCTGGTCTGCCAAATATCTCAAAGTACATCACAGCCCGGCGGAAGCTCCAAGCACCAAAACTTCCCAAATGAAGGTATACTCACATTTCACCTTGCTCCGCCTACAGCGCGCGCAAGCAATTGAGCTTCGCACCATCTTCTGCGGTTTCTTCTCCTCCTGCCCTCCTCTCATGACGCCTCCACTCCCGTCATCCGCCCCCCGCGTCTCGGGGCTCGGTTCCCCGGTGGTGGAAACGATGCTTGCTCGATGCTGGGTCGGTGAGGCAAGGTGGAGATACGGCTGCTGCTGCTGCTGGTGCTGATGTTCGACGGCCGCGAAAGCTTCTGCGTGCGTGCGCTTGGGAGTCGAGGCGCGCGAACCACCGGCGGATGGATCTTCAGGAGGAGGTGGTGGTGGTGGTGGTGGAGAAGAGGGCGAAAGAATCGCAGCGAGAGAGTGCGGGGAGGGAATCGTGGCGGTTTGGGGCCCTTATGAGACCCGGGACTGCTTGACAGGTTTGGGAGGAGCCGCGGCTGATGGAGTTGGATTGCTTGCTTTGAACGGTGCGGTTGGGAAGGAAGGTCGTGCCCATGAGAGGTGAGGGAGCGTCGCTGGGTTGCTGCAGATGTTGTAAATGGGTAGCGGGTAGCAGGTCTGCACCGTGTATTGATCACGGTTAGCGTGGTGTTTGTGTGACGACCGGGATGGCGAATGCACCTCGCTGTCGCTGTCTCCAATGAAGCTGTCTTGACCCTAGTGTCGAGCGCCGACTGCGAATGTGCAACTGGGTGTGCAAAGCAGCTGTGTGGATGCACAAAAGACCTGAGGTTATCCTAGGTTGGGGAGTTTGGGTTGGGCTGTATGGGTCGAAGGGAAGGATGGCCGATGTGGGAAATGTTTGTTGTTGGAGTGCAGCACAGCACAGCAATGCAGCAGCAGTTTGAGGAGAGAGATGCAGCAGCGGCAGTGAGAGGGGAGGTCCAGCTATTTGGGCGGGCGAGCAGGGGAAGGGTTGGCTCGGTATGGGACGTAATGGTAGGCTAAGGTCGTAGCGGTATATCACCTGGGGAGATAGATGTCGGTGCTTTCGCCGTGGGAGAGAGAAGTAGGTAGAGAAGTAGAGAAGTGTGATGAACGAGAAGAAAGTCGATGCAGGCGAGCTGGAGCTGGAGCTGCAGCTGCACTGGACTGGACTCAGTGGATGGGCCTGGGCTGAACTCCAGACGGGCAATCAGAGTGCGTACTAGGCTTGCACTGGGTCTTTTGGGGGCAAGCAATTCGGGAGCGTGTGACGATATGGGTACGGTACGGTACGGTACGGTACGATAGAGTAGAGTACAATCGAGAGGCGGAGGCGTGGGTAGTGACGATGGGCACGCACGGATGTCTTTTTCACAACATTGGAGAGGGAAGTGGAAGTGGAAGTGGGAAGTGGAAGGGAAAGGGAAAGGGGAGGTGGAGTGGGGAAAAGGGAAGTCAAAGGAAGGAAGGAAGGAAGGAAGAAGGAAATAATACGGCTGGCTACGGCTACGGCCAAAAAGAAAAGAGTAAAGAGGAGGGGAGGTACTGTACGGTACGGTACGGTACTGTACAGTACTGTACTGTACGGAGTACAATAGGCGAAAAGTCGACGATGGAAGGGTGCAAGAACCAATCGTATTCTGCTTGAACGGTCCGAGCTGGGGGCCAGAAGAGAACTGTAGAGGGAGAGAGGTCATCTTGGGGCAGCCAACCCACCGTGAACCCACCGTCGACCACCCCCTCGTTAGGGCTATGTACGGATCCTCTTCCCTAGGCTCCTTTTTCCTACCCTACCCTACCCTATGCTCTGATTCCTCTCACAGCGTCTCCCGATCGGCTCGCGGAGAAGTTGTTTCGACTCCTCTGATATGCGCAGAGAGATCGTTCGCTACACTAATTCCCACCGACGACTCACCGAACGAGATCTCACCCGCATCTGATCCTTCGGTTCCTTCTGATCCGATGCGATGCTGCTGCTGCTGCTGCTGATGATGATGATGATGATGTGATCGTCGAGGCAGAGAGCAACTACACTACAGTACTACTTTATTCCACGTACCGCGCTTACCTGGTGGGACCTGAACTGCGACTGCTGCCGATGTGATGGGCGAACTGGTATGAGGCGAACGAAAAGTCCGTCGATTCCTGCTTGTCCGGCAAAAGTCCCGTCCGTCCCCCTTCGTGGTCGTGGTCGTCCTCGTCCTGGTCGTCCCAGGCTGATTCAGTGATCTTCGGATCGTTACCAAAGCATGAATCGGTCTGGTCGAGTCTGGCCTGGCCTGCCCTTCTTATTATTACCGTCCCATCCCCATCCCGTACCTACTCTACCCTACCCTTTTACCCCCGCGCGAGGACGGTATCTGTATCTGCACAGTGCACTCCAGATGAAGAAGAAGAAGAAGAAGAAGAAGAAGACGAAGAAGACGAAGACGAAGACAATATCAATACACCAATATTGAAGCAGACCACCACCAGATCGTGCACCCGCATCGTGAGAACACTAACGAGGGTTGCCTGGCAATATAGCGAGCGGCACTCACTCTCGCTGGGGATCCCGTGCTGGTGGCTTGTGATCATACAGTACAGTAGGGGGTCATGGATGCGCTCTAGAATGTGCTTTTTGAATGTTCAAGCGGGAGACAGGGCAAGCCATCGCAGACCCATGACTCGAGAGGGCCCGGAATGCCTTTTGCAGACTTTCCTGCTCGTCCCTCTCGGCCTCGGTCCAGAGGGAAACGGACTTGCCGTGGCGCGCTCGTGCTACAAAGTCTTGATTGGCTGTGCCATGTATTGAAGGTAAAAGTATCTCCGTACCATGCCATGAAGAAGAAAGACATCACGATGTTGCAGGCAAGAGTCGGAGTCCCTCGTACGCAATCATCACTGCGCTGCACGGTACGATACGGTACGGTACCGAACTTCCCATCCTCCTCTCCTTCTCACCAACTCACCAACTCACACCCCTCCTCCTTTTCTCGGGCCACCACGGCACTCGAGAGCGTTACTTGCTTTTGGGCGTAACTGTTATATGTACAGAAATATCCAGCATCCGGGTTATGTCTGTCTGCATGATTACTGTACACTTCTCCCAACAAAAGGAAGCGGACACTGCATGGCCCACGGCTCGCAGCAGCTGTTGGCGGATTCCAGGCGTGTTGGTGCCACCCGTCCAATCCAGTCCAGTCCGTTGTTTGCGTGACCCAGATCCAAGGGGAACATGCATCTACGGTATCTCGCTCCCCTCCCCTCCGCCGCCCACTGCGAGTGAGGCGACAGTCGATGGTGAGACGAGACGGGACGGGAACAGATCACTCACTCGGTGGCCTTATTCGTGGACCCGTCCCGAACTCGAGGCGACTGGTGGTGGGAGGAACATACAGTACAGTCTTCGAACTGGTGGAAAATAGTTCGAAATTTGGTAAGATGTACCTCGGGTACAGTCGAGTACTCTTCCACCTCCACCACACATTGCTGCAAGACGGTCCTGCAGAGACCGGAAGTGAAAAGAGATGCATCAGTGAGATCAAATCAACTGGCATCGGCAGGATCTGTGCGACTTGAAGCGAGGAGTGTCTCGCAGTCTGCAAGTCATGAAGAGAGGGACTAGGGAGTACCGTTCCGCGAAAGAGACCCCTACTTGGAATTCTACGGAAACGGACCTGACTCGACCTTGAACTCGGCTCTGAATACTGAGGTTGAACGTGTTGCTCGTTGTACTTGTTGGCACGATGCAAGTATAGTTCAGTCCCTTGATTCTATTCTATTCTCAGACCTCCTTTTTTTCTCTCAGGTAAGGTTATCCAAGTGGCCATTCCACCAGTTGGAAGCTGAACCGTGATTCGGACCTTTACTTCCTCTCCTCAGACTCTCACAAGTACAGTACGTATGTCGTCAAAACCCGGCCGCATCGCGAAGCGCTCTTCCTCGTCTCGAGGATGCGATGCACTGATGCACTGTCCCTATTATTTCTCCAAACGCGCGATAACCTTAATCATCCTCGTGCTCGCCTTAGATCTTCTGGGCCCGAGCATTGGGTACTTACTTAGGACAGTACATGAAAGACGTTGAACCATCAACATCCTTGGTCAAGCATACGGTAAACTTTACGCATCCCGAGAATACGTGGATGTCTTTAAAACTCCAAGTTCTCGGTGACATGTCTATCAACAATTTTGCCCCTCGATCGAATTGCCTGTTATTTCTCAAACTCTCCTCGGCTGGTGGAGTGATCTTCACTCTCTATCGCCTTGGAAGAGGCTGCCAAGCATTTGCACAGCCACCAGCCACACTCTACACGCCAACTGGAAACAGTGATACGTCATTCATTGGTCAGTCTTGGCCTCCAACCTCTGTCTGAAGCGCGTAAGAGCTTCGAGGTGAGTGGTGAGTGGTGAAAACATCAGATAACCGCCCAAGTGGTGATGACCCCTCTCACGTCCTGGTAAGGCAAAGAAAGATACTGTTCCCTCACTTCCAACATTTTCCTTCGTCTCTTTTTTTCACTCTTCCACGTCCGTGACATTTACCCACTCGATCCATCCTTCTAGGGAATTGCTCACCAGACCAACAATCATGACATCAGGACATAATGTATGCTTGGCGCTCCCTCTCTCGCACCAATACCCCCACTGACAACCTTCAGGACCCCAAGCTTCTCTATGCTATCAACGGCATCAATGCCTACCACATCGAAAATGGCAAAGAGGAATGCCTCACACCGGCAGGTCCTCAGACCTTGTCTCTATTAATGGTCCCCACATCCTCACCCTTCTCCGGTCTCTCCTCCGCCGACCCCCAATCCGCCGCCCCAGAAGAAGATTTCTACCTCCATCTTCACCTCCCTCCCGAACTCGACCTCCCGCTCCCAGCAACAACCCAAATCTACCACCAACCGCCCCGCAGCTACCTGATCCCACGATGGGACCTCGGGCCCGAAAGCGGCGCCTTCACAAGGATAGAATTCCCGGGGATAGGCAAAGGCGGCGGCTCCCAAGAAGACGTTGATACATTCGAGACCATCCTCGCCCAATGTACCGCCTTCCTCGAGCGCGCGCCAGCTCCCAAGAGCGCACGCCCGCACCGCAGCAAGAGTAACAAGGAACTCCCCATTGCACCCTATGACCCCTCTGCTTTCAAGCCCGGAGAGGGCTACGTGCAAGGTAGTTCCAGTTCCCACGAGGGAGGACAAATCGTCCTCATCGACGAGGAAAATGGCTCCGTGGTCGGCGAACTAGGAGAAGGGTTCCACGTCGTCGAAGACTCCAAAATGAAAGCTGGATCCAAAGGTCCCCCTCCCCTCCTCATCCTTACAAAAAACGAAAACTAACCACCCCCTCAGACCCAGTAGAAATCACCCTCCCCTCCGATGGCTCCCAGAACATAAACGTCTCGCCCGCCTCCGAAGCCTACCTAGAGATGTCCCTCCACCCGGCCTACAAAAACAGCACCCTCGTCTCCAAAGCAGCCATGGCCTCGCGCCTCATCGTCACGACCTCCTCCTACGTCTCCAAAACGCTGCAATCGCAAGCAGACACTTTTACTCAAAAGACGAAACCGAACTCCAAACCCATGACCTTTACGCCGACCACGCACTCGCGCATCCGGAAAGTACACACCTTCTCCGAGGGCGCGGTCGGGTTATCGGCCAAGACGGTGGGGCAGGTAAGTAAATACGCGCAGAACCTGGGCGCCACGCTCGCGAAGAGGGGGGAGAGGAGTCAGCGTGCGAAGAACGGGATTGGGGCTGACGGCCAGCCGATCGAGGACTATAAACCTGGCCTTTTGAACAAAAGCATGATGGCGTTCTCGACGATAGCAGATGGCATCGATCAAGCGGGGCGGAATCTACTCGCTGGGACAAGCACCGCGGCCACGACGGTGGTGAGCCATAAGTATGGCGCGGAAGCCGGGGAGGTCAGCAGGTCGATAGGCGGCGGCTTTAAGAATGTGGGGTTGGTGTACATTGACGCCGCGGGCGTGAGCCGGAAGGCGATCGTGAAGAGCGTCGCGAAGGGGATGGTGGTGGGGAAGATGAGAGGGGGCGGGGATCTGGTTGTTGGGGGAGGAGATGGTGGTTCCATGACCTCGCAAATTGCAGCTTCTGGTGCGGGTGGAAGTGGGAGTCCCACGTACGAGAAAGAGAAACTGAATTGGAAAGAGAAGGAAGCGAGGGAGGGACGTTATACGGACGATTTTAGTATGAGTGGAGGGAGGGACTCACCTGATGTAGTTGGGTTCGGGAGGGCGGCTCCGCCGGCATATGGGAAGACGGGGCCGGGGGAGACGTTGGAGGGGCAGTGGGCTGATTCGAAGAGATGAGATTTTCTTCTGGGACAAGGTTGGAGGGGAAGGATAGAGGGTTGTGCAAACGGATCAAGGTATGACTTGAATGACATAAGGGACTTTCCTAAAGTTTTAATAGAGAATATGATATCCACGCCCTTTTTTTTTTGCTTCATGTCTTCCATCATTTCCTCTATCCAATTACTTCTACATACCTATGTACTGCTAGCCCGGCTCGTTAAATCGCCCACGTTTAAGCTCCATAGACCAACACAACTACCCCTTTATTCGTTCGTTCGCCTCGCTAAACCTCCTCCGTCCCTCCCCTTAAACAGGCAAGCTTCCCCAAAAGATCTTCTCACTTCTCCCATCCCATCCTCTCCCCTTCTCACACATCCCGGCTTATTTAGCCAACCCCCCAACCAAGACCCCATCACGGTCCAACCACAACGAAAATCGTACAAATGGCTGAGTATCCAATTGACCAAACCTTGCATAATCATATCTCTCGTACCGTCCTAGCTTACCCACACTCACACACACACACTTTCTCTCTCTCTCTCTCCCCCCCTTCTCTCTCTCAAGCTCTGAATTGTACCTCCTTAGCTAACTCCAAGACTTTCCTCCTGAGAATCATGACCGACCATAATCACTTCCTTCCTCCCTCCCTCTTTCTCCCTCCCTCTTTCTCCCCTCCCCTCAACTTAATTGACCCCTTTCTTCGACTCTCCTTCCACTACGGGACCTGGATAGCTATCCATCTATTTACCTATCTACCTCCTTCTTCCTCTTCGAGAGAAGAAAAACACACGTTATTCACGCACGCTATGTATATATATATATATATATATACATACTCTTACCTACCTATTCTCATCCCAACACCATCCCCCACCCAATCCACGCTCCTTCCCATCTTTTCCTTTCTTTCCTTTCTTCAACAACAAACAAACAAACAAGTCCACCACCCAACAAACCCCCCCCTCCCCCTCTCCCCCTCTTCCCCCCTTCCCCCTTTTTTTCTAAAATACACAAGTATACATCCAGCCATCCCTCACCCACATATCTACATCACATATCCACATATTCACACCACATCACCAGCTAGCTAGCTAGCTAAGTTAAATTCGTGAGGATATACCATCCATCCATCCATCCACCCATCCATCCACCCACCCATCCATCATCCATCATCAGTCTCCTCCTATCCTATCCTATCCTATCCTATCCTATCCTATCTATCTGATCTATCTAACTCGTACCTAAGCTTCGATATTTATTTTATTTTATTTTACCTACCTACCTACCTACCTACCTTACCTTACCTACTAATACATAAATTTAAAATTTAAAATTTTTTTTTTAATCCGGGTTGTTACCTATGAATGGCTCGCTCGTTCGTTCGTTCTTCTTTTACCGAGTGAGCTGAACTGAACTGAGCTGAACTGAGCTGAGCTTAAGGCGGCTGGCTTGCTGGCTTGCTGGCTACTTTTGCACGGGCGAGGCGAGGCGAGGCGAGGAGCTGGATGGATGGATGGATGGATGATAGGCTGCTTGCTTGCTGGCTTGCTCGTTAGGTAGGTAGGTAGGTAGGTAGGTTCGACGGGGAATTCTGATATAGTGCGTGTGGGTAGGTAGTGTGGATGGGTAAAGAAAGAAAGAAAGGCTTGCGGTCTGTCTGTCTGTCTGTCTGTCTGTCTATCGTCCTCTCAACGGGAAAAGGTTGCCGTCTCGAGAGGAGCAAGTAAATGTGTTATCACCGATACATCAAAGCTGAGAGAGAAAAAACGTAATTGAACGTACTACAACAACACAATGCTATGCTACTACCCTCATCCCCCTTCCCTCCCACTAATTCACACCCTCCCAGCCAACCCACCCCCTAGGCATAACCCTCCAAATCTTCACCTCCCCACTCCTCAAATCATCCAACTTGAAACTCTCCATCTTCACCTTCTTACTCTCCCTCCCCTGCTCCCACGCCCGGACCTTCTTCTTCGTGCCGTCCCACTCTGCCACGATCCCCACGTGGTCCGGTTTCCCGACCTCCATGCTGTACTTTTGGTGCATCGGTCCGTGTTTACCCTGGAACTTGGTGTTACGAAGGGTGATGATATCACCGGGACGAATCTCGTCGTTCTGTTGCGTTGAGGCGTTGGCGAGGTTCGAGTAGATGATTGCGCCGTAAGCGCGGGTCCCGACTGGAAGGAGGGCGGAGGAGAGCGGTTTGAGCAGTTCTTGGATGAGGCCTTGGGGTGTGCCGTCTCCGACTACGGTTTCCTTGCGGGAGTGGACGGCCTCGGAGATGCGGCGGCCGAATTGCTCGTGTGCTTGCTCGAGCTGGTCTTGGCGAGAGCGAGCCGGTGGTTGTTCGTGGCGTTGTTCGAGCTTGATGTCTGCTGGGTCGTCGGCGGCGAACGTGGCGGTGATGATTGTTTGCGAGTAGTCTTGGAATAGGACGTAGAGCTCCTTTACCACTACCGATTTACCACGTTTGAGTTGAGTTGATTCTTCAAATTCGAGCAAAATATCTCTTCGACCTTGAAAGATAGGAGGGAGACCTCTCGGTTGCGTCCACCAGAAAGATCGTGGAGCAAGATCTACATCGTTCGCGACATAACCCGAGTCCATTGACATTCTGCCAAGCTCCATAGAACGTCTCGCTGTCGTAGCTGAGCGGTGAACATCAAGAGATTTACGAGGTGCTTGTCTGTTGCTTGATGGCGGAACATCATCGCGTGGAGGAGGTGGAGGAGCTGCTCTATCTTGCGGAGGTGAGGCGTACGTCCTTGGTGGTGATGTTCCATAGATATCTTCTTCCTCGCCCTTTTCATTGTCGTTAAAGTTCAGACCACCAGTCATAGTAGGGATAGTCGGAAGCTTTGGAGCAGTTTGTCCAGTATACTTGTAAGGATCATAGTCATCATCATCCTGTTCCCAAGGTGCAGGCATCTTGCCCGGCGGAGGAGGTGGAGGTGCAGCTCTGGGCATATCTGCTGACTGCCGGGGTGGAGGTTGTGAGGGTGGAGGTGGGGGTACAGCCCTGGGAGCTGCAGCTGAAGGAAGAGGAGGTGGAGATAAAACAGGTGAGCGGACGGGTGTGCTATCGTCGAGGCTTGAGTCTCTTGCATGTGACTTTAAAGCATCTTTGTGAGGTACCGCCGAGGCGATGTCAGTATCGTAGTCTCCCTCGTATTCCGTGACCTCCTCGTCCTCGGGTTCTGGAGGCGGCTGTCTTGGCGATTGCTCAGGAATACGTTCACCCGTGGTGGATCTACTCAGAGGAGCTGCAGCGGGGGGAGGTGGTGGAGGAGCCCTATTTTGACCAGGTGGAACTGCACCTGGAATAGGAGGTGGGAGTCTACTATTCCGCTTGTTTAATCCCGGTGTTGTAGGCGAAGATGGTGATGCTTGTTCAGATGAGAAGTAAGAAGCACGTTTCGTATTAGGAGATTTTGGTGATCCTGGACCATCTGTTGAACTTCTTGGAGGTGGTCGAGGAGCTTCCCCTGTTGGACTTGCCAGATTCATGGTTTGAGCCCTAGAAGGTTGTAGCTCGTCATCCGATTCATATCCAGCGCTTGGAGACATCGGAGCAGGAGCAGAGGGCCGTGCTATTATTATCAGAAACTGAGCTCTTCTTGAAGTTCAAATACACTTACACGCAATTGGTACAGGAGGCGGTGCTGGTCTTCCTGCAGGGATTGGAGGAGCACCACTCTCATGTGAAGGAACTTGGATACGTTAGTATATCATCTCATCTCTCTGTAGAGCACAATTACCTGCTGGGCGTTCCTGAGACGGCACCACGTCCTCGACGTCAGGTAAATCATCAGCGGGTCTACTTGAGATTGGAGAAGATTCGTCCTCATGGCCAAGTTGTCTGTTGGTTTCCTCGGGACTACGCACTCTCGACAATCCAGGTAGAGGAATCATAGGAACAGGCGGAGCGCGTGAAGTAGGCGATGCTACCTCTTCTTCTGCCCGTTTGTCGGTTGATTTCTTCTTCTTAGGAGGCGCCATTGGGGCTGGCATGGGCATAGCACCAAACATTCCATGCATGCCCATGCCGCCACTCATTTTGGCCATGCGAGCTCTTAATTCCTCTTTCCTTCGCAGTTCAGGGTCAACGTCCTCTTCCTCTTCCTCCTCCTCCTCTTCTTCCTCCTGCTCATTTTCTCCTTGGGGCGCTTCTTCTTCAGTGGCACCTTCTTCCTCACCAACTTCAGGCTCACGAATTGGTGCTGTAGGGGCACGAGCAAGTGTAGGAGGCGGAGGTCTAGTTCTCGGTTTCTCATCACTTTCATCCCTTCCAGTATCCTCTGGCTCTTCCGTTGTATCTCCAGCGCCTGACATATCCGCTTCATTACCATCTCCAAAAGACTTCCTAGGTGGGATATCTGCAGCACCTCTAGAAGATTTACGCCTTCTCGGAACCTCTCGGACAGAGTCCATGGAAGGCTTACTTTCACCAGTTTCCTTTCTCTCAAGAGCAGCTCCATCCTCTTCCCCTTCTGGATGTCCGTGGGAGTCCGTCCGCTTCTTAACAGGTTTCTTGGGCTTCTCTTTTTTCTGAGCCGCTTCTGCATGACGAGCTGCTTGTTCCATCTGCTGTTTCTGCAAGAGAGCAATTCGGTCTTTCAAGCTCGTAGGCTTCGGCTGATCTTCCTCATCGCCCTCATTTCCAGTTGGGACCAACCCCGCTCTCTCTGCTTGTTCATGTGTCTCGGCTTGACTAGCAGCTATCTCCGGATCCTCTTCTCTCCTGTATATCTTCTGCGGCTGCACTTCTCGAGTTGGAGGAGGTACATATGCATTCTTGCTCGGAGGCGGGGCTACAAATGGTTTCTTGATGAATGTGTTTAATCCAGAGCCCAATCCTCCGGGTTTGAAAGGCGCTGGTGGCGGAGCTGCTTTGTTGAAAGCAGCAATGCGGTCCTTGAACGAATTTCCACTAGGCTTATCATTAACAGGAGGAGCTGGTTTTGAGACCGGCTTTGCAGCGGGTGGTGGTGAAGGTTCTGCCGGCTTGGGCGGAGGCGCAGAAGTCACTTTTTGAGGCTCGGGGATCGATGGCGGAGGCGCTCTCGCAGCTGGAGCCTCATAAGCTTCCTCTGGCTCAGGTTCTGGTTCATGAACTGGTTCCGGGACGTATGCAGGCTCTGGGGCAGGTTCGGGTGCTTGCTCTGCCTCTTTCTTTGGACGATTGGTGCGCTGTGGCCTTGGAGGAGCCGTGGGCTCGTACTTCTCCACGAAATTCTTGGGAAATATGCCCTCCTGCATCACTCCGGAGGCATCCACATAATTTCCCGAATACCAATCATCATCTTCTTCCTCTGTGACCGTAATTATTTGACCGTTCGGAAAATGCAAATCGTCATCGTGAGGAGAAGTGTATTCGAAAACCGACTTGACTTTGAACGGCGGACTGGACATGTTGACCGTGTGTAGTTGCAAGTTGTGTGAAGCAAACTTTGACGAAGCTGGCTGCCTACAGAGCTATAGCCGGAGCGTACCCCTCGAGGCAGATCCACGCAGGGGATGATGGTATTCGCAGATTTAGGACCGCCTTGTAGAAGGATAAAATACGCAATGCAGGTGTATGTGGTGTGCTATAGGCCAGGTGTAGAGAAGTTCGATGTATAGGAAGCGGGGCGTCGATGTGTATGTAAACGTGCTAGTCTACGTCAGCGCATGAACGACGATGTGTGAAACAGCAGCTGTCAGAATGGATAAATTCTCATGCCCTTCAGATCCAGAGATTATCACATCTTACCAGACGAAGACCTTCAGATGAAGGCAAAGGAAGGATCAATTACAAAACAGAGTATCGGGGCCAGAGGTGAGGCCGAATGCATTCGCCGGCAGAGAAAGTTGAAGCGGTGGAGTGAGTTGGTGGTAGGTAGTGAATGGCAGGTAGAAGTTGCAAGTCCGGGTGAATAGTGGGACAATTGATGCTGAGCAGGGATCATTCATCGCTTCCGACAGTCCCGCATCACCTTCTACACGCCTGAACAAACATTTTGCCTTCAGGATTAGGTGATATTTTTCTCGTGGGCTGCCAGAACCAAACAATTTACATCACGAGTCAACTCGCTTTCCCTATGACACGAGTAATCGTCAGCGGCTCTGCAAATGCACGATGATGGCGACCGCCAAGCAGCCCAAATCCATTCTCAAGATGTCATCCTACCCCGCTACATCTGCGACATCCTCCAAAACCAAAGAAGAACGCGACCGCGAGGTAGCTCTATATCATGCGAATCTGATCCAGCAGCGCAAAGACATCGAGTTGGAGATCCTGCTCTCTACCGAAACCCTGATCGATTATCCTCTTGCGCGTTCTCCTTATGATGCCTCGAATCCATCTCCTGCAGACGCAAAGACTTTCAAGGAGCTTCTTCGTCCATTCCAACCTAGCGATTACGATGCTCTTATCGTCGAGCGAAACATAAATGAGCACTGCGGTTATGCGCTATGTCCGAATCCGCGGGTGAAAGAAGAGGGAGGTGGCAGATTTCGCATACTAGGCATGAATGGCAAGGCGAAAGATTTCAAGGTAGTAGAGAAGGAAGAGCTTGAGAAATGGTGTTCGCCAGCATGTGCAAAGAGGGCACTGTATGTGAGGGTTCAACTCAGTGAGACTGTTGCTTGGGAAAGAGGGGCCATGGAGAATGCGGCCAACATCGATCTTCTGGATGAGCCGAAATCCGAAGATGGTTCTCTTGCAGAACGTATGGAGAAAATGGATATAGAGACAGATAATGCTGCGGGCAAGAAGGATGCTGCGAACCTAGCTCTGGAAAGGGGTGATAAGACCATGGCTGCCAGGAATGCTTTGGTCAATATCAACATCCAGGAGAAGGATGTCTCAAAAGTACCACAAGCGCCGTCTTTAGATGATAAAGATCTGAGTGGGAGGCTTGATAGCATGCATCTTACATTGGAAGGCCATACAAGTACCTTCGGCAGTCGAAGGGAAAGACGGCATAACGAGGAATTGGATGGAGCCAACATCGATGATGGTGAGGAGGATAGTGAGGAAGATACGGATTGGCAGCTTTGAGCATTTCAAATGGAGTTTAGGGACCAATTACGGAGTTCAAGTTTGATACCCAGGGGTGGAAAAGTTCATTTGGCATAAACTTTAGATATCCAATTTACGTCCATGATTTTCACGAGAATATCCTGAAACTTACCTTGGGTGTCTTTCCAATGAAAACAACGTTTGTCGAGATAGTCGCAAGGATTAGCAACCTCCAGCCCTATACGAACAGAGAGCTTCATCAGTGATTGGCGCCGATGGACGAATGGGCATACGGTAGGTCGTCAAACTAACAAGATCAAAGGTTCACCATACACGAAGAAATAGGAAAATGGCAATCAAGCATCATCTCCAAGGAGAATCAGCGACACCTGTGTGGGAGAAACACCTCACATTGATCTAGTATGCAATACCAGCCAGCAAGACGCCCAGAAGCAACCAGATCCGAGCCAATCCATCCCTAACGCACGCTTTTCTGCAAATAGAGAACCTAATTTCGTGGTGGGCGGTCGTTGAAGTTTCGGCGTGGTCTCTCGACGGTTTGTTGTTGTGAGACTGCGACAACGGTAACGGGGACGGAATCGAACTGTGGTATTGTTAGAATTTGCTTGTTGAAAGTGTGGAGGGAATGCGTACACCAAGGCTCTTGAGGAGATCCTTTGTATCGGTATCGACCTCGAGTTGTCCAGTCTCGGTTTGGCTGAAGTCGAGAGCAGAGATCTCGGGGACGTATTGATCCTTTCGCTCACGCTCCTCTTCTTGAAGCTTGAAGGAGATACCACGAACAGGACCACGTTGAATACGCTTCATCAAATGGGTAGTGTAACCAGCAATCTAATCAACCTTTATCAGCAACCATACTTCCCATCTGCCAGCTGTTGTGTCGTACCTTGTTGCGAAGACGCTTGGAAGCAATGATGGCGATCTCATCGCAGATTCTCTTGTTGGTCTCGAAATCGAGGGTCAACTTGGGGTAATATCTCTCGATAATTACCTTGGCGGACTTCTTCACGGTCTTGGTACGAACGCGACCCATGATTGCGGTATTGTCGTAATTGTCGAAATTTGGGGATGTCGAGGGGAAGAATTTCGACAATTGATTTGCGATTGTGGCAGCTCGCTTGTTAGCGCGGATTGAATCTCGTCGTGATCACGTGGCTAAACATTACCATATTAATTTTAAGTTTTCATTTGAGGATTGCTATCTTGTCATTGGAAATGGTATTTGACTGTGGTATTGATAAGATTGAAAAGTTCTCAATACATAGATGTGGCGTTGAGAAACAATACACTTCACCTTCAAGGCTAGTGGTGAGGTAGCTTCTAACAACATTAGCACGATGCGACCAAGAATATGAGAGTAAATACCAAGCGTATTCAGAGTTGACTAGTTTCACAAGCCATCTTGATAAGTAGACGGTTGCTTAAATTGATGAATTCCCTTAAGCATTGCCCAGTCTCGTCCAAGCACAAACTAAATGCAAAATCATGCTCATTCCCAGCTAATAAGAAATAATAAAGCTCGGAGGTAGATCATGGTGTACATTGTCCTTATTCTACAGTACCACGCTATGCATAATATACAATCCAAGTACTAACTACAATGGCTTCTCATCTTCCGTCAATAGCGATGCCATATCCTTAGCAACCTCGGCTTCCCTCGCTCGCTTCGCTACTGCATTCTCAGACAATACACTGTCCCTCGTGAGCCCATAAGTCCTAGCGAACACTGATCCAGCCTGAGCAGCCTCCTGTAATCCCGCAACTGGCTTCCACCCAGGTTTCGTTGAACCACCTGCTATGATGGATGATCGGTTGATCTGGTTCGTGGTGCCCTCCTTTACTGCTATAGCTTCATAATCCGCTAGGTGCACATTCAGAACAACTTTGCCGCTAGGATCGATTTGAGCGTGCACAGGCTCGACATAGACCTTGCTGCCACCGACTTTCTCAGGCTCAATCATATTGACGCCAGGGATGGAGCTGATTTGGCTCCTATTGTTGTATACTTTAGTATTGCTTGGATTAAATGAACCGCCTGTTCCCTCTGGGACTGCGGTCACAAATCCTCCCACTCCTAATGCTGGAGCAAAGTTTCCAACAGACGCATTCTTGGGAAGAACCACTCGGGCTTTGACAGGAGACTTGAACTTCTGAGGACCGAATTCGGGGTGATTGAAAGCTTGAGCATCTGTGAGGCCATAAGACAAGCCAGCGGACGGATGAGTTTTCGGTGGGCCAGTTTTGGCATATGGTGAAGCTGATTCCGGTACGTGTTCCATTGTGACACCTTGTTTAGATTTGCCGCTAAGCGCATCCGTGAGGAACTCTTCCATATTTCCCGTTACAGTCGATGGAGCAGGTGGAAGGTCGAGGAATGTCCTGATCAGTCCATACAGCTCTGTCCGGTCATGCCGTAAGGTCTTGACATATTCCGTCATCTGCTGTTCCGTAACATCTTCCACCAGTGTTGGAGCTGGAGGTTCTTCTTCCCCAATTGCTTTCCGGCGAGCTTCTGCTGTCAAAGATTTGGCACAAGCTTTTCGTAGATATTTGCGAAACTCGCTCTTCTTATCTCGAATTTGTCTTGTGAGGTATGCGTTGAAATCGCCCTCGGTCATTCCTGCAAGCCAAGGCCCCTTGAAATTCCATCTCACATCCTCCCTTCTCGAGGACTCAATGTCCGGCTCCACTGTAGAATCCATGTTATCCTCGAACACGCTCTTCCTCTCCTCATGACGAAATCCACCAGTATTCTTGTTCACAGGTACCGTAAGCGCCACGCCCATCTCCTGCCATTTCTGCAACGAGATAGCATGATCCGCAGAAGAACCAAATTCGGTAATGTGCTCAAACGTATCAATAGCTTCGACTCGTATAAAAGGCGTGGAAGTCTTCGTTGTGGCTCGTAGAGGTAACGGACGCTTGAAACCCCAGTCTCCTTTCGCCCTGGACGATGGAGGCGTTGTGATTGAAAGCTGGGTAGGATGAGGAAGCGTGGCAGTGTCGGAGGAGAATACTGCCCTGACTGAAAGCTCACCCATCGGGCGGGGCAGTGGAGGAGGAATTGAAAAGACCCTTGATGCTCTCAGAAGAGCGCCACCTGGCGATGCACTGCTTGAAGCCATGGTAGCCTTGTGAGAAGCTGGGCGTTGAAGTACGCCCGAGAGAAGACTTAAGCAGACGTAGCTTGCAGCCTTTCGGGCAACTTTGAACTGCGCCCAAGGCTCTGTTCGAGGCCCTAATGCTACTCTGACCGAATCTGGGGGAATTGAGATCCGGGGTCGGGCAATTGAGAGCTTGGAAGTAATGATATTGACGATCAAGTTCGCGATAATATTTTGGCGCTAGTGATCAACTCGTCTGATCCCTGCATTCACGTGAATCACCCCTTGAGCAACTTATTGCGTTCTTCTTTTTGAATAAAGTTTTCTAGGGGGACTCTGCTGTACCATACTGGACGATGAGTGGCTGAAGTAGATTTTCAATTTTTCCACTGGTTTCAAATTGTTTTGGATATATAAATTTGAAGTGTTTCTTGACCACATGCAGTTCTCTGCTTCTTTGTCAGAACATCTAGGAATCTAAAAGTTGATTCTCATATTACATATTCCATATAAAAACGTAGCCCTGCAAGCTAACAGCTGTTCGTCTGTCCAATCCCGCTTTTATTTTGTGAAATTTAGCTGAACTCGAGTTCCAGTATTTACCCACCACGTTTTCTCTCATATCTCCTTTAAAGATATTGATATGGAATATAGAAGACTGTTTTGCAATTTAATCATAACATCAACATAGTATGACTCTCTTTTCCAAATGAACAATAACATTCAAAGCTCAAGTCTTTCAAAAGCAGATTCATAGAACTCACATCCCCAAGCTCGCATCCCACCACAAACTCCCAAACTCCCAAACGTCATGAATGTATCACAAGAAAAAACATGATGCTTCTCTACTTCATCATATCATTCCCATCGAAATTTGTTACAATAACAGTAATCCCACGTCATAAACCCACCCATTAACTCCCCTTCTCCCAAACCCAAACTCTTACCACTACCTGAATAACCAAAGAACCTACACTCAAATATAAAAACCTCCCCTCTCCCCGTTTCTCCCTCCATTTCCCCTACCACCAAACAATCTTCAAACCTCCCAACTCGAACCCAAACCATCAAACCACCAAATCAAGCTCAAAAAAATGCGCACCCAACTCCTCTTCCCGCTCGTCCTCCTCCTCCTCACACTCACAACCGCAACCCTAACCACCCTCACCACCCCTCCATCTGCGTCTCCATCTCCAACCCTCGAGCTCACAAACCTCACAACCAACGACACAAACACCGAAGTCTCAAAACACAACTGCTGGTACGTCAACTTCTGCCCTTATCTTTCAGCTAGAGCTCCGTCACAAATGCACACTAATCCGCACACAACAGGGGCGTAAACTGCTGCAACTACTACGCCTGCGGCCAAAACGGCTGTATCTGCAGCGACGGCACCAAGGTCAGGGTCTTGTTCGGGGACTTGGGAAGCGCTGTTCTCGTTGGTGGACTGTTGGGGATTGTTGGGGCTGGTATGGTTGCTAGGGGATAGAGATCGGTTGTAAGGGAGGTGGTTGTTTGATGAGAGATGGTTTGATAGATAGCTTGAGGAAGTTGGAGTACCCTTTAAAATCCACCACGCACTTGAAGTGATGTAGAAAGACATTGGTGCTTTTAAGTCTTTGGGATAATGTGCTAGTGTATGAAGACTTTTATGAACACAACTTTGGAATTAGATGGACCTATTGCTTCGCGTGCTAGGTATACGGAGTGTTCCCCAACGAGGGGTATCTATCTCGATGCACACCATACTTGCAAGGAAAAAGAGCAACTCTCGCATGAATAACAAGATAACAAATGGAGGGCGATGAGACCCAAGTGCAAAGCCACGAAAGTTGTACATGTGAAGTAACCTTAAGCTATCGATACACGCAACATCGTCATTGAACTCAAGGTACGTAGAAAGTAGTCAATAATTCCAAAACCCCCTCCCAGCTAAACCCCCAAAATCAAATAATCAACACAACACAAAATCCAATATAAGCAAGCAAGCAAGCACCCCGCCACCCCTCTCCAACTACCGCCGCGACACAACATAAACGAGAATTCACTCACTCACTCACTCACCAACTTCGTAAACAACCTACTCCGCCTCAAAAACAAATTGATAACCCCCTCGCCTCCTCGTTAAAATACAGTCAGCACCATCATCCGAGCCCACCGCTCTCGTTCGCTTGCTCGTCATCATACATACCTAGCTAACCTTAACACAATCATCCGCTTTCGTGCGAACTTTCGTGCGAAAGCGAGAATAATGATGGAGCCGAAAGAGGTCCGTAAGCACGCAATACACGGACGGGCACGGAAAAGAGAATATGCGAAAGGGTTCCAAGAATGCTCGGTGCTTACAAATGTACTGTAGCGTGAAGTGAGGATGGCGGGACGGGACGGGAGCTCGCTCGCTCACTCGGGGAGTCGGGAGATTTTGGCGATGGGTGGAGTGATTTTTTTTGGCGGTTGTTCGATTCGATTGGAAAAGTTTGAAGATGATTTGGATAATGAAATGATGCGAATGAAATGATCTGATGGTACGTATTAGGAAAGAAAAGCAATGCGAAAAGAGAAAATCGAGTGAGATGACGCCAAAAAGAGTGAGCATCCGTTTGATAGTCAGTCCATCATCGAAGATTCTTTCCCTGATAACTCGTGCGACTTTGTACCACTCTCTCCTCCTCGTCATGATACAGCTCGAAACGTCACTCTCTGCTAGGTAACAAGTACACAGCATACAACGGTTTTCCATGCATCAGATCAGCTGTTCCGTCCTCATTGGAAACAGAAGCGTACCCAGTAACGATCTGGCATTTGTGATACCAGATGAGCAACTTCCGGTGTCGGGTGTGGGGTGCAGTTCCAGTAGATTTGAAGCGAGGAATGATTGAGTCGATAAATGCAATAATGGAAACAGCAGCGTTGGGCAGCAACAAGGCTGTCTGTACCGTAGGAATAAACGACTTTTTCGTAGAAATGATAGAGGCAAAAACAGCTTACCCGTCGGAAGAATCAGGCTACGACTTCGTCCGAAAATTATTCGCAGCTTCTGAAATAGGGAATATAGGTCTGCATCAAGGAATTCCACGAGGCTTTCCCCATCTTGGTGAAACGGAAGGCCTCCATGGAAATCTTCCAATGAGAAAATTTTGTCGTCCGAAAGAGAAAAATTGCCTGGAATTCAAAAAAGCAAATATGAAAAGATTCCCGCTGCACCCCGCGTGGAAGAAAAACCGATCTGTCACGCCTTGCATGATTTGTGGTACCAACACGCGAGAAGGCGAACCACCTCTAAAGTGCGCCAGAAAACTAAGCCGACGACCGAAATACGTCGTACGGGCTTCTGACGGCTATCCCAGCCGCGAAAGAAGGCAAAGTCGGGTGCCATGCCATCTGGTTGCCTCTCGAAAAATGTTTCACTGCTGTCGGCAAGGACAAGAAACTGTACTTCCTGGCTCCCGAGTCTAGAACGTTCAATTGAGTTTTGAGTTTGAAACTTCTTGGATCTTGCTCATATTGAACTTTGTCTTTGCCAGCAGCCCAGAGCTTCTGCGTCGCATTGCAGTCGACCCGGGCGAGGCTGTCACAGGTTGGTAACGTAACCTGGCAAAGCCCACGCCCACACGTGCTCCAGGTGCCTCGATAGGTGCGCGGTACATTGATCCCAGTGCCGGAAACGAATGAGAACTTGACACAGCTTTCCGGCTTGCTGTAGTTGTAGCCTCGTCCGACCAAACGGAGGAAACCTCGTCGACGATTCGTCGTCACGAAAGTTTCGCCCCAAGAGGCCTTCCCCACGGCCAACTTAATTCTGGAGTCTCGAACGTTCGGCAACAAGGTCTTGCTGGCAATAATCAACCTCGTGCACCGCCATATTGAAGTTTATGTACGGGAGCTAAGGTGCTGCGGATGAGAAAAAGTAACTTGAGAAACCTAAAGAGCAAAATTGGAAACGACTGCAACGATGATGGCTGTAGCTGACTAAAATTTAAGAAAGACACGTGAATGCCTGACTGTCAAAATTCATCTAGAGCGCTGGATCTGATTCAGAAATTCAGAGTTCGCGCGTGCTTCCAAACTTTCCAGCATCATTTTGTGGTGGGGTAAAGAAGCCTATGAGGTCTGGATAAAGATCTTGGTTGGTGATGGAGGTGCATGAAGGCGCCAAAGTGTATGCAATTGGCTATTCTTGGGCCAGTTGAACGGTCCGCTGTCAGTGTGCGTGTCAGCAAACGATCTGGGGCAAGCCTCTCGCTCGTTTCCAGCACTGTATGAACGGCTCAGCTTTCGAAGCTATTCGTGTTGAGGCTGGTGAATGTTCCTGTTTGGCGTCGGCGGGTTTCCTTCTGACACGCCCGTATGACTGTCTGCAGTGAGGACTCGAATTGTTGGGCAGCACCAAGGCATACAAGTTGGACCAAGAGGGAATCCTGTACGTCCGTAGATGTGTTTAGGTACGTACTCACTCGTCGCGGTTCATGGTGGCTATGTAGATGATGAATCGGACCTGTCATCGAGAAGAGTCGTTGGAAGCTTCGTCCGACATCCGTGTGACTGGGACAGACGCTGTCGAGGAATCTTTCGTGGTGGATGGATGGTCGCAGTAGCTCGCGGTAGATTTTCAGCGATTGGGGGTGTTCATGGATATGTCATCTTGCAGAGCACGATGATTTGGAGGCATTTTCCTTGATCGACGACGGCAACTGGGATCGATGAAACCTCTGCAGATATGCAGATGTGCAGGCTACCTAGATGAAGATGAAAAATTGTACCAACGTGTCGAAGATCAGCGCTGCTCCCAATCGGGGCACATTCGCAGACACATTTTCATTTGCATGGCAAAGCCAAAATGCAAAGTGCGCACGAGGAATTCTGCGAACTGGCTGACAGAGTTTCTGTCTGCTGCTGCACCTGCACGGCTTGTGGGTATGGACGGGGGCGGGACTGGCTGAGGGGCCTGCAGTTGGCGGCGGCATGGGGGTCTCTTCCACTGGTGCGTGCGGTATGAAGAGACTGAGTGCTGAATGAGTGAGTGATGGTGAGTGGCTTTTCGGTCATCCAGAATCATTCCACGGACCGCATGTCTCTCTTTCTGTGCCATACTTCCATATTCCCCTCTTCCCAACGATGCGTACGAGTAGGATTCCCCTGCTATGCGCCAAGGTCCGGCCTTACTGAATGCATACCGTGCTCCCGTGGAACAATCCCATCACATCGCCGTATTGATGTTACAGTGAGGACTTGACAATATTGTTGCGTGAATCTGGGCTACACTGGGGCTGTTCTGGGCTGGAACACGGCCACCTCGCCTCGCCTCGCCCCGCCGTCGCCTGCTTGCGTGGGCTGTCTGCGAGCTGCTGTACTCGACTGAGTGAATGATGTGAGAGCGCGCACCGCGGCGAGTGCGCTGTATCTGTCTGTGTCTCGCTGTTCTTCTCGGCGCCGACCAGGGCAAGGAAGGTGGGATGCAAGCGACGGACGTGTGTAATACTGTGATACTGTAATACTCGTCTAGACAGTTCTGTAGGGATGATGGATGGTGGCTGATGGATCACTGTCACGGCCATGGATGGCCGTCGATGGCGCTTCCATGCAAATAGCTGAGGAACCCAAACCAACCCCCATGCCCGGCTTTCTCCTGGGTCCTGGTCTCCCTCCGCTCCACTTTACGACCGTACCGCACCGCACCGATATCTATCTAATCACTCCATCCCATGTGCTCACTCCTCCACTATTCCACTGACCTCCACGCATATACTTCAAAAGCATCCCACTTCAACCTCACTCAACTGAATACTGATTCCTCATTGAACCACATTTGGACCATTCTTAGAGTTGCGGAGTATACATGCCAAATCACATTCAACTCGACCTCCACCTCCACGTCCATGTACATATATCCCCGATCCGAAACCACTTTCACAACCATGTCAAGTTCAAATAACGCAGTCCAACGTACCTGAGCCGTTGCTTTTGCGCAGATCTTGAATGACTTTGAGCAGATTTTGACTGTTCACGCGTCCACCATTTGAAGATCTGATTCATCCAGATATTCTTCAAATACACCCACCCATCCCACCACATGTTATAACAAATCACCGCCACTACCATCAGCTGTCAAACATATTACTTCAACCTTCAACAATTCCTTCAACATGTCTCAAGCAATTCGAAGACACAATACAGGCCTCAGTACAAGGAGTACCCGGTCTGGACACAGTGATGATTCGCACGACTCTCAAAGCACCACACCGACATCGCTCTACAGCAGTCCAGCTCCCTCGATGCAAGCTATGTACTCAAAGCAGCAACCTGATATCTCCCCCGCCACGACCTACTACCCACGGTCGTCGACAGAAACATACTCCTCGACAGTAGAGTCCCTCGAAGAGCTATGCGAAGAACCAGAGTCCTACGATCCCGAGTATCAAGTACCCGAGTATCGAGAAGTCATTGACGAGAACATCCGGGCTTCCAACCCTTCAGACTTTGCAGAGTACTTCCCTTCAACAAAGAGGTTGACTATCTGCCATGATACCACCACACATGATGCGAATTGGAACCTACGAGTCGATGGCGAGGACAGAAAGAAGAGACCCATCCAGCTCTTCCACCTAAAGATGAACGACCTTTCAAAACGAGAATTCTCCCTCCGCAGATACGAGCGAGCTTCAGGTCGAGAGGTGTGCCACTCATGTAGGAAGAACAAGCCCGTCGTCGAGAAGAGGCCCACGGAGAAATTGACTCGATCAATGAGCACCGCCTTCGCCAGCATCAAGCCAGAGTTCAAGAGGACAAACTCAGGACTATCATCTCACAGCAGGAAGAACATGAAGCGTCAAGACAGCGGCTACGTTTCTAGTGATGACTACGAGCCCGATTTCGAAGAGTTCATGAACAAGGCCAAGGCAGTCCAGATCCCTACCAACACAACCAAGCTCGAGTTCTCCAACTACGCACAAGTAGAGGTCAAGCGTCGAGGCGCCAAGTCTACGAAGCGATACGAGTTTGAATATTGGGGTCACGACTACGTCTGGAAGCGGGTCACCAAGAAAGATGGATCCGGGAAGGAAGTCTCATATCATCTATACAAAGACGAAGGTGGCCCTGCCGTGGCACACATCGTCCCCGAACTGCGCTCTCCAGCGCAGATTGAAGATGAAGAGAGGAACGGCGGATGGGTGCCTCCCAGCTCTCTGTGGATCAGCGACAAGAGCATCACCGGCGAGGCACTCACTGATGTGGCGGAGTAAGTACCATTCACTCTATCCTCTCTGGATATAGCTAATAATAAACTCAGAGTCATCGTAGCAACAGGCCTCATAGCCCTAGTCGATGATTGTATCAAACGACACTTCCACCCCCGCCCCGTCCACAAAACACACCACGTCCCAGCCACGAAATACGAGATGGAGTTCGTGAACCCGAGGACGATGGTGTCAAATATGTTTAAGCGCCGCAACTCAGGCGGGTCATCCAAGTCGGAACAGAGTCAACGGAGCTCGCCGTTGCGGTATCAGAGCCCGGTTGCGGCTTATTAGGAATTACAGAACAGAATATCAAAGAACAGAACAGCGGAATAACAGATCGCTGGTGGGCATTTGCAAGGAAGGATAACATGGCACAGGACCTGCGGTGCAGGGTAGGGTTGTTACATAGCAGGAACAAGGGCATAGCATGCGTGCATGGTTTTCCACAAACACACACGGCGTTACCTCCCTGGTATCGGGAACGAGATGACGATTTCATCTTTCTATGATGTTGTTACCATATTACCATTTTTATTATCATATATCCTTGTAATGCATGGATCGAAACAAACACTATCTACTCGCTCTTGCTACATGCCTTTTCCGTGCTACTGTACTCTGGATTAAGTCAAGTCTGGATCGTCGTGACTCACCCACCCACCACGCCGTGCAACCTCTAGGCAGTCAGCAACCTGAAAAATCTCTATACCATAATAAGCCTTCAGCTCCGAGAGATCGGTATCTCGTTTCAGTTCTTCTTGCAGCTTGCTTGCTTGCTTGCAGATGGAAGAGGGGGGGGGGCGTTTAATTTCTGTGCTAGCCTCGTCTCTGGTGCCTTGTTGGAGAGGCTCTTCGGGCCTTTATTCGGTTTTTCTTACTTTGTGTAAGGGAGAATATTTCCCTTACTAAGTTAGTGTAGTAGACTGTCTGCCTTGTTTTAATATCTGCCGATGAGGTTTGTGGGTTGTTTGTTTGTATAAGCATAGTTAAGTGCGGTGCTCTCGGACGTAGAAGATCGAATAGTATTATATATGTACAGATTGGCTCCTGTCCTAGAGTACATAGTGAGAGATAAAAGAGATTCTTGAAGTAACTTGTCTTCATCCACTTGTCTCGACTCTAATGACGGAATGTGAACAGGAAATACATATGAATACAAGATCTGGACTTATTTTCGGCGGTCTTTGTGTTTCTATGTTCATCTTTCTATTTTATAAGGAGACTATTCGACGCTAATCTTGATTTGTAACTTTAGGGTTCCTACATATATCTTGTCAATTGTAAATCAATCCGAAAGTACCTTAGGTACCTAAGTATGAAGTAAGAAAGTATATTCACGTGACCGTGTAAAGCATAGAACTTTTAAGGTAACTACCTTAGGTCACTAAGTAGGTAAGGCATTGGGCTAAAAATAGGATACTGGATATGAATCCCTTGTCTCTATTTATGTAGTTCTTCTACTTTAATATAGCACCATTCATCTTATTCCCTAGTCGTCGAACTCTCACTTGACGCTCACACCGTCCTTTACCCTCTCAAATCTGAGCAAAAGGGGCAAACGAAAACCAAACACAATTGCCGAATCAGATAATAGCTCTCAATTTCTCTATCAAAGGCGTCAAGCCTCAGCACCAGAAGAGGAGATTGGAGGTCACGTGTAAGACAATTGCGGCAGGAAGGGCTTTTTCTTCAGGGCAAGCGCTTGTTTCTAACTAATACATACCGAGACTTTGAGGAGTTGTTTGCGGCAGGAGATGTTGAGCCGTGTTGCCAAAAGCTTGTGTGTTTCAAACGTTTTGACTTGTTGCAGTCGATGTACGGTACGTGGATGGGCGTCTTTGTTTTTGAGCAAGGAGGTTGATGGGATGATAAGTATTTTATTATTGTTGTATTTGATGACGATGGGTTTGTTTTCCTCTTCCATCACTTCACTGAATACGATGTCTACTGATATATCTTCGACCTTCCTTCCTTCACAAATACGAGTACCAACCCGTACTTACTATTTTTTGACATGCAACGGCATAACTAATCTGCATTCGCCTTCACCAAGTATCTCCAGCTCCTGCACACTAAAGTTCTTCGCTTGCCGAGGTACAGTACGTCTTATCAACAATTTGCAAAACAAGGAATATCAAAGCTTCATCCAGCAGTTTTGCCATCCCATCCAATGATTTCAGCCATCGCTGAGGATTTTGCATCAAGTTGTCTTGCAATATGCAGCTACCTTGAATGCAGTGTATTTATAGTTGATGTTCAGGCCAAGAAAAGAGCCTAGTGTGTGCCACCACGATAACAGTCCAGTGCTGGCATCTAGCTGGCTCCTCAAAACTTCTTCTCCCAGCCAAGACGCTTCAATATGTTTTGCTTTTATAATATTGGCATACGACATGCAATGCACGCACACCAGGAGGCGCGCGTTACTCCGAAGTCACTGCAGTATTGTGTTATAATGTAGTGTTGGACTGCTAATTGAGTCCGGTACTGGAGCAAGTTCCATTCCATTTCTAGAAGAGCCTCAGGGAAGCTAATAAGGATTGACAGGCTTCAAATGGAGATCACCCCTAAAGCTACAGCACGTCGACCCTATCTGGAGGCCCTAACTCTTGTGGGGTCAGTAGGGGTCCTAGCGCGCTGCTTCCAGCATCTATAGTGGAGATTCCAGGGCTGATCCCCTGTAGTCGCATCTGTTCAGCAATCTCCGTACGAGGTGGCTGATCTTAGCCGCGAACTTGCTTATCACAATTCCATTGTTTAAAACAGTCTCGATCCCCGTCGTCGTTCATGTCTTCGACAGTGTCTTTGTTGTGTCTTTCGCTCGTTCAATTTCTGTCGCTTTCGTGTCTCTCGCTATGGTTTCCAGATGTCTGACTGCGATTTCTGTCGCACTAATCGCTTTCTCTTCTACAGCACAGGCACAGACCAACTTCACGACGAATTGGAATCCGTTGGGTGAGGGATGCGTGGACTCGGCAGGTTTTCTCTCGTGTTATGGCGAGCGAGAAACGAAAGCAGAAACTTGCACAAGTGTTTGCGCCCAGAGCAATACGAAAGGAACTCCATCGTATAATACCTGTGTTGATGCCTGTAACGAACTATGGTTGGCGGACAATATAGGGTGCTGGATACAGAGCTGCTGGAATCAGGTTTGTTCATACCGCATTTGGAGATTGCAAAACTGACAAATTCATACAAGGTCTACTCCTGCGCGTATCAACTCACTGCATTGTCGTATTTTGATGGTTCGGGTCTGGCTCAGAATTCGGATGTCCCGTTCTATCCTCCGCCTAATGATGCCAGTGCCGGTGCTTGCTGTTAGTTCGAGCTGTCAAAATACCCACAGACTTGGTTAACTAACATACTTTTAGCTTGCAATCTTGGCTACGTCTATGGAAACCTCTCGGCAGTCTCAACGTCGACTCAGGGCTCTAATTGCGAAGTAATTGCAGGTGGAAACAACGCTACTTTCTATGACTGCGAATGTTGCGAGCTCTCCTGGCCAATCTCCAAGCAAGATCCTCTGCCAATTTCTTAATGCTTTCTAACGAGTCTAGCATCTTGAACGCTTGTCCTAAATCCGACCTTTCTGGCATCAACTTCGAAAACGGAGTCAGTTTCCCAACATATATCACGAGGATTGCAACACAGCTTACCCCATCCACCGATAAATGCGCCATCCTAAACAACGGCACCGAGACCTGCATCAGTGACTATAATTTCCCATACGCCGGGAACACATCTTACAATCCTCTCTCATTACCAGCTGCGGAACCTGGCAAAGAGGCCCTATCAAACTCAGCCGGAAATGCTTTCACTGTGTTCCCATCAGCGTCCATTAACCTTACCCTAACTATGGCTCCTTCATACACGAGCACCATCACGCCGGCATCTTTCGGTGCAAGCGCGAGTGCGGACCCCCAGTCGATCGCTGGGACGTCAATTATGGGTGGAACTACGACTTCGATCTCTTCCACCACAACTACAACGCCGTCAAATACGGCGACTTCGAGTTCCGCGACGGCTACCTCGACGAAGAAGAGTGCTGGTGTGAAGATGGGAGGGAATCTGGGGTTGATGGCACTTGCTGTGGTGCCAGCTGTTATTTGCATATCGTGAGCGGTTCATAGTAATGCTTAATATTAATATTAATTTGAGTTTTGATTCCTATCTAGTGAAACAAGTGATATGGGGCTACATCATGACTTGCACCTTTGCACATCTCATCACAGCTTTCACGGTAAGAAGAGGGTTATTGGAGAAGGGACGACGAGGTAACGTGATAGGAGAGCCAAATTCGCTTGGAGTCTCGCTTAGCTTACTCCTTTTCCTACAATCATCACAAACAGCTAAAGATTAACCTTGACAGGAGAACCAGCAAGCCTTCTATTCAAAACAAAACTACAAAACGCCTTCCAAACACTCATCAACCGCCTCCTCAAAATCAATATTAAACAACCAATCAAACATCTCCGCCATATCCACCTTCTCCTCCTCCTCCCCACCACCAGCACTCGGCATCCGCCTCAAATCCATCTGCCTATTAAGCTCCAACACCCTATCCACCCTCCTCTGGCGAAACCGCTGCCACCCCAACAACGCCCTCTCCAACTCCCCACCACTCGGCTTCCCTCCCAGTCGCCCCAGGACAAGCGCAACCAAATACACATCCTCGAACGCCATATTCGCGCCCTGGCCCCCACTGGGCGGAATCGCGTGCGCGCTATCTCCTACAATAAGCACACGTCCCCGCATCCAGCGCTCGAGCCGCGGGATATGGTAGAAATGCCAGATGCGCAACTGCGCGTCGGGGATCTCCCGCACGGCGTTCTGGACGATGGGCGGGAAGCGGTCGGAGTTTTGGCGCAGGAGGGAGCGGAGCGCGTCTTTGTCGGACGAGGAGATGGATGTGGAAGCCATGGGTCGTTGGACCGTGATCATTACTTCGTCGCCGGCGTGCGTTTGTGGGGCGATGACGAAGGCGCCTAGGCCGGGGACGGTGAGGCCCGAGGGGATGGGGTAGGTGTTTGAGGGGGAGTTTAGGTTTGGGTCGGTGGGTGGGGGGAGGGAGAGTTGGGCTGTGGGGATTGCGGCTACGATGGCGGCCATGTTTGCGAAGACGGGTTTGATGTCGGGGAATAGGTGGGAGCGGACTGTGGAGTGGATGCCGTCTGCTCCTATGAGGAGAGATGCGGTTTCCGTGGAGCCGTCGTGGAATTGCCATGAAACGGAATCTTCGGTCTCGGAGACGATGTGGGAGAATCTTTTGTTGAAATGAATTGGGATGCCCTTTGCTTTTACAGCGACTAGGAGCTCTTCGAGCACGATGTAGCGGTATAGGCGGAGGGCTTGGAATCCATAGCGCTCGACGTTGCCATAGTCAATTTTCTCTAGAATCTTCCCGCTGTCTACGTCTTGAATGTAGATATGCTCGAAGTTGTAGCCTCTCTTTTGCAGAGAGTCGTAGACTCCCAGTTTTCCGAGTACTTTTAGGCCATTGGGCATAAGCATAAGTGCTCCGCCCACGTTTAATGGAGCTTCACGAGCTTCGTAGACTGCGCATGAGATGGATTGTTGATGGAGTGCAAGAGCCTACAAAGCAATTAGCACTGCATGCTGAAAACGACCAGAAAGCTCTGCGATCTAGGAGCTATATTGAGAGTTGTGACTCATGATACGATTACAACTCCTTGGACTGCTTCGGAGCTCCCGGAGACAATTAGAGCAAGAGGATATGGGATGGGATGGGATCATACCAACGCGAGACCTGATAACCCAGCACCAATGATGGCGACATCTAGAGGAGAGTTTGCCATTGTATGTTTTGGAGTTTTGGTTTCATCGAGGACAAAGATAAAACTCTTACAATAATATATATCTACTGTGCCGTGAGTCACGGCGTAAGACCTACGGCAAAGCTGCTGATTCACTTGTCACGTGATCTACTTCACTCAAGACTTCATCGCTTACTTAGTTCCCGATCTCTACTTAAACTGATCAATCTCGCTCAAAGTGATATTCTCGTCGGAGGCAGTATTCTATGAAACAATTACAACCTAAAGTTCAAACTAGGCACGTTCTATTATCACGTGCCTCTACCCTTTCCGTCAACTTGAAGCACGAGTCGCTTGTTTCGTTCTCGTGATATCACCATCTTTCCCTACCACCAAAGAAGAAAAGCTACGAGTGTTAATGCCCAACAATACCTATCCGAAGCCCAAGCCAAAAGAAATATATTGCACTGGCCTTTCGCCCAGCTTGTGCACTCAACATGCATGGCGCCTCGCCAAGCCGTGCCTCGAGTACAATGCAAGGCTTCAGAACGACGCCTTCGGTCAAGCAAGGCTTGCCAAGAGTGCGTTGGGTATCATTGCTTCAATCTGTCAGCCAGAGATGTATTGCCAGCGAGTGCTGCATTCTAGATAGAGTCTTATCAGCAAGGTCTGAAGTGAGGCTGGCTATCTTGGTACGAGCCTGTTTGTATTCGATGGTTTAATACGTTCTATTGTCCCAAGCGTTGTCCATCTACTCTCTCCTCTAGTTTCAAATTCTGATCGTACCTGAACTTTGAGGATCTTTGGCAGCAGAAAAGATATCATCGTGGCTTATTCGATCCTTAACAATTCGTCCAACTCTATCTACGCCCGAGCCCCGCCCGGTGCCCGGCAATCGCCCTGTAAGATGGGTTCAAACGTTGTTCCCTTGAACAAAGCTCCGACACTGGACGATGGTCTGCATCCCAGTGGGAATATTCAGCAAATATACAACTATGGAGACATGATCGTGGATCCAACCAAGCTGAATGGTGGCAATTTTATCTTCCAAAACCATGGCCGTATGGTCTTTGGAAGCCCTGAAACCGTTAGCTTGTCCTCCAATAGCATTGCTTCATCTAATTCTCCTGCTCTCCCGCCGACTAGCAGGCGAATTGTTGATGAAGATCCCCAGCTTCCTGATGTACAGCGGAACGCAAAACCTACTCCAATTGCTTTGCCCTCAAATTATGGCCGAATTTCTAGGCCGAATGACTATACAAATGATGATCATGGGAACCAAGACCAGCTGCAGCCATATAATGTCCAGCCATATCCTGCCCACCCACATTCTCTGCAGCCATATCTTGCCCAGAACCAGAATCCTATTGATCGAGAATACTGGCGCGATACAGCAGCCCCAACTGCAGGAAATAATCAACCCTACTCAGGAGTTCCACTGGGCCCGTCTTGCCATCTCTGCCATGTGCAATTCGGTTCAACAACCGAGTTGCAGGCGCATCTAGATTCCAACCACCTGATGTGCACTATTTGCAAGTATCGGCATTTCTTTCACCAAGGTGAATTGGATGAACATATGAGGGAGTTTCACTTCTCTCCGGACAATCACCTTCCTCTATCTAGGACGTCGTCACACGAAAATTTGCCTTCTGGCAACGATCATCACGATTGCAGTTTATGCGACAAGTACTTTTCTTCCAATCATAAATTGCGAAAACACCGAGAAAGTGCTCATCCCAGATGCTCGTTGTGCGGTTCTCGATCTCCAAGACTGCTTTCCGCCAAAATGCTAGCTAGTCACACGGAGACTCACCATCCACGTTGTCATAAGTGTCGTACTCGACAGAAGAAACGAAGACATTGCTATTGTCCATGAGGAAAGTCACTGCCTAAAACGGCACATCTGGGACCAGAGTCTGAGGCGTTTCTCGCAGTCCAGTATGGTGGGTCTAGATGGCAAAGACCACTGAGGATATGACCGATAAGGACCCCCACGAACATATTATGACTCGTCCCTCATTCTTTAAGGAAGAGACATCCGAGTGAGTGCCATGTGCTATAGCAACGGTTGTATGGTTCGCTCGGCAAGTGCCATATCGTAAGACAGCCGCATTCCTGTCTGTTGCTCTATACAATAGATAGCCTGGATTGCGGCAGAGGCTGAGACCTGATCCGCACTTCGGCTTCAAGTAGCTTCATCGAGGAATGATCGTCAACCGTTGCCGGACCATCAAGTCGAATAGGAATTCTGATGTCTGGCGAACAGCATGGTTAATGAAATGACTATATATATCACGCAGCCCATGAGTAGCATGCTTTCTTTGCAGAGCTCTGCAAAAAGTCAAAAATGCAACTTCTAGCTTTTCTCAATGCTTTCATCTTCGGTAGAGCCAGCTTCTCCAGCCTCTCTGGGAATGGAACAAGCAATAGCTCCAGTCTCACGTCAACAACTTCAACCCCGCTCACTAATATCACGCGCACTCCCCCTCCTACCAATATAACCAGCACGACGATACTGTCGTCAAGTTCTTCAAGACTGTTGATAAACAGCACGTCCAGCTTTCTTACCATCAGCCCTACAAGATCACCAGGGCCATCGATAACAAGTACGTCCATGTTCTTGGGCACTAGTCCTAGATATTCCAGTTCTTCCTCACCCCTTGTGACGAGTACGGGGAAGTGGAATACTACATCCTCATCTCAATTTCCCACAACCCGCTTCTCTACCATCCTACCTTCGTCATTCCACAACACAACTTCAAGCGCCACAAATCGACTTAACACCTCGACTTCTGCCTTGACCACCTCATGGAAATGGAATACCACATCCTTATCACAGTCTCCTACAAGTTTCACGGGTCTTCACACCTCGAATGTCTCATCATCAATCAATAGCTCAACTGCTGTCCGAACAATTCGCATCTCAAGCCTCGTTTCAACCTCATTCTCCAGGTTCAGCAATGCGAGCTCTTCTGCGCCATCTTCGAGCTTTTTGATCACGGGCAAGACATCCTTTGCTACGCTCACTTCGAGCACTTCAAGGTATGCTAACACAACTTGGTCAAGCTCAACTAGTCTAGCTGCCAGCTCTGGATTCTCATTGCCTAGTGTTTCCTCTTCGACTGTCCCGTCGTGGACAAATAGTAGCACTCAGAGCACTCAATCGTCTTCTGTGGTCACTACTACGCCGTGGCTTAACAGCAGCATCAGCTTTGAGAAACACTCATCTACTAGCACCTTGTCTTCTATTTCGACGATCCCATCTTGGGCTAATAGCAGCACCACTTTCTCGCTGTCCATCACAAGTATACCGATCACTACGGCCATATTACCAAAGTCAGAATTTGTCAGCGCAACATCTCTCGAGCTATCGACTTTCAACAGCGTTCCTCCGTCTCTTGGATCTTCCGGATCTTTGACTTCTGTCTCATCCGAAACGAGTAGCTATGACATAGACGTCCCAATCACGAGTCTCTCACTACCAACAACTCTTCCGTCGTCACTCGAATCAGTAACTCCAATAAGCTCACCCACATCTACCATCGCCCAACCAACTCCCTCAGCTTGGTCCTGCCCCACTGCCCCAGGCCTAACATTCGGACCCGCAGAAATCGGTACCTAGCTACCCCCCTTCTCTCCTCTCACCTCAACTGACTAAGACCCCCAGAATCTGCAATATGCTCCACAAATTGCGCCTCTCCAGACGCTACCACCCGAGCCTCACTCTTCATGACAGCCCTCACAAACAACAACTATGGAGATACCATAAATGCCACATCCATCCTGGATCAGCTCTTACCGCCACTTTTTGAGCAAGTGCAATCGTTGAGGAATCAGGGTTCGAGTGCTTTGAGGAGTTTTGGGAGGGAAATTGTGCCTCAGACCCCGTCGCAGGTGAGCTTTCCTATCTTTCTCTTCTTGAAGAAATTGCACTAACAGGAAATAGATTGTCGTTGATGAGATTCTTGTTTGTGGGATTGCGCTGCTGGTCTTTGAGAGCTTCAAGTGTACGGTTGAGGTTGTATTTGTTCCAGGGTCGGGGGTTGTGTTTACGGTGACTTGTGTGGTTGCCACAGGGTGATGGAGAGGAAGAATTGTCTGATTGTTCATTTATCTGTGGACCAGAATGAGTTGGAGTAGAATATATGCTCATTTTCCCAATTTCGTGCATCGTTCCTCTGGAATGCTGAATAGCCCAAAACGATGGTTTGTTATCACTTATTGCTTTGCTGTCAACAACACTGAGTAAGCTGACAGCAAGACTCTCAACCGCGACAATGTTAGATTTTCGCAACAAGGAACTCTTTCGAAACGGCAATACATAGTCGCAATAGGGACCACGACTTACTTTCAATGTCAGTCAATAGTTGGGCTTTGAACTAAGATAGTTGACAGCGGTATGACATACCAATTCCATAAATGCTTAGCTCAATGATCGAAAATTGTTTCTCATTTACTCCCTTTCTTCCATAATTGTTAGTCTAATCCAATATAAATGTTCCACGTCTAACTAGTACATATCATAATCATAAGATTGGGCTTGCTGCTTTTTCTACTTTATTCGCATCAAAATAAACCCAATTTTGAAATCAATTCAAATATCCTGCCCTCATATGGAGTATATTAGAATGGTAAATTGTGGCATTCTTCAATAACTTCAGCTGCTACAGAAATGTCTCATCCCGGATATATCACATTTGTATGTCAATACTTGTTACTGTTTGATATTGCTAATTATGAGAATGAAAATATATTCAAACACGAATCTCCCGCCCTCTCATCAGGACATGTCACAGGCAAAAGTCGGCACCTGCTTTCTTTCGATTGTTCTTCAATTCTATGCTAGTGGGTGAATGAACAATCTCTGAGAAGAGTAATAATAGTGCGTACCCGATGCAAGAGGACCACAACCCACCAATCGCCCATTACATTGGCATCGCTCGCCATGGGGTGCCATTCCCACGCCACTCTATTGCCCTATACTCTACATCCAATTGTTTCTCGATCTCAATTCAAGCCTTGGGCCAATGTAGAGGGACTCCAAAGAGTGGGCTGCCTCTTCCGATATAAGATTCGCAATTGCACCCATTCCTGAATCAAAACAACAAAGATCATGACGGCAAAATCAGTACGTGAGGGCGGCCCAGACCTCAAAGGACCATTTGACTTTCCAGATACCCCCCTCAGTCGCGCAGCACATCAACCATTATTACTAGGAGTCTTCCTGAATCTTCAAGACATAAATATCTCCAGTTACCCCACCAGCAACACCTGGACCTTTGACTATAACGTTAATATCGTCCGTCAAGCCGAAGCTCTAGGTTTGGAACTCGCATTTAGTCGCACACAATGGTTGCCCAAAGGCGGTTACGACGGAGAGGCTTCGCTTGATGCTTTTGTTGCTCTCGGTGCCATGGCTGCAGTAACCAAGACCATCATGCTGATTTCAACTATGCATGTCCTCTACGGACCATTGCATCCACTCCACATCGCCAAATACGGAGCAACGCTCGACCATATCGCTAAAGGCAGATGGGGGATTAATATTGTGACTGGTCACCGAGCTATCGAGCACGAGATGTTCGGCTGGCAGCGAATCGAGCACGATAAAACGGTACGAAATGGCTGGAGAGCTATTCAACGTTGTCAACAGTCTCTGGGGTGAAACTGACAATCTTTCTTACAAAAGAAAAGTGTCACCATGGAGTCTTGAAAATGCTTGGATTACTCCCAAGCCACTCTTTGGTCGCCCGGTACTGGTCAACGCAACCGGATCACCTGCTGGAATGGAGTTTGCTGCCCAGTATTCGGACTTGATTTTCATTACTTCGCCGGGAGGTGTGCATATCGAGAGTGCGTTGGAGACATTGCCCGAGCATATTGCGGTTATCAAAGCAGCGGCGAGAGCTAAAGGGCGTACCATTAAGACTTTGATAAATCCAGTCATTGTGTCGCGGCACACGCCAGAGGAAGCTGAAGCATATGCTCAGAGCATTTTTGCTGGAAAGCCGAAGACGGATAGTAAGGCAACATTTGGCAATACCAATGCAAAGGCCTGGGATAGTGATGCTCACGCTTGGCGAGGGAGAAAGGATGCTAGGCACAAGCAGGGACTGGGCCTTGGTGGAAATATTGAAATTATTGGGTCCCCTGAGCAGGTTGTTGAGCAGTTAGTTGCGTTGCATAAACTTGGTATTGATGGCGTGCAGCTTTGCTTCTATGATTTTGAGAAGGATTTGGAATATTTTGGGAGGAAGATCCTACCACTGTTAGAGGAAGCTGGGTTACGGGTGCCAATCAAGACAGATGCTGAGGGGTTGAGCCGTAAGCGGCCAGGTCCAGCTGGTTCGGGACTGAGGAATGGCTCTGAAGCAGTGAAAAAGAAACGTTGAAATTGAAACAGGGGTATCATAGAACTATGGATGATGACGATCTCGGTCTGCAACCCTCACTAAACAGCGGCTGGACTCTCTCAAATCTGTCGCAACACACTCTAGTCTCGTTGAGACGATGCAGCGGCTCGACTTCACTCAGTCAATGAGTGGAAGCTATTGGGATGTGATGAATGTGATGCTCTTAGAGACTTTTGACGCGGTACGAAGAATTGTTGCATTGGAAATACGTGGTTTGAGATCGGGCGGGAAAATGCATGGACTGAGCTTGCGTAATATCGTAACTCTTGACTTGCTGGTACGAATGACATATCCTGTTGGTCTCTTTATTCGCAAGTAAGGCCGTTAAGCATGACACAAATAGAATGATGAATATATTATCTAAGGCTGTGTGATTGTGAGACTTGGACAACAACAATAACAGTATAAGAAGGCAGACGTGCGAGAAACTGTACGAAACAAGGGACTTGGAGACTAGACACGAAGGAGCCGCAACTATGTGAGCTTTCCATGATACTGAAGTAGTGCAACTGTTCCAATCCTTGGAAAATGATGGGCAAGAAAAGCATCGCAGGAATATGTGCTAAGAGTCCAATTTATTTGGATACTTCCAAAGCCGATTGCAACGCGGAAACACTCATTTGGAGAAAATGGCAAGAAATCATGGTTTTCCTAGATATTTCGTGAATAATCCGAGAGAAATGTAGATGCAAAAGTGGTAAGAAAAAAATTAAAATAACCCTGATCACGTGTACACAATCGCGTCTTCCTGGCCGAGACGCGATGAATGATGTTGATCAAATATACAGACCGCTCCACCTTCGATATCCGCATACGATGGGCAACTCCCAACACGCTTCGCCAGAGATGAACATGCTTTGATTCGATGTGTCGATACGAGCTTGTTGGTGCCTTTATATTGCTGACCCAAGACCTGGCGGACAAATTTAAGAAGCGTAAAGACAATCACAGCTCTCCATCGTATGAGAACTCCTCGCCGTATTCTAAATGTGCTCTAATGCTAATGAAGCCCTTAGACAGGAGCCACCATGCTTCACGAAATCCTCCTCTCCCTCTCAGGCCACCCCTCTCCACTCCTCACCGCCGACCATTCATCCCCGAATTCCATCCTTTCACCCCCAGAGAAAGCACTCCTCTCTTCAATAGCCCACTTGAGCGACCTGCATTGTAGACTGCTGGCGCATACATCTACTATTGCAACAACACATCCATCCACTATCTGCCAAGCTGTAGCCACGGCGATAAGGTCTACCCATCTTGCTCAATTCCAACGGAAGGTGTTAGAGGTTGAAGACGGCATCCTAAGAAAAGATGCCGGGATTGTGGGGGCATATAACATTGTGCCATTGACGGGTATCGTTGGAGAATTTTCGGGATGGCCAAGGAGAATGGAATGGTTTTTGGAAGTGGTGGAATTCATGATGCGGAGTAATGGTGGACAAACGAAGAAGTGTGCTGGAGCTATGATCATCGACAAACTGTGTGATTCCATACGGACCGGCTATGTTGACATCGAAGAGGCGGCGTTGAGTTTGGTGAGAGTTGCTGAGACAGCATGGTTGAAGCAGATTTCTTCCTGGGTCCTATATGGACGACTGCCCAGTTTTGGCAAGGAGGATTTCTTCGTACAGCTGATACTGGGCGACGTGCAGGTGAGGTCGAGATCATCTCAATCACGGACCTTGCTTACAGATTGTAGGAGTATGAGAGCAAGCCAGAGCTATTACCAGCATTTGTGTCAACGCCAACTGCCAATTCGCTACTCTTCATTGGAAGGTCTTTGAACCACATTCGAGTCAAGGGCATATCCAGTGCATCCTCTCCAGAGTTAGACCTGCTATCCTCACATCTGCAGCAATTGTCAACATTGAAATTTCCTATCAACAGTGCCAATTTTTCCCGAGTCATAGCTTCGATACGTCTCTCGTTGTCGCGAACCACGCTCCAGAAGCTACTGCCTCTAAGCCGGGTTCTCGAAATCCTATTTCTGCTTCGAGAATTCTTCCTACTGGGACGTGGAGAATTTCCTCTTGCCCTGATCACGGAAGCGGACGAGAAAATAAGGTCCAGATGGCGAAGAGCGGACAATATTGGCTATGACAAGCGTGATAACATTGGGAACATTGTTGTAAAAGAAGGTGAAATCTCAGCTGTCTTGGCACGGGCTTGGGCTGCTATGGGTCTACTTCAAGGACAATATGTGGACGATCAAGATGAGGACGAATTACTTGAGCTTGCAAGAGATCTTGTACAGTTGACCATCCCCAAATCAACCTCCACACCTTCAAAAGCTACTGCGACTCCCCAGACTATGGTGTCTACGCCCTTTAGGAATCTACTTCTTTCGGTGCCAGTCTCTTTAACTCTCCAAATTCCGTCACCACTGGATCTGTTTTTGACACCACCAGACGTCCAGATATACTCTGGTATCAACGCTTACCTGTTGTCTATACATCGAGCGCATCTTCGGCTGACGGATCTATGGAAAATTACGGCTCTACGACGTGACCATCCATCACCTCCAGGCCCTCCCTATGGCAGCTCAACTGTCGGTAGAAATAAAGTACGTACTCTGCGTAGTAGAGCGAATGAGCGATCAGCAGCGATGCGAAGTGTCTGGGCTACAAACAGCGCGGCAGTGTTCTTCCTTGGCGAGACGGAAGCCTATCTTCAAGGTGAAGTCGTCCAAGGAACCTGGCTGGGCTTCAAGAACTGGATTACTGGAGATGTTGCTTCCCGCCCTACCTCCTCAAAGAGTCAACCTATCGAAGACGAGGATGACATATGGTTACAAGCAGGGAAAGAGCCCATAGCTCAAAGTCCAACATATACGCATGATCCCCAATCACTTGCAGACGCTCATAGAAGGTACTTGTCAGCATTGACCTCAAGTCTACTCTTAAACACGCCATCATTCACGGAACCTCTCTACCACCTGCTGCAGCAAGTCGATCATTTAGTAGCGTTGGTCTATCGAGTTCACTCGATTTGGCAGTCTCTTGACCTCGAAGCTGATGAAGGTGTCGTGGATGCCTTTTCTGACTTCCACAAAGAAGAGAACGATGTCAAAGAGCAGCTCGTGGTCATCGCCAATAGGGTGAAAGGTGCAATCGAAGAGCTTGTCAAATGTTTACGAGATATTGACCAAGAGAAAGAAGGCTGGGACAACGGCTTTTCAGAACTTGTTCTGGGTGAGGAAGGAGCTTATGTTCCAGCGAAGGTAGGGCGAGTCGATAGGCTCTTGATGAAACTAGATTTTGGGGGTTGGTTTGATGTAACCAAGGGAGACGGGGACTTGGTCAGAGACGGCGATAGTGATTATGATGAGTTATGATGTGAAAGTCACGATTGATGGAATATACCCTAGGCGTTCTTCGGATAACACGGCAGATAGCTGACGCGTTGAATTTTGAGAATGCATTTTGTGCAATGGTAACAATATAATTTCCAAATATGCATTCCATGCAAGACTGTCTCATGTGTGATCGTGGGTTCACGCACCACCGGATCTATACTTCCTTCTCGGTCCCGAATCTGGACTTGCTCAATATTCTACCCTCTTACAATTACTGTCTCTAAACCTTCCATAATCATTCCAAAGCAACCCCTAGATCTGCCCCGCATTAGACCCCTAGTCGATCAAAGCAACAATGCGATCCCGACAAGAGCAGGGATTCCCCACAAAAGGACCAGCGGCTGATAGATCCCCGCTCTGAGATACGCGATTCCGGTCCAGATCTGGGCTACGGTGTAGATGGCGAAGAAGATCTTGTCGTAGTAGCTTGTCAAGCCGTGGTTGGCCCATTTGATGCAGAATAGAGCTGATTTTCGTTAGCCCTGATGACATCCACGATACCCTGTTGCTCTGAGTCTTTTTATCTGGTTTTTTGACCCTTGACTTGTTCCTGGTACAAAGAGACATAGCAAACAATCAATCAAACGAGACAGGTTGGAGGTAAATCAAAACTCGAAACTTGACACGTGACCCAGCCCAGAAGAGACACCCAATTGAAAGTGAAGAGCAAGTACAGTACCTACCAATAAACGCGAACCCCTGATTACATTCCATCCATCCAATTCGGGCGGCTTTTACACCAGGTGAATTGGGGGCTTTCTTGAGGGCAGGAAACACGAGGTTGTATCCCATCTGCGTGTGCCCTAACACGGTTCCTGCGGCGGTGATCGCGGCGTAGAAGAAGAAGAATTTTGAGGCTGTTGATGGCATCTTGGCTGTTGAATAGGAAGAGGCAGAGGAGGGGAGTTGATACGGGAGGAGTGAGGATGCCGGAAAGAGCGGATCGTTGGAGGAGATTTTGGTGTGGGTAATGACAAGCTGGAGAAGCGCTTTGGAGTGCCTTGAAAAGGTAAGAGAATGAAAATCTATTCTTTGCTTTGCAATAGTTGATGAATAGCGGTGCAGAGCCAGTCACCTTTTGGGAGGTTGGTGAGTTTTAGCCGAGGCGATTTGTCTCTTGTTCCACTTCCTCAAGCGAGGAACTCTTTATTCACGATACTCTATTTCCCAACTCTCTTTTGCATAGCAATCGTGATGTGTTATACCGGCCCTACACAGTGTTGTGTCCGTTGGATATACTCACCTTCAAGATGAAGTGGGCAATGGCGAGTTGCACTTTGTCCGGGTTTGCATGTGACGCTCTCAATTGATTTTGTATCCTCAACGCATAACCACTTTGTTGGCTGACAAAGTGTTGCAACTTTAAGAACATCTCAGGCATTATGTGTATGAAAGCTTATGATCGAGTTAGATTGAGCAAGTTCCTGGGATTCTGGTCTATCGAGATGGATGATCTGGTGCATTCTTCTCTGCTATGGAAAGCTCTTTGGCAGAGATGTCAAATAGCTTTGCACTCCAGTATTCTGGCACTTGCTTCATACCTCGATTTGAGAGCGAGACTGAATGGAGCTGGAATTGTTGATCTGCGGCGCTCTTTCTTTGTTGCTGCTTCACATCGAGACTGACATCGATCGTAGAAAGCTCTGAATTGTATGTCCTTGCCGAATATCACAGGAAACGAGAATTCAGCATTCTCCAATGTCCAATACCCGCCCGGCTTCTCAAAGCGCAAGAGAAGCTTCGTAAACCAGAACAGTGATGCTAGTGCGCCATGCTGGCGTACTCAGAGCTTTGGCACACTAGTCCCAGTGTCGCAAGTTGGCAATTGTCGCAACTCCTCTATGACTACATAAGAACCTTCCCGCTCTTCAATTGCAAGAAATTTCTTTCCAAAACATCTCAAGATTCCTCTTCTACTCACAAAACCCCTCAAATCGACAACTTACCTTCGCCTCTCGACTCTCTTCATATCAAGATCATCGACCATCTTCATAACTCTTCAACACACTCTCTCATCCTGTCCAATCAAGACAAAATGGGAAACGACAAGAACTCTCGTGGCCGCCCACGCGTACCTAGAGCTGCCGCTATCTATGCGCAACAGCGTAAGGAGCGCAAGGCCGCCGAGAAGGCCGGTTCTGCTGCCCAATCTCCCACTTCCGCGCAAACTCAAAGCCCTGATGGGTCTGCGAACTCCGACAAGACCGTCACCTCCATCACAAAGCGCACACCACTCAAGAATGCCGATGTCACCATCAGTGCAACCGGCCTGACGCGCAACGAAGTCATTGAGTTCACCACGATGGAAGGTGGCCGTATCCAAAATAGATTGCAATACCCGTATCGACTTCCGTACCAATTCTCGGCTGCATTCGCCCAAATGACACTTGCCGAGAAGGAGGAGTTTCTGCATGAGGGAAAGTGGACCGAGATCATCGTTGATGTCTCTACGTCTGGCAACACGCAGCCAACTGAGACCGTCCTCGACCACCTGGCTCGCCTTGACCCAGATTACCTTCGCTTAGCCAAGAGATTATCAGTCCGAATCATCCTACCGAGCCTAGAGGTACTTTCCAGGAGCAGTCCCGAGGGACTCAAAGGTTTCCCCGGCTATCATCTGGCTTACAACGTCGTCCCGGAGATCAACAGATTCACATCCCTCGAGGCAATCCAAGTTAGCTTGGAAGTTCCTGATGCTGTCACCGTTTGCTTGGATGAGCACCAACTCGTCTTCGTTATCCCTTTCATGGAACTTCGTCTCACTAGTTGGACTTTCTGGCTTAGGAACCCCGGTACGTCCCGTCCGGTAAAAGTTTCCACGAATGACCACGAAGCCATGTGTCGCCTCGATCGAGAGCTCCTCGGTATTGCAACCCAAGGTGGAAACTGATGGTGTGTCTGAGACTTGAGGTTGAGAACAGAATACCATTGCTGGTTCCTCTCATCTAAGACGTATTGAGGTGTGCAGGAATTGGATCTCGGCCCTTTGCGAAGAAAGCGGAGACTATTTGATGTTTTTCCTTTGTCTTCTTTCTTTGCTCCATTCGGAGTTTTTGGTTTGGTCGTAGGAGGAGTTGAAGCGGAATTTGATTTTGCTTTTGCACCTCACCTGGCTTGGCTGACTTTCACTTCTACACAAACTTGTTTCTTTCCCCTGCGCGTTGCGTCGCCTTCATGATGACACCCTTTCCTTCTCGGCGTTTGTACTGGTCGAGAAGAAAATATAAAAGCGTTGCTGCCTTGATCCTGCAAAAAACATACATAGAGAATGAAACCATTCGTGCCAACTCCTTTAACAACACATTTTCTTCAAGTGAGTTGGCCCAATACAAGACTAACTGACCAGTAGAGGAAGTCATTGGATCTGATGTTTCACCTTGGAAGTTGCAACTCGTTCCTGTACTTGACCTACTAAGTCCCACCAATACACATCATGACAGGTTAAGTTTGATCCTCCTTATAGACTTGTGAGAAGAAAAACATCAGTTTGACCAACATCCACACACTCAACCGCCCACCCCAAGAATCTCCAAAAGCTGATCCTGCCTCATAGCCGCAATACCCTTCTCCCCCATTTCATTCAGCATCTGCACACTAACATCATCACCGAGCACCACGAATTGAATTTGATCTCTGATCGGTAAAAGCGGTACTACCGTACCTCCATGAGTACGAATGAGGCTATTGATGGCAGCTCTATTTAGGGGTCGCTGTGTACCTGCTGTTGCGAAGACGCGTCCCGCGAGGCGTTGGATTTGTCGCGCAGGGACTCGAGCTGGTGGCGGAGGTGGGTAGGCCTCTGGGGTGTACAACGTACGGACTCTGGCTGGTTCATTGTTTGTTTGAGTCGGTTCGTGGTCTTGTTGACGTTGACGATGAGCTGAAAAGGGAGCTAGAGGTGGTCGTGGGTCGATGCCAATAATACTCTCAGGCTCTGGCTCCTCTTCTTCTTCGCTCTCTTCGTCAGATTCCAATTGAAGACCCAAACCTTCACTATCTGGCTCCTCATCGTCACCGTCGTCGAAATCCTCATCGTCTGAAGCCTCTCCTTCAGAATACCGCTCAATATCCATCTTCTGAACAGAAATGAGAGACTTCTCAATATCCGCATACCCCCCATCATGCACCCACACCATAGCCCCAAACAGTGGGTCATACTCAACATTCATTTTTCTCATTGGCGTACATTCTCTCTCTAGAGCTCTGACTTCGGCTCTTGCGCGCTTCGTGGCTTCAACGAGGGTTGTGTAACAGCCATAGATTTCGGTGATTTTACCTTCCTCGGCATGTGAAGCGTAGTCGCTGCGGTGGACGAGGTAGATTTTTCCGGCTGGGAATGTTACTGGCATTGTATGAAGCAGAAGTGAAGGAGTACTACTATACTTAGGTGAAGTATGTATATGGTGATGCGAATAATCTAATTAATAGATCGCCGCATGGATCCAACGCGACGCGACGCGATCACTTGGTCTAACCAAAATGGGATATTGAACACTTGCTGCATATATCTTTAAGAAGCAAGAGATTGTTCTACTAAATTGACAAGTAGCAATTTATGTTGTGCTGAGTGCAAATTGTCCTTTCCTCCACTGCTTTTCGTCAAATATCAGTACTCAAACATTCAAGTTTTAACCTTACGTCGCTTAAGCTTTGATGTCCTTTCTCAGTTCTATAACATCTTCCGCCATTCCGCTGGAAGCTTCATGGAATGGTTTCTACAGAGAAGTAAGAATAAGAATTAAAACACCAAAGCTCCTCTTTCCATATCCTATGCAGTCATCAGACCGCAGTTTCGGTCACATGACTCCTAACTTCTTTCGGCAAGAGAGCGGTTTCCCATTCTTACTTTAGTCCAAACTTCAATCACCAACGCCAGACTTCTTGCAATGCTCTGGCTCCAATGCTTAATTCACACAAATCGAGCCATTTACTTAATCTGCCCCAAAGTTTCTTCAGATATAGAGACTTAAAAAACAAAAAACTCCACACACGGGTTATTGTACGTTTTAAATTCTAAGTGTTCCTCCAAGCACTTGCTTCAAAGGAAGAAATTGTTCAAGTACTGTACAGACAAGAAGAAAGCAAGTCAAGTCCCGGATCGTGTTGCACATTATAGTGGTCCATTGTGAGAGGCAGGAGGTCCGACATTGGCTTCATTGTTCCATTCTCGAAAGCTCGTCGACCTCGAGCGGCCCCTGAAACTCCCACCATCCCTCGGAAATTTCCCCCTCTATCATTGTCGGTCCCTTCCAGCCTCAATAAACTCAAACACCTCCTCCGGACAACAAACAGTGGTATGGCAGGGCCCATTCGGAGCTCGTTGTCCCAAGTCCACCGGTACTCTCTCATATCCCCCCATGATGCCCTTGATGATGATGACGCTCGAGGGCGCCGGAATTTCCATAAGCCGAAGCTTGTGGATGGGATGGACCTCGCCCCCACAACTGGTGATGAGCTCGGTGATTGCGGCTTGGTTGTACAAGAAGCCGACGAAAGCGTAGTGGAGGCCTTTCAAACATCCAGGTCGTCCTTGGGGTAGAAAGGGGGGAAAAGGGGCTGGGTTGGTGTGCGGCTCGGTTTTGACGTTGCGGCTGGAGGCTGTAGTCGAAGTGAAGACGCTGCGGCCATGATCATCATCAACAGGTTCCGACTTAACCCGAACATTGTCGTCCTCCTCCTTTGGTTCTTTCAAGCCCTCAACCTTTATGACGTAAACCACAACCGAATAATATCCTCGAGCTTCATTTAGACCAACAAAGGCACAGTATGGCACTCCGTAAGAGACGTTCCTTGGTGGCTCGGTGGATGTCTTATCGGTACCAGCATAGAGTCGTTGAGCTTCTGCTTCTGCTCGCCGATTGGCGTCTTCCAGGTTGTAGTAGCCTCCTACTACTTCTTCATTGCCAGTTAAGTCGATGGCACGCTTGTAATAGCGCCGCTTGACGAGATAGTGATCCATCTGTTCTGATGGCATCTTGAGGCTTGAAGGGATGTGCGGAGTTGTTTTTAGCAGGCGGGATCACAGTTGGAGAGGAACAGATCGATCTGGTTGTCTACGGGGTGAATACTCAGTCTTCCGGGTGATCCTCGGAGCCTCGAATTGAAAACACCGACCATAAGATCGCTCATGACATCTAAGTACTACTCCTCTTGACAAATTTCCTCATGGCATCACTGCTTATGACAGCCCTACATGTCTCCCGGCGATCAGAGCCAAAACAAGACATCCTCTATAAACAATAGTGCACTACCCAGATATAATTTGGTAGAATGGAAAAGCTGTAAAGACTTCAACAAAGGGCAGTTGAACCATTTCATGAGCCTCTGTTACAAAGTAGACATAGCTCTAATCTGCGCCTTGGAAAAGTGCTTGTTCAGGGCTTCTTCTGAACCTCAAGCTGGCGGTTGTTTGTGTTTAGTCCTAACAAAATAGAAAGGACACTCGAGAGTCTTTTCTAGTCAATTGACCCACCAATTTCGTATAGCATAGAGTTCTAAATGTTTGCAGCAACCCAGAAGCTCTCTTTCTGTGCACTCAGCGAAGTATTGCCAGAGCATCAAACGAAATGGGGAAACACAGCTTTGCAGCCCATTTAAGAACAAGTCGCTAGACGCTCAAAGAGCTTGGACTTCCTGAAGCAACTCTGCTCCATTCTACGCAATACAGGTTGCACTGGCATAGACCATCAAAATTTACACAAAGGAAGGACCACGAACAAACACTACTTCACAACGCCTAAAAACATCACAGGATAATGCCCGAAACTAAAAATCACGAAGGTCACACAACAGAAACCCCACAAAGCTTGAAACGTCTGAATCAGAGAATCAAACCAGCGTCCAGTAGCAAAACACAATAAAAAGCGATCATATTGAACAAACGGCAGCGGTCTCACCCGGCCGGCATCCGTTATCTCGACAACGATTCCCTGTCTTAGACTTGCACAAGCTTGCAGAACAAAAGTCAATCGGACCTCCGGACGCCATATACCGTATTTCATAAATTGACTTAAGTTTTTAGAGTTTGTGGGAGTTGTGGAAACTTTGAGGATGAAACTTGGTCAGCGAGAAGGATGGTGATCCGAGTCACAGATAATAAGTTGTTGAGAGTACCCCAGAAATGACAAATTTGGACGACATTCCAATGGGAAGGCTCATCGCTGATAGTTGTCGAGATTGCCCATTTTGGTGCATCGGACTCAATTTGCGGTGAGAGTCCAACCAACCACCCCGATCCGGAGAATTTGTTTGTAGGGCTGAATCAGAGGCTTCGGTCCAGCTGATATCGCATCCGCAATTAGACAATTAATCCCCAGATAGGTAGAACATGCCCAAGCGCAAGATGCGGAGTTTTTGATAGAAGAGAGTTCAGTCCATCTCCAGATACACCTGCAATTCTGCTGTGTTTGACTCGTCCGCGAGAGAGATCCGTAAGAGAGAGAACTAGGCAAGAGAAATTGGGATGCATTGCATGATGCCCCGAGCCCCTGCGTCTAGATTCTCAGATCGACAAGCCTATCAGCAGATGGCGGCGACGGTACCTTGCTACTTGCAACCCAGGTCCTGGTCGATATCTGCCGTCATCCGCTGCTGAATTTAGATGTGATTCGATGAGCGAGGAAGGGCAGCGAAAATGAAGGTGTGAGGTCGAGCATTCTGGACTGGATATCAGACCTATGTGTTTCGGGATATTCTTTCGTTCGAAACAAGAGCTGCGCCAATTAGAAGTCGTTGACATGCGTCCTCTGAAACATATCTGCACTGTACCCTCCTGGCGGGAATGCGCATCACTGCTGAAGAAATAGAAATGGAAGGTCGACTCCGCTGCTTGGATCTGATACTTTCTGGAAGATCCGTTCTGGAACTCTCTTTTTCGGCATTACCGCATGAAGGTAATAACTTCAGTTCCTGTGCGCATCGGTGATTTTGTGACGAAATCAATGCCCTTAGGAGCGCTTGGCCGGCCACCACCAAAATTAGACGGATCGGCACCGAGGGCAAGGTCAAGAAACCTGCTTCACCCCCCTTTGAGGAGTCTCTCGCCAAATAAGTCCTCACTCTTCACGACGCTCATCATCACATCAATGATCACTCGCCGTGAAGTTTTTGCTCGTTTGCATTTCGTAGTCGTGCCGGAGTTTACGCTCCACGAGTAATGAGCCATGGAACGCCTCTCCGGATTCGCCACAAGATTGGCGTATCAAGGTCTCTTGTGAGCAAGCCACAATGCGGTCTCAGAGGTCTCATAGGTTTGTTTTTCTGGCCTCAACGGCAAGCCGACATCATGCTCGGCCTTTGCTTCTATGCTCAATCTTGAAGTCGCCATCGACTCGTCGACGGGTCATTTGCATGGCACCAAAGACGCCCGAGCCTGGTTTGGTCAAGCCACATGGGCGAGTTGACAGCACTTGTGGCTGAGCCGGCGCTGCACTGGCCGTTTTTGGTCCTGAGATCGTCGACGCCGTTCGCTCATCATGCTGATGAGGGAGGAAATGACCGCGGTAGAGGAGAGAGACCAGAGAGGGGTTGGCTATGGGATGCCTAACATCAAATTATGCTCTGGGATAATGCGATGCTGCTCATTTGTGATGGAACACTCAGAGAACGCAGAGAGAAGATGGGCTCCGTCCACGCGGTCGGCCGGGGTAGATATATTAATTGCCACGACTGTCGTGAATTGGCACGCGGTGTGCTCTGTACTGACCTCCACCTGTGCCTGTGCCTGTACCTTCGTACCTGTAGCACACCGGACGAAAAGGACGAGGGGTCCAGAGCCACCATGCTGCACCGCTGTTTGACGCGCTCATGCTTGGGTAACGATCATTTTCAATAAACCACTGGTACGTGTCAGACTACAATTCGGAAAGCCATGAGGGTTCCATGATATGTGCAGCTCTGTACGCATATCACAGGCTGTGCTCTTGCTCCGAATTCGTACACATGCAGGGCGAGTCTGTCTCGTCTTGCATGAGACTTCTGGATGGGAGAGGCGAGGAGAGAAACGAGACTTTGGGGGTCTCGATATCGCGTGAAAGTAAGGGCGACGGCGACGCGAGGGCGAGGCAAAGGCTCAGCAAGAGGGCGGAGAGGAGGAACGAAGGAAGAGGATGGGAGACGAATAGTGTTAGTAAAATACGAGAATTGTCAGCAATCATGATGATAATCGCAGCAAAGCACTTGCTATGCGAGGTCGGCTCGGTCAGGTTCGATATCTTTAAGAGTCCTTTCCTCCTAAAAGTCTGCTGCGATGCGTGTTGGTGCATTCAAGATTGAGCCTAATAGCCACACCAAAAATGGAAGTGTGGGAAACTGGGAGTGAAAAGAAGGAGGGAAGGTCTGCCAGTGCCATCCATCCATCCCGGCTGGCCTGTTCTGCATCGACCATCGAGGCATAGCATAGCAAGCATATTCGGTCATTCCTCGTTCCTCTTCTCTCCTCTCCACCACCCTTCATTCTCCTTCAACAACATTCGTCGTACCACTTACATACATCATCCTCCATCCCGACACTCCATTACCCCTTGCAGCATCAGCACTCTCCGCTCTCCAGTGCATTTACATTCATTACATATCGGCCCCTCCCTACGCCAATACTCCTCTGATCGCCACCGCACTGACCATGCAAGCACAAACGCTGCTGCACATTTCTTTACGAGCGCATTCTCACAACCTCCCTTACTGATATCTCGCGACAAGGACAGCCTCGCCATCGTGCGTATTGACTTTGGATCCCATCCCTGAGCCATACTCCACGGGTTGATGGCCGTTCCCGACGCGCAGTCGAGATAGCAACCACTGGGTACGCCTCCGGGGTCGTTGGGTTGCGAGCAAAAGCCTACCGCAGCGCGGTACAGTCGTCCTACCCTCGAGGACACGAATGGAACCATGGGCATGTGGCCCTTCCGGAGGAGAAGTCAACGCAGAAAATCAGCAGGTGGGGCTGGCATTTCACCACCGGAAATGCATAATTCTGGGACACAACAGGACCCTGCGAGGCAGGATGGGTCCGAATTAGCTTCTGCGGGACCCGAAAGGAGGAAGAGTCGACGGGATACAAAAAGAAAATCCTCTAGAGAATCCAAGAAGTTGCAAAGGGATCCGGAGAAGCGGGATAAACGTCGCACGTACAGCTTCTCACCTGGCCGAAACGACAGTATCCGCGTTGCTCGAGCCTCTGACAGACCACCCGTTCCCGCCATACCGTTGAACTTAAAGGGCAAAGGTCGAGCCTTCACTGAGAAAGAAGGTTCGGCTCCTGCGGGAACGAAACCTCTTAGAGCAAGTACCCAGCCTCCAGAAAATACCCAGGACTGGCAGAGGATGCCCACCTTACACAAGAGGAGTGCCCAAGAACTGGCGCGGCGGAAATCGAGCAAGAAACGGAAAGGCGATCACGATAGAGAAGCAGAGATCAAGGCCATGGTAGCATTTATGCCCACACGACCCGCTGCAGATGTCAATTCATCTGGCAGACCAATGAAGAGGGAAACGATAAGAGGAGGGAAGGTTGTTCGCAATTCGGAAAATCAGTCCTCAGATGTCTCGCTACCCCTCGCCGAGTCGTTGCGATCTTCAACGTCCGGTCACTCAGAGCCTCAGACATCTTTCGTCGTGTCTGGCTTCGATATGTTGGCACCTCGACCCACAATCAGATACTCTGAAAATCCACGATATGTGCCAGGCGCAAGCGGGTTTGGGTCGACTCGGTCAGACTCAAAGAGAAAGCTATCAGACCGCGTACCAATGCCCGAAGAGACGTTGAAGGCAAATAAGCGGGTAGATGACCTCGCAGATGATCTCAGTGCAGGAGAGTTGCGAGAACTCATGGAGCGCGATGAAAAGCGGAGGGAGAAGAAGAAGATAGCAGAAAGAATAAAGATAGAAAGGAGGCTTGCCAGGCGGCAAGAGAAACAGAGAGCTGAGGAGACTGAAGCAGCGCGGCAGGGCACTCCACCACCTAGCAATATGGAACGAGGAGTCCTAGGGAGAGAAGTCGTTGGTCTAGGCATTGGGACGTCCGCAGTTGTCACTTCGAGTAAGAGAAAAAGCTCTGCTGGTTCGGACGATGGGAGAGGGATACGCCCAGCAGCAGAATCTTTCAGACAAGATTCTACAATCAGTGCACACGACCCATTTGCGGACCTTCATCGCAGTGCTAGCCAGGCTACAGAGAATTTCACTCCTGGCTCCGAGCGATCGGATCCTGTTATTGAGACAGCTACTGTCGGTACCGTAGGAAAGGCCAGCGTTTCTCCCACTATACCAGCAGCCAAAGGTCATACTCGAGGACAATCTAGCATATCTCAGATGATGGACCTCACCCAGTCGGAAGCTCCACAACCATCAACAATACCAGAGCCGACAATGCAACCTGCGGCTGCACGAGCCAAGACACCTTCATCTTGGACATCATTTTTCAAGTTACGTGGGGCGAAGAAACGACACACTCCGCCTTCATCGTTTTCGAACACATCACGAGATTCTATGCACGTTGGGCAAGCATCACAAATTGGTTACACCCCAATGCGATCAACATCCAATATTCCCAAGCGTACTATGTCTAAATTCCGGGAAGATCTTCCAGAGCTTCCTATATCACCACCAGATTCGAGAGTTCAATCTCCTGAAGCTGACATCGTGCCGCCTATCCGAACTGATTATGCAGAAAAGAGAACGGGCGTTCGTGCTTCCTCCGATGATCCACGTGTGCGATACGACACTCCCACCAGCGGTTATAGATCTCTTGATGCCACGCGATTACCAGATGAGACGCCTACTAGTGGGCATCGATCAACGGATGCACCTTCACCGGAACACGCTACTATCATATCGCAGTCGCTAGCTTCCATCGACTCTGAGGGATCTTGGCTTTCTGGTAGAAGAGCTGGATCAAAGCGAGGCTCGTCGCAGTTAACACAGCATGCGCCTATTCGTGATAGCTCGAGTTCTCTGAACAAAAAGTACAAAGAATTCTCCGAGTCGGCCGAGGAGCTTGGCATTGCGGAAGACGAATACTTCAGTAGATTGAGCCCCGGCCCGGAAGAGTCATACAAGATTCAAAGAAGATCAGGCAATCCAATGCCTTCTAGCGATGATGAAGAAGGCGGTAGCATTTCAAGTCCGATCACATCGGAAAAGTGGGGCGCTGTTGGTAGACAACCTACTGTTGTTCACCGAGAGCCCCGTGCCAAGTCAAGAGAAGGCCTTCTCAATGATTTCGACGATGATGATGACTCTGGGAGCGAAATGGCTTCATCTCCGGTGGATGCCGAATCAAATCGCGAATCTGGACTTCAACGTGCTACCAGCGTCGACTTGGGCAAGAATCATGTGAGACACATAAGTGCAGGCAGTGCAAGACTGCTTGACTTGAAGCCAAGGTCTTCAGTGGACTCACGGAGGGATTCTGCGAGGTTGAGCACTGGCTAAAAGGTTTTGCTGACTGGGACATTGGAGATGAAATTTTGACGACAGACATGATATGACGAATACGACAAGCACGACACTCCTTTGTTCTATTTCTTTACAATATCTACGTCGACAATCGACACACCACACTCCTTTACAAATTTCCTTGGACCGACAACTCATTCACTCCGACTATTTCCTTTCAACAATTCGATTCGACACTCGTTATTACTTATTTCCTTACCGCTTTGTCTTCGCCAATCAGGTCTGCGTCAAAATCCTCACCTCCGCCTCTACCCAGTCAAACCAAATCTTCACCAGGGCACATTTCGCACTCCCGAGGAACGGACCTTTTATGGATTGACGATGTAACTTATTTTTCTCTTTTTCTCCAACACGATTGATATCCCATCGGCACATAGACTATTTCTTGCTCGCTTTTGCTTGTTTTTTCGGAGCGGGAAATTATTTCTGGGCGGTAAAGGATCTGTATTTGACGGACGGAGCAAACAGGGGACGGCCGGACGGGATATTTATCTCCAAAACAAAAGATTCATTCTATACCCTCCTTTGCAAGAAAGAAAGAAAGAACGAACGAAAGAAAGACGGAACAACCTTGGATGTAGGCTGTAATGTTTGGTTCGAAACAATGAAGCCATATATTATATTAGCGAGAAGCGCAAGCAAGCGAGCGTGTGAGCAGGACTCTGATTTTTTTCTTCTCGGAGGATGTTGTTGTATGAAGATACATAGTTGAATGAAATGAAAAGATGTAAAATCTGATTTGACAGTAGAGAGAGAAGTTTTGATTCGAGCGATAAGCCTGCATGCACGTATGCATATGCGGGTACCTATCTTTTTTTGGAGTTTGAGATTACTGTACCCCTCTCTCAGCTGGGCACTAAGAGCTTACTTGCAGCTTACTTGCTTACCTAGTGAAGGGAACGCAAATGACGGGAGCGCGTTATGTCATGGTGTGGCGTTGCGTTAGTTTTTAAGGGATTTGTGTGGGGAGCACGTGTATTGGCTATTGCCTAGGTGGTGTCCAACACCTCCCTCTTCTTTGGCTTCTTCTGTGATGTAAATGTGTTTTGTTAACTTGTAGATACCTTTACCTGAAGGGGTGGAATTTTTCTCTGAAAGGGGATAGGGGTAGGGAAGTTGAAGAGGCTCTTTTTCACGTGATTTGGGATCTCGAGATTTTTTATTAGTCTTTGAGCAATTTTACGTTTTTTTTCTTGTAGTTATCGGGATAAGTGAAGGAAGATGTATGTGAGATTTGTTCATTGTATTGGTGTGTTGTATGGTACTACCTGACTGTGCATACAAGACTGAGGCTCTGCAACTAGCTGTATAGGTAGTGGCATGTTATTCGCGGAGCCTCAAGATGGTATAGCTGGTGGTAGAGTGCAGTGAGGTATAGCTAGCTGGAGAGGCTTAGTATGTGTAGCATGACTTAGGACAGCTGGCAGCATAGCTTAGGTATAATACAGTGAGCTGGAGAGCCTCAATACTGTTAGTGTCGCCAGGGCTTAGTGCTATACTTGGCTGCAAAGGCTCGCGGAGGTACGTCTAGCTACAACAGATCAAGCAGAGCCTCAATTTATAAATACAACTACTTTTAAGGTTATGGAATCAAGGCCCGGATGTGTAGAGTTGACCAGGAAAGGAAGTTCCTAAATCACGTGCAGCCATATCTCAAACACAGATCTCGGGTTGTCCGAAATGAGAGCTAGACGGGATCGTTCCGCGGAGTCTTCTGCATGAGTGCGTTGTGCTGTGTTCACTGGAACCCCGCTTTTAGTGTGAGGGTAAAAGAAGAGACATCAGATGATGAGTAACCGCAAAATAATGAATTGAAACAAATTGAAACGAAACATTGTCCTATCGTGTCAAAGCGAAAGAAAGCAATCGAAAAGCAAGCAAGTAATGGATGGTGTAAGCCTGCAGAAGAGCCCAGAAGTGAAGTGGTGAGTAATCAACAGACATTTCAGGACAATTTTCCTGATCCCAAACTTCACCGAATGATTTGTAGAACGAAAATGTTTAGTCAGAGAACATTGCATTAAATGAAACAGCACAGGAATAACAAGAACTATCTGTCATACCATCAAGATCTTTGTTATCAGCCCAAACACAAAAATCTAAAGAAAGAACACTCACTGCCTAGGTGATTCCACATTCCCAAGGATCTCAAATCCCACGCGGCTATCCCCGAAACAGCCTAGCGAAAGGCGTCATCGTTGATTTCTAAACCCGCGACGCCCAGAACCACCACCACCTTTCGATCTACATATAAGAAAGGATAACATTGATGTCACTTCCCGCTCGCGTCTTCATCAGAACCGCGACTTCAATTACCAGACCATCAAGAATCAATCTGAATAACAGTTTCGTGAAGAGTTTTCATACCACAAAAATCAATATGGGTGTTCACAATCTTGCTTCGTGAGTACTCCCTTGTTTGGAAGAGAGGGGTTGAAGACGAGGTGATATGAAAGGGATTGGAAGAAGATATACTAACGCGTATGATTGATTGTAGGAAGGCCGAGTTCGACAGTGCGTTGAAGGACAACAAGGTCGTTATCCTCGATGCTTTCGCCACCTGGTGCGGTCCCTGCAAGGTCATCGCTCCTACCGTCGTCAAGTGAGTATCCCCACATTCCACCGCTTGCAGACAACAAAGCTCTCTTTCCCAAAACCAATTGCTAACAACACCCAAAAAAACAGATTCTCAGAAGAATTCCCCAACGCCCACTTCGTCAAGATCGACGTTGATGAAGTCCCCGACGTAGCCCAAGAACTCGGTATCCGAGCCATGCCCACATTCATCGTGTTCAAGGACGGCGAGAAGGTCAAGGAGGTTGTTGGTGCGAACCCCAAGGCGCTGCAGGCTGCTATTGCGGAGTTCCACGAGACGAAGGAGTCGAAGGAGTAGATTTTTCATCTGCTGAGGAATTGGGGAGATTGTGCATATGATACGATAGAGGGTGGGGATGGGTTCTTCTTTGCATGCGTGGTTGGGTTGATGGCATAGAAATTGCTAGGAATGCATGCATGATTTCATGACGTATTTTGTGTTGCTTGCTGTGCCTCTGTGATGCTGCGAGATTTAATGCTTTGTCATAATCTAGTAGCTTAGTTGCTTCAGGCTTTGTTTTGAGACGCATTGGTGTTGTTTCTTGCTTGCCCTTGCATCGCATATCTTGCTTTGAGCAAAACTTCTCCTTTGTCAAAATCCTTCATTGATGCTCATGCCATCTATTGAAACAGAGAAACATTCAAGTCAAAGTTCAACGATTCCTTTTGCTTCTCTCGTTACTTCATATAGTCACTCTGTTGATAAATTACGAGTCAAGGCCAAATATGGCAAAGCTCCCAGACTCTCACATATTATTGCACGATAATAAAACTGTTGTCTTCTTGCGAAAAATCAAATATATTTTTGCGATTTATATCTACTCTGTTTTTGTTCTTCACCTCTTCACATACATACTCTTACAGAATCTTACCTTTCTTCTTACCTTTTACTTACGGTCGTCAGGCGGCGTACGAGGACGCGGCTCAGGAGACGGGGCTCCCTCCCGGTCTCCTCGTTCGTAGTAGACGAAGCGGCAGCGGTCAGCGGGTGGGCTGCGGGGAACGGGTTCCGGGGATGGGGCTCCCTCGCGGTCGCCGCGGCCGTGGTTGACTAGTGAGTTGTTTGTTGAGGATACCATTTTGTGTATGGGGTTGGTTGTTTGGGTTGGTTGGGTTGGGTTGAGTGTTTCTGTGTTGTTTGTAGTGTGTTTGTGTTTGTGTTGTGATGAAGGAAGGGAAGAGGTCATTGATGAATTTCATATACCTTTTTGAACGCGCTGTTTCGTTGTTCTGAACAGTGTGATTCACGTCAGAGAATAAAAGAGGGGGGGATAGTGCAGCAATGGGAACAATGGGCACGATAGCGCTTTTTTTGATCTTTATACTTTAATTTGTTGTTTGTCAAATTGAGTCCTTATTCCTGGCTTTGTCCATTGGTGTTACAGTGCTTGTTTGGGAAATGAATGCCGCAAGAGACTTGATTTCTTTATCCCAATCAGGACACGACTTCTATGCCAAAAGTCTTGCAGAACCAAGAGGACTGTAAAAAAAGATTCATTAAATATCGCATAGCTTTCAAAGCTACCCACCCAAAAGCCCAAAGCTAAAGTTATCAGCTTTACTCCCTCGAGTATATCCCACTGACGTAGGCCTCCGAGCCTCAACCCTCGCCTTCATCCCACTGGCGCCTCTATCACGCTAATTCCACTTAGACCAAACCCGCACCACTCAATATAAAGTTAAATAAGCAAAACCTTGTCATATTCGAAAAACCCTCCCACTTCGTTTCAAGGCACCGACACTTGCACTTACATGATAACGATCTCGCAACAAAGGCAGCTCTACACGGTCACTGTAACAATCCTACTCTCGGCTAGATACTTAATAAATGTCTAACTCTGGTGCTCCTTTCTCCCATTGGTATCTATCCAAACAAGCGCTAACATCCTGTGCAGGTTGTCCTCCCATCGATCTCTCGACGTTACCAGCTGATGATACCCGCGTCCTTAGCAAGCAGCGCGGAGCTATTGTCCTAGAGCTCAACAGTTCTTTGGTCTACAAATCGGGAAGTAGGATACGGCGTAATGAGGAAGTAGCCATGAGACTTGTGAAGCAATACACGGACGTCCCGGTTCCCGATATTATGTTCTCGGCGTACCATTCCGAGGGGGGCAATATAGGCATGACAATTATTCCAAAATCGCCTCTTCAGTTTTCATAGAACGGGCTCGATAAGCCTACAAAGGAACGTGTATACCGTGAAACTTAAGATATTATTACGAAGATGCGACAAATTTCACAGCTCGTTGAACTAAGCCACCTCTTCTAATGCGGAGCTAATGACTCACCTATTCGCGATCCGTTTATTCAAGGTTTTAAAAACCCTCCAATGCCCCTTCTTAATAACACTATCGTACGAAATTACATTAAACAACGTTATCTCCACTTCGGTGGCCGACGGTACGCCAAAAAGCTATTTAGCATGCTTCCTCACTCCGATATTTTTGTTTTCATATATGGTGACATAGCTCCACGAAATATTATAGTGGGCGAAACTAATTACATTACTGGCATTTTCGACTAGAAATTGGCTAGATGGTACCCAGATTACTGGGAGTATAGTAATATTATACGGCCTTAGTATCGCTATAAAGATTGGCAAGCATGGATAGACTATACTACTCCGGAAAAGTGGGATATTACGGGTATACAAGCTTCAAGGCGGGTTTTGTTCTAGGGCTAAAGCGTTTCCAAGAGTTATTGCCACTGAAGGAGAAACTCTGGTTGCGCAAATCCTAAAATAAACACAGCAATATCCGCCACAGTTTCTTGATGCAGGCCTTTATCGAAACTTTCAATAGTCTTCGCCTTCCTCCCACAATAATACTTTTGCACTCGACCTTCATCTCCTGCTAGCTCATAGCTGGCTTTGCCGACACTCTTCGAGGGGACGGGTTGGCTAGGGCTCAGAGAGCTCTGGTAGTATTGGAGGGAGATCCACAGCGACTCGACCTTGACGATTCTCCACCACCATATTCATCAGATCGATCGGGTACGACAACTCGATCTCAAAGTTCAAATCCTCCTAGCGAGGAGCAGCGATGCCATTAGGAGCGACGCGTCCAGCCAGGACGGGAACGCGTCGCTCCGCAAACTCATAATCAATTCGAGCATCAGGTCAGGGAAGAGAGGAGCGGCTTTGGAACAACACCGGCTATTATTCCGCTGCCTTCATATTTGAGGGGGGGGGGAATTCAAATCCCAAGTCTTTGTAGTGTAGCAGCACCCGTATTTTTCTGTGATTAGACTTCTATATTGGTAGAATACTTCACCCCGTCAATATCGATAATCCCCGTGCAAGAATATATCTGAGACTTAAAAGCTCAAAGCTAAAGTTATCAACTCTACCTGCTCGAATATATCCCACTGACGTAGCCTCAAGCCTCGCCTTCATCATCCCACTAGCGCCTCTCTTTTCGCTAATCCCACTTAGACCGAAACTCGCACAACTCTTTATAAAGTTAAATAAGCAAAACCATGTCATATTCGTCCGGAAAACCCAAGGTTATCTAATATACTGTTAGCTCAGTTGACAGATTTCCAGATGGACTTATAGCCTCTTCAAAATCAGCACTGGCTGCTGGTCTCTACGAGCCATCGACTTCGGTCGATGGCTCCGAGTTTTGTCTTTTTGACTTGACAAAAGTCTTCGCTCGCTAAGCTATTTTTGAGGTCGGGTCCAGTAACGAGTGAATGAATGATATGTTTTTTTACTTTGTTTATTCGTCAAGCGAGAGCTTTCGCCAATCTGTTTCATCGAAGAGTCGAGACCGCGGTCCAATCAAGATCCAAATTCACGGGTTCAGAATCCAAGTCAAGTGAAGTGCAACTGAAAGTATATAGATTGATCCATGGTGTGCTTCTTTGCTATGTAGGTAGTTGCATTTCCTCTAAGCAAGGCTACAAAAAGAGCGAGAGCAAATACATCGCGTCTGTATTTTGATCTCTATGTATGTGTATGCTTTGTCATGTCAACGACTTCCTCGTACCGTGTCAGGAGCTTCAAAGCTTAGCCCTAGGCTTCAACGCCTCATCGACCAACTCTTTCGCTCCCTCCGCACACCCATAACTCCCCTGATATCCCCAACCACCATGTCCATAATTATGCACAACCATCACATCCCCAATCTTCTCGCTCTCTATCCTAACTCCCTTCTTCCTCAACGGCCTCAACCCGACTCCATGTCTGATAACACTCAACCCCTCAATACCCTTCCCATTCGTCAACGCAGGACACAACTCCACCGCCCTCTTCATGATCCTCACCGCCGTATTGGGACACGGCTGACTCTCCCAATTCCCCTTCTGATACGTACCACCCAGGACCGTGCCACCTCCAGCTGCGCGCTGCATGATGTAACTCACTTCATCTTCGCCATCATCGGTTCCTGAGACTGTGAACATTGCACCGGGAGTGTTCCTCACAACCACAATCTGTCCTCTGGCAGGAATGACACTTTTATCCATCACTCCTCCAAGCCTGCTCGCCAATAGCCCAGTACAATTAACCACAACGTCAGCTTTGGATCCAGAATGGTGCATGGAAGCAGCATCAGAGATGTGTGTCAACACTTCACGTTTGAGGACTACACCGTTGACGAGACATTGGGAGACGAGGTAGGGCAGGTAGATGGCGGTGTTGATGCAGATAGAAGTGAAACATGAGCCGGAGTCGGCGAACGAGGGGAGGTCGGAGGAGGGGATGAGGCGGAAGTTGGGGACGGTGGATCTGAACCAGGGGGTTGCGGAGAGGAGCTCGTTGAACCATTGGCCGGTGGTGGCGTCGAAGTCCTTTTTGCGGTTGTAGATTATGGCGTCTGGAGAGTGTCAGTGATGAACAGGGTTGGAAGATAAGACGAGGTTGAGGGGACGGAGCAAGATTGATGATGTGAGGAAAGACCGTGGAACTATCCAATTAAGAAAGAAGACGAAAGAAGGTGCGGCGAAGATTGATCATTGAAATGATGGGAATTGGAGAAAGCGGCGTCAAAATTGCATCAAGAACACACGTACCTTGAAAATGGATCCCAGCCTCAGGGACATTCTTCGCCAAACGGTCCAACTCCGGCCAAGTGTTCTTCTCCCACCTACTACCAGCTTTGTTTGAAACTCTGCAATCAATATCAGTTCGCCATTTTCACGTGCCGAAAGAGTCACGAACGGTAAGTAGTTTGCCCCAGCCCATGGAGAAGTATATTCAATATCATAATCTCCCGGCATATGCTTCGCCACAATCGTCACTTTATACTCCGGATCCTTCGACAACAGCAACGCAGTCGTGAGTCCAGAGACTCCAGCACTGTGAAGATATCAGCTCATTCTTCGTTCTATGGTGGGGTGGAAGACATACCCCACTACGACGATATTCGGCATTTTGATTTTGATTGAGGAGCGATCGATCTTGATTGAAGCGAGAGAAATGGAAGGAGCAATTTACTCTCACTCGCCAGGGATATTCGTCTATTTGAGAAAGTTCTCTTGACGATTCAAACTTTCTTTCGTACAACGTTGTCTCATCAAGCGGAGCTATCCGCTATCCCCACTCTTGGAAACTCCGGGCTCGGCCAAAGCGAAGCCACATAGCGGGTATCGTAGGCAGAGCCGCAATGCGATACGTGACTGGTCAAGGACTGGGCTAGTGAGACATTGCAACGAGAAGTCTGGACGTGTGGGTCGATATGCTGTGCACTTTGTGCCCCGGATCCGTTCATTTTCTTTTCGTGTTTGTGTGATTGCTTCTCGAGGTTGCACAGTTTGGCTGTCAGCGAGGTGGGGATATTTAGCCGAGGGTGTGGATGCATCTCACTGTCACCTTGATGTCGGTCTTGGCCTTCGGGAAGCCGATGAGTACTCGGCACGTCTCGGGAACTTGGTCAGGAGAAAGGTAGAAATTTCATTTAGTATTCGTTTGAGATGGATCTTTTGTTCAGTGATTATTGAGAGCTCTTCATTGAGTCACCTCTTTACATCTGATTTTGTGCTCTACAGCTGTGTAGCGTACATAGCAAGTCCGATATATCAGTAGAAATCCCAAAGTCTTTTATAGAATGTGTTCGTTCAACTAGGATCACTTCTTCCGCTTGAGGTGTGAAAGCTGAAGAACACTTTTCATCTCTCCGGTCGCTGCATCCATAGTAATTTGTTCCAGCGATCGTCTCGCCAAAATCTGCTCCTCCCAGCGCTCCCCCAAATTGAATTCCTCCACCATGTACGAGTCCCGATACTGGCAATCCCAAGGATATGTTCCGTTCCAGTCCTGTCTGACTGCATTCTCCATGTCAGCCTTCAAATCGGGGCATCTTTCGAGCATCGCTGTCCAATCATTCCACTTCTCAGATCCTTCTTTGAGCTTCTTCAATGGGTTCAGACAGTTCATCAGATCAGTCGTAAACTTGCGGGCCACGGAAGCTTTCTCGGTTGCTTTGTAAACAGACTCGATGCTGGTGACATAGACAAAATGCCTCCTCTCATCCCTGCAAGCATGTCTGAAACAGTCATCCATACAATGATTCTGGAACGATGGTGCTTCCAGGAAGCTGCCAAGTGCCCAATTATCTTCTCCTGCAGTTTCTGATTCGGTAACGTCCGTGTCCAGCAAGGTGCCATAGTACATCCACGAAACGAAGTCGGTGAATCTTTTGGGTTGGACTTCAGGGAGCTGGATTTTCTCATCTTCCTCATCGATAGAAAACCTCCTGTTGAAATAGCCAGAATGGAGAGTGAGGAGGTGTTGGTGCACAATAAACGCTTGTTGTTTTTCGCCGACCCAGATTTCAACTTGTGGGCTTCCAATGATGACTCTGTATTATTAGAGACAGCCGAATGCGAGGTATTCAAGGCACTCACCTTGCGGAGATGGATCGATGCACCTCTTGCTTTTTGCGTATCTCAAGGCGGACCTTGATCTTTAGCTTTGCTTGCTCCGCAAGCTCGACACTGTCAACAGCCCTTCTCTTCTGCCCTGTCATCTTGATATTGTTTGTGTGGCTAGTGAGAAGACTACTTTGAGGCATGTTCTCTGCTAGCAATTAGATCGATTCTCATTGGTGACAGAGACAACATGGTGTTGATATCGCTTTGGCGGTGACAAGGTGGATCCACACAAAGATTTTGAATTGGACTAGGCGGTGGCAGAATTTCCCCTGAATCTCCTCGGTTGAGGTTAGTGCATCATCAACACGCTGCTATGGAAAGAGATCGATTGGTGGCAGAACTCGGAAGCGCATCAACGATCAGCCGAGTCTTATCGTAAGCTGCGATAAGCTCATTTTGTCGATTTAGCGCGTCCTTGGGGTCCGTTCTGCATCATCTTTGGGGAGCTATTGTGTCCTCACACAATTCGAATATCAACGCACACAAGATTCTGGTCAGTCCAGATCAGAATCACAACCACTATAAATACGTGTGCTTCGCTCTCGCAGCAACCTTCACCTCGATGAAAAAACACATACTTTTCTGAACCACACAACCACCATTTCTACACTCAAAAATCAATCAACATGGGTCGCAATACTCGTCAACCAAAGTCCGACTTCCCCTTCCTCGCTGGCTTAGGCCTCAAGACAACCTCAATCCGAGGCGATGGTATGTACAGTACATGCGAGCACTTTCGATTCTTGATTTTCTTTCATACAATAGTCTGCGAGCATTGTTTGTTAACATTTCTTATTTCTGTTAAGGCAACTGCTTGTTCCGCGCCCTTTCTGAGCAAATCTATGGCGACCAAACTCGCAACAGCGAGATCCGGGCCAAGGTTGTTCAATACATGAAAGCCAATCCCGGCGATTTCAAGCCCTTCATCTCTGTCGAGACAGGAGGTGGCTTCCGTCGCAACCCGAAGAGAAAGAACGCCGCAGCCGGCGACCTCACTGGCCCATCCGAGTCAGAGAGAGATCAAGCATGGGAAGACTATCTCGTACGTATGGCTCGCAACGGCGAATACGGCGACAACCTCGAAATCCGGGCATTCACTGAGGCATACACGGTCGACGTCCGTGTCTATTGCATGCCAGCCTCCTCATACATCATCAGATGTGGTCAAGAGCTCGCTACGGGAGAGTATCGTCAGATTGCGCACATTGCGCTCTATGTAAGTGTCCTCCACCACGTCACGACTTATGACACTGCTAACCCTAACCCTAAGTCCGAACACTACTCGTCAATTCGGAATATCAACGGTCCCGACACTGGCCTTCCAAACGCCAAGCCCTCGGACCTCGAAGCTCTGGTAGCCAATCAGGCTACCACCACAAAGGCCAGCAAGACAATGGCCATTGAGCAATGGATGGTCAACTCAGTGTCCAGCTCACTTCCAAACTTCGTCGACGAGGACACAATCACCAAAATCCTCCAAGCCAACAAGGGGGACGTCGACATCACAGTGTCCCAACTCCTCGGGGACACTGATTCACCATCCAGCACCATCCCCTCAACACCAAACTCCTCAATCTCGTCAAACTCCGGCAACTACAGCATTGTCCGAGACGAGGATAGCGAGGACGAAGAACCCCGCGGCCCCAACAAACGCCAAGCCCGAAAGGAGAAGGAGCGCTTGGAGCGGGAACGAATCTCCAATCTCGAGGCAGAGATTGAAGCAAAGCTGGCAGCCATGCCACACCTGCACGTCTCCACTGTATATACCTAGACGGCGCAGTTGTACTTTAAATTTTTCATTTTGTTGGTATTGCTGCATAGCGAAGGATAAGGGCATAAGCATGGGACGGGGCGTTTGACAACAGCATTTGACATCCTACCTCGAAGCGCTCGGGGTAATGTCCGGAGGCGTTTGGGATTTCAGAGATACCCGACTAGATGGACATCTGGTCATAGAAGGAAGAATGTCGTTCTCAGGACAGGCGGGAGTATACCTTTCTCCTTGTGGTCGTTCATTGCCATGAGGTTTTAATGGTACTCCGGGACTTTAAGGAATTGAATCATTTGGACATCAATTGTTGACTTTTCCTCGCATGTGACTTTGTGGGATCAAAAGCGCTTTCCCTTTTGAGGATAATCGAGGTCTGTTGCCCTTTCCTCGAGTGAGGTCATTTTGTGTTTTCTTCCCGTGCTTGCAGTTCTGTGCTATTGTCCCCAGAAGTCTGGGTTATTTTTAATCTGGTTTTTGCGGTGTCTGATTTTGATTGCACTTTTCAATGTTAGAGTTGGTCTTATTCTACGAAATTTGCATATTCTAATTTGTGTGCGTGTGTTTTATCTTGATTTCTAAAAACAGTGCCAGCATTGAATCGAAAATCCGGGTCCGTTTTTGGGCACTCGCACTTCGAAAACTTCTATCAATTGAATTCATGTTACACCTTCTGCTTTCAATATATCAGTGCCATCTTCGCACATATGTCAGAGTGGAGCACTTGGCAAGATCGAAGAGCTCGATTATTATGTAAATTGTCTACGAAGAGGAAAGAGTCCTTAAGAGAACTCTTCTAATATTCTAAAATAGCGTGCTTTCCCTACTCTTATAAACACGCTAATCCTTACTTATCGAATGCCTTCACAACATGGGAAGGCGACGAGTTGTCGGCTCCCCCGTGCGCGAAAATGATGAAATATCATGCAAAGAATATGCGTTTGTTCTTGGAAGGGTTCTAGCACCTTTTAATCTCCATTTTTGATGCACAAATCAAATTTGTTCTCTCAATTGTGGAGGCTTTGTTGTACAGATGATTTCTCAGTATATGGGGTTGTAATCACGTGATGATTTCGTACTCTCACCCTCGGGATGCATCCCTACAGTCTTATCACAGTTTGTACTGTCTCTTTTTGTGTTTAACAGTCTAGTCGTCAGTATCATGAAGCGTGAGGGGCGACTGACATATGTGACAATCAAGTACTACACGAGCGGAGGCTATCAGAAAGTACACCGAGCACAATTCTTCGACCCAAAGAGAGTCAATGATTTGGATCAATGCTGGAAATGCGGAGACACACTAAAATACAAATGTCTGGTATGTTGCTTGGATAAAAATGCATGATAGAAGTTCGCGGCCTCCTTACGCCTGGTGGTCTGCAACGAACCGACGCGCTATTTGCAAACTTCCCACTTCCCTCATTCTGATTCTTCCTGTGGCTTGAAGACTCGGGAAAGGAATATTCTCGGCTAAGGAGTCGTCCTTCTTTGTTCCTTTTGAAGATTAGAATTAGACGTTTTGCGTTTCTGCTTGGGTTTAGGCGTGCGTAGTTCATCCATATTTTTGGTTGGCCCAATGGAAGGTTTCGCCCCCAGTTCTGTCGATTCAAGCATTCATGTAAGGTTCTTCGTTTATTTGAACAACTCTAATGGTGTTTGGGAACTCAAATTTTCCCAATTCTCCTTAGAATTCGTCCTCTTCGTCGCTTAGATATGGAAAGCAATCATAGCCACCGTCTACAATTTCATTCTCAGGAGGAACGAAGGTATCGATAGCTCCGTTGTCCAAAAGGATCTTTTCAACAATTTTAACCCTACGACGAACCTCGACCCGTGCCGCTCTGAGAGCGTTGTGGTATTTCCCACCTTCGATACTCACTTCTGCATTTCGCTCAAGAAGAAACTTTACCACTGCTTCGTGGCCACGAAAAGCAGCGGCCTGTAAAGCCGTCCAGTATACGCCGCATGTTTGATTGATATCTGCACTAGCATCCAACAACAACTCCAGGACTGACTCCATTCCTCTGTAGGCGGCTGCTTGTAGAGCGGTGCCGAGACGACCACCTACGAGCTCCACCTTAGCTCCTGCCCGTAATAGCAGAGTGACCAAGGCAAGGTTTCCTGTTCGTGAAGCGATTTGTAACGCAGTATGATATACGCCACCCTCGTGGTTGACATCAGCCCCAGCTTCAAGTAGAAATTCGACAGGGGCGAGTATGTTAGTGTAGTCGTTACCCAGGCTTGATTTGTACCATTTAGCAATGGCTGCTTGTAGGACATAATCGTATTTACCTCCTTGCGCATTTATTTTGCGCCGTGCTCAAGAAGGATTTTGTAGTTAATTGGGTGTGCCAAAGGTAGCAAGCCCCCAAAGGCGTCTTCCTCTTCGAATATCTTTGCGCCATACTGCAACATTAGTTGAACTATCTCCTTGTCCCAGCTCTTTGCTGCGGCGTGCATAATGCTACCTTGTTTTCCACCACGAAAGTCTAGGGCTGCTCCATGTTGAACTAGCAGTCGCACATTGGCCCTATTACCGTTGTACACAGCGCGTTCAAGAGCCGAGCATCCTGCATCGAGATTAGGGTTGGCTCCGTGGTCTAATAGTAGCTCTACGATCTCGGAATTTATCTCAGCGTCGTAAACAACCATTAGAGGTGATTGGGTCGATGCCGGGGAGTTTGGGTCAGCGCCATAGCTCAATAGTAACTTGCACAGCTCCAAATTTCCCTTCTCGGCAGCTATGGAGAGAGCCGTCGACTTGGACTCTTCGCCACTCACAGTGTTAACATTCGCACCGTGCTTTAGCAGAAGCTTTATATACTTTATGTAGTCTCCGTCGGCGGCTCGTATCATTGGTGTACCGAGTGAAGAATCTACGTTGATGTCCGCCTCTTTCTGGATGAGGACAGTTGCGGCCTCAATATTTCCCCACGCTCCAGTCTCACTTAATGGAGTCGTTCCATCTCTCCACCCAAGCTCAATATCAGCACCGCGGCTCAATAGCAGCTCCACCATCTCCGGATTGTTGGCTGCCGCTGCTGCCTGTAGAGGACCCTTGCCATACTTCCCTACCTCATTGATATCCAAACCACAGTTCAAAAGCAGTTCAACGACATGCTTGAGGCCGTTCAAGACTGCAAGACTGAGATGGTCTGGGTCTGACACAATGGCTCCCATTTCGATCAAATTGATTGCCAAGGTCTCCTTTTGCATTTTAATAGCCGCTTTCAGAGGGGTTTCTCGGGGATGCGTGTCCGAACACGCGTTAACAGATGCACCTCTCTCTATTAATACCATCACAATGTCTGGGTGATGACGAATGGCAGCATGCAAGATTTTCGACAAAAATCCGTCTCGGTCATCCAGCTCGGGTCTAGCACGGAGTATGGCTTGCAACGAATCATTCGAACTTAGCGCAGACGTTGTCAGAGCATTAGCTAGCGCAGGATGGCTTCGGTCAATGGTAGGACAGTCATAGAGAATCTGCTCTGTGATATCGTTGAAGCCATGAATGCAAGCCTGATCTAGTGCACGGCCCATTTGTTCAATGTCAGCGACATCTTTCAGTTGATTGAAGATAGGTTTTGATCCAATAGCTAGTGCTAGTGTAATAGGAGAATGTTCTTCTGGCAATTCATACATCCGGTACGTGTCTATGAGTCTCACGTCGCCCTTAAAGCGCTGCTTGATCACTTGTCGCGGAAAAAGTAGGGTATGGTCCTTCACGAGCATTTGCAGAAGACCTGAGCATGATCTGTCTGCTCCTGCAGCCACCAGTATGAAAATTGTGTCTTTTCGTTCCTGAAGAACAGCGAGATGAGGTGGAGTAAGACCTTCTCTCGTTCTAGGGCAGGGGTCTGGAAGTTTACAGAGAAGTGTCGCTATGATCTCGGTGATACCGCATTCGATAGCGTCGTGCAGCGGAGAATATCCTCTCTGAAACTCGAAATACTTCAGCATTCCATATGCATGGTAGGAAGCCCAGTCTGAATAACGGACTTGGGCGTAACTACCGAAAAGCCCTTCGTGAAGGTAGATCGAGAGGACAGCGTTTTCAACCTGATGTCCATCTGTTTCCGAGACATAGATATTCCATCGTCGTGCCGCGAATGAGTACAAAGGGTACTGCTCAAGTCTCCGTACGATCTTCTCTTCGCTGTCGCAGTACCCACTTTCGAAGTCCTTCAGAGTCAAATATGAGAGGCAGCATTTAGCGATAACGAGTCCACTCAGCGGAAGAAGGGACTCGGGATGTTTCGAGAAATACTCCTGGACCGTAAAGTGGACGAAACGAAGATTCTGATCTCCATCAACAGCCACCAATCCACAACAGATTTCGACTAGGTCCTCGATTTCGGGGATGCTGTCCTCATCAACCCCATCAGGTGTCGGACACTCAGGATCAATGGCCAAAGCGTGAGACAGAGCTGGAAAACTAAGCGGCTCATCAGCCATTGCTAACCAAAGGAGCGCACGTCGAGCAAGATCATCGTCACCAATTCGTTCCAGAGTGTTGGAGAAGACGTCGAATATTTTCGTTGGCATGCTTTGGAGAGCTCTGCGGATGAGTGTTGGCGTTCTGTGATTGAGAATCTGTGCGATTTGCAGCGAGGCCCACAGAAACCTTGATGTTGTTAGTCAAGTTGAGTGACCAAATTGTCTGGGAACAACTTACATGCCGGCAGCCTTTTCGACAATCGCATGGATGATCTCATCTTTGAAGTCTGGACTCAGTTTCTTGCGGATACTGTCTTTCTGCTGCAAGGCATGCTCGAACACCCGCCTGATATCTTCATCGTGTGCCTTGATCTCGATGTACTCCCATTCAACGTCGTTCTCTTCGTTTGGTGGCTCGATATGCGGGCGACTGGTAGTGAAGACATTGGCACCTGCCTGTCGAAGCTGCGATACGAAGGCGAGAACTCCGTTTCGATGAGTGTCGGAGCACTCATCAAGTGCATCAACAATTATGAAAGTGAATGTAAACTTGGACAACAAGGAGAGAATTATTGAAATGAGTTCTCCTTGTTTTGGACCTCTATTTTGTTTTCTCGTCGCTTGATGCAATTCTTCCAATTCAGGCAGCAACTGATTGTACTGCTGCGCTAGTTGTTTGAGGAAGGATATTGTGCGAAGATCTTGCAATTCGGTGACGAAGTTCTTGACAGCCTTGTTGGCATGAATGACGCTGGAACCATAGCTGTAGGTTGCCGAAACAACAGTAGCTACATGTCCAGCGACACCAGCAATAGTTGCAGCGAGGGTTAGAGGATCCATAACACGTTCCTCGATATTCGATTGCGTTATTTGAGATGAAGAAAGAGGGAAGTCGACAAGCTGCCAACAGCAATGTAGACAGCGCCCAACGCCTTGATTGGTCTGTAGACGTATCTCAGCCGCGCCTTTGGAACCCTGCACGTTTCGGGACCTGTACCACATCTGTATTACAGCCAAGGACTTTTAACAAGATGTATGTCAGAAAATTAGCCTGCGATGAAGATTTGTGCTTCCAATATTGTAAATATTCGATATCACGTGATATGTAACAATACCTAGCCTTGACTTCACTTCAATGTTTTGGACTCATTCAAGATTTAAAGTATCGCCTATCTCCATTGAGGGGCTACACAGTCGACATATCCACGCATCCGTTATCACCCGAACCTCGCCCGTCGTTCTCTTGAGGCTTAGGCGCACTTAGTGATTTTGATCTTGTCAATGTAATGCCATACATTACTTCCCTGTCAATTATTCCACGCTACCCCCGGCCCCCTCCCAAAAATACTTACAGTAAAACCCTTATAATCATCCGTACGATCTTTCCTTGGTTCTTCTTTGAAAGAACGTAATGCACAGGGCTTCCAGTGCAGACAAATCACAGTTTGTGAGAAATAGGCTGGCCCAAGTAGAGAGATGCCCTGCCCTCACCTCCCCACAGAAATCCGTCTAGAAATCCTGACCGAAACAACACCATCTTTCTCTTTGCTCAGACGGGATCTGGGAAACGTTCCCTAGAACTCTCTATTTGAAACATAACCTCGCACAGAAGACAAAACTTCGCAGCAAGCATTACACAAGCAAACCAACGCGAGCGGGTGACAGACAGATATATCAAAAGATTGTATTGTACCCAAGTACTATTATATGCTATGAAGATACCCAATCATCTCATCCCATCTCATCCCAAATCAAAAAAGATGGAAAAGTAACACCAAAACTCCAATCCGCCCATACCCATTCCTTCGTCAATATTATACCACATTCTCATCTTTTCCAACCCCGATATGCATGAACAAGAACACGATTTTTGTACACCCACGCCTCTTACACTCCCTATTCTCTTACTCATTCCAGGCTCGAGCTCACTCATTCTTCATTCGCTCACATATTAGCCAACTCAGCATCAATCATGCGATCCAAAAACGTCCTCCTCTCCCCCACCAACTCAGTCTGCAACCTCTGCTCCACCAACGCCCTAACCTGCTTCTTCGTAACATTATCCAAATCCACCTCTCTCAAACAACTCTGAATAGCCTCCACAATCATGCCATCATCGGGCCCCTGGTTTCCTCTCTGGAAATCAAAGGTTGAAACCGGACGACTCAGATCTCCCGCCGCGAGAGGGGGCCGAGAACCGCCTGTGAAGCCGATCTGGGAGCGTGAGCCGGACATGGACATGTGTTGTTGTTGGTGCAAGGGAGAGGGGGAGCCGGAGAGGAGGTCATGCGACGAGGATGTGGGGAGCATGACCATGCTTGGGCGGGTGGAGTGTAGATTTGATTGTTGGGTTGGGTAATCTTGGTATGGGCTTGCAGAACGGTCCTGGAGGCCTCCACCTAGGGACATCATGGATTGGTGTCTAACGGCCTGAGGAGCTGTATCCACGTATGGAGTTCCGTAAACTGAGACGCGGTTGTTGGGGCCGCCAAAAGCGGGAGATTGAGGTGGCATGTATGGACCTCCTCGTTGGAAACCGGTTAGGACGGTGGAAGCTGGCTTTACGGACGAGTACATCGATTTCATGTCGTCCATCTCGTATTGATCTTCGTAGGTTTCGAAGTTCTTTTCTACGGGACCACCGCGGCGGCCCGGAAGGTTGTTGGCGGATGCATAGTCGTCCCAGCGTTGTAGAGGGATGCTGCGGGGGTCGAAGCCTTCGTCGTCGATTGCGACTACTTGCTTGCTACCCTTTTCACCGATGACGATACGGGTATTTCCCCAGGAGAAGTTGTCTTGGTTCCAAAAGGAGTAGACGGGGAGAACAAACGAATAGATGGGGAACGCGAGGATGTAGATAATCATCCAGCCAATGTGTTGCCATTGTCGCTTCAAGATAAAGATAAGAGCTTGAAGACCGTACACAGCGGCGATCATGATAATGGAAATCAAGGGGAATTGGCCGGAGTGAGTAGCCACTCTATAGATGAGGTAGCCGAGGTAGGCGCAAGTTGCAGGAAGAATGATTGTTCCGAAGAGATCAATGAAGACAACGAATCTCATGCTGAAACAGCAGAAACCACACATCTCCTTGAGCCAGACCAATTCTGCTAGGTTGTGAATGGTGGAATTGATCCATCTTCTTCTCTGAGAGAGGAGAACGCTCCAGGTTTCGGGTGCTGCGGTACTGGCATAGGCATCGGGGATGAACTTGTAGGACATGTAGGGGAAGTGCTTTGTCATGAGAGTAGTGAGGTAACGATCTTCTCCAAGGGACAAGAGATTCTTCTTGTGCAAAGTGTCGACTTGACAATCACTGTAATCGTGAATGACAGCGTCTGAAATAATCAAAGGCTTGCCCTTGTCAGCTGTCCTGAGACGATACATGGAGAAACTGTACTTTGTTAGCTGCGCAGATGGAAAGGATATGAAGTCAACTTACCAACCAGGCAAACAAGTGACACTGCCGAACAGGGACTCGAAAGCTTTGGCCAAGTGATGGGAAATGAAATACTCGTAAACTTGAATCATCGTCCACCATGATCGTTCCTCATTCTCAAGTGAAGTCTCACCACAGATACCGGCAATCTTAGCATTGTTGGCACAAGCAGCAACTAGACGATTGAGAGAGTCTTCTCTGACACTAGTATCAGCATCAACCATGAGGAGATACTCGTAAAGCTCGGGATCGACACCAATAATATTGTTGATTTGATGGAACATTTCCAGTTCAAGTGGGTTCATGGGTGATCGATGGTGGACACGGTTGAGGAAGCTCATGAGCAGAATTTGGGAGTCTCTTTTTCCACGATTACCAGGCTTTGCCTTTTGCTGTTCGGATTCCTTGCCAACCTTGACAACAACGATGTATGGAACGACATTGCCTTCGTATTCGTAGAGACCAGAATAAACTTTTCCGTAGTTGAGCTGTTCGCTGCTTTCTCCGACAGACTTAAATGGAAGTGCTGGAGGATCGATTTTGGGGTCAACGCCTAAGATATCCAAGACAATCTTTGGCGTGGGTCGGTCATTACCACCTCCAACGATCATACCGTCGCAAATGACACAGATCAGCTTCCTCTTATTGTCGTATTGTAGAGCCGTCAAAGAATCCAGTGCCTTCCGCAATGAATCTTCACCTTCTGTATATGCAGGAACCTGGCAAATAACGAATTTATCTTGGGGCGTTGGCCGACGTTTTGAACCGAATTGAAGGGCAGCCAAGAATTTCGTCAGGATGACAGCACACAAAATAATCGTGAATGCTAGCAAGATATAGTTGTTGATCTGGCACTTTACCGAATCACGGAAATCCGGAATACCGACATAGAAGGTGTGTTTGAAACAATTCAGATTGTTTGCAATGACGTCTTGTTGCGTCGAATTCGAAATCGCATAATTCTTCTCCCAAAGACTGGTTATGTCTAGGCCAGGGTTTTGCGTGATCATGCTTGCAATTGTTGTATCGATGAACTCGTAGGAAGCAAGGTTACCTTCCAACTTCAAGGTGTAGAAATAATCCGTAAGATCGTAGATCTTGCCGTATAGGATGAACCAGTAGTGATTATTGTTTTGACCATCACTCTCGACAGTGCTCTTCTTCGTGACTAAGTCGCCGTGATAGTATTCTTGAATCTTTGGCAAGAAAGTATCCTGGTACCAATTGATATTGTGAAGCGCACTAGTGGTGTATGGTTGAAGAGGACCAGAAGTGTGCACACCTTCGGGATAAAGTACAGTAGTATTGGCTTGGAGAACGAGCGAGGTGTCGTCTGAAGCAACCAAACCGGGACAAGAAACACTCAAAGGGGGCACGAAATACTCGTCCAAGTTGAGGCCAGCGAAAGGTTGCATAACATCTTGAGTGGTTTCAATGACCGTGTCACTGTGTTGTGTTTTCCAGAATTTGGAGATATCATAGACCTTGCCATGGATGCTGACCCAGAAGTCATTCGATCCTTGATGAGTGTCGACTTCGGTTTGATCCCAAGCTTTGTCGAAGTTCGGGCACAGAAGTCTTCCGAACTCGATGATCCAGAATACAATGACCCCGTTCATGAACAGAATGAAGAAGCACAAAACAAGCTTTTCTCGCCAGGCCATGCGAACGTCGGGACGCTTCATCCGGCCAACGAACCTGAGGACGAAGGAGGGAATCCAGAAAGTCATCAGCCAGACAACGGCAACCCAGACGCGACGACCAGTTGACATAGCTGTAGTCTGGATAGTCTTGGGCTCTGCCATTTCAGGATCCATATTGTCGATGAATTCGCCCATCTCATTATTGTAATAGACTTGACCCTTGCGGTCATCTCCCTTGAAACCAAGACCGTAGTCACCACCGCTAACATTGCGAGAAGTGGGCGCAACTGAGCGGGCAGCACCAAGATTGCTCCGTGGTAGGGTCATTGAGCTTTGTTGTCTCTGGATGAGTTGCTCTCTGCTGTCATTTTGAGTCAACTCGTTCATAGGAGGGAAGAAGCCGCTCCCATTGTGAGGGCCGGCTGAGTAGCCAGTCTCCATGGGATCAGCTCCTAGAACTCCGCCAAGACTGGCAAAGCCTTGATCATCAGCCGGCTTGAGGTCCAGCATTCCTTCTGCTTCCCACCATGCAGTTTCCCGCATCCAGATGCGTTCTGTGCCAACGACCACTTCACCGTTACTCCATCCACGTTCCATGATCCAGCTTTCGATTCCATCTCTTCCATCTTTGCAGCCAAGAGTGGCATATCGTTGGACAAACTCGTCGTGATCGAAATCAGCAGTGAAGTCAAGATTCTTGTTTCGTCTATTCGCCCATTCTGGTAGTCTCCAGGCACGCAATTGTCGGGAAACTGTTCCAGCTGACCAAGCCGAAGTAGTTGAAGGTAAAGCCGCCAAGCTCGCTGGAGATTCGTCTGTTGGATGAAGGGACAGATGATACCAGACTCTGCTACTTCCAAGAATGTTAGGAAGATCGACTCGCCCCTCTCGACCAAGACTGACACCTTGGCCTTCGACCGGGAAGAGGATTTTCTTCAAGAACCCATCTTCTTCACCCTCTCGGCCAACCTTCTCAAGCACAACTTCACGTTTCTCTAGTTCGTGCTCACGTTCTCGTCCAGCTGGTCCAGTCATGATCCCAAGGTCTGGTGCGACGTCATTTACTGCGTTCTGCATCTCTCTCAAGACTGAAGATCCTGCGGCGACGACTTCAACTCCATCCTCCTTCATCTCTGCATTGATACCTTGAGTGTCATCGAACACACCACGCATAGCTGCTGCCTTTCCAAGGGTTGGGTTGGGAATTTCCAGCACTGTGATGCAGACGCTATCTCCATTCTCCTCTTCAGTGTTTGGTGTCCTCGCTCCAGGACCTCCATCACTCGAGTTATCCGCATCTTTGATGCGGACCATCTCGCTGGCAATAGCTTCGTTTGCCTTGAGGATAACCCAGTCTACAAGTGCTTCGTAGAGTCCACCAATCAAGGTTTCTCGATCTGAAGTTGTGCATTGGTGAGCCAAGACCTCGGGCTCGAGACCGAGAAGTCCTCCAACGTCTTCGCAGATATCTTCCAACACGTCCTCATCCACACTCAGGGTAAGAGTGTCACCCAATTTCAACAGACCGGCCAAGATTGATATCAGGTTCCGGTGTGCTGAGCCCTTAATTCCAATCTCCTTCAATGCAGCTCGGAAGTCGTCTGCTGCTGCTGCATCGTCGGCTGTTGGAAGATAGGAAGGAGGATCGTAGGTGCCCGACTTTGCCAACAATGAGTAGTTAGAAGCATGTTTCAGTCCCAAGAACTCTCGCTCGGCAGGTGTCGAGGCAGAAGTGAGAAGATAGTAGAACACATCGAAGGCTCTGTAACCTTGTTCAGCGGGAATGTTAAGTAGACCTTTGGAAGTGTCAATGCCTCCATCAGAAAGGGCCAGGGAGACTGCTGTCAAGTTTCCAGCCAGTGTAAGTGTAAGTGCGACAGCAAGTCCTGATTGACGAGGTGTAGAGTGATTTTGTGGGGATACAGAGTGGATGAAAGGTCTGAGAGCATTGAGAGCTGTATATAATGACGATGGAATAGACAGGGGTAGTGTTGATAAAAATGGTGTTAGAACTGAGGGTGTAGATTCATGCAAAGATCTGCAATTGGTATCAGCATATAATTATCAAGATCTCCTGTACCACACTCACCCAAGAAATATGCAACCATCTTCGGCTCTTCGTCTTGCATGTTCCCAAGCTCGAGCGGCTAGTGCAGCATCCACTGTACCTCCAACTCTTCCTTCATGGTCCGGTTGAGAAGCTGTCAACCAAGTATTCACAACCAAGCTAGAGCTTGCATCTAGTGCGTATGGTTGTCCAGATGTATAAATCGTGTGTACAGCATTCAGGAGAGTGGTCGTAGACACTTGTGTCGACTGCTGGGCAGCAGAATGGATATTTCGTGAGCCTCCTGGCAATGAAGACGCCGTCGAATACATCGACATACGATTGTTTCCCGACATGGTGGTAGAAAATGAGAAATTGTCCCCTCTTCCTGGCTATGAAGCCGTTTGTTGATCTTGCAAGACTACCAAGCCCAATCTATGCCGGTCTCCCCCTTGCCCGTTTCAATTCGTGTTGTATGATCTGGCGGTCTGATGTGGTCGTCGACACGCGCGAGACTCGAGGAGTGAGGAGAGTGGTGAGGTTTGGAATGAGTGTTTGCCGCCCTTGGAGTGGTCGGTCGCTCAGCAACAGGCGTGCAGGAGCAGGATCAGGAGTAGGAGGGCGTAAGAAAACGAGAGTGAGATACAAGATTACAAGTCGTTAGAAAGCGTTGAAACAATCATCAAAGCGAATGAGATGACTTGGACAGAGAAGTGCACAAAACAGAGAGATGATTGAGGGGATTCAAGAACTTGAGATGTCGACAAGGAATGTTCACCTCATGGAAATCTTTCCAGCACTCGTCTCGAACTGTTGTACGGATGGCCACTTGACCATGAGCGCACCGGACCCCTGAAGAGACCTTTCAGACTAAAATGATCTAAGCCGCACTGCACGCTGGCCCAATACGAGCAAAAATGGATGCCGCTCTAAGCATACGATCTCAATGTGGATCCTAGATCGCCACTATTCGGCTTCCCGTGATGCCCATGGCGAATCAAGGAAGCCCCAGACTCTTGCCATCAAGGCATGGTGAGATCCGGGTCCTGGAGCGGCACTACACTTATGTCTATTTTCAGAGACAGTGCTGCTTTGACAGACTTTGCATAAGACAACTTAGACAAGAGGCTTAACACAACACCACTGACCATCTTCTCGGCTCACCCAATCCCAACAAATATTTCGCTTCTCGGATGCAGGAGAAAAATGCAGACATCGTTCGACTCCCGAGCAAAGCTGTACGTTATTCGAATTAGAGTCTTTTGTTGTTTGGGTCTTTGATAGCACCCAGTATCTCGACGCAGTGCATATAATTTTGAGATGAGTGGTCTCAATAGAAGTGAGCGGATTAGGGGCAATAACGTTATGAAGACCCACCATCGGGTTGGCAGAAACGATGGCTTGCGGACCAAGTTGCGGTAGTGGTTTCCCCGTAATGAACGGCGTCATGATCCGTGATGAGCTAAAGCTCAGTAAAGTGGATCTCAAAAAGAATTCAATCTGGAGAAAACCGGACCCTGATTCGCTCTAGAAGCTTCATCTAAGTCATCCACGTCCTTCAGGAAGAATCAGAATCATGCAAAGTAGAATTGCAGTACAGTACACGTGAAGTTGACAGCTGAGCAACGTGAGAGTGAGCCGTGAGCACGCCTTCGAAGGCTGTGATTTGGAAGCGATTCCGAGCCTGAGCATCCTTTTGTATACTGCATACGAACATGTGAGAAGGAGTGAGGGCCTTGTTCGTGTTCGATCTTCTCAGCCGGTAACTTGCACCTGGCGGCAGAAGGCTTCCTGCAGAGTCGAGGTTCCGATGCATCTTCACGGTGCATCCGGTGCATTGATGACGGAGGGTGGAGAGTGAGCACTGAACAATGAACATTGAACAGCGAGAGCGAACACCCCACAATAACGATGAGAACTTGGAAGAAGTTCTCGTGTTCGTGGAGCTGGATCCCCAGTGGCAAGAGGTTGTCGAGAAGTTTGAATTTTCTTGCGCTGCTTTTTCCTTCAGACCAGGCCACATTATTTTAAGCATCATCCAGCCCCTGAGCTTGCCCCACCTCGACCTTGACTAGCACTACGGCGGCCGACCCCAAACAAAATACACATTTTTTGGTCATTCGAGACAACAACCTGGTCTGGTCCTGCTGCTTGCTTGCTGGGCCTTCCGAAAGAGCTTGTGTTCGCCAACGTGTGCAGGTCTCTCTTTTCCTCATTCACGAGTTTTATCTTCGCCTGTATTTTTCGAATTGCGTCTTTTCTCCTCACCTAACACTCGCTATTTTCCTATCATACGCTCGCTATACTCGTTGTGCAGTGGAGGAGGATTCTCGTCTTCTATTTCTGACCCCCTTCCTTCGTTACCTAGGGGACTCGGTGCCACCCACACGAGATTCTGCATCCCAGGGAACTGCCCGCTCGAACTTCGACTTCCCCTCAGACATTCAATCGATCTCGACTTCGCAGATAGAGTAGGGACGTTCGCAATTCGGCCACGATGGCCTCCAACAGCCACTCACAAGCTTCACTGCCTTCCTTACCAGCACATCTCCAAGCAGATACACAAATCACCGCGCATCTAGCAAGCAGATTTCATGTATCATTACCAACAGCTCAACTATCTTCACACGCGTTGATATGTCTCAATACATATGCTTCCTCCAGCAAAGGCCCAGATGGCGGAAAGGAGGGCAGTGCAATGGGAGGAGCAGAGGAAATGGCAGATCGCGCTTTCACAAGACTTGGAGCACGCTCAGAAAACCAAGCTGTCGTCTTCCTGTAAGTCGCAGAAATACGTCTGCATGCGTTGACACTAACAAATTTCCAGAGGAGAATCGGGGTCTGGTAAAACGACTGTTCGTTCTCACTTGTTGTCAGCCCTCTTGGCGAAATCGTCCACTCCATTGTCCACGAAACTATCACTTGCTGCTTACGTTTTTGATACTCTGACGACGACAAAAACTGCTACTACTCCTACAGCATCGAAGGCTGGACTGTTTTTCGAGCTTCAATACGACACAGCATCAACAGTAAATCCAACACTCATTGGTGGAAAAGTGCTAGACCATAGGTTGGAAAGGAGCAGAGTGGCAGCTGTGCCAACGGGAGAGCGTAGTTTCCACGTCTTATACTACCTTCTTGCGGGTACCAGTGCGGCAGAGAAGGCACATCTTGGCCTAGACACGGACAGTAGTTTGACTGCCGCGGTTGCTCATCCAACTCAGGCTGGCAGCACGGCTCAGAAAAGATGGCGGTATCTTGGCCATCCAACGCAGCTGAAGGTCGGAATCAACGATGCCGAGGGATTCCAACTCTTTAAGACCGCTCTCCGGAAGCTCGAATTTCCTCGCAGCGAGATTGCAGAGATTTGCCAAGTGCTGGCCAGTATCTTGCACATTGGACAGCTGGAGTTTGAGACAGCCGCAGACACTTTGGCGACTGCAGATGACAGCGGTGGATATTCGCACGAAGGAGCTCAGCATATCACTGCTGTGAAGAATAAGGATGTTCTTGGTATAATTGCGGCGTTCCTTGGTGTTAGTGCCCAAGATCTTCAAACCACACTGGGTTACAAAACCAAGATTCTCCAAAGAGAGCGTGTCACAGTCATGCTTGATCCCAAAGGTGCCAGAGCGAATGCAGATGAGCTTGCCAGAACTCTGTACTCACTGCTCGTGGCATATGTGATTGAGAGCATCAATCAACGTGTGTGTGCTGTGGAAGAGACAGTTGCCAACACGATTTCGATCGTCGACTTCCCAGGATTTGCACAGCAGCCATCGACCGATTCCGTTCTTGACCAGCTTCTCAACAATGCCGCTACTGAGGCCTTATATAATTTCACACTTCAGAGCTTCTTCGAGAACAAGGCCGAAATGCTGGAAAGCGAAGAAGTGACTGTACCTGCGACTAGCTATTTCGATAACTCTGACGCGGTTAAGGGCTTACTCAAGCCTGGAAATGGTCTTCTAAGCATCTTGGATGACCAGACGAAACGAAACAGGACCGATGTACAATTGTTGGAGAGTCTTCGAAAGCGATTTGAAGGCAAGAATCCCGCAATTGCTGTAGGAAGTGCAACCGCCAAACTTCCAGGAAGCAACTTTGCTACCCATAATGCGGCTGCTTCTTTCGCTGTGAAGCACTTTGCTGGTGAAGTAGACTACGTGGTCGCTGGCCTAGTCGAGGAGAATGGAGAGGTCATCTCTGGTGACCTGATGAACTTGATTGCTTCAACCAAGAGCGACTTTGTAGGTCAGCTCTTCGGCCAAGAGGCACTACAGACTGTGGTCCACCCGCAAGAGCGTACAACCATCATGCAGGCTCAAGTCAGTTCGAAACCTCTCCGGAAGCCCAGCGTCATGCGTAAGAAGGGCGACAGGCCAAGCAGATTCGGTGGCAGGGACGTCAAAGCATCCGAGTCTGTTGAGGACGTCTCTGAAGTTCAGGACGACCCACAAAGCCGGAGAGGCCGTAATATTGATCAAGGCGCTGCTGGTCAATTCCTCTCCTCCATTGACAATGTCATCAAGTCTCTCACAGCACCAAACACAAACCCATACTTCGTTTTCTGTCTCAAGCCCAATGATCGCCGGATAGCCAACCAATTCGACAGCAAATGTGTCCGCACGCAAATCCAGACATTTGGTATTGCCGAACTCAGCCAGCGTCTGAGGAACGCTGATTTCAGTTTGTTCTTACCGTTTGGTGAATTCCTGGGCCTTGCTGAAGCCGAGACAATTCTCGTAGGGAGCGAGCGGGAAAAGGCTGAAATGGTCGTCGATGAAAAGAGATGGCTAGCTAACGAAGCTAGGATCGGAAGCACTGGAGTCTTCTTGAGTGAGCGCTGCTGGGCCGAGATAGCGAAGCTGAGCGAGCGAGGCTTCACTGCCGGTCGTTATCCCACACAATCGGAAGATGGTGCAGAGCTCACTCCAGGAGAAGTACACGGCCACTATGGAGCTTCCAAAGAGAGACTACTCGGCACCCCATCGCCTGGTGCCTACATCTACGGAGCAGACAAGAAATCCGGCTATTTTGGAAGCGCTGATGTCGATAGTCGATCCGAAGCAGGTGCTTCAGCCCTTGGTCAAGGTGACATGTTCCGAAATCTGGATACCAGGGAGCAAATGGCCGAGAAAGGAAACGAGAAAACCATGGTTGAAGTTGAAGAGGTCAAGACAAGCAGCAGTCGAAAGAGATGGATCGCTGTTGTCTATCTCATGACCTGGCTCATCCCAGACTTTCTCATCAAATGGATCGGTCGAATGCCTCGCAAAGACGTTCGAATGGCCTGGAGAGAAAAGCTCGCCATCAACATGATGATCTGGATCAGTTGTCTCTTCGTTGCGTTCTTCATCGTGGTCTTCCCTATGCTCATTTGTCCTAAACAAAACGTCTTCAGTGCGGCTGAGTTGACTTCATACAACGGTAAAGGTGCTTCTGCGTACGTTGCCATCCGTGGACAAGTCTTCGATCTTTCAGACTTTGCACCATCGCATTATCCTAGTATTATCCCTCAAAAGTCAATTTTAGCATATGCTGGTCTGGATGCAACCTCACTCTTCCCGGTTCAGGTCTCTGCTCTCTGCCAAGGTGTCAATGGTACTATCGATGACTCGGTCCAACTCGACTACACATCGACTAACACTACTGGCTCTGCCTTGGTCATCAGTAACACTGACACAAACTACAAATACCATGACTTCAGAGCTTTCACCAATGATAGCAGACCTGATTGGTTCTACGAGCAAATGTTGATGCTCAGGGCCAATTACAAGAAAGGCAACATTGGATACACGCCCAAATATGTCAGCACTTTGGCAAATAAACAGGAGTCGATTGCAATACTCAATGGAAGGGTTTACGATTTCACCAAGTACCTTCAAGGTGGTCGCAAGATCATTGTTGCTGCTGGACAGGACGTACCTACAGATGTCAGCACAGACTTCATGGACCCATTGGTTGTTGATCTATTTCAGCAGAAGGCTGGTGAGGATGTCACAAAGTACTGGACCGCTCTAGCTATTGATGATGGTATGCGATCTCGCATGCAGCTTTGTCTCGACAATCTCTTCTATGTGGGCAATGTCGACACCAGAAACTCCGTCAAGTGTCAATTCTCAGAGTATCTGATCTTGGCCATCTCTATCATCCTTTGCTCCGTTATTGGCTTCAAATTCTTCGCCGCTCTCCAGTTCGGAGGAAAGAACATCCCGGAAAATCTTGACAAATTCGTCATCTGCCAAGTTCCTGCTTACACAGAGGATGAAGACTCTCTTCGTCGTGCCATCGACTCAGCCGCCAGAATGAAGTATGATGACAAGCGCAAACTTTTGGTCGTCGTCTGTGATGGTATGATTATTGGTCAAGGCAACGATAGGCCTACCCCACGTATCGTTCTCGATATTCTTGGTGTTGCTGATACTGTGGATCCCGAACCCTTGAGCTTCGAATCTTTAGGTGAAGGTATGAAGCAGCACAATATGGGCAAAGTCTACTCAGGTCTCTACGAAGTCCAAGGCCACATCGTACCGTTCATGGTCGTAGTCAAAATCGGCAAGCCATCTGAAGTTTCACGTCCTGGAAACAGAGGAAAGAGAGATTCGCAAATGATCTTGATGAGATTCTTGAACAGAGTTCACTACAACGCTCCTATGAGTCCTTTGGAACTTGAGATGTACCATCAGATCAGGAACATTATTGGTGTCAATCCGACTTTTTACGAATACATGTTGCAAATCGATGCCGATACCGTTGTTGGTCCAGATTCTGCCGCTCGCTTCGTTTCAGCATTCTTGGATGATACCAGACTTATCGGCGTGTGTGGTGAGACTGGTCTGTCCAACTCGAAGTCTTCTTTCGTCACCATGATTCAGGTCTACGAATACTACATCTCTCACAATCTTGCCAAAGCATTCGAAAGTTTGTTTGGTAGTGTTACCTGTTTACCTGGTTGTTTCACCATGTACCGAATCCGAGCCGCCGAATCCGGAAAGCCACTCTTCGTCAGCCGAGAAGTCGTTGAAGCCTATGCCAATATCCGTGTCGATACACTCCATATGAAGAACCTGCTTCACTTGGGTGAGGATCGTTACTTGACTACACTTCTTCTCAAACATCACTCCAAGTACAAGACCAAGTATATCAGAAACGCTCACGCTTGGACCATTGCCCCTGATTCCTGGCAAGTCTTCATGTCGCAACGTCGTCGTTGGATCAACTCTACTGTCCACAATCTGATCGAACTCGTTCCCATGTCACAACTTTGCGGATTCTGCTGTTTCAGTATGCGCTTCATTGTGTTCATCGATCTTCTGTCTACCCTCGTCCAGCCAGTCACGGTGGCATACATTGTTTACTTAATTGTCCTCGTCATCCGGCACACGTCTGTCATTCCGATCACAGCCTTCATTCTTCTAGGTGCCATTTATGGTTTACAAGCCATCATTTTCATCCTTCACCGAAAGTGGGAAATGATCGGATGGATGCTACTCTACGTTGCCGCCATCCCCGTGTTCTCCTTTGGCCTACCACTCTACAGTTTCTGGCACATGGACGATTTCTCCTGGGGAAACACTCGTATCGTCACGGGAGAGAAAGGCCGCAAGATCGTCATCACCGACGAAGGAAAATTCGACCCAGCTTCCATCCCCCACAAGAAATGGGAAGAATACCAAGCCGAGCTCTGGGAAGCTCAAACTTCCAAAGACGACCGCTCCGAGGTCTCGGGCTACTCTTATGGTACCAAATACCAACCAGCTGTATCAGAACACAACTACCCACCCTCTCGTCCACTTTCTCAGGTCAATCTTAACAATTATCCTTACGACAATAAATCCGCAGCCAACATCCACGTATCCCGCATGTCCCTCGCTCCCTCCGACGCTCTCGGCCTCGGAATGGACCACCGCCAAAGTCAATTCGGTGGCTCCCAATTCGGCGGCCCAGAAATGGAGATGGCGAACCTTGCCGGCCTGCCAAGCGACGATGCGATATTGGCTGAAATCAGGGAGATTCTGAAGACGGCGGATTTGATGACTGTTACGAAGAAGAGCATCAAGATGGAGCTTGAGAGGAGATTTGGCGTCGCGTTGGATGCTAGGAGGGCTTATATTAATTCTGGTTAGTCTTTTCCCTTTCCTCCTTCTCTTACTTTTTGGGACTAACGAGTCGATAGCTACCGAAGCACTCCTTTCTGGGCAGCTATAAATTATATGATGAGTGAGGGATTTGGATGAGATGTAATGAAAGTAAGAAATCATCTGGTTGCATATATATTTGGAGTATTATTTTTTCATGAATGGAAAAAAATTTGTTGTTGTTGTGGAATGGAAAGGAAAGGTTGTAGCGATATTGAGGGTTGGTGGCTGGGTTGGCGTTTTGGATTTTGTGTTTGAGATAATAATATCACCTTTTTTCTGCAGATTGATGCTTTGATGTGTCTTGTTTGTGTCCATTGTGCCTTTGTTTCCAGAGCCCCTGAGTACAAGGCGAGGTTCCTATCGTGTACGGCTCGCTTTCAAGCGAGTATGTACCTCTGAAGCCATTTGGAATGCAAAAGCTCACGCCTATTAAAGCATACACCATATATCCTACTAAGAAAGAAAGGAAGTCCCATCTTTATACCATTCCCGCTTTTTGGTAGTTCCTTGATTCTTGCCCCCTTGCTTGTGTATACCGAAGTGGTAACCGCTAAGTGAAAGCTTCAAAATCGAAGTATCGGTGCGAGTGGGAAGCTTATCCCATGAGAAAGGAAAAAGTTGGATATGGCGCGCCAAAAGAAACTTTCGATAGAGTTAGCTGATATTCAAGAAGGATTGTGCAGGGAAGAGGTTGGTAGAGGACTAATCTGTGCTGGTGGGTTGTCTCTTGTAAGAATCGTTGCCAGCAAGTCGATTTGCGGTGGAGGCAGCTGGTATTTCTAACGATTGTGCGGGAACGGAGTTGTCTGTGTGTGTGACTTGTCTTTGTAGAGTGTCAACGGGGTGGGTGTCTGCAAGAATTGGGGGTGATGCGATGATAGGTTATGGGCGTTTTTTTTTTTTTTTTTTTTGGCTGGGTGGTCGGTGTTTGGGATTCTTGGGAAATGCATGTTTTGCGTCTCCGTTGGGATGGAAAGGATTTATGTGGGTGTCTAGCCTGGATGGAATTACGGCTATGCCCAAGGTATGGTTGTGGTAGAGTTTTGCTGTCTTCTTTGGTCGTTTGATGGACGGAGGGTGGAGTGTGCTGCGAGAGATGCATTGGATGGAGATGCTGGTTGAGTGTTTGGATATCCAATAGAGGACAATTGTGCTGTGATAACCATCTTGAGGGGAAGTTTCTCCGATCTCAGTGACTGGCTTAAAATCTTGCAGAAGACTTTAGCATAGTTGAAAGACCAGCGTTGAGTTTGATATTCTAAAGAGCCTTGATGCTTCAAGAAAGAACTGGGACGGGGTGAACAGCATGATAAAACCGAAAGAGAGTCTTGGTTGGCAAAGAATAATCGCACGATTCCCCAAGACAGATACTCTTGCCTAGTCCAATAACGCTCCTTCCCAAGACGAGCCGGAAGGAGCGGCCGCCTACCTATGTGAGTATTAAGGCCTGGCGTGGTGAGGAGGTAAACACGCTAGTGACGTTCCTCCTACATCGCGTTCCTTATTTCCATCGTACGACACAACCTCTTTCTTCACTAACTTCTCTGTTACCGATCCCATATCACAAAGAACATCCCAAACACAAGAAATAAGGAGAATACGCGTTGTGAGATCAAGATGAAGCTCTTTATCTTCCCCTTGGTTGCTTGCCTTGCCAGTCTGGGCTTGGCTGCCGCTGTTGAGCCAATTCCCCGCTCTGAGGCCGTTGATGTAAGTCTCTTTCCTGTTTGTTTTCTCCCATCGGATCAAGAGCCTGTGAACTCGAGCTGACTTCAACCTGTAGTGTCTTGATGGTACTGACAATGTTGCCCGCTCGGAGGTAGCTGTCGAGGGACAAGGTGCTGTTGATAACATTGAGGCAGGAGCTTGTGGCTCTCGTTGCAGCTCCAGCAATCAATGCCATTGCGGTGAGTGCATTCATGGCCATGTAAGTCTTTCATTCTTTCCTCCATTGCTGCAAGCAAGCTCTGCCTCCTGTCCATAGCCAATCCATGGCACTCTAATGTCTTATTGGCAATGCTGATCTTGCACTTGCAGTGTGAATTTGACCCAATTAGAGTCGATCGTTCCCTCCCCACAGAAGTGGCTATCGAGGAGCAAGCTGCTGTTGACAACATCAAAGTCGGAGACTGTGGTTCTCGTTGCAGTCACAGTGGTGAATGCAACTGCGGATGGTGCATTGGTGGCCATGTAAGTTTGCCCTTCCTCCTTCACTATGCCAAAGGCACTCTACTTTGTGACGGTGGTGTCCTTCAATGTCTTGTTGACAGAGCTGACCTTGCACTTGCAGTGTGCACTCAGGCCAATGGAACGTGACGTCGGTCTCCAGCAAGGTACCTGCGGTTCAGCATGCAATACAACACCTGACTGCAGATTGTGTCCTCGTGGTCGCTGCTTCGGAGGAAAGGTCCGTAGTAGCTCCCATCCCATCATCAATATTCTGTTGAAGCAAAGGCTAACTTGAAGGTCGCGGCATAGTGTATCTCTACTCGTGGTACTGCTCTCCCCCTCTTCGGTGGTTTCGATGTCGACGGCACAGTCATTGCTGGCTTCAAGAAGCGTTCTGAGGAAACCGCTACTACATCCGACACTGCAACTGCAACCTCTGGACAAGGAAGCGCTGTGGCCGATGACTTCTCGTACAACACAAAATGCAATTCCACTCGCGACTGCAAGGAGGAGTTACACTCCCATTGCGTTGACGGACGTGTATGTACCACTTCGAGACATTCATTAAAAGTCAGATCACTAATCTGTTGTATTCATAGTGTGTTCCCACATGCATGGCTCGTGATGCCAACTGTGCCCGTGGAGAAGCTGTGATGATTGAGGAGCTCGTCCAAGATGATCGATGCATTTTGCCATGTGATCATCCTGAACATTGCAGTCCATGCGACGCAAATGTCTGTCGTCTCGGCAGATGCTATCTCATCCGTGGTTGATTGTGTGTTTTCAATGTCAATGACAGCTGGGAACATTTGCTTTGCTCGATAGACGGGAAAGGATGGTCTAACACAAGTTATTTTGAGAGGAGCTTTTTGCTTGCAGAAATGAAGAATGAATGTCCAGCCAAACCTGGTACAACGAATTCTTTGTGACCAGCCAGAGAAACTTATTATGCCTTCTACTCCATCTTTTTCAATTATCAAAGACCCATCTCTACCAGCACATCATTCATCAACCCCCTTTCCACACCACCCCTCGCGCCCCCTTCCCCCCAAATCCCACCTGCGATCTCCACCTCTCACAACAAATTTTGCATCCCGCTCTTCAACGCGTTCCCACTCATCACAAACATACTCATACACATTCCAACCCCACTAATAAAGACCAAACTCCTCACATTAGCCATTGTCTCCGTAGTATTATTGATATAGATAAAGTTGTACAGGACTCTGGATGCGAGATAGGCCGCTGCGAAAGTGTTCAGGGTCGATGAAGGGAGCGATGCAAGGTTCCCGGCTAGGAGAGCAGTTGTGAAGAGAGGGAGGTTCTCGAAGCCGTTCATTTGAGCGGATTCGGCGCGGAGAATGCAGTTCTTCTTCTAGGGTGTGTGTTAGCAGGAATTGTCGAGGAATGGGAGGCGAGGACATGCGGCTTGATCAAGGGTTTGGTCTTTTGCTAGGCTTTCTGAGTAAGTTCTTGGAGAGCGGTTATCGAAGCTTTTGGATGAGAAGGCGGCGTAGGCGTGTGGGATGAAGGCGCAGAGCCATGCTGCTGGGACCTGAGAGGGAATATGAGCACGATGTTGAATGGGAAGAAGAGATAGACGAACAGCGTAGAGGGAGTAGTTTTTTGTGGTGTCGAAGAGTCCTGAGGCCATTTTGATGATTTGGAGAATTGAGGTACGGAGTGGGATAATTAAAATTGTATGAAAGGATGCTTAGAAAAACTGTCTGAGCTGGAATGATTAATAATTTGGGAGATCTAGGAGTTGAAAAAGGAATTTGAAGGGCTCATCGATATATTTCTTTGGTACGTCATTTTGAGAATACTAGCTATGATGTCTAGCCTCAAGTCCGTCAATTGCAGCATTACCGAGGTTCGTTGCCGTAGACTGGAAAAAGGAAATAAAAGAAAATTCGAAGTCGCGAAATGGTAAGGGAAGAGGAAGCTCGAATGGAAAATTGATTTGCACTGGCACAAAAGAGTTTCTGGTGGGTTTGCTGTCATATGCAGGAACGAGATCTAAGTGCTGACTGACTGCTAGGTCAACTCTTGCAGGATCTCTGCACTGTCACTTGGGTGCGTGATCTCAAAAACACTGTGAAAGACGAAGTGAAAACAACAATTGAGATGTTGACCTTGGTCATGATGCAGTTCGCACTGTTTGAGTCGCTTGATTCGAGATGGTAAGAGCAAATTCGAAATATGATGATGCTGATTCATACCAGATAATGCTTCTCATGGGGTACATTTGAGCACGGGAAGCCTAAATGATTGTCCGTCTCTTCAAACACGACTCTCGTTTGTGTTTCGCACGCGTCAACTCTCGGTGCTGATCCAACAAGGAGTAAGTAGCAGGTGATAATAGATGCCAATGCTGACATTATCTCAAGTTTACAATGGTCTTCAAAAAGGCAGCACCAAGCTTCACCAACTTTCCAAAACTCCCCACCGAGATTCGAATCAAAATCGTAAGTTGTAACCCTGGTGTTCTTCATTCTCACTAGCTATTCAATTCTTCTCTGTATTGCGATCCAAAGCAACTTTTATTTTCTATAAATCCTGCTCTTGATAGAAAACATAGTCTAATTTGTGCCAGTGGGAAGAAGCCTCCTACCTTCCACGAAACGTCGATATCTGGCCAGACCGTTCTGAAAGTGTTCCGGGTGAATGGTGGGACCCCCTCTATGTCAGATATCTCACCCGCTGCTGCGTTCCTTCGGTGCTGCATACGAACAGGGAGTCTAGGCAGGAGGCAAGCAAACATTACGAGCTTGCTTTGGATTCAAGAGTACCTTGGAACATGATGTGCAGATTTCAGTCCCCCATCGTATCTACGTCAATTGGAAGAGCGACACGGTTTTCCCCGTACCTTTGGGGGACAGCGACTGGCATACCGACCTATTAGAGAGACCGGAGATCTCCAAGGTTGCAATGAATATTGCCGAAAAATGCTACCATTTCAAAATTTTACGTCCATCACTCGAGGAGGCCATCCTGTATTACCTAGACCCTCTCATGGACCAAGATGCATTGTCGTCCTATTTTGACCACTTTGAAGTCAGCTTCCGACCATTTAATCGCAGAGGGCCACCCAAAAGGTTGAGGGAGTTATTCGATTTGAATAAGGCTTACATCGAAACCGACTACGAGGTTATGATAGAAAACGAGGCTCGCAAACGTCTCCCTGATAATCATATCATCCTCAACGCCGAGGACGATGTCGAGCGTAACAGAGCACTCGAACTTGAGAAGGAAAAGCTCCGTCTATTGCATCCAATTCCGGTCGTGAGGTACATGCGCCTTTTTCTAAATGGAAAAGATTCGAGCAATATTCAGAACCGGTACCTATCTTCAGCTCCACAAATTGTCGGGTGATCCTGGCAGGATTTATCTGCGTTTCATTTTGAATTGCGCTGTTTTCATGTTATGTTCAGGTCATTACAGGGGAGATTAAAAGTACGTTTCATTGAGAGCACTTTGTCTGCGTACGAACTAAAAAAATGGTGCCGAGGAGATGGAGGTCCACAAGTCTGCGTGCTGTATGGCTGTCTAGCTTGGTAATATAAGTCTGTTGATCTACTTTCATTTTGATATCTCCCGTAGGAGCCACAAATAACTCAGAAAGCCAAACATTTTTGCTGTCAACATTTTCCAAGCTCAATGACATTAGCACAAATCCTCTCGTGAATGGTCTTGCTGTCAACATTTTCCGCGCTGCCTGAGAGCATGGGTACCTCTGAGGTTACGACAAAGTCCCGTGACTGATATCTCAACAATGGAGATCTACGTCTTATTTGGGACTGTTTGGTGCTATGAAACACTACACTTTGAACCATTAATGCCACACAAACCTAGGGTAATACCACATGAGAAAAGGAGAATAGATCAAGAGACACGTGCAAGCTCTAGCCGATTCGGGCTTAGCTATCTTTACTGCCGCCTAATCTCCGTTAGTTTGTCTGCCTTCAACGACTACTTTGAACTTTCCTATTTGCGTTTTATTTTAGCAATTACTTCAGCAAACCCCAGAACACTTCATTCGCACACCATTTCGTCCTAAAGCAGGAGTATTTGAAAGCATATTTGTCTATCTGCTGCGCGCGAGCTCCCAGGATTCAACTTTCAGGTGCACCTTGTGATCCCACAGCCATCTCTCCAGCGTTCTGAATCATCCTTCGCAGCCACGCTACCACATTATCTTCCGCATATTCGATTTTTGCAGCATTTGGTGCATATGCAAGCGAATACAGGGTTAGGGAAGGGTCGAGCTAGAACCCTTGCTCGGCGAGCGTGAACGAGTTCAGAGATGTTAAGCCTCCAAAGGTTTTGGAAGCGGCAGTATAAATCCAAACGTTTATGCCTTCTTCTCAGTACAATAATTCTCCAAACACCAACACCAGTCCCCGACGCTCACCTTTCTGATCTTTTTCAGAGAGTTCAACAAGGGTCAGAATCAGACTTTCATCTCCGCGATGTGCAAGTACGTCAATATTACGCTGAAGTACAGGAACTATAAAAAGACAACAGACAAACATGTCACGACCACCCGCAAGATCACCGATGAGTGTAACACGAAGCTCGGCCTGTATTGCCCAAATCTCGAGCTAGACGGAAGTATGGCTCTCGGCAGCAGCACCTCCAACAATGATTGCCCCTTTTGCCCTACTTGACTCAGTAGCCGGAGTACCGCAAAGTCCGCATTTATGTCCAGTTAGCATTAGGGGGGAAACGGCCATGAGTGGAGACCTCACCATTCTGAATCGAGATGAATGAAACCATTGCTTATTGTGGAGGAGCTTAATGGAACTTCCATGCTCTTTTTTGAGACGTTCATTTTGATACTGTCTTTGCGATATTCTCTATAAAAATATTACGACTCTATATCTGAAATCTGATCCAAATCACTGGCGACTTCTCGCGCACTTGCATAAGCTTCAGTCCAACAATTCCAAATTATGTGTCTAGCAACATTGCTGTGAAGTGGTGGAAACTCCTCCCTAGCATATTTGTTATCTACTTTGTCATCATTCAGTTCCGGAAAGGGTCTTTTCCACGCAATGATTTCATATATAGCCGATCCCAGGCCGAAAAGCTCCCTCTTCATAAGCGGCACGTCATTGTACTGCCTTCCTCGTGAAGGCAAGTGGTAACGAGACTCGTGCGTCTGGTCCCATTTAAAATCGAACCCGTTAAGGAGACCCCCGCCAAAGTCGCCAAGCTTAATGCGGAGTCCGTCTAGGATGAAAAGATTTGAACAAGATAGATCGCATGACATTGCACCTCGTAAGTGTATGTAGCTTAAGCCGGCAGCTACATCAAGGGCCATCTGTAGGCGCTGTCGGATAGGAGGTGGGCTGTTTGACTTATTCTGTATGTACGCGCGGATGGACCCCAAGGGAGCCATCTCCAGACGAAGCGAGCGGACGCCAGGATGCACCTCTTCAAGGCCGAAGCACGTCAAAATTCGAGGATGTTTGCCGAGGTGTTTGTAGATTGTGTATTCCCGGGCTAGGCGCTCCTCGCACGCAGCCCCGTAATCAAAGACGAGATTCCCGTCAAACCAGACTCGGTACCCCTTCAGGACGGTTTTGTTTTCTGTGGTCGTCACATAGCATGTAGTGCCGACTCCAATGACCTTAGGTTTCGATGGCGACATCTGTATCCGCAAAGATGGCAAAGTAGGGTAGGTAGGGGTTGCGTGGCTAGAGCTTTGACGGACACGTCCGTAGGATAATCGATTTCGTTGGACGTTTGTGATCATTAACAGAAGACCACCAAATTGCGGTCCTAGGTAGGTAGAGACCTTCAAGAGTGCGATCACGTGTGGTGCCTTCCGAGAAACGGTAAGCGCCCAAGCACCTTTGTCGGTTGACACTTATCTTTATCCGGAATAGCGCCAAATGACCTAATCCAATGAATGTTAGGATAAGGTTGGATAAGGTTGGATAGGTTGGATAGGTTGGATAAGTTGGATAAGGTTGGAGAACGTTGAACAACGTTTAATTAAAATGGTTAGCAATCATTCCCCTCATCGACAAGAAAAATTTAACCCAATCCAGTCTCTTCCCAACGAAATGAGTAATCATGGCTTTACTTGCTTTCCAAGACTTCCGCTCGATCTAAGACAAAACATTGTAAGGAGCAAACACCTTCATCACAAGCTGCTTTGCAGATTCCTTATTTTCCGATCCCCCGAGAACGCATAATCTCCCTCGATCCTTCTGGGTAAAGCGGATAGTCCTCTACTAACTTGATGCAGTGGCGATATTCTTGCCATGAGAGAAGGATCGTCGACATCTGGACCGTGGAACTTGGAGAACTTAGCATGCATGCAATGGGTACCCCACGAGGTCCATACCACGCATGCTTGCGCCACGTGACCATTTGCAAAATCCCTGATGTCCTCCATGCTACCGAGGAATCCAGAAGAATTGCCTTGACTGACTATACACTGGCATTTGGGTTCAGTCATCGATTGTCCCATGGATTAAAACTCACTGGAGCCCCTCAATCATACGTCAATTGGGATAGTGATATAATATGCCCAATGTCTCTCGAAAGGCAAACTTGCTTAGACTTTTTTCTTGCTGTTCCCGGGTTGTCCAAGATCGCTCTCAACATTTCGGACATTGATATGGATTTGGTGGATCTTACAATCAACTCGTGGATCAAGGAGGTCATTCTTTACAGTAACTGGTACCCATTGAAAAATGTTGATTTTTCACTCTGGGTCGACCGTTGTGAGGTGGAATTAAGAGACGAATGGAAAACCGAAGAGAAAGCGTGGTTAGAAGAGGGTAGGGCTGCGCTTTACCGCCGATACGAAAAGATGGAGAGGCGTAAAAAGAGCTCTGACTCCTCTTTGGATTCCCGCTCGAATCCCGGACAAGAGCTTTCGATACAGCCCATGGAAGAAGAAGAGTTGGCACAGAAGCATCCTCGGCCCCTTGTGACTTTCAAGCGCTTGTTTGTAAATGGAATCGACATTGATTCAGAAACGGTGCGAAGGAATGAAGAAAGATTCATTAATGAATACAAAAAAGCCATGGAAGAAACCCAAACTTAATCTTGTCTTGGTAAAAAAAAGTAGTTTCTCATTTTTCAAAGCTCAGAAGGTTCGTGCTTACCACTCGCTCAGTTTTACCTCAACAATGAAAAATATCTCGGAATTGGATTTTGCAGGCGTATCTCTTGCTTGAAACCTCTTTAATGGCATCATCTTATTTGCTCGATCCAACCACACCTGGTAAAATTCGTGCTAACGGGACTTTGTCAGCACATTTCATCTGATCATCATGGGTGCGTTGGATCATGGATTGACTTGCAGACAATGTTCTGGTTCTGTATGTTGCATGTATCAAGCGACGGGTTTGGTATATATTTATCAGACGGTCTTGATGAAGTGAATGGGTGTGCATTGCTCCGGAAGAGATTGCGAGGGCCAGAAGTATTCAAATGTATAAGATTTCAAGGAGCGTTCGCAACGTTGCATCAATCCATGCTGCTCAAGTTGCCTGATGAAAGTCGACTACAACTGCAAGCATGAATTAGTTCTCTGTTCCATGAAATGCAATCGGAAGGATAGATGATGCTTCTATGGGCACTTGCTTTTCATTTATCTACTGATTCGTCTTGATACTTTTGGGGCTAGGAAGCGGGTGGAGGGCATCACTAATCCCAAGTAAGCGAGCTTGAAGATCTCTGGAACAGCAGTGGACGTCTAGGGTTGCCGTACTCATTCTTCTTCGTTTGCAAGAATTAGGCCACGTTTTCGAAACACCTCTCTAGAATAAGCTACCCGACATCAACATACAAATCCTTCTTGCTCACTAACATAAAAACCAAGAACGATCTTTGTCCACAATTCCTATAATCACTGGGAGAGCAATCCACATTGGTTCATGCCTCAAAGTTGTTTCACCACTGTATGTTTGATCCATCATAAGAAACGAAGCTTCCAGAAGTAGTCTGCTTCGTCGCATTGTCAATCTGAGTCACGTCAGAAATATTTTCTTCCAAGACTTCGAAGTCCACGTAAAGGGAGCGCAACTCACTTGCTTCAGGATCCCCTCAACGCTTTCCTCCATAGTCATTGGTGGCTCCTTTACTCCGATTGCATCTGCGAAGTTCTGTCCATTCTCAGTCTTGACCCATCCTGGGTGAATCGCCACGCTGGTAATAGGAGCGTGCTCGAAATGCACTTTTCTGACAAAGTAGTTCGCTGCTGCTTTGCTGATACCATAAGCGAGACTAGGGACACCTCCTTCCATCTCACCAATGGAGCCTAATGAAGAAGATATCAGGATAAACTTCGGGTCATTGGACGTGGAGAGGAGAGGATACAGCTTTTGGAACAATAAAATGGGGCTCAGAGAGTTGGTCTGAAAGTGTTTAAGAATTGATTCTGATGTCGAGTCCAAGCCCGAGTGGAAGTCGGTACCAATTCCCAGATTGGCGATCACGACATCGATCTTGGAGATTCCCCATTCGGCTTTGAGCGAAGTCGTCAACTTCGACGCCTCGCCCGCTGGGTCAGAGTCGGGAGAATAAGCTTGAACGATCAATTGACTTCCAGTCGCAGTCTCCACGGAAGACAATCCATTCTCTGATTGAGATACATTTCGCATTGTGGCAATGACAATAGTATTGGGTCGAAGAAGGAGGGCTTGAACGAGTCCAAAGCCGATGCCTGATGGAAGCGAGATTAGCCGAGAGATCCACGTGAAATAAATAGGGTTAATAGGGGTAATACCTCTATTCGCTCCAGTGACCAAGTATATAGTTTTGCCCTCCATATTGAGATATCTGATGAAGTTTGGCAGATATGTGATGAGAGGTGTCGTGTATTTCGATGTTTGAAGGTGGGGATGTGAAAATTTTTGATGGGGAAGAAGCGAGGTGAGAGAAGGTGGAAAACGTGGTTTAAATAGAAGAACCTAGCTTTGTGCCGCTTGGTAGGCTTGGTAAGTCGAAAATCATTGGCTCGTTCGTACAGAGTTGGTACTGTAACATCAGAGTCTTTCGGGAAGGTGCGAAGGGGCTGAAGAGACGGGAATTTCGTGAAGGCACGTGACGAAGATTTTCATTTCCATCCTTCGTTCGCACGCAGATGGTTCATCGAATATTGACAATACCGCAGCATGCCTGCCCATTGATCTTAGTCTAGGTCTAAAACTCAACAAAAGCTCAATTGTGCGTCGAAGAGTTCGTCTGCGAGCATAGGAAGCCGGCAAGAGGAGAAGTCCGTTCTCGAAAATGACAATTTTCGGCAATGGAGTTCGACTGTCTCCCCCGCTCTTGCTCGACAATTACAAAAACCTAAATATCTCATCTATAGTCGGTATAACCCTAACTAATGTCGCAATCGGCGTTCATCGCTTGCTTTGCTACACCCGACATGTCACTTTGACTTGTATATAAAGGCGATCAACGGTCACGGACCGGATATTAAGGCTCACTGCAAGAGATTCATACAATCAACTAAGGCAAACACATATACTGCTCGATTACGTGAACTCGTTAAACAAAAGTGGTATAGCACGAATAAGAAAGATTGCCAAAGAAAGACATCGAGCGACAACCCAAGATTCAATCAAGCGAGCGCGAAGTAATTTGCTAAAGCAGTTGATGTACTTCCTCTCAAAAGAGCAAATACTCATAGCAGGTTCTTCCCGTCGCCCTTCAAGGTTGAGCCAATCAAATCTGATGGGAACACGTGAGCCTTCTGCTAATGCTAGAAATGCATCTCAATTTTCGGAAAGAAAAGCTCAGCTCAAATTACGCCTTCCGGCAGAGAACTCCTCCGATCATCCTAGATGCAAATAGTCTCATTGCATGTTCAAGGCCCGAGGGTTCCGCTCAGAAGATCCTCTTCTCCACCAAGCTCAAGAGCGGGGCTCTATAAGATTAACGTTGCAAATTTAGATGAAGTCACTTCAATTTCTCCTATGTTCTGTTTCGTATTTAATGGTTATCAGCGAGCGGAGGCGTAGACGGTTGGTCTGACCTTCTTTTCATAATTCGCATCGTGAAGAGCAATCATGGCACTAATAGCGCAAGTAGCGCAAAATGCGCCAACCCCGCAAATCGCGCGAAATGCACGAAACGCGCAAATCGCGCACCCAGCGCTGAGAGCGCTTCATCTTTACCAAGTACAAACAACAAACTTAGCATCACGCTTTCATCTCCACATCGCTTTTCTAACTTTCATAAGGGCCTTAGTGGAAGCAACGCATCAAAAATGGTGGTCGTGGAGGCAGGATGCGGAGCGAAGTCTTCCGAGCTAAATTGAGAAAGGTGGCCGGCATTATTATTAGCGAAGAGGGTGAAGGACATCTACTGGAGTGGACAACCTTATTTTGATGTCAAGGATCAGCTGTGCATATTGTGGTATAAGGGCCATCTACTAATATCCCATAGTGATGGATCCAGGGATCATTGGCGATCACGGGCCGGCGGTGGTACAGGTGAGGGGTAAGTATTTTGAGTTTTTTTTCCCTATTTTGGGAGACACGTTCAAGTAAAGAAGCTCCTCGAATCGCAGTTTCACTTGAGTTTTGTTGAAAAGATGACCCATTCGTAAAAGTTTTTTGAGAGTCCAAAATACTACCACTGACGATCGTGGCAAATTCAGAATGATGTTCATTTCTATCACTCTTGCTATATGGCTTGCCATTTCTCAAGTTCAATGCTTAGTACAGAAAGACGATGTGGTAACTATCTCCTCAAACCTACACCCATAATGATATTTATTGGTCTGCAGGGTAAACTTCCAGCTTTGGGGTGGAATTCATGGAATGCTTTCGCCTGCGACATCAACGAAACCAAACTCTTGACAGCAGCCAACCAGATCGTGAGCCTAGGCCTTAAAGATTCCGGCTACGAGTATGTTAATAGTCAGTGGACTCTCCGCTGATACAAAATGTCGCTGACGCTCAAAAGTCGACGACTGTTGGGCCGTGAAATCTGGTCGCGACAACAAAACCGGCCAGATAATTCCTGACCCCATCAAATTCCCCTCCGGAATCGACGGACTTGCAAAATCTATCCATTCTCTGGGGTTAAAAATAGGTATTTACGGTAGCGCTGGAACCGAGACATGTGCTGGATATCCTGCCCAGCTCGGACATGAATATCTCGACGCTGCGACTTTCGCCGCCTGGGGCATCGATTATTTCAAGTACGACAATTGCTACGTACCATCTAATTGGACAGATCCATACGACGCTTGTGTACCTGATCAATGGCAGAAGTATGGACCCTTTGTCAATGGTACTTGCGCAAAGTCAAGCACTGATGCTCCCACGGGTTACAATTGGAGCACGAGCAACACGGCACATCGATATGCCATTATGCGCGATGCGTTACTTGCTCAAAATAGGACGATTCTATACAGTCTATGTGAATGGGGACAAGCAGATGTTGTAACCTGGGGAAACGCAACAGGAAACTCTTGGAGAATGTCCGGAGATATCAATCCGTGGTGGGCGCGCGTCGCCGAAATCCTGAATGAGAACACCTTTCTCTTGAATAGTGTCAATTTCTGGGGTCATAACGATATGGACATGCTCGAGATCGGAAACGGTAATCTTACTTTGGCTGAGAGTAGATCACACTTTGCGTTTTGGGCAGCGATGAAAAGCCCTTTGATCATCGGGACCGCTCTAGATGTTCTACCTGCGACCCATGTGGCTATACTTCGAAACAAGTATTTGCTAGCTTTCCATCAAGATCCACTATTCGGAGCACCAGCAACGCCTTATAAGTGGGGTACCAATCCAGATTGGACTTTCAATGCCACCAACCCAGCTGAATATTGGAGCGGGGAGAGTTCCCAAGGCACGTTGGTCCTAGCTTTGAATACTCTCGGTACGAAAGCACCAAAGACGATTGTATGGAAAGAGGTTCCACATTTGGAGAAAGAGCACGATGCCTTCCAGGTTACAGATATTTGGTCGGGAGAGAGTTTAGGTTGCGTTTCAAAAGGGATTGAAATCAAGGTGGAAGCTCATGATACAGTGGGATATATTGTGGGCGAGAAGTGCGCTCCCATGTTTAGTTCGTGATGTAGAGCTTGAGTTGAAAAAGCGATTTCTGTACGAAAATTGGTCTTGAACGGAGATTTGATTGATCTTGAACCACGATTCATGGAACTTTCCAGAGGTCACAAGAGGAACACATATAGTCCATAAATATGAAAGGATTGCGACGGTATTTCTTACAGGTACGAAATTGAACAAATGAAACTTCTACGCATATCATTGAAGAAGGCGTTGAGCGTGGGAATAAACTGTCGGCCCTCTCGCTTACCCCTGATATACTCGCTTATGAATTTCGCCTCGAGGTCAAGCGAAGAACAAATAGATTGAAGCAACACGCAAATAAGATAAGTCAGACTCGCTTAAAAGAAAGCCAAAATTCAGAAAATCACTTATGTCGTAGAAGGTCGGGCTCATACATCTCAACGTCTTCACTTGAAGCATGTGGGAAGGCGGCAGGCAGCAACTCTTGGGGATCTTGGTAGAAGTATTTGATTTGTGACATGTATGTACTGTCAATCACCCATATGCACAGCACTTACATGACTCAGTTTAATCAGATCAGTCGCGCAGAGTCGAATCTCGGCAGTCAGACTGATCCGCTTCAAATTTCCCTGCTCAATAACGCCTTGCGGTAACAAGTAGACTTATCAAAATTTGGTCGGTCGCTTGTAGGCCAAGCTGGGTATCACTCACTATGCAGACGTTAGCAAAATACAGGACTATGAATTCTTCGTGAACCTCGAAATGCTTCAAAGCGTAGCCCCTGAAATCTCTGAGTTAACACTCACCTCCAAACAAAAAACCAAACATCATCGGACCATGAAAGGATCATCATCGACAGGCTCGACTTTAACTGAAACCGGGAACAGCTTCTTTCCCACCATGCCGGTGATACGCTTCTCCGGAGACACCGGTGGGCTTGCTGGTAATGGAATCTTCCGTGGACTCAAATGACTCAAGTGGCTCGTCCTCCTCTCCTCCCTTGACTTCTCGAATTTCATGGCCAAGATGATTTTTGGGTCAGGACCTTCATAGGTCCCATCGTCTGCCACATCGAAAACGAGTTCCTTTCCATCTGACCCTCGGGCCGTCCGGACCTTGAACTTGTCAAGCTTTTCCACATCTTGAATATCTTTTCGGAATGTCCTGGCGAAATTCCCCATCCCGTCGTCCCAGTATATCCTTTCGTATCCAGTCTTCCAGTCAACACCGACAAAGTAGCCACTATTCGGTCGAGATGCGTCGGTAGTGGACGGTCGTTGGATTGTGTCACCGCGCGGAGTTACATATTTCGCAGCGCCTAGAGCATCGGGGTTGCCAGGCGTACCGTCGCAGTGATACCAAGACCCGTCTGCGTTGAAATAGTAATAAGACTCACCTATTGTACAAATTAGCTAGGAACTCTTTGCAAATACAGTAGATCATACGTACACTCGTCGAAATGATTCAAGTAATAATCTCCTTGCTGTCGAGGTCAGTCCAGCCTATCTAATTCTCGGTACCGCCGGAACTCACCATATTGATGCCCCAATCACCATCGGGCAATTGCTCTGGTAATGGAGCACCATGATATAGCGACCACTTGATTTTTCCAATTGCATCTGCCTTCGAAACCCAACCCATGGTGGCAGTCTCTTTGGGTTGTGCAAGTCGTCGCTGTCTCCAACAAGAAAGCAGGAAGAAGACAACAAGATACGCTGATTGATTAGCCTAGGTAACATCAAAGTTCAGGCCAGCCCCTGACCTTTTAAGTTCTCCAAGGAGCTGGTGGGGTCAAAGACACCGGGTACTTATCAATATTCTAATATTAGAACTAGGCCAAAAAGGAAAAGATTTACTCAAGGAGGGTTGCAACAAAACACAGCCTTGCAGCAATGTGGGACGGCACGAAGCCAAAAGGAGGCGTGGCTCAGCCACGAGCGTCAAGCACAGTTGTACCTGACCAGAAATGACAGAGCATGCCTGATGGTAATGCAACGACTATTGAATGGCAAGGTGGTGAAGTCGTCTCACGACACGTGCCCAGCGTGGGGGTGTCAGCACTTTCCGGGGAAGTCGACCCCTGTTCTTACCAGTCTCACGGGAAGGCGCATTCGCGAGGCACTATTGATTTCAAGGCTCAAGGCTGCGCAAAGGTGCAAGGTGGAAATGTGACTGCAAGAGTCTTCATTCAATTCCAGTCACCGACCGAAGCCAATCCTGTTCGCTGTCCCAAAAAGCGCACCGAAAGTCAACGCAATAAACACCTAAGCCTCGCCCTTTCCCGTCACCGCCAAAAGAGCTTTCTCGGTCTACCACCTCTACTTCTTGTAGACATTGCCATCGGGAGCGGTGTAAGTGGAGCCACTACCGGAGTTGTGATAGGTGGAGCCATTGCCGTTGGCGTAGTAGTAGGAACCATCTGTGGTTGTGTCAGCTTCGTTCTAACAGTATGGAAAATGTCATACCAGAGTTGGAGTAGTGGTAAGCAGGGCCGCTGGGTTGCTCACGGGTATCGTAGTTGTTGCCCTAAATATTTTAATCAGTATCGAGGATGCGCAAAGCGGTGTATAAGTGGGTATACTTGAGAGTTGGTACCGCTACTAGTGACGGTGTAGGGAGTGTAGGAAGAACCAGAAGCATCCTTAGAAGGCATTTTGAAGTATTGATATCGTAGTCTTGTTTGTTGAGGTGATGTTTTTTGGTGTGGAATTGAGTCAAGTTGAAAGTTTTGTTGGAAAAGAGGAAGAAGGGATGGTGGATTTGATCGAACAAGCTCCTCTTTATGTAGTCTTGACGAACAAATACCGAAGTGAATGGGAAAGCTAGTGTACATCAACCTTAGATGATTCCTCCCTTATCGTTATCCATGTTTTAGGAAGAGAAAGCGGGGTACAGGTACCAAGCGCAACTGGCAATGAACTTTGAAAGGGGGATCGGCGTTTGAGATATCTCCTAAAGAGCTCTAGCTTTGCTTTAGGACCCATGGTTTTCAAAATCAGGCTCATGCACTCATTGCCTTCCAACAACTAGCAATAATCGTGTCCCCCTGACCTCTGGGAGTGGTCTAGTGAATTATTCAATGCACAGACCACTCCCTCCGGGAGTGTCACCGATTAACTTGCAACACGTAGTTGACTTGCAACAGCGCTAAAAGGCTTGCGGGTATTTATCAGAATGCAAAAGTAGCATGCATCCCTCACTAATTCTAGTTGTGGGGCAGCTTACCTCTTAGCGCTGTTGCAAGTCACTACGTGTTGCATTTCAATCGGTGACACTCCCGGAGGGATAGCGGAATAAGGCCCCGACCAAAGGTCAGTGGGACACGATTAATGCTTCCCATTGATTTGTTCTTCACCTGGTCAAACCCTACCTCCACGTGCACTTGGTGAAGTGAGAATCATTGACAGTCTCACAAACAACATCCTGGGAAGCATTGTGCAACACCTTCAGATTGGTATGTCTACTCATAATGTCCCAGGATCTAAACGCACATTGGAACATTAAAAGTCGGTGTAGAATCCAAAGTTGTGGTTCACTGACGCGAAAGCACATGTGTTTATGTGGGTCTGCGCTGGATTATCGTTTGTTTTGTTCTTTTCACTTCTCCTCTACGGACTGCAGAGATGTCATTCGCGAAGAAGAAATTCCAGTACTCAAGAAGCTCGTTGATGCCTAAACCGTCAACGAATCTTGAAAACCTTCTCTCCCAAACCCTGTTTCTCCGCATGCATCAATCCGTGAACATACGCGAAGCCCCTAATCCGAAACTCCTCGCCATCTGGGCGCAAAACTAGAGGATACGTGCTTCCCCGCGCAACATACACCACATCTCCCGGTCTGGCTGATGAGATCAAACAGCCCATATATTTGTCTTCAGTGATGAAGAAGCTCGATTCGGGGTATTTGAAGTCCCAGACCGGTTTTCCGAATAAAGTTCCATCGGCATTTTTGGAATCGTCGGACACCTCGGCAGGTACGTACATGTTGTATGTTTCTTCATCAAGCGCGATTTTCAAGTATGCGACAAACCTGTGGAGTAAAAGATGCTCGTCTGCGGGATCACTCTTCTCGTTGAGACCGAAGGAGAACGATGTTGCAGCGGTGGTGAGTTCGTCGGCACTGAAAGGGACGTGTAATAGACTTTTTCGCATTGTCCCAAGTATACTCTGCCAAGTTTCTTTCAATGTCTGTCGTCCCTTGTCTGATTCGGTCATTGAATTGCCAAAGCAACTTTCGTTGTAAGGTTCGATAAACTTGATCGGACCAACAATGAACCCAGAAAGAGATAGAATGCTTGATTCCTTGTCGATTTCCCACGTAGGACTTGTCTCACCAGCGGGTCTCCATGGCAGTGGCTTGCCAAACCGGAAAGGGTTCCGGAACAGCATCGGTATCTCCCATCGTGGTACCCAAGAAGGATCCTCGGTGCCTTGAACATAGAGCAAAACGTCTGTTTTGTCGAAATTCACGAGGGCTGCTTCGACCGAGTCCCGATAAACTTCTTCTACTGACTTGCTGTAATCAGGCGCCAACAACTCAGCTCCCTTCTCAATCTTCATCATGCCCCGCAGACCATATATCACATCTCTTGGATCCAAGCAGGAGAAGTTGGATGCAAGGTATAACATCAGAAGCCAGTTCCTTGGCTGTACTAGATCTGTCGTCACAGTTGCTGCCCACCAACAATATGCATTTGAGAAGCCAAACGCTTTTGAGAATGCAGTTTCCATTGTGATGTAGCAAGCCACCAGACTGACTCGATCCCACATGACCTTCTCAAGGCCACAATGAAGTAAGCGCTCTTTGTTGGCATTCACTTCCTGGATCGCCCAGACCCGAGTGAAGTACGGATGTTTGTAGAACCAGACCAGGGACTTCCACATGGCTTCGGTGCTGAAATCGCATTCATTTGGAACAGGAAGAACATCGCCGGCTTTGGCCATAATTTCTTGGTAAAGATTGTCCGCTGACCCGAGTTCTGAGACTGGTATTCCAAGCTTCTGGCACAAGAAGTCTGATATTGTGAGGATGGAATCTATTGCAACTCTTGCTTGGTGGTCCTTGGAATCGGGCCCAACCCATATCAGGACGGTCTTGGCATTTTGATAGATCTTTCGCATTTGGGCGACTTGAGTGCCTCGTTCAGGGATGTCTTTTTGATTGATACTATTTCGAAATGAATCGTTAGAGCAAGAACTGATATTGGAGATTGGTAGACGTGAAAAAGCGTTTCAACACTAACAGGCTGCTATTGGACATTCGATCAAGAGATAAAAGAGATTGTAAGAGAAATCATTCGTAAATAAATTAAACAATTTGATCTGCTTACCAGATAGCATCGACCCACATCACTCTAGAGCAATCTGGGTATCGAAAATGCTTCAACCCTGTCTGAAGATTCGCGGTCACATCGAGCCTCTTCCCATCAACGATGACCGGAACCTTGGCATTTGGATCGCCCCAAGCATAAGATATAGCTTCGTAAACCGGTAAGTCGGCCCAATGTGCAGTGCGCAAGAGACAAGAAATTGGATCGCCTTCCACGCCGGGTAGAAGTTCCAGTACTCTAAACGACGACGGGGTTGGCAAAGCCTCGTGCTCATACAACTCTCCGGGATATTCGACCATTGTATAAGGCGTGCGCTCCGGACTAGGATTGGTCGTTGATGCTGGGAAATAAGGTTGGATGGTCGAGAAGCAAGGTTGAATTGTTGGATGAACGTGGTGGCTGCGGGGTTGATATGGTAGCGAGATTCACCATTTGTCTCCCCTATCATGCATATACAGGTATCTCTGCATAGTTGACGCTTCTCGCGCACCGTACCATTCATATCACCTCAGAGCAAACAACCTGCAGATATAAAGATCAGACAATTTCAGAAAACCAACCTAGTCAACACAAATCCGCCCTGTGATTTATCTACCACCACCAAAAGCAGCATTCGCCATGTCAACTATTGCGCGCTTCAAGCTAATCTTTTTTGTCCCACCATCGGCCCTCAAAGCTTGCAAGTCTGCCATCTTCGCCGCAGGAGCAGGCCGCTACTCTGGACCAGGAACCTATACAGAATGTTGTTGGGTTGCCATGGGTACAGGCCAGTTCCGTCCGGGCGACGCTGCGAAGCCAAATATTGGGAAAGTGGGGGAGCTTGAAGAGGTTCAGGAGGCTAGGGTGGAGACGCTTTGCTTAGGGGAAGATGTGGTTAGGAAGGCTGTTGAAGCTTTGAAGAGGTAAGCTAGTCAGTCCTTGAAGTCTTTGGAGGGGCTTTGGTTCAAGGTAGCGCTTGACTTGAGATGTAAGTGGTCGAGTGCGGGGCACGGGCTAATGGCTATCAATTCCAGTGCGCATCCTTACGAGGAGCCTGCGTATGAAGTGATTAGGTTGGAGAAATTTTGAAATATAGCCAAGACATATTCGTTGAATAAGTGAAGAAAAATTTGGAGTATTTCTGCAAACAAATTGCGTATAACAAAATTGCATGGTTTGTGATACTCTGCCCCTACTTTCTTGGACATCAGAAACAAGAAGCGTGAAATATAAAAATACATCAGGCGATCATCATTCAATTGCCCGTCATTCGAGCATTCCTTACTGCAAATTTGTCGCGCAAGGTACTCTTTTACTTGCCACAGAAGCTGCACTCAGGAAGAGCGTCTGTGGTAAGTTGGTCAGTTCATTGTTACGAAAGTGTTTAAGAATTGACAACATACTACTCCCAATGGTGGGGCAATTATAATCCGTAGTGTTGGCCCATACCCAACAAGAGTAATCCGGATTATGATCCCAGGCTCTGGATTACTTTTCGTTAACGTTGTGTTCCTGATCAACTTGAATTGAATGGTAGCACTGACCCAATGTTGTTAATAGTCTCGCCATTAGGACACAGACAGTCGAAGTTATACGTCTGCTGATTCTGGAGCACCTTGACGACATCACAACTAAGCTGGTCGCAGTAGTGGCAGTTGACATCTGCTCCAGCAATGATCTTGCATCTGTGAGCGGCGGTGGTGGTAGTGAGGTCTCGCACTTCGGGGATGGAGAGGGTGAGTCCCAATGGGAAGATGGCGATGAAGGTGGTGAAGAGCTTCATCTTGAAGAAGTCTTGAGTGTTTGGGAAGGTGAAAGTTAATGAAGCTTGTTGAGAAAGATAGCTGAGGTGGGAGATTGAGTCTATTACGACGTTTGTGTTGATCAGTTCTTGGATGCAAGCTTTGAAGTGCAGGTTCTTCGTCTTATACTTTTCATGACGAGGGTCACATATAGGAACGTGTGAAAAGCATCTCTCTCCTGACAGTCTTTCATCAGAAAATAGACAGAATCTCCTTATGTCCGAGCTGCACCTCGTCAAGCAGATACTTCGCGAACGCGGAGGCCAAGGTGGTTGAACATACTTTTGTATGGTGGGAAAGAGTGATATTCGAACGCCACAATATCGGATATGGCGGTCCGAGCTGAGTCGAAGTTCATGGGAACCATACCATTCGTTTGCTCGGTAGCGAATTCATCTGATCAGCTCCACGAGGCATTCATCCTAAATTTTCGAAGAGCGGCGTCATCATCGAACAATGGCAACCGATGGTAAGAGAGTACGATCGAGAGGTCGAATATCGAAAAGATGCGGCAACGAGTCTAAAATTAGGGACAAACAATTTGAGGCTTTGAAGTAGAGTTCGGGATTCATATAGAGATATTAGCCTAACTCCCAACATTTTCGCGGTGGTAAACAGGCCATCTGAAGTTATTATCACATATTGCATGCCGCGCACTCTACGTGACTACCCAATAGTTTGGTACTGATAATGATAATGCCCTTGCGATGATAGTATTCTATGCACTGCAGAGGTTCATCAGAACGGGGGTTGAATGCTGGTTCTTGGTACCGGGCGGCAGATTATGCGGACTTGATCGTTTGTAGATCAGCCGCGAATCAAATCCCCGACGCGATCTTGGGTTGCAACGCTTGTTCCATGATATTGGTAGAATTTTCGCGTGTGACAGCTCTAAACCTGTCGGACGCGAGCCATAATCTATAGGAGTGATTTCGTTCCTAGTTGATAACGTTGGTCTCGAAGGAAAATACTTTAACGGATGGTGAGCTGATACGCTAGACTATTGTTCCCAGCACATGTATGCCAGACAGTTCTAAATAGCTGTCACGCTGCACGATAACTAATGTTCTTTGATGTAGGTCGCGGTAGCCTTGCCAGTTCTCTATTTTTCTCATATTACATGCATGCATAGTCGAGACTCTCGACAGCTCTGATTGTAAGTACAATCAAAAATACAAGAACAAGCATTGCGTGTCATCTCAAACAGAGACGAGTGCTCAGATAAGTTTTCGCTGAGCAGCATGTAAAGCTTTCGGCAAGGACTAAGGTGAATGATGTGAAGGTTGGCCTGCATAGACGACGAGAACATTTGATCGTGTTTGGTGAGATGCAGGAGTCAATCCACAACTCTATAAACGGAAGCAAGTACTGTTCTGAGTTCCGTACAGCGGACATCCCCAACACCGCGTATGACCTCGGCATTCACGGCGCACTTACGACAAGAAAACCTCCCGATCTTTTTACAAAGTTATCTCCTGATATAGAAACCAAGTGCGATTATTCCAAGATCAAAATCACTCATGGTAATACGGAGCAAGTTTGGTGTAGTCATGGGTTTGTGCCAACTCCCAACAAAAGCTCCTCTCTTGAGGACTTGCAGGTGCCCAGCTGGTCTTGGACTAACGTGACAACTTCCCCGATATCTTTCGTATAAGCGAGATATAGTGTACAAGTATACAGACGTGTACAAATGTACGATTGAACTGCATCGAAGATCTCTCCAGGCCAATGAATGCAAGTTGGACACGACACACTGTCCGAACAGATAACGGAGGGAAAGCAAGCAAGAGACGAAGTACTTCCAAAGCAATTGGGACGACAGCCACGTACGGTACGATTCAATACGAACAATGATCAGATCCAAAATGTGTTTCCCGTCGAGCCTTGGATATATGACCAGAGGAAAGAAATCTTTTTCCTAAAAAGTTTGGTCCAGAACACCTTGACGGGACCAGGCAAGAGGGCTTGTCTCGAATGGGGAAGGCTCGAATGAGTTCCTTTCATCTTCTCTTTCTCGAAGAACGTTCGCAATGCAATTGACGTTCTCATTGACCGTCTCTGATTGCATACATCCGCCATAATTGTGAGGATATATTGCGGGAAGCAGCCACTGATCGACGACGACCGTTCAGCTGGCCAGACCCATCCGCATTCCCCGCCCCTGGTCACGAGGCTTCGCACCAGTTCGCGTGCATATTGGCGCTACTATTGAAGTGGGGGACTGACGGGTACACGTTCTTCGACATCGCACACAACAATCACTTGTAACCACCACCCAATTCAACCTTCACTCTCCTCTTATTTGCATCGAATTGCTGTCCGACCGGTCGCGACTCGTACAGCGACATCTTGAAGCTGTTGACACGTCGGCCTGGAGAACAGCGAAGGAACGCGTGGCTTCAATCGTTGCGACTGCGCCGATCGCGCCTCATATCAGTCAACCGTAGCATCCCGGCCATCACCGCCACCACTAGTAGCACCAAGACGTCGGCGAATTTGTTTACATCTGTCAGACTCGAAGAGATAGTATCCCATCGTGCGCATTCAAGGCCAACTCTCTGGACTTTCCATCATTGAATGGAACCTCACCGGCTCGCAATAGCTGCCCTCGGTCAAGTCGCACAGGCCATGACTCCGAGCACGAGCACGAGTCGCGATACCGCGGATAAAGTCTCGTCGAACGCGACGGGTATCGACATGGAACCATCTACGACGAACAATAAGATTGTCGACAATGCTGCAGGAACCCATCCGCTTTCACAAAGATCCTCACAAACTAACAAGACGATGGCTCGATATGAAATTTACGAAGAGGAGCACGATACCGCAGGGTCAGGTCGCCGAACAGCATCTAGTAATAACTCTCAGTCGACGACCGACAGCCACGATATCGTCTCTACGCCTCCAACCTCATCTACCGAGGCCTTCTCGTCACAAAGCACGAATGCCGACAGCCAGCTGTCACAGTTATCTCAACTTTCGCAACTTGCGGCACAACAACCACCTTTAAGTAATGAAGGTCCGACGCGACCGAGTCTCGCCATTCCAGCATCTGCTGGTCAAAAGAGGACAGCCGATGGACAAGTGAAGGCATCATCAAGTTCACCGGACAGTGCGAAGCCTCGAGGACACTCACGAAACACAAGTACGGTCAGTAATGTGTCTTCTGTCGCCAGTAGTCGGATTGGAGAGGTAGGCAGCAATCAATTCTGCAGACGGCCAGATATTGACTTGAACCAGCTTTCTTCTGAACTCCGGACGCGTCTCTCTTACGCCATGATCAAAGTCAACAATGGATGGCAAGCGAATACAATTGATGAGGTAGAGACGCTTGCTTCTCAAGCTGGATCTCCAACCTCCTCTTCTTCGACTCTACAGGGTCGTCGCAATCAAATAACTTCTCCACGTACCGCAATTGCGAATGTACAAGGGCAACCAAGTAACATGTCTTCGGTTTCGCAAGCTCATACGGCCGATTTCGATTTATACTCTAGGAATGATCCTCCATCTCGAACATATGAGTCTTTCTGGCGCGACCATTCAACCACAAGTTACCCAGCTCCAAGGACGGCCCTTCCTCATGGACCTATCACTTCTCCGCCATCTACTTCTCTAGGACCCCCCGCTGATATTCGTCCTACTCCTACGTCTCGCAGATCTGGAACTCCCAAATTCAGCAAACCACCCACCCTCCCAAATCATGGCTCTAACTCGCCTTACAATGCCTCAGCTCCTCGCACACCGCACCGTTCCGACCTGAGAGAGAACGCTACTATGCAGACGCCCACGCAGAAAACAATTCAAGAGCAGGATGCGATTGAAACTTTGTTGTTCATGAGCAGTCCTGGAAACTCGGGAAATATGGGTCATGCGTTTCCACCGCCAAGAAATCACGGTTCACCTCAGCAGAGCCCCTTACGTGCCGAGTTCAACGTCCATGCCAGAGTTGCTCCAGGTAGAAGAGTGGAATTCGAACCTACAGCCACTAGTGCCAGCACAGAGAGTAGTGAAGCTGGAGCTCCTGAGTACAAACGCCACGTGAGAGGAAAGGTTGTCACGAGAGACAGAATTCGAGGACAAGCTATTGACCGTCTTTTGGATGAGATGGGTGACTCAAGCAGTGACGAGGAAGAGATACCCTTGAACTATTCTAGTCCAAGACGAGTCACTGCTGGAAGGGTGTGATAGCAGCCAAGTGGCTATATTTGAAAGTAAATACATTGAGACGACTTCTTTTGCATATATGGAGTTCTTGCCTGCATCTCTAGTGACGCAGAGCTTTTTTTTGTGGGCGTCACACGATACCCTTTGATACTGTTACTTTCAGCTCAAGGCTACGAGGTACGATTTTCATTCATCATTTCTAGGATTTGCATTTGGGTTGTTGGGGTTATTCATTGGGATTGGTGCATAATTTCTGATCGTTAAGAGCTCGAATGAGGTCATATTCATGCTTGGGTAATTGCATATAAGGTACATATATGTCGCACTAGATGCATATAACGTTCAACGTACTATATATATTGTTCGGTCATCTATCTCATTCACCCCGTGACAAAGTCTCTACCACAATTATTCCAGTGGCGATATACCTATCATCCCATGGTAGTAAGCCAGCATTGCCAGGCTTATACTCGGTACTTGGCACATGTTCGCCATCTCACCAAGCCTCACATCTAGATCCAGCCCAGTCAAACCGGCCAACCACACCACCGAAGCCATCCATCCCCTCTAACAAGTCCAAGTCCCGAGCAAAGAAAGATCAAAGCTCAAAGCACCCAAACAAGCCAGCCACCGCACAGATACAAGCCTCAACCCCGCGAAGATCGCGCTCCCTCCCTCCCGCTCGCATCATCCAAGATGGCTGTGCAGATCTCACGTTTCCTTAGTATGGAGGCTTGTGTGTGTATGCAAAACACTCACTCGTTTCTCGCATTGGTGTTACGGTAGTATTATACTTTTTCCTTCCGAGCCTTAGGAAGACAAGGAAGGTTGCAAAACTAGGTAATTGTTTTTTGTCATGTCATGTGATGAAGGGAGGGAGGAAGGAAGGCATGAATGATCATCGGATCGGTTTGATGAGGGGAGGGGTGAGGGTTAGAGGGTTAGAAGGAGGGAGGAAGGGAGGCATTTCGTCTGATGTCTGATGTTGGTTGAGGCTATACGGGAGAGAAATAGAGAGGCAGAGTGGGTAGGGAGGGAATAATGCGTTGCTTGCTTATCTGAAAGATGCGGAATGGAAAGAGAAGAATGGGAATATGGAGTTGAGGTTGATGTTGGGTAGGTGGAGGTATTTGGAATGCTTGTTTTGTTTATGCTTACCTAGGTAGGTACAGTCGTTGTGGTGAGGAATCATGGATAACTCGCCTCGCCTCGCCTACAGAACCACAAACCTCACCAACCAACCAACCAAGCAACCATCAAACAGCGACTGGGTTGAAATGATCTGATTCCATAGACCATGGCACGATCATCTCGGAGAATAATTCGTACGCACACAAGATCATTCATTCACCACGGACGCGAACAAGCAACTCGATCTGTTTTATCACCCGTTTCCACCAACCAACCAACCGAAGCAACGAGGAAAAAGCTACCACTACTATACGAGAACCAATCGCATGAAACCCACTCGCCGCACCCAGATCAGATCTGAAACCGCGCAACCTCTCAACGTGACACCATTCCTCCGTCACCCGGTGTAAGAGAATGCCAAGCCTCTCTCGTGCGTTCGGGTGCGCTTGCCTGTTCTCCCCCCTACCCTACCCTATCCTAGATGAGGATCGATCGTTGGAAACGAAAACGGAGATGAGGAAGGGCGGTCGGTTGTTTCCTGACGACGAAAACGAATCGAGTGGATGGATGGAAATTAATTAGCTTGGAGGCGAAAAGAAAAGTTTGGTTTGGCAAGCCAGCGTTTCGTGCTGTCTGCTGTCCTGTTTCGGCGGGTTGAAACGCACGCACGCCACAACCGCGGCGAAGGGAAGGGAAGGGAAGGGAATGAAGGAAGGAAGAGTTTTCGTGCGTATGTATGACGGTTTTTGTTTGTTATTTTATTTCTTTGGTGGATGGGACGGTATGTACGAGTACGGAGGTAGAGGATTAAATTCGGGATTGTGCAGATGCAGTGAGGAAGGCAACGTGACACGTACTATTCTTGCTATTGTTACTTACCCTGTTAAAAAATTCCTGAGGAATAATATGCGCGCGTTTAGGTTTCTTCAATGGAGGATTAGTGATTGGGGTTCACGAGTTTCTGGCTGATTCAAGGATGAGGATGATTTTATGATCTCCACGCCATGGTGATCTTATTGCATGGCTATCATGGAATTGGAATTTCGTAATGAGCATCTAATCACGGGAGCGGGCATGAGCTGCGAGGGATTCCAGGTTCGGAAGTGAAAGGGAAGGGAAGGGGACATGGACGGGGATGCGATCATCTCGCGTACCGGCGTCAAATTCAAGTGTGTACTGTATCAGATTCAGACCAGGACAGGCTCTAGGCTCGGCTCGGCACTTTTGCGTTGCTCTCAGCGTATCGAGGACCACCAAACAAGAGTCGTCGCCATTGAAGGAGCAGGATTAGATGGAATGGGATGGGATGGGATTGAAGTGAGATGCGATGAGAGCTTGATTCAGTGGATTCCATTCCATTTTTGCAACCCTGCAGCAATCCTCTCCATCTGATCCAAGCAGATGATGGTCTTTTTCTCCTTCACTTCCAGGTGAATCTCGGTGTCTCATCCACGTCAGCCGCATCCACCGTCTTGGCACACTGCCGAGTCCTATCCGGGCTTGGTGTCGTTGCTGACTTAGCAGTGCCGCCCACAGTTGACCCCTGACCTTACCCAAAATGAACCTCACTCGCAGTACTGTAGTGCAGAGGAGAGCCGCGCTGCTGCACCTTTACCCCTGACACTGACGCTGTTGGACACCACTCACCACCTCACTTTCTCACTCATTCTCTGACAGCAGCAGCAACTAGGGAGTACAGTACGGTACTCAGAGCTCTAGATGCAGATACCAATGCAAATGTCACCAGGACGTACAGTAGCTGCACACTTCCCTCCCCCCACCGACTGCGGCCACTATGCTATTATGGGCCTGGGTACAGTACGGGCCTCAGCTCGAGGTTAGAGCCAAACGTCGTCGTCCATCATCCTGGATTCCTGCCAAACACTGAACGTTGGCTGGTTGGCTGTGCTCTCTCTCGGCCTCTCATCTTCCTGTGCTCTCAACTTCACACACAACATCCGTCGAATCATCGCCCCCTCCGCTGCAGGAGCAGTGAGCACAGACAACGCCATGAAGAGCCCACACAGCCCAGCCTGCCCAGGACCCAGGATCCCAGGGCATTGTCTCCGCAGACTGGGTGCGTCCGTATCGGGTCTGTCTGCATTGAGCTCGCTTCCCCACCATCATGCCACACCAGCTGTCGGACATCAAGCACCTACTGCACCTCCCATGTTTTGGCCCCGGCCTAGTGCCGCCAAGCCAATCCCTATAGAAGGCAAGACTGACTTCATGCGTAAACATCTTGGATCTCTTCTCTTCCTCAAGCCGCGTGTTCCTGTTTAGTTGCTCCTCTTCCTCCCTCCCATGTTCAGTTTCCTTTAAACTATATTCACCTTTCTTCTCGTTCAACGGGCTTCGATCTTATTGTTTTCCTTTCGCAAGCTTTTTTTTTTCCTGGGGCGGGCATCCAATCTTGTTCATCTTTTTTTGTTCTTCCCTTACCACCTTGTGCTGAGCATCGATCTTTTGTTTGATACCTCCCTCAAACCCGCCAGCCATTCTTTGAAAGCAATACAAAAGAGGTCGTCGACGACGATTACAACCACCACTCATTAACGCAAAAGCTGCCACCTGGTGTGGATTATTTTCTCTCACGATGCCTTCAATCGCCCATTTACAAACCCTCCTCCTCCTCGCCCTCGCCACATTCGTCCTCGCCGCTCCCAGACAGACCCAACAAAAGCGAAGCTTCGTCGTCGAGCGAATCCCCAACCCAGCCTTCAAAGGCCGCACACCTGGTGCCGGCACGAGAGCCTTGATCAAGGCATACCGAAAATATGGCGTTGCCCTCCCCGAGGGTCTCGTTGATGCTATGAACTCAGCGAACGCCGGATCAACCGCCAACGCCCTGACGAACTCCCTGGCCGATCTCACTGGAGCCACCGACGACAAGGCGAAGAAGGAGAAGGCGAAGGGAAACAAGGCCGGTACCGCGTCTGCGGCTGCCAACTCTACAACTAGTGCTACCAATGCCACCGCGGGAACTGGCGTCGTGGCTGCTACCCCCGAGCAAGGTGATGTCGAGTACCTGGCTCCCATCTCCATCGGCGGCCAGACCATGGTCATGGACTTCGACAGCGGCTCCTCCGATCTCTGGGTCTTCAACACGCAACTCGCAACAGCCTCGCAAACCGGACACACCAACTTCAACCCCCAGAAATCCACCTCCTTCAAGCTCATGCAAGGCGCCACCTTCTCCATCTCGTACGGTGACGGCTCCGGAGCCGCTGGCAACGTCGGAACAGACACCGTCAACATCGGCGGCGCCACCGTGACCTCGCAAGCCATCGAACTCGCAACCGCAGTCTCGACCTCCTTCGTCCAGGACACGCAATCCAACGGCCTCGTCGGACTCGCCTTCTCCAAGCTCAACACCGTCAAGCCCACCGCGCAGAAGACCTTCTTCGACAACGCCATGCCCAGCCTCGCCATGCCCGTGTTCACCGCTGATCTCCGCAAGGCCTCCGTAGGAGCTTACACCTTCGGCGCCATCGACAGCACGCGCTTCAACGGCTCGCTCTCTTGGGCAGCAGTCAACACCACGAACGGCTTCTGGCAATTCTCGTCCTCGAAGTTCGCCGTCGGTACCGGTGCCACCATGACTGTTGCCGGTGGCCAAGCCATCGCTGATACCGGAACCACCCTTATGTTGGCCAACGCTGCGATCGTCAACGCGTACTACAGCCAAGTTACCGGGGCGGTAAACAATGCTACCGTGGGAGGCGTGACCTTCCCTTGTAATGCGAACTTGCCTGATTTGGCGGTCGATGTGGGAGGAAACTATATGGCGACTGTTCGCGGTGATGATATTAATTTCGCGGCCGTGGATGCTACTGGTCAGAGTATGTTTATCCCTCCCTCTCCCTGTCCCATCCCCAAATTCCATTTGTGAGTATGCAATGCTGATGAAGAGAAAAATAGCCTGTTTCGGCGGCCTCCAAGCCATCCAATCCGACCTCCAGATCTACGGCGACATCATGTTCAAATCCCAGTTCGTGGCCTTCAACGGAGGAAACAACTCGATTGGCATGGCCGCCCATCAATCCTAATCTTGTGTAATTATCATTTCGATCGGAAGAAGTTAGAGCGAGAGGGGGGGAATTTCAGGGGCGGAAGGGGAAGAAGTGTGCTGCTTTTTTTTTCACTTGCCAATGTACAAATTTATCACGCCTTAGACAGGATCGAAACGTATAGTACGTACAGTACCCGGTTGATTGAAAGAAAGAGAGATTGAATGAATGAATGGAATGAATGGCTTGTGTTTTTTTTCTCTCGGTGAGATGTGTGTGATGCAGAATGTGTCACGAAATCGTTTATATTGAATGATATAGGAAGTCTCTAAGTAACTTCGTTTACGTTCATTTGCTCTATGAGTATAATTTGCGTTTGCTATTTTTTGTAAATCTCAATACTGAAGTTAGTGACGAGATATGGTATGAGATGTTGCTTGCCTTGAGAGCATGGATTTCTCATCTTGTAAGATTAATGCTGTTCAATGAATTGCAAATATTACTTCAATGCTAGTGCGGAACCAGGCCTTTGAAGGATGCATTGAATACGTTATGTTGAAGTAGGTGACAAATCTGCAACATACAGCCTCCACTGGTAGGAGGGGTCGAGCGCCAGTAGTGAGTTTCTTCCGTGCTTTCTGCAAGAACTCGTTGCAGTCTGTTGGATCTTTTCCGTGGAGATGGGGACGGAATAGAAATATTTCTCTGTGAAGTGGATGACAGCCCAGAATATCGTTGACGCGGGCGTGTTTTGGAACACAATAATATATCAGATCCTCTCCACATCGTACCAATGCAATCTGGTTATCTGCATCATCCGAAAGTCGACCACACATGTCGCTGATGAATGCATACACAATTTCTACAAGCTGTATTGAATCGGGGAATTTCTCTTCAAGAGCGTTTTTAGTTGACAGAGGGAGCTTTTGGACCATGTCTGACATCAATTGGGAATGTTGAACCCGCTTGTCTGAGGATTCTCGTCTTCCCTCCTTGTCACCAAGCCATGACCTGTCTGAAGAACGTTGGTTGAAGCATCTTTCGAATAGTAAGTAGTGAACAAGACCTTGGGATTTAAACCATGACTTGTCTAGACGAGCAAAATACGTGAGCAGGACGCTGACTATCCCTACAGATTCTAACTCGAATATCCTTTCCATGAGAGAGTCGTCATAGTAATGCACAGTGTGGCGGTCTCTGCAGAGTAAAGTTCCTCGAGGTAAGAACTCTACAACAGTGCCGTGATACTGCCCTTCAAAGGAAAGGACACCTTGAAGTCCATAAAGGATATTAAAACTTATCAAATTTAGAGTTCCTCCACGGAAGGCCTTCTCGATCGGAACTCTACTCGACTGTAATGTAACCGACCAATCTGGGACCCATGATGCTAGATCGAGTCGCTTCTCCAGGTCGACATCCTCCACAAAACTAAGAATGGAGAGATCTCGGGAGACATCACAGACTTGTGTCGCTATCTCCTCGTATAATTTGGCTTTTGACTTAGAATAGTCAACATCGATCCCTGATCTTACAGAAGGTTCTGCCATGCCTAAATGGGCATAGACCATATCCCTCGGATCAGTGACACCCAAGCCTCTTCTTGCCTCCAAGATGTCGAGCATGGTGGCTGGCTGAAACCATCCAGTGCCTGCAGTATTGTGCCTTTGAACTTGGTGGTTACTTCGGATTTGAACCATGCCATGTAAAAGTTCTTGGCGAGAGGATCGGACATCGGTTTCTTTAGACATGTATTGCAGGAAATGATCCCACCTCATACGCACTCGACCAAGTTGAACCCAAGGATCCGGAGACAGCACCAATTCCTGCAGTACCCAGACCCTCTCGAACCACGCGTGGGCCAATACATCATCTGCCACTTCTTTGAAGGACTCGGTATCGTAGTCAACTTCATCAGTAGAATCCGAGTCGACCATCCTCGCCAGCAAAGACTCATGCTTCGCGATACCGGGACCAAGAAAAATAATCGTATGTCTTGCCGCAGAATAAATGGATGCCATCACCGTAACCTGCGTATTCCGATCCTTGACATCATTCTGATCAATACAAACGCCATCTGCCCAAATACGCAAGACTCTCGCTTTATCCCTGATATATCGCAGCCCCAATTCAAGCGAAGCCGTGATCTCGAGGAATTTGCCATCGATCGATATGGAGCCTTTCTGCGTTGCGTCTCCCCAGACGTAGGAGAGAGCGACGTAGTGCTCGAGGATATCGTTGTCACAATCTTTGAGTGAGACGTCGATGAGGGAGCAGGCTAGCGGAGCCTCGTGGGATGGAGATGGTTGGAGGAGGATTAGTCTGATGATTCCTTGTTGGGTGATCTTGGAGTATTCGTATGAGATGCTTTTGTTTGCCATGATTATGTTGGAGTGATGGATGCCTAGGTGATGTGAGGATCAGGAATGATTGTGGTCATGGTTCTTTCTTGTGATGAGCTGCCAGCCTTGCGTCTCTTTTTCGTAACATTGGCGGCTGTGGCTTGGGCCAATGAAATGTCTGGTATCGTAAGGACTGTGAGAGTACTCGTTGATCAGTTTTCAAGTGGAACTATTGCAACCTTGAGATATGGAATGCTCAGATGAGGAAAGAGGTAGTGGCTAGCACGTGATGTTAGCTGCAGGCTCATTTTCCTTATCTACTTGGATACTGATGGTGAAATACCCTGAGAAGCCTCATGAGCACAAGACTTCACTGTAGTTGTCCATATAATTAGCGTTGAGTACGATCTAGTTCCGTATCTGTTATACCATGCGTACTGTACCGAACCTTTTAGTCTGCGAAGCCATGTGTTATGTTGTAGCTTAGGGAAGCACCAGAGCTTTCCCTTAGTCTATGATTTCTCCTTTCTTTCTTACATGTGCAAGGTTTCGGGCAATTTACACACTCTCTGAAAACACATTTCCATAAGCAGCAGTCGTTGTAGGTCGGTTTCAGTAATCATCATTCCATTTCAATCGTTCAATTCGCATACGATAACAATTGCCATAAGATATGATATGCAGCAAAAGAGATGTTTCGTTCCAGTGACCCATTCCGCAATTGTCCTAAGTCAGAATTCCCTCGGTCATGTAGAAAGACTTGCTCCCAACAACACGGCAAGCTCACTTAGCCTTGCCAGCAGTCTTACCCTTCTTCTTAGCAGGCTTCTCCTCTTCCTCTTCATTCTCATCCTCCTCATCATCAGCTTTCTTCTCCTGCACCGGCTTAGCCTGCTGCCTAGCACTCTTCCTCTCTCCCTCCCTCGGTTCCTTCTTCGCCTTCTTCACACTCTTCCCCTCACCAGTCTTCGGTCGACCCCTCTTCTTTCCCTCACCCTTCTCCTCATCCTCATCCTTCTTAACAGACCCAGAAGTCTCGGCCTTCTTCTCAGACTCAGATTTCTTTTGTGGAGGACCCTTTTCTGGTTTATCTTTGGATCCAGGCTCGTTCTCGTAATCGCCGCCTTGGGCTTCGTATTCCTTGCCGATTTTGGCAGCTTTCCAAGCGGCCATTTGACCTTTTCCTGAACCGTCTTTGTTGGGTTGTTGTTTGACTTCTGGGAATGTGTTAGTGAGTTCTTGCTCGGATGTGCGAAAGATGTCGAGAATGATGTCGGAGCACCAGACTCGGGTATGTTGAAGCATTGCGTGCGCAAAACGGCGCAATGCAATGGAAGTCCGATTAAAATGATCGAACAAAACCAAGAATAGCATAGTATGCGCAAGAGCAGATATCGCATTCTTACCTTCAGTAACCTTCTCCTTCAGCTTCGGATCCGTAGGCTTTCCCTTTGCAGACGGCATCGTGAATGGTGATGATATCGCGCAACCCTCAATGAATATCAATCTCTGTACGGACTCGGCCTTGATCTCGAGCGACAAATAGACTCGACTTTTGAATGCGACAGAGAATGTGGATGCAAGAAGAAGAAGAGAGAGATGCAACACGAAACACTTATTTAGCAGTAAAAGGAAATAGCGAGGCTGGGGGAACCAGCACCAAGTAACCTTGGTGTCGTCAACACTTTCTGCTGGGGTTTTGCCGTACCTGCAGCAACTTGGGAAGGCCCGAGCGGGAAGCCGATCAGCCTAAGGTGCGGGGAGCAAGGGGAAGCGAGGTGAAGTGTCTTTTGGTGACAACGGTGATGAGATTCCTCTTTTCGTTCTACAATTTCAGTACGTTGGCAAGGCCCACTCCATATCAAAAGGAATCTTCTTAATGATCGCTGCATTTCTTGCGAACTTTCAATGTCGTACGTGCTGCGCTATTTGAACCTTATGACGCATCATCAATTTTGCTCCTGGGGAGAAGCCCACACCAATCCTACTTTCGTTCCATTGCGACTACTCGTCGACAATCTCAATTCTTCCACCCACTCCTTTACCTCATCTCTACACTCAATGTTCTCCCATTCTTGGGCCGTCCTTGCTAAAGTGTAAGCCACTTCCATTTCTGCCATATTTTGCGCAGGACAAGTTCTCGGTCCCCATCCGAACAGTATATAGCTCGATCCCGGCTTGAGTTCCTCCCATCGCTCGGGCTGGAAAGCGTTCGGATTGGGTTGAAAACAATCTGCTAGTCTATGGATAGCATACACTGGCGTCATGACCGTCGAGCCTTTTGGGACGAAGACGGGGGAGTTTCGGTCAGCGCCACCTCCTGTTGGAAGTATTGTGTCTCTATATGCTATTCGTGTGGCCGTGCTAGCCACGGGATAGAGACGAAGGGCTTAAAACCATTAGTGAGATGCGATATGATAGAAGAGCTCAATGTGAGCTCGCGAGGACTCACTTTCTTTGATGATGTTCTGCAAGTATCTCATATTCTTCAATGCATCAGGCGTCAAAGGCTCTTTTTCTCGATCAAGAACTTCTGACTTGAGTTTATTCCACATATCTGGATTGCGGCAAAGCTGAAAAATAGCATTGCCAATAGCAACCGCGCTGGACTCATGCCCAGCAAGGAAGACATGCATGATTTGGTTTCGCAAAACGTCTCGTTTGCCTGTCTCCAGGGCCATCTCATGTAGTAAAACATATTTGTGTCTGGCATCATCTGTCTTGTATGACTTACTACTCAGGGAGTTGTCCTCTGCAAGGCGATTATTTCGGTACTGAATTGCTTTATCGACATAGTGGTGGGCGAATGCATGAGCTACCTTGATCGAGTCTCTCCACTTCTTGTCTCGGTATAGAAAATCTAATTTCCCGAGCTGCAGTCGTGCACCAGTCCCACGCAGGCCATAATGGAAAGCATCGAGGAATTCTTGTGATCGAGCTGGGCTTTTTATAGCTAGGATATTCATTGACTCTCCAAATAAAAACTCGGTGGATGTATCAATAAACTAAGGACAATGAGTGGATGAAAGCTTGAGATTATCTTCGAAACGACGTACCAGTCTGCATACGAAGGGTTTTAAATCCACCGTTGACCCATCCCGAGGTAGTAAGTCGAAGAACTTCTTCAAGTTGACCTCAAAAGCTGACAAGTTCGTAACATTCGTCTTGTTGAACGTAGGACGTATTAAATTCCTCGAATACTCCCAAAACGCACCATCCATAGTAAAGACTCCCTCTCCTAGAAAAGGCAGAGTCGCAGCTCGTCTCAGCGGTTGCACTCCATAATCCTTAAAGTTCGAGCCATGCACCACTTGAATATTTACTGGATCGATAGTACAGATCGCCGAGCTTCCAAGGAAATTCGCTCTGAATGTATGGCCATACTTCTCAAAGCGAGTAGTCCATGTTTCAAGCAGTGTGAAAGTTTTGGCATGCTCTTGATTGTCGAAGAAGAGGTCAAGTCCGAAGATGGGACCTTTGTGCGGGTATCTTGGAGCATCTTTGCAGCCAAATAGTTTTGCGTACTTCTGACGTATTCTTCTTGCTTGGAAAGTGCTAAAGAGGCAGTATACAACCAGAATAACTACCAACGGTACGCCTAAGTCGGATACGTACGCCATTCTGAGGAAATTTGGGAAAACAAAAATGCGCGTGACCTTGATATTCAGCAGGAATAGTCGAAATAAGAAGCACAATGTTTCAGACCCAGCAACGTCAGTTCTCTCACTCGTTTTTTTCTTCTTTTTTTGAGGTTGTGAATTGGGTCAAGACTCCGAGTAAGCCCAACATTGGAACCGTGAAGCTAACATATGAGAGGCTGAACTGTCTTCAGGCAATATGCAGCCCCGGTTGACCACAAAAATTAATTGCCAAGACCCCGATAAGAACCCGAAAATGTTTGCTCTAATGCTTATCACGACATCCTTTGCGTAGCAAGTCATGTTCAAAAACCACTTGGCTCAATATGCAATTTTCATCACGTGCGCATTCTGATCGAATTTGAGACTGCATGGCAGGTTTGCGAAGATTTCAAGTTGATTAACGCACATTGGAAACAGCACAACTTCTAAGGGTGTCGTTGTACGAGCTAGTTGAACTCACTCTACTTTTATCGGTTTGAAATAAATGACAGAAGAACTTGATGTTATTGAGATCAAGATCATAGCTCAACTACTATGCACTTTCCCTTCTGTAGAGGATAGAGAAGCAAGTTATCGCTTTGCTTACCAAGCATTGCAGAGAGGTAATCCTGAGCATGGAGCGAAGTACATAAGAAATCCAAAACAAAAGGTTTCAATATATAATATCTCGGGTATTGTCTGTGGAGACTAGGAGATCAACTTGAGGACCAACAATTCCCCACCCCCATTGCCCCCAATGCAAATCTGCGCCCTCTTTTGTGCCATTCCCTTCGGCTTTGCACTCAGAGTTTCGAATGAAAAATTGCTCCGTCTGTTGTGTCATTCCCTTTAGCGTTACATTCGATAGGTTTCTCGTTATGACAACTGCTGAGACGGTCTATCTCGTTCTCGATGATGCTGAGAAGATAAGGTGTAGCATTGTCTATAATCTGATTGACAATCTTTTTAGGAGAGATGTGTTAGATAGGTAGACTAATGTGCAGAAGTATCAACTTACTGTGTCTCGCATAAACAACAAGTCCAAGTGAGCGTCTGAAGACATGTCCAATTGAGCGTCTGAAGACATAGGCTCGCGGCTGTGGGTCGCGTGGACGTTCTTGTAGTGGCGATCATGAGATGAGCTTGACATGATGAAGTGTGTTAGAAAAGGAATTCAGGTTCGACAATTTAGCATAAAAGATTTCTAAATTCTGAGATAACTGTGAGTCTTACGGAAGACATCTGAGGGATCACGCTCGTATATAAGGGATCATGGAGCCCTAAATTATCGCCATGCTAAGTCATAATCGGCGCAACCACCGAGCGCGGGTCTGCAGGAAGCCTGGTTGCTCACTTCTGGAAGCTTGGGGCAATTGGATTTATTGTTTGACTACCCGACATCAAGGGTGAAAACCGTTTGAAATACCCCGAAGGTCTGGCGCCTTCCGCGCATACCCCAACTTAAGCAATTCAGGTAGCACAGAGCCTGGTCTTGGGGGATGCAGAGCCCTGACGAATGAAAAGCCTTGAGGGTAGCCTAGGGCAAGTCAAAATTGTTATGAAAAACGCGTTATAGTAAAGAGGTACATAGGAGACTACCAAAACTTGGTGTGCGCACAAGCATTTTATCAAAGAGGCTCACTCTCAAATTTTTGCTGAAAGCTCGGGGTAGTTCGGACGTTTACACCCTTGTTGTAGGGTAGTTGAAACAATAAATCGGGCAATTGTGGTAAACACGCTTGTACGCCCGGCTTAGGTGGAACATGTTGCAGCCTGTATTTTTCTTTACGTGGCACCCCGCCGCTTCACGCTGCTCCACGCCATGTGTACGCCTCACAATATGTATCCATGATGCAGTGGCCACGTAGAACTCCAGGAACATTGCAAGTGTTCACCTCCACCTATGGGGCGGATTATCACTGCCACTTCTAACTTGGTGGTTGCACAATGATAAAAAATTATGCATGACGAAGTGCCAGAAGCACATGCGCTACAGCGGCAACGGCTTTCAAAAACTCTGGCTTCCACCGATTGGCTACCATCCCCCAGCGCGTCACCTGCCATACCTCCGTGTGAGGAAGGCTTGAGGAAGGCTTAGGGAAGGCTTGAGCATGAGTTGGACTCGGCGTCGACTGTCAGGTTGAACTCTAGGCTGTTTTGCTGGAACATAACGACAGCAACACCCGCATAGAGACAAATAAGTATACGTAGGAGAGCACTTTCGAATGATTCTGCCGCTACTTGAAATTGTTTCTTAGATAGGATCTCATAGGATGGATATATCCAACGACCAAACCGGAAACAAAGGCTCGGACCAAGGTTACGAATTCTATCTATATCCTCGACAAGCTTCAGGGAATTCGAGATTTGTCTTAGGCCCTGCATCAGAACAAGTATTCGAACGAGAGTTGATGGAGAACAATACTTTGTCCGAAATAGCCTTCCCTGTTGTCGAAATAGGAATGACGACTCACGACATGGGCCTCCAAGATCCTCAGTGGCCGCAAGAGCAGAATTGGCAAGTTGCTATGCGCAGACTGGGCTTTCCGATGTCGAATCTTGGACTCGAGACAGACAACATGGTCCCTGACGCTGGCGAGTCGCTTGAAACATTGCTCGACTACCATCAGCTAGATCCTAGTGGCGAATGGCGGCTTGCAACTCCACAAGACTTCCCAGCATCTAACACTGCACTCGGAATCCGACAGGAGCAGCCCCAGATCCTCTCTGCCGGATTTCGGGCTGATCCATGGCCAAAAGCTCTCGAAGATTATCTGATGGCGTCCAGGAAGAATGGTTGCACTTATCCCGAAATCAGTGCCAAAATGCTTCAAGAATTTGGCGTCGAGAGGAGTGCAAATGTTCTCCAGAAGAAACATCGCATGATCCGAGAACGTGATGCTGAAGAAAATGTGAGGCATCCCGTCGTACTTGCATACATACACGCGCTTGCTAACGTTGAGACACAAGGGAATCATGCAGTTTCTCAAAGGCGCTACACCAAGTCTTCTGCGTTGTCTTCAGGATGAGATGAACAAACTGGACCCCAAGGTAATGAACGAGGAGCTTCGCCAGGAGGTATGGGAAGAGCTGCAACGCAAGTTGCCGAAACTTGTTCACACTCTAGCTCTCCAGACGCGAATTGGGAACTAAGGTCTTGTTTCCTTGCAACACTTTTGGCATTCGGCGTTCTCGGCTCGGTACTTTAGCGAGTTTATATCTGATACTGGGTCTCAGTGGGCGACATAAGTTGCCGATTGCACACCCAGAACTCGGCAAACTATTTCGCCTACTGAAAGTCTGGGTACGATAGTGCAAGCCTATCGTAGTAGCATATGAAAATTGTTTGTTGTAACTCTTCTCGTTGTTCCAACTTCTAGAAATGCTCTAGGGACCAAGCGACATTCGCGGCTAAGACTTGTGGACTGTCGAACCTCTTCGAGCATCGCATGAGAATATCCCTCTTTACCAAATTGTCTTGGCAAAGCGCTTCTATGTCGCTTTCCCTAACTCTATCTTCAAGAACCGACGTGCCGTAGGTGAGGCCAGGATTTAGGTGGTTCTGATTCTTTCGCTATTACATATTAATCATATTCCTATACCTTCATGCAGCTAATACTAGTTACGACACCAAGTCCCACTATCGCAGTTGTGGTATCACGCATCCTCCAAATGCTTCCCCTCCACCTCATCACCCTTCCCCTCCAAAGAAAGCAATTGCGTACTAGCAAACTTCCTCGGCGGAACGCCTCGACTCCAAAGTTCATCCATCTCAATATAAGTTCTACCCTTAGACTCTGGAATCATGAAAAAGATAAACACGACTGCGAACACTAAAATTCCTCCAAAGACAAAAGAGATTTTGCCTCCCATGTTGCCTTGGTCAGGGTTGACAGCATAGGGCAAGCAAAAGGCCCAGATGGAGCCGCTGAGCCCGTTCATCATGGTTGATAGAGCTTGTGTTGGACCGCGAAGACGTGATGTTGGGTTCTCGGCGATGATGGGTCCTGCGCAGGATCCGATGCTTGCCTGGTAGACGAATGACCAGATGGCCATGAAGGCGACTTGAACCCTGTTCAATGAATTAGCATTCTGATATTGCTGAAGTTTCATGAGCCATAGCAGCAGATGGTAGTCAGGTCTAGGAATATGCTTACCAGATGGCATTAGTGGTATTGATGCAAGCCACGATACCGATCACGAGTAAAGTGACGCAAAGAATGCTGCACCCATAAAGTGCTGTCCCTCGACGTCCAAACTTCTCGACCAAAAACCAACCGCATATATTTCCAACGGCCATCATTCCACTAAGGCCGACTGTGGCATCGAACGCTTTTGCTGCAGACAAGCCGGCAAGTTGCATGAAGTCTATGTGACAGATCAATTCGGGTTATCGTCCATCTGCTTGTGGTATACTTACAGCTCATGTAACCGATGACCCAGGAATTTCCGCATGCATTCTGGATAAAGATTGTGCTGACCGCTGCCAAAGTTCTCCTCCAGTTCGCATGATTGAAGCATTCTTTGTATGAACCCGAAGTCTCATTCTCGGCTCGTTGAGAATCCAACGCTCTCTTGATCTCAGCAAGATGACCATCCACATCGTAATTGCTATTGTGAAGCCTGACGATGTTTCTTCGCGCCTTGTCGATCTGACCGTGAGCAACGAGCCAATAAGGAGATCTGCTTTATCAGCGGACATCACAATACGATCAATCCAAGACACTTACTCTGGGAAGAATGGTAAGAACGCGAGACCGACAGCAGCAAAGCCCCACTGCACAGCGAACAGAATGCGGTACGACATCGGTCCTGTATATTGGCCCAACGTGGTCTTTCTCATCACACCAAATCCGATCAACTGTCCAAGGACAATGGAGAAGTTCATACCCGACGTCAAAGCACCTCTGATAGCCAAAGGAGCAATCTCCGAAGCGTAAGTGGGTGCAATCGTCGTGAACACCCCGAGCGGCAAACCAGTCAAGATCTTGGCACCAAAATACTCAGCTGGGGTAGACGAGAAGTACTGCATGACGACACCTCCAATCGTGAAGAAATAAGCAGCGAATATGCAAATTTGCCGCCCGCATTTTTGAGCTGCGAAACCTGTGATGAAGCCGCCAAGAACAATTCCTTGTTTCGTTAGCTTATGAGACATCAGATTCTGAAGCCATGCATACCTCCGAGTGTAGCAGCTTGGAAGCCTAGTTGCCAGTTTGCGTCCACAACATAGTCCCCATCGTACGGTCTGCCGAAAGTCTGTCTGAAGGCAGGAAGTGAGATGACTGCAGATCCGGCCAAGGAGTCGTAGCCGAACATGCAGCAGATAAAGAAGGAGTAGAGACCTGGGATGATCAGCATGGGGATAAGGATCTGAAGCGAGTTGGCACACTTACACCAAATGACACCCCTCCAATTCTCTTTCAAGGCGTTCAGCCTTGTTTGTAAATGCTGATTCTCCTCATACTTTGCGACTGCTTCGGAAGTAGAGAGCGTTATTCCCGGAGCGCTGTCTTCCACTTGTGTTGTCGTATGTAATTCTTTCTCCATTTTGAGGTGAAGGATAGGAAGAGCAATGCTAGGGGAGATGGAGTAGATTGAACTGGAGATTCAAGTGATGAAGAAGAAAGATCGTCAGAAACTTTAGACCTCTTTATACATAAAGAACCCGACAGTCTGGATGGGTGTCCGACCACTTTGCGGAGATATGTGGAGAGAAAGATGGGAGAGGCGGAGACGACTAGTCACTCCAGCTCAAGCCTCAACTGAAGTTCATGCAACATAATTGGCAGGATAGGATGTGAAATTTCGTCTCGGGAATAGTCTCGCTGGAGAATAACCGGAGAATAGTGGAATGGCGTGGAAGCCACGAGATATAGGCCACATGAGCCAGGTTGAGGTCTCTGCAGGTGATAATATATTCCTTGGGGTATCGGTGGATACCTACATGAAAGCGGAGAAGGAGGAACAAAGTTCTGTGCCGTTTCATGCGTGGTACTGGCCTTGGGTCTGGGGTGTTCGATGTTGAAAAGGCGGGAGACACTACTGGAGAATATACGGAGAATAGAGAAACTAGCGCACCAAAACTCACAAAAGGGGGGCTCGCTTGATGTGCATGACTCGAATTACTGGCCAATATTGCCGAGAATCCGCTCTACAGACTGCATCGCATTCCACTTCCATCCTCACTCGGAGCACCGACCCCATATCGGATGAGGACTCGCAGAGAGCTTTGGAATTAAACTGTTTGCTTGGCACTGGAGAATTTCGGAGAATATGGGGTACGAATCACTTGACTCGTCTCCTTTTCACGAGGCGATAAACACCGAGCAAAAAGAGGTACATCAACAATCGAGACTGCACAGCTCTGGGTCTTTGTAACATGGAATGAAACTTTCCAACCATGACGCAATTGACCAACCAGTCTAGCGACGTTGTCATTGACACTCTCCTGACACAACTCACTCTCAAGGAAAAGATCTCCTTCCTTGTTGGCGCCAATGTATGGGAGACTGTACCCATTGAACGGCTGAATATCCCATCTTTAAGAGCAAGTTACCACATCCAATTGTGTGAGCCAACACTGACACCTTTAGCTATAGGTCACCGATGGACCCAATGGCGCCCGTGGAAGTCAATTCTTTGACGGTACAACAGCAGCCTGTTTCCCAGCATGTGTCTCAATCGCTGCCACTTTCAATGGTGACTTAACGAAGCAAATCGGTATAGCTCTTGGACAGGAGTCACAAACAAAAGGAGCATATGTACTTCTTGGGCCGACAGTATGCTCTCATCGCTCACCACTTGGCGGTCGTAATTTCGAAGCCTTCTCCGAGGATCCCCTTCTTTCTGGTGTCCTCGCCGCCGAGTATGTCAAAGGGCTTCAGTCTGAGCGTGTTAGTGGGACCATCAAGCACTTCCTTGGAAATGAACAGGATACGAGGAGGTTCACTGTGAACGAGATAATCTCGGAGCGAGCGTTGAGGTAAACTGTCTTGACAATTCCAGAAATTGAGGAGATTAGACTGACAGAAATCAGAGAAATATACTTACGACCCTTCGAGATAGTCATCAAGACTGCAGATCCATGGTGTCTGATGACCAGCTACCCGAAGATCAATGGCAAACACGTTGACACGAGCAACGAGTTCTTACAAAAGATTCTCCGCGAGGAATGGAAATACCCTGGCCTTGTCATGAGTGATTGGGGAGCAACTACGAGCACCGTGGAAAGTCTCAATGCCGGGTATGTAGTATGCCTGTTCTGTTTCACTTGATTAATAGATTCCAGCCTCGATCTGGAAATGCCAGGGAAAACTAAATGGCGAAGTCTGGAGCAAGTCAAGCAGGCTCTCGAAGCTGGTACATTGACTGAAAGCACAATTGAAGATCGTGCACGAGCTGTACTCAGACTACTCAAGAAAACGGGAAAATTCGACGATCGCAAGGATGACATCGTCGAAACAGCTGTTGATCTACCAGAACATCGAAAGTTGATTTGTCATGCGGGAGCTGAAGGTATCGTGTTGCTGAAGAACGCAGAGAACATTCTGCCTTTGGATAAAAGCAAGTGTAAAAAGATAGCCCTTCTGGGACCCCTTGCGAAGTATCCTGCGGCACATGCAGGTGGCAGTGCGTCTTTGAATTGCCACTATAAAGTGTCACCATTCGATGCATTTTCTTCCCGACTTGGTGAAGATACTATTATCGCCTATTCCAAAGGTAAAATTTCACAGCATATTGCTAGAGTGTGATTACAAGGAATATCGTTCAAAGACTAATGAATCATCAGGTGCTCACATCTTCAGGGTCCATCCAGACATGGAGAAAGAATGTAAAACTTCCACTGGGAACAACGGTTTCGAAGCCGAGTACTGGAAGAATTCTACATTTGAGGGCGAACCTTTCCACACAGCTGAATTTGCTCGCGGATCCTTCACCACATTAATGGACACCGCCGTAGAAGGCAAACTAAGCGTACGCTTCACAACCACTTACACTCCGACCGAGACTTCAAGCCCGTACTTAAGCTTCAGTACAATGGGTCCTTCAAAGATGTACGTAAACGATGTCACCCTCTTCGAACAAGCGGAAGCCACCAAGGACTCCATGGCCTTTCTCCTCGGCGTCCAAGACGAGCTCCACTCACAATATTTATTCGAAGCCGGAAAATCATACAAGATTCGAATAGACAACGTCTCCTCCCCCGAACCAAACGGCGAACTCTATCTACTCGACGGACAGATCGCTGCGCACCTTGGTTTCATCCCGCAAGTTGAAATGGAACTTGACGTCCTATCCGAAGCCACAGAACTCGCAAAAGAAGCCGACGTAGCAATCGTCTGCGTCGGCAATACAGCGCAGTGGGAAACTGAAGGCCAGGACATGGACGATATGAATTTACCAGCAGACGGTTCACAAGACCGTCTCATTGCAGCAGTCGCTGCTGTCAATCCTCGCACAATTGTCGTCAATACGATAGGTGTGGCGGTCACGACTCCTTGGCTTGATTCCGTGCCTGCATTTCTGCAAGCTTGGTATGCGGGACAAGAATCCGGGAACGCGATCTTTGATGTGTTTGGGATGTGAATCCTTCGGGGAAACTGCCGATTTCGTGGCCGAAAGAATATGAGCATACTGCTGTGTATGGCAATTTTGGGATGGATAGTTATGAGTCGAGACAGGTGGAATATGTGGAGGGAGTCTTTGTTGGATACAGACATTTTGATCGGATGTGGGGTACGGAAAAGGAGGTGAGATGGCCTTTTGGGTTTGGGTTGAGCTATACAAGTTTTGAGATTAGCGGTGCGAAAGTGGAAGGTAGTTTGGAGGCACCAGGTGGGCATGGTCCAGTCATCACTGCGGACATCAAGAATGTGGGAGGTTTTGCTGGCGCCGAAGTTGTTCAGGCATATATATTGCCCCCGAAAGCCAGCGACGATCATGTCATCAAGAGCCTGGTGGGTTTTGCGAAGATGACACTTGAACCCAGTGAGATAGGAAGGATAAGTATCGATGTGAACGTGTTACAAGCGGCGTATTGGCACGTCGAGAGCAGGAAATGGAAAATAAAAGCTGGTACTTACAAGCTTTGGGTATCGACAAGCTCGAGTCCTGATGATCGAAAAGCGGAATTGGAAATAGTTGTAGAGAAGGCGTTTTTCATAGATCCTTGAGATACATACAGTACTTCCCTCACATACCATGTATCTACCCGTTCAGACATGTCTGAATACTGCCTGAACAAAAAGAATTAAAGCGAAAGTGCTGTACAAAACATATTATCCCCTATTTCAAAAGCTCCTCCAACTCACATACATTTCTTAACCATTCCCACCTATCACAACCTGCGCCTGCCGATTCGCATAATCCAGACTAACAAGAATCCTCAAAAACGACGCCATTAGATGTTCCTGCCCACCGACCATCTCCTCACTCGGACTCCCACCCTCCCCAAACCCATCCACACGCTCTTCACTGCCTTCCAACAAACTCGTAGCAATCTCTCGGATCTTAATCACCATACTTTCCCCATGACTCTCTAGTGTACTATGCGAGCAAAAGTTCAGCACCTGTAATGCCTGTTTCGCGATCTCTTGGCGATAACTCCGTAATCGTTGCGCTTCTGTGAGTAAGGTGTTGGGTGATTGGGGTGAGGGGCTGGGCGGCAGGAGATTGAGGTAGCGGTCCAGGATCCAGGATTGGAGGTAGAGTTTTGTGATGTAGATGTTGGATTTCATTATATCGAAGTGGCGGTTTGTGTGGGGTTGTAGGATGTCGAGCTCGGCCGGGATGTCGTTTAGGACGGGAGATAGGGCGTTGAAAGTGCGGAGAAGGGAGGCAGGGGAGAGGAATTGGTCTTGGTGAGGGGAAGTGTGTAGGAAGAAAGGATTGGTGGAATGTACGGAGAGGAGGCCGAGGACGCAGAGGAAGACTTTTATCAAGGTGACGAAGCCAGTGATTATGGGAGTAGGTCCAGAGGAAGGCAAGGTAGTCGAGCCTTTAACAAGCTCTTCGTCTGAGAGGGTGAGAGGGACAAGGAATTCCCAGTCGGTCGACGTGGGACTTTCACCTAGTAGAGTGAAAGGCTCTTTATGAGACATGCGGTCAGTGATTTGGTCTAATTGCCCATAATGTAAGCTCACATTTGAACGATGTAAAGCATCCAGAATGCCCTCTTGTTGATTTCGATTTCTATAGTAGTCATTTCCTTGTACCCGTTTTCGTGGTAAAGACTCAGTGACCTACAACAATGAATACTCTCATTAATCAATGACCACGCTCTTTTAGGGCATTGAGTGTAATGGCTTGCCATTCCAAGCAGAAGCGAGCAGTTCATATCGTTCGAAGACGGATTATCAGCCCAGTCTGGTGATGTGGCGAGCCGACTAGCGATTACCAGTTGGTAAGCTCGACTAACCATTTCTCTCGAGCTTTGATAGTGTCCAGGGAGGTAGATGCTTGCCTTGCGAGGAAGAGAAGAAATCGTCATCGCACATATCGAAAGGCATAGGCAGAGAAAACGGGCGTCCTTGAGGTAGAGACATTCGGAGACCTGGGAGTTGAATGATGGGACATGGATTAGAGGTGCTATAGAATAGAGATTCTCCAGAAATTCTTCAATAATTGAGTGGAAAGTGGTCATTGGACATAAGTCCTCGATAGTTACGGATGATGCAGCATTGGGTAGAAGATAGACTCGAGCATCTCCACCTGATGTGTCATTTGGGAGACCCGACGTCTTTAGCTGTCTGAACTTCTCGAGATCTCTACAGATCTTGTCAGCGGAGTCAACTATGAAGAGACTAGACTGACCTCTGAGGGCGTCCTCGTCGTTTGCGTGTGGTCTGGAAAGTGCAATAGAGTCCAGCGGTCACACACCCAGCACATGATGTTGCATCGGTCCATGTGCACTAACTGGCGTAAGCATTGCGGCTTCAAGACGGAGGACTGAAATTACCTTGATCTTTCGATCTCGACAGCCATCACACGCTTTCCTTGAAATATGTTGCCCCCGTCGAGACGACATGGTGCCACTGGTGATTTCCAGAAGGGCGGCCCATATCATAGATGGGAGCAAATATAATTACACTCATTATTGGGCCCCATGATACGGATCTTTTGATGTTCAAGTTGAAGTTCCATCAAGTGGGGTAGTGGGTCTCAGGGTAGCTTGATTCCTGCAGGGTAGGTTAGCCGAGTCCCGGGTGATGGCTCGGGAATGCAGTATTATAATCATGTCTTTGTGATGATTTTGTCTGCTAATTGGCGCTTTAGACTATTGTTGATTCAAGTTCTAACATTCTCTATGCTTTCAGGACCCCGTTGCCTCTTTACGACTTTTCATCCTTCTTCTCCTCCCCTAATGGCGTCTCAACCTCCTCCTCCGTCCCCGCACTCTCAACAGAACTGAAACTCGACTCCCTCGCCGCCTCCCTCTCTTTCTTCTCTTCTTTCTTCTTATCCATCCTCACCCTCCTTTCCTCCCTCCACTTCATTCCGCACTTCAACTCAGCAAGTAACATCGGACTAGCAAGCGCACAAACAAGACTGATGAATGTAAAACACCAGCCTCTCCCCATTCTATCAATCATAATATTAATGATTCCCGTACCACCCGCACCAACAAAACATCTCACCAAATTATTCGCTGCCGTAGCAGTCGACGGGCTCTGAGGATAAAGGTCGACGACGAGGGTACTAAGTATATTGAAGGAGCCATTGACGCAAAGACCAATGAAAAATTGGAGGATCAGAGGTGCGGCGAGATTAGCGTTCTTCTCAAGAGCCCAGCCGTAGCAGAGAATGCAGGCTAGGCCTGTGTAGAGAAGCGGCCAGATGATTTCCAGCCTCGCTCTTTCGATAGGGAAGTGGCGGAGGTCGTCGCCTCGTTTGCGGTCGATGGTGAAGCCGATCTGTCTTGCAACTTTCTTGTAATTGCGGTCTAGTAGTCTGCCATTGACGAATGAAGCGACGGCACAACCGCAGCCGAAAGGGATGTAGCAAAGACCGATTTGCAGGTCGTTGAAATGGTATATTTCTTGGAACAGTGATGGGATCGAGGCCATGATGTCATAGAAGGCGGTATAAATGAGAGAGTTGTAGAACAAGACCATAGCGACGTCTTTTTCCATAATGATGTAGACTGTCTTAAGTGGGTTAGGCCAGCGAAGCTTGCGACCCTTAGCAAGCTCTGCTTGAGCAAGACGACGACCTTCGGCTATTTCGGTTCGAGAGAGCTCCCCAGACTTCTCTTCCTTGCGGTGTTGCCACCATTCGAGCACAGTCATGTTCCAACCTTGCGGTGGAATAGAGCCGTTGCCTACTACATTTCGACCGCTTTCAGGGACAGTGAGGATGTACGGTACCAAGAAGCAGCCAGTGAAGATGACCAGAAACCAGAAAATAGACCGCCATCCCAGGAACTGAGCGAGGATACCACCAATAACTGGGCCCAATGCTGGACCCATCATCGTCCCAGCTCCAACGATGCCCATATATGTTCCTCTTTCAGAACTTGTCGATACATCTGCGACGACACCGTAGCCCAGAGCAATTGCACCACTGCTCCCAGTACTTTGCAGACATCGAAGAATGAAGAGTGCTGCATAGCTGTTTTGCAACGCCAGACCAATGTTGGCACCCATATATATAATGAACGCAATGATATAAGCCGGTCGTCTGCCTGCCATATCTGCTAAGTCTCCGAACACTGTCGGCGCCAATCCTTGGAAGATCATGTAGGAGGTAAGAGTCAAGTTGATGAGTGTGGTCGATACATTGAGATCCTTTCGCAAAGGGTTCAAAGCTGGGAAATAGATATTGGCTGATGTAGGTGAAATAAAAGCTGCCCATGTAACCATTACAACAATGTATTTCTTCTTAAAATTACTGAATGCCGAGTAGACAGGTCCAGTGGTGACGGCTGCCAACGCCTCAAGATCCTGGGCCTCATCTTGAACAACTTGAGTTTCTTCTTGCTGTCCATGAGTTGTGTTGGCTTCCTGGAGTGGTTCTGAATGTGGCTTTGCTGGTTCCTCAAAAACAGCGCCTTGAACACTAGCTCCTATCTCTTCTGCCTTCTCTGCATCTCCAAGGTAAGAAAGGTCTTGAGCCATAACAACGAGAAGTGTAACATAGCAAGTACTATGGAAAAAACAACAGCAAGAGCAACTGTTGGCCAAAGATGGAGATCCCACTTACCGTCGAAGGACATGCACGATATTTCTACACTTGGAAATAAAAAGGTTAGACCCGGCGATCCACCTTATGGTCCTCAGACTTTGTGCCCATTGTATTGAAATGCATGAGCATCATTGGTTCAAGCTGCCCCTCTCGGCACAGAAGAGCCGTCCGCCGCCAATAACGCTGCTCGTGATGCATTAAAGGCCATCGGACTTCCTAACGAGATTAGATAGCAAGTTTGCGCCGTGGGTGCAGTCCGGAGTTGTTAGTACGGCAAGATTAAAATGTGGATGATTGAGAAGAAAACTCTCCATAGAAAATCCATGTGAGATTGTTGTTGAGAAGGAATATTTAATTTGCAAAGAAAGAAAATTATTTCAAGGGAAGGAATGACGAATGCTCCCGAAAGGCTGAGAATGACCCCTGTCACGGAAGCTTCCAAGCGAACAAGCTACCGATTGTCAAAAGCTGGCATCTCAAGATATGCGCGTCTGGGACATCACAATGCATACCTTAGGGCCATGAACAACGTTACTTGCTGACGACCTCACTTTTGTTGGGCACATTCTAATTTCGCCATGACCGACATTACTCCTCTCCTTAACCAGTTGCTGAAGAGCCACGATGCTCCGCCTACAGCAGACCCGGCCCTGACCTTGGCACACATCGACAGCTTTCTGAAAGAAGCCTACGAAATTGTAACTCTCCTTCGTGTCTCTTACTGAATCCTATACTCACCATTGCATAGAATGCGGGCATAGCTTCACTAAATACTGAACTCAGAGGCATACGACAATCCTACCTTTCCACAGCAGCACCTCCCAGACGAACCGTCACATCCTCGAAAGACAAACAATGGAAATACTTGACAGATCGCCAAAGAGACCAGATTGATGCAGAGACGAAACAGTTACTGCGGGACCTAAACGCCCGCATTCGGATGTTGTCAGACGCAGAGTTGGTACGGCAGAACACCGAACAAACAATACGGAAAAAGAGGTATGCAAGATTAGGTCTGGGATCTCTAGGAAAATGGGCTGCCGGCGGAATTGGGCAAAGCAAGACACTGGAAGAGCAGCTCGACGAGGCAAAGGCGAATGCAATTTCGATGCATAGAGAAAACGTGCTGTGGTATTTACGGCAGAAGCTACAAGAATGTGGGACGTTCCAAGCCTCCATGATGGAGAAACGGATACTGCGTGAGATGGAGAAGAATAAGAGTACACTCGCCAAGTCACGGATGGAAAATATACCCAAGTTCTCATTTGATGAACCGATATCTCCTCAGATGCACGCATCTACATCGAAGGCTCATTTGGAAGCACAAGAGCTTTATCCAGAAGAGGAGTTGACAGCGGAACAAATCCAAGTCTTCGAGAAACAAAATCAGGACATGTTGAAACATTACGAAAGTACACTAGATCAAGTCAGGTAGGTGCAGCATCTGGCGGCGGACCATGTGGAGATGGACCCGAGATCTAATCTAACATGCTATATTTAGGACGGCGGAAAAGTCTCTCATCGAGATCTCTGAGCTACAGACTCAGCTTGTCAACAATCTGGCAACCCAGTCAGCACATATTGATCAATTGGTAACGGACTCGTATTTGACGACTGAGAATGTTGGTGGTGGTAATAAGGAGTTGAAGAAGGCCAGTGAGAGGAAGAGTACGGCGAAATACGTCTTCTATGCCTCTTGTGGACTTAGTCTCTTCTTGGTGGTATGGGATTTAGTTATTTGAGATACTAATACATTCATTGCATCTGTGAAATAAGGAACATGCTATTGATCATTGTCAGTGAGGTCGTGGGCTGAAATGCTCATATGCATGTCTCCAAACCATGGATTCTTGTGACCAGTAGAGGGATCTGGACTATGTCGAACTTGCTCTTTCTACCGGAGCGCCACGGCACGGACAGATGAAACGGTGGTATGTCATTTGTAGTGTGATCTTAGTTTTCTTGCCCAGTTAAAGTGGATGATGGTGTAGATATCATCAAGCTGCTGTAAAATCATCATGACTGGTAAAATTTGAACATTAACTGCAATGGAAAGATACCTAGGTACCATTGTCAAAGTTTCACCATAGCATAAATACCTTGGCTTTAAATATTATCCTAGATTATCTGTCCAAAGTATGAAGATTGAAGAGCACGAGACCTCTAAAAAAAAGCTCGTACATTGTCTTTTCGCCCAACAAATCTTTCAGAAAGAAAACTCTTCCCCTTTTAATAATCACCACGCCTCGTGATGCTCAGAGCCAGTATGCCTCATTGTTGAGCCCTCATAATTGCTTCTTCGGGGAGTTTTCCACCACATGTTCCATATGGGGTAATGCAGTACTTGTTCTTTTCGAAACAAAGCCGACTTGCTTTTTTCACATGTAAGACTTTTGCTGGGTCGGCTCCTTAACGGCTGTGCAGGTGATGCCGGGATCTGTCAGCCACCAACTTGGGGGTATTACATTACCCTCGTGATATTGGCAGAAATGCAAGAGGCACATGCCTCCCGTCCATAATAATAATTCCGGTATTTCCAAAACGATGGCAATCATGAAGTCATTCCCTAAGTCGCGAGCTACCGCGTTGCCTCGGTCCGTACTAGTCTGCTGCAAGCAAGCATTCCCCAGAGCAGAGATAAAAATGGTCCGTTTGCCCCTGGCCTGGGAAAAAGGAAGGCGACGACGGACGAGCCACTATCATCCGACCCCAGATTGAGACGAGACAGGCGAGCGAAAGTCGCTCAGCATGACTCCTACAAACACAAACCACCTCTCCCCTCCCTCTTCCTCACAATCACACTCCTCTTCTTCCAACCTCCGACTGCAAAGCATCACCGGCCACATGTCTCCAGCAATGGCTATCTCCAGTTTCCCCGCGGACGCGGTGCCCCAAGCTCCAGAAGATCCCCTCTTTGGATTGATGGCGGCGTACCGGGCTGACGATTTCGACAAAAAAGTTGACCTGGGAATCGGTGCATATAGAGACGACAACGCAAAGCCTTGGGTTCTGCCAGTCGTCAAGAAGGTATATTCATCATCATTCTTCCCTTCTATCTACTTGGAATCATGCTGATAGCTCTACTCAGGCAGATGAAATCCTCCGATCTGACCCTGCCTTGAATCACGAATATCTTCCTATCGCCGGTCTCGCAACCTTCACCGCAGCGGCAGCCAAACTTATCCTAGGAGCAGACTCACCAGCTCTGACCGAAAAACGAACCTCATCTACACAAACAATCTCCGGTACAGGAGCTCTGCATCTCGGTGCTTTGTTCCTCTCGAAATTCTTCCCCGGTCACCCAACCGTTTACTTCAGCAACCCAACATGGGCCAATCACCACCAAATCTTCTCCAATGTCTCAATGCCTATCGCCAGCTATCCATACTTCTCGAAATCAACCAAGGGACTCGATTTCGAGGGCATGAAGCAAGCAATTGCTGACGCCCCCGAACGCTCCATCATCGTTCTCCACGCCTGCGCCCACAACCCCACCGGAGTCGACCCCACACAATCACAATGGAAAGAACTCGCCGTTCTCCTCCGAGAAAAATCCCACTTCCCCTTCTTCGACTGTGCATATCAGGGATTCGCCTCTGGTGATCTGGCAAAGGATGCTTGGGCAGTCCGATACTTCGTCGAGCAAGGCTTCGAGATGTGCATTGCACAATCTTTTGCCAAGAATTTCGGTCTGTATGGTGAGCGTGCGGGATGTTTCCATTTCGTCACAGGACCGGGTGCAGATGCTCAATCTACCATTGGTAGAATTGCCTCTCAATTAACCATCCTCCAACGATCCGAGATCTCGAATCCTCCCGCCTACGGTGCCAGAATTGCTGGATTGGTGATGAATGACGAGGCTCTGTTCAAGGAGTGGGAACAAAATCTCAAGACAATGGCAGGCAGAATTATTGACATGAGAAAGAGTCTGAGGAGCAAGCTGGAGGAGATGGGAACTCCGGGCACATGGAACCATATCACGGATCAGATTGGCATGTTTTCATTTACGGGGTTGACAGAAAAGCAAGTTTTGAAGTTAAGAGAGGTATCTCACGTCTACATGACGAAGAATGGACGCATTAGTATGGCGGGTCTGAATACGCACAATATCGACTACTTCGCGAAAGCAGTCGACAAGGTAGTCAGGGAAACTTAGGGAGGAGCGAGTTGAGATTAAGGCGCTGCGTTGAACGGATGGATGGTATGACGATGATCATGACTCGGAGCAAGCACGGACGGATGGAATGGAAGGGATGAAAGGAAAGGAACGGAAAGTGAGTTTCGAAACAGCATAACGGGCAATGCTTTCTTTCTTTCTTCTTTCTCATTTTTATTTGTGCATCATCATCATCATAGATCCGAAGTGTGATTAGAGCAAAAACGGGATCTCTCCTCTGCAGATAAAACAGATAATAATGGGTGGTACCTCTCCTCTTCTTTCACAATAACATCAACAACAAATCATAGAATTAGATTTCTTCGGCACAGATACATAGAGGACGGGAAATAGATCTCCTTCCTCAGCTGATAACTAGCTGTTGTGTAACATCTTTGACTGCTGATATGTGGGATGGTGTGATGTGACTTACGGCGTGTTTTCGTCAATGTACAAGCCTAGGAACGTTGTGTAACATCGTGACTACCAGTGTTTGAAAATAGTTTTTAATTTTCAAGGTGAGAGGAACTGGATTTATTGTGGAGGGAGAACGGAGGAGCAAGTCCTGAGCCGAGCGGGGGTATATCGGGATGAGGCCGAGCGGATTCCGTGAACTTACTCTGTGTTCCAATATTTTGATGCATGAAGGGAGATGTTTGCGGAGAAGGGTGGGGCTGCCTTCTGCATGCAGGTACGGGGTGTGAAGGGTTGCGGGGAGATGTAGCTTTCTAACCACTTTCTCTTTACTTGTGTGGTTTCTTTCTGAAGATAGGTATATGGGGATTTAGTGTTGATATTTAAAAGACTGCTTCATCAGACTTAATGCTTAGGCTAGTCCAGTACTTTTCTTCCAGCTCTTTGCGCATATTGCGCGAATCGTGCGAACAGCGCGAAACGCGCCATTCGTGCCAAATGCCAGAGGCACCCTCTGTTCATGATATTCCAGTCATTCGTACCAGTCAAAGATCTGATATCTTACAACAATTTTCAGCCAATTCCCCCTTTTCATCCCATAATATTGCCACGCTATCGACGACTTTCCCGTTGTCAAGATCATGGCTCACACTTTGAGTATTTTACAAAAGTCGAGTATCGAAGTCGGGGCATTAATACCAGCTATCACAGCTAGTGTCGACGACTTGCGTGGCTGTAGATCGTGAGTTCTCCGGCCTTGGGGAGAGGTCGGCTTGTAGAAGTGGTGTTCTGGGGGCGAGGCAGTTGTTTTCATCATCCTGAAGGGGAAGTGGATGCTTCCGGGCATCTGTTATAAGCGTGCATGTTATTCGATGCTATAGTGATTTACTTACCATAGATAGAGTAATTGAATCAGCACTCTCCAAAGTCTCGAGGTGACTGATTTTGAGTCGAGTACTACCTCATCTCTAACCAAATCCGATCGTCTCTCCAGCTAGAGTATCTGACACTTGTTAAAGCACTGGTACTTTTAAATCTATTTGGACAGCTATTCAACTTCTCAAATCGGGATCCTGTTACAAAGAAAAGATCCCAATTCAAGCCACGATGTTCAACTAAATCCCGATTATTATTAGTACAAAAATGTACAAACTGGATTTGGACTACCTGAAGATCATAATGTCCAAAATAAGTTCTTTTATTCGAAGGGTCAAATGCTTGACCTACCTGGACTTATAAATTCCGCAACAGCAAGGAGATTGAAATGTTTCTCACTTTAAGACATCAATAAATCACAGCTTGGAATATCAAATACTCATGCACTGTACACTTTGTACAAACAGCCACTGGCGAAGTACTATACGACATGCTCTTGAAATCCCATCTAGATGTCCGGATCCGTCCTAAATTCAGACATCCACAAACGCCAAGCTCAAGCCACCGCCCCTAATCCCTACTAAAACAACGCAATCATCTACTCATCATCCATTTCCTCGTCACTGTGCTCGAAGTAATGACTTCGCAAAGCAGTCTCACTCTTCCTCGCCGCACCTCTCTTCAGAGTCTTCCTTAAGCTGTCTACTGTAGTCCTAGCTTGTCGACCTGAAGCTCGTTTGGCCGGTGTTTTCTTGGGAGGCTCTTCAATTTCTGAGTCTAAATCTGAGAGAGTGGACTCGTCATCGTCATCTTGCTCGCTGTCCTGGATTCTCGATTTGCTCTTGGAGGCTTTCTTCGATGTTGGTGTCTTTGGCTTCGGTACTCGCTTGGCAGGCGTTTTAGCTTTAGGCTTCGCTGCTGAAGACCCAGGAGGTCTACCGCGTTTCTTCGGTGCAGGAGCTTCGACTTCGGATTCTGGATCCTGCATTTCAACATCTTCTTCAGAAGCATCAGCTACGCCATTCTTCGTGATAGGTTCTAGTGACTGCGGTGTAGCATATGCCTGAGCATTGCCTGTCGTCGAAGGTTCATCATGGCCTTCGACCACAAACCCTCCGCCTTCCTCCTCCTCATCATCATGCTCTTGAACAACTGGGAAGAAGGACGGATGACGCTCTTCAGGTTCTTCAGTCTCGAATCCTTCTGGCAGGAAGCCGCCAGCCATTTCCTCATCACGCTGATCCATGATCTTCTTCTGAGCTTCTGCCTCGGCGTCTTCTGTCCTCTTCTTCTTATTCGCGAAGGGATTGAGTACATCTGTGTCATCATCGCCATCACCACGCTCCTCTTTGAACCTCTCAATGATACGAAGACCCATCAGCATCTTTCTCCACAGGCCAAGAGCTGCCTTGCGACGCTTCTCGTCTTCTTTTCTGACTCGTTCTGCCTCGTCTTTGTGCCACTCGTCCATCATAGTCTCGTAGTGCTCTTCAGCTACTACGACTCCTGTGATGACAGGAACAGCCATCCTGTGACCGAACTCGAAACCAGTGACTGCTTCGGCATAATCGATACCTAGACGCTTACAGATTTTGACAGTACCTCGCATGGGTAAGTGTACAGCTCCTTCGGGGAGCATACTGTCGACGTAAAGATCGATGTTGCCAAAGTTGTTCTTTGGAATGATACCATTCTCAATCGGTGGAGGAATGATCCAATCCGTTTGGTCCCAGCTATACAAGCCCTGGAGTACCTTCTCACCACTGGCATTCTCGGCTTCGGCAAGCTCACGTCTGCGGTTGGTCGTTGCAGCTCGATAGGGAACACGCTTCAGCGGTTCTTCGCCATCTTTGGGAGCCCGACCTTCTTTGTGCCAAGTCTCGATACTCTTGCAATTGACAACATCTTTTCTCAAGTAAACCTTCTCATCAGTCGTGACTTCACCCTTGCCCTTGATTGTGAACATCTTGACGTGTTTTGCAGTAGGCACCAAAGCTTCTTCTCTCTTGAAATGTCTTTCGAGGACAAATTCAGGAGAGGATTTGTAGTATTGCAAAGTCTCTTTGCCTTCTTCGACCTCTTTCTTTTCTGGCTTTACACGCTTGAGGTCAGTAGCTTCTTCATAATCGTCGATATCTGTACGAGGACACTTTCTTGTGCCACGGACATAGCTGCTCATAACAGTTTTGAACCAGTCGTATTCCTCATATCGCTTGATCTTGCCGTGTCGATTGCGTATAGCTATCTTCTCGGCAGGATATCTATATCCCTTGGTTCGACCTGGCCATACATGTTTCTTCAAGTACCGAGTTGTGACATCTTTGGCAGTACCATCAGAAGAGTGACCAATGATGTATGCCGTGACCTGTTTCCCTTTATCCGCTGCCACTCCTCTGGTCTCAAATTTCTCAATGGTCTCTCTGCCAGTTCCCACAAGATGTAGAACAACCGCATCGACTGGCGTATATGTATTCGTCACAGGAGATAAAACCTCGCTCCAGTAATGAGGGAATGGAAGATCCTTATCATAAGATAATGAGGTTGCACGGACTTGCTTCGCAGGCGTGATGTCAATCACAGAATCATCATCTTCCTCATCAACAGCGGCTTCAGAGTCAGATAAGTCTATTGGGGCATTCTTGAGACCATTTCCCCTCGAAGTACGTCTAGAAGGTTTCGAAGCAGATTTGCCCGCAGTTTTGCCCTTTCTCACTGACTTAGGGACCGGTGCTTCTTCTTCCTCGACAAAACTCGCCTCTTCATCTAAATCTAATGGCTTAGGAATAGTCTTGGCTTTGGATTTGGTTGGAGCTTTGGCCTTCTTTGCTGGCTTCGATATAGGCTGCGGTAAAGGCTGTACTTCCTCCTCCTCAGCGCTCGTCTCTTCATCAGAAGAATCATCAGCTGCATTTGACTTCTTTAATCTTCGAGGATTACTTTTTGAGGCTTCCTCGCTTGCACTCCAACCAAAGCCTGCAGGTTGAAGACTTGCAACCAGTCTCGTTTCTAGACCAAGAACTCGTAGCAGAGCAGTGAACAGCTGTGCGCCGACATCCCGACTGCCCTCCATAATCTGAGCACATGCCCGGAACTCTTTGATATTTCTTATCCGTTCGCCATGCCGTTCCGGATCGTAGTTCTCTTTAAAAGTCTTGGATGCCTTGTCTAACCGTTGCAGAGACATGTATCCCAACTTTCTCAGACCCGGAGCCGTGATCCGAAACTGACTTTTCCAATATCTCCTGAGCTTCTCGAGCAGATTGAATAATGGATCGCCAGCACTCATATTGACTTGCCCCTCAGCTGTAGGCCGTGCTGATGCAGCCCAATCACTCTGACGTCTCGAATTTGCCTGCTCTCCCTTCGTAGTCTTCGTATCCTTCGTCTTGCCCTTGCCTTTCCCTTTTCCCTTAGGGATTCCATCCTCTCTATCCTCCTTTACTTCCAATCCGCTATCTCGTTTCCACTTCTCAACTGCTTCCAGTAGAGTTTTGGGCAACTGCTTGACTAGAATCTCTTGCACTTCTTTATCACAGCACCATCCGTTCCGAACGGCATTGTGCCACATTAAAAACTGGACGTGCATCTTATGCGTGTCAACTCTAATGCCCCTCTCGATCTTGCTTGGTCCCTTCTTCGTCCCAAATGGATTTGTAATGGAAATCCTTGTATCCTTCGTCAACGTCAACTCCAGATCACCCGTAGAAATATTCGCAGATGCTCCAGGGGCAACGTTCGTATCCACATCCTCAAATTCTATGTCTTCATCCTCATCATCGTCTTCCTCTGCCGCAGAGATCTTCTGTCGTTTTGCATTCGGCACATCTTCAAATTCCTCGTCAGACAGTGAGGAAAGCGAGCTCTCGTCGTCACTCGTAGCAGCCAGTTTTTCCAGCATAGCTTTGCCATGTTCCGCAGAGCGCCTGGTGCCCGTTCCGGCGTCCAGGTCATCAAAGAGCGTAGGCTTCCTGGGGGTGGTTGTCACGGCTTTGCCTTTGCCCTTGCTTTTGGCTGGAGCAGGCCGCGAAGGTCCTGGCTCAGGCGTCGGCGATCGCAGACGCTTTCGAGGCAGGAATGGAGGCATGTTAATACATATCCCCAGTATCCGGTCTGGCAGATGCTGTGTGTCGCGATTTGGTATTTCTTCACGTCGCGTTTTGGATGGGGAACTTTTTGGAACGCAGCCTCTCGTGAGGTCATCACAGGCTCTAGCTCAGGTACAAATCTACAGGGGTCCTTTTGTGGAATATCAATATCAGTATCAAAGTTTTGCTTCATGTATTCATTTGCCTTCGCGAGTCGTCTGTCTATCAATATAATTCCCATATTTCCTGGTATATCTGAACGCCGTCCAATGCTCTATCTCTCTACCCTATAATATCTACCCCTCAATCACTGGCAGATCTTCCACTATCGTGCCCATGCCTCTTTCTCCATTGTCTGATTCCATTATCGATCTCTTGCCTTGTAACTCCATCCCTGACCAGGTACATGGTAACTCCCAAACTCTCCACATTCCTGTTTCGAGCTTCGTCATCAAAGAAAAGCATTTCCTCATATCTAAAGCCCGTCGCTCTCTGTAACTTTGTGAAGTGCGTAATCTTCGAGCCAGGATATATTTCCAGGTGGTCAAAGTATTCGATCGCTTTCCTCTTCTTGCCTTCCGAGCCCTCTTGTATATGCAATAGTCGCAGCATTTCTCGACCGAGGTCAGGAGCTGATGTTCGAGATGCAGCACCGACTTTGATGCCTCGTTCACGGAGATTGTAAAGAATCGAGGGGACGTCGGAGTAGAAGGCAAAGTTTTCGCCATATCGGTCTTTCGCAGAGTCGTGAGCGGCAGAGGCTTTGAGAGGAGGAGTAACGTGTGTATCGACCCAGAAGGGCCACAGTGTATAATCTAGATCAAAGACTATCATCTTGGGAAGAGCGCCATCTGTGAAAGTTTCTGGAGGCGCGAGTGTCGATTCTGCGGGTGCAGCCCCTTGCCCCATTTTCTTGACCATGATCGCAAGAAGATATATCAAAAGCAGCAGATTGACTCGTGTCGCGGTGAAGACTTGAGAGCGAGTTTGAGAAATCCTGAATTGATCTTGTGCTGGAGGTTTTGAGGGGTCCTGGTGCAATGCCGAGTACAGGGATGCGACGTCACGATGGATGGAAGCCAAATGCATTTTTAAGCTTAATCCCTGTGTTCCAAATTAAGAGAACAAATTTCTTCTTCCCGAACAGTCACAGTTTCGTCTTACATCTCACAGCCACTGCCATCTCTATTCCTCTCTGTTCGTCTCTACTTTGACTTTGCACTCTCTAAGCTTTATTGTGAAGGTCAGACATCCATATTCTCAAGCTGCAAACACATTCCGGACATCCATGATGCATTCATTAGATATCCTTGCAATGGCTGCAGCGGAGGTGCAACGAAAAGAGTCTCTCGAATATGCCCCCGAAAGTTATTACATCCGCTCTCCACGATCTTCAGATATTCCCTTACTAGAGAAAGTCGAACGTTCTGCAGCAGAAGTCTTCCTCACAGTCAACCTTGGATTCCTTCTCGATCAACCAACAGTAGACCCATACTTGCTTGCTTCGATGGCAAATTCAGGTCACCTCTGGATCGCAGTAGACAAATTCGACCAGCCTATTGGTTTCCTCGGAGGCCAATACCTTGAGGGCAATTTCCACATTATCGAAGTGTCGGTCGCGAGATCATATCAAGGGAGAGGCATAGGAAAGGCTTTGATGGCGACAATGGTAGACCAAATCAGAGCAGAAGGATACAAAACCATCACTTTGACGACATATCGAGATCTGCCATGGAATGCACCTTGGTATTCCAGAATGGGATTCGCGGAGGTAAAATCTTGGGACGCAGGAAAAAGCTACGAGGACATACTCGAAGAGGAAGCACGACATGGTCTGGATATCAGGAACCGATGCGTTATGAGAAAAATCCTCTAATTTCGAATTTCCTCCCTTGAAACCCAACTTCTTGGGCATGATGATACGACGAAAAAGAAACTGTTCCCCAGACAAATAAAAGCCACACAACCGACAATCGAAGACTTCGGGACGGCACGATCTGCCATGGCCAGAAAAAGCAAGCACTGAGATTTCCGTGTCTTGCTTTCGGCAGAGCTATATTGCATCAGTTGAGCGTATACTTTGGACATATTGCTGAGAGTTTCAAGACAGTCATGTATCCCTATTTCTCTCTCCTTCACGAGGCTGTTGTCTCAGCTCTTTCGACATATTTAGGAGGGAGGGATACAGTTGAAAGTATCTGGGGGAAGGCTCGGACGATTGCGATTGGTTTTCGATTGTCGGGCGACATCGAACATCTCTGTGATGATGGCGTGGCAATATCGTCAACAGGATTCGAAGAGAATTATTGCTAAACGGACAGAAGAACGAAGATGTATGAATATTAATATTATGGCGCAATTATGTAAGGACTTTTGACACAATGACACTTTGCGCCTTATCAATTCCGGGGCATCATCCCTGTATCTCGCGCTTTCATTACCGGCGCTTGTTGATCTTTGCATTAACCTCGTCCGATTGCTCAAACTCGAACTCACCTCGGCATATCTGCAAGCAACAGAGGTCGACTGTTATGTACGATAGCGGAGATATCTAGCCGGCCAAGGATTGCCAGAGGCAAGTAAGTGCCCAGTAGCATCGCATAGCTATCGCTCAAAAGAACAACCCAAGAACAACTACTGCCGCGTGCATCGTACAAAACCCTGTTCGAATGGCATCTCACTATCATCATGCATGAAGCAGCTAGTGCTCTGAGATAAGTGACAATCCAAAATCACAATTTCTCTTTCTGATGTAATCGGAACAAGATTTCCATTTCGCATATTCTTCCTCGCGCTGCTTGACTTCAACTTGCGTCTCAAATGTAATGTGGCCAATTTCATGACTTTCATCCTCTTTTGATCAACAACATTGAGACTCTGTCATGGCTACTCAACTAGCATCTGAGAGTCAATCAACTCCTTCATACTCCGAGAAAGCCCCAACATCAAATCCAGATCACGATCCTCAATTAGAGGAAATCAACGAGACAGGCCATGTTCAAGAATTAGAACGCAATTTCTCTCTGCTTTCCGTCTGTTCCGTAGGTATCGTCACGGGAAATACATGGGCAGCTCTTGGAGGCTCAATCGTGGTGGCAATTTACAATGGAGGACCTCCAGGCGTTCTGTATGAATTTATTGCTGTGTCAATCTTCTACTGGCTTGTTGCTGCATCAATTGCCGTAAGTGGGGTATGCTATGAGGCAGATAGGTTGAAGTCTGACTTGTTGAACAGGAACTTGCTTCATCGATGCCAAGCAGTGCTGGTGTATATCACTGGGCCTCAATTACTCCGGGTCCAAAGTATGGACCAATATGTGGGTGGTTCGCTGGATGGTGGAATACGTTTGCTTGGATGATGGGAAGTGGTGAGTCCCGTGTCCCGCAGCTATGGGGTCTCGACTGATGTTCCCAGCCTCAATGGCTAGTATCTGTGGTCAGATAGCTGTTGCTATGTATGGCATCTACCATCCGGATTACTCTCCACAACGCTGGCACGTTTTCATCGGGTATCTGATTATCACTTGGATGTGTTGCTCTGTGGTGCTGTTTGCCAATAGAGCACTTCCGATGATCAACACGATTGGGTTGTTCTTCATTCTTGCTGGTGTTTTTATCACTATTATGGTCTGCGCGACTATGCCGCACGTTACGGGATCAGAGTAAGCAAATTCTGCTAAACCACACTGCAAAAAGCAATTAGAGTCTTTAAATACTGATTCTGACTAGATACGCATCTTCGTCCTTTGTTTGGGCAGACTGGTCCAACCAAACCGGCTATGCAAGCAATGGGTTTGTCTTCCTAGCCGGCATGCTCAATGGCGCCTATTCGGTTGGAACGCCTGACTGTGTCTCTCACTTGGTAAGCTTATTCGTGCCTTTGATCTGATACACTGCTAATTCGTTGCTTAAGGCGGAGGAGATTCCACATCCAAAACGAAACATCCCTCTTGCTATTGGCGCTCAAATGATCATCGGCTTCCTCACAGCCTTCTTCTACATGATCGCCATCTTCTACTCCATTTCATCCATCGACGATATCTTGGCTGCTCCCTATTTCCCGTTAGCTACAATATACGCCCAAGCTACACAAAGTAACGCTGGCACGATGGGATTACTATTCATTATCTTCGTGCCGGTCTTTTGCTGTTGTGTTGGGACCTATATCACAGCCGGAAGGTGTCTCTGGACTATTGCTAGGGATGGAGCAGTTCCATTTTCGGGGACGTTTGGACATGTTTCGAGGAGATTCAAGAACCCATTCAACGCTACGCTCTTCTGCGGTTGTTTCTCTACTGTATTGGGAGCGATATATGTCGGTTCCTCGACAGCATTCAACGCTTTTGTCGGCTCCTTCGTCGTCCTTTCTACTATATCGTATCTGGCTTCTATCCTGCCTTTCATGCTCACTGGTAGATTCTCCCAGTCTTCCAAATCAACTGGAAATGCAAATGGGATGAGACCAGGCTGGTTTCAAATGGGACATTTGACGGGACATGTCATTAATGGAATTAGTTGTGTTTACATCATTGTGTTTGTGGTTATTTATTGCTTTCCTTATTCGATGCCGGTTACGGCTGCGAACATGAATTATGCCTGTTTGATTACGGGGACGATCACTCTTGTTGCGGGGTTCTGGTGGCTGGTTAAGGGGAGGAGGGGATATATTGGACCGAAGGCTATGGTGCATGTAGATGAGCCGCATATCTCGAGTGGTGGGGTTGTGGGCGAGAGTACGGATTCTGAGAAGTTAAGTTAGAGATTTGTGATTTTTAAGTTTAAGAAGCATATATACAAAAGTCGACAATCGCAACATGATCACAACCAACAGTACGTGCAAGCTGGACGAAGCATCCCCCTTCACTCGCAAGACGATATCTACCAATCCTATCAATCTTACGGTAGCCGTCAAATGCAACTGAGCCGAGAACTCCTCGTTGGAAGCGAGACTAGCTGCAAGGGCAGCCGATTGCCGGCATCTGTCTTTTGCCAGCATATCCGAATTTATCCAGACCAGCGAATACTCACATTCGCCTATCGTACAAACCGAAGCCGCTGAGGTGGACGTTAACGAGCCGTCCCTCATATTTACTCTGCATTCAATAGAACGGATCACCAATTGGATCTATCCCAATCTCTGCTGTGCCTGACGGCAACAATTTATTTATAGGCTGATGGTATCTTATGACGCAATGATTATTCCATGGTATTATACTTCTTAATCAATGAAATATTTCACCGGACTGATGGAGTATTCTCAATTGTTAGAACGAGCTCCTTTTTTTTCTGTCAATTGAGTACTAACGATGCGTCTAGGCGTCACGATCACCGGTGTCTGGCTCTGGACTGCAAGTCTTAGTCTTGGAGCATTTTCTGGGCATGCTCGTGCTGTCAATAGCTCGACTGGACCACAAGTTGACCTTGGATATACTGTTTACAGCGGTGTATCAAATGCCTCCCTCGGTCTGAACATCTTCAAAGGGTATTTTACCTCAATCCTTCTTCCAGATCATCACTAATGCAGAATCTCGTAGCATTCGTTATGCAGCTCCTCCAATTGGGTCTCTGAGATGACAGGCCGAAAGCACCTGTTGTAAACAAGACAGCAGTTGTGCTAGCTACTTCGTTTGCGCCTGCTTGTCCTCAGAGCATGTTTAGTCTGGAACCTTTGGCCGCCAATCCAGGAGGTTTGGGTGATGAAGACTGTCTCTTTCTCAACGTCTACGCTCCCACAAACTCCTCGAAATTACCAGTCCTGGTATGGATTCATGGTGGTGGATACGGAGCTGGAAATGGCCAGCAGGATTTAAGTGCTATCATCAATACGAATAATAATTCCTTCATTGGCGTTGCCATTCAGTATCGGGTACACTTCCATTCTTGTGTGTTTGAATGCTCGAGTTGACTTGCTGATTTCGGTTGAAGCTTGGTGCATTTGGATTCCTTGCCTCCAATGAAGTGTACAGAAAAGGAGTTGTCAATGCAGGTATCCTCGACCAACATGCCGCTTTGCAATGGGTGCAAGATTATATTCATCTTTTCGGCGGAGATCCGAAGCGGGTGACTATCTCGGGAGAGTCTGCTGGGGCGGGGTCAGTGATGCTACATGCTATGGCCTACAATGGCACACTTGGGACTTCTCTTTTCATCAATGTAAGAACCACTGTTCAATGATTGACAAAATTGAGAAGCTGAAATTCTCAGTCAATTGCAGCATCGCCATACCTTCCCGAGCAATACGAATACAAGGATTGGCAGCCCTCTCAAAGCTATTATGCCTTTGCGTCTCAGGCGGGATGTTCGGCTTCAGCAGCTTATGGAGGTACTTCGCAGACTATCTTCGACTGTCTAGTCGCAAAAGACACGGATACTCTTCAGATGGCTTCTTTCAACGTGTCTGCGTCTGGAGTATACGGAACGTGGGCCTTCGTTCCAATTACAGATGGGATCTACGTGCAGGACGTGCCAAGTCAGCAATTACTCCGAAAACAAGTAAATGGACAGAGGTTTCTGAGTGGGGTAAGAGTTTCTCGTGAAGTGTATCTCCAGATGTTGACAGCGCATGATAGAACAATGGTCTCGAAGGCTTTCTCTTCGTACCTCGAAGTATTACTACGGAGAGTGCTTTGGCGCAATGGATACATCTCCTCTTTCCCCTTTTCACAAACAACGATGTCACAGCACTTATCGCACAATACAACTACACTTCCGATTCCCAAACCAAAGCTGATGTAATTTCTCTCCAATGAACCATGAAGGTCAAAGCTTACATCTGCGACAGGACATTTATGGCGAGACGACATTCGTCTGCCCTAGTCATTGGCTGGCGGAAGCGTATTCGTCAGGTTCTAATGCATCTTCTTCGGACGCAAAGCAAGGGTTCAAATATCATTATTCCGTCCCCGCACCTTTGCACGGAAGTGACGTCTCGGGATACTTCGGGCCTGCTTCTCCGAATCAGGGATCTGATTTCGAGAAAGCTTTCATGAGTGAGCATCTCTTCCATTAAACCATTTGTTCTATTTGTCTCAATACAATGCACACTTTCTGGGTTAGAACCCCTGAATAAAACTAACTGAAATAGCTATCTGGGGTAATTTCATAACAACAAACAATCCCTCACTTCCGAATCTTATCGCCAATGGTGCCTCTTCTCCTTCTCCCTCAGCTTCGAACGCCGCATCCAATTGGCCGTCTTACTCTAAAGCTTCACCAAACATGATCAATCTGAACGAAACAGGAGGAGTAGCTTTCAGTGCCGCGACCAATGGTGTGAATTTCACTGAGTACAGCGGGCCTGGTTTGGTGAATAATATCACGTTGGTTAATGCTTACACATGGGAGAATGGCAGAGGGTCTAGATGTGATTTCTGGAGAAAGATTAGTGCTAGTGTGCCGGAGTGAGGAAAAGGGTCAGATAGGGCGAGAGCGAGAAGGTGGTCTTGATAAGCGAAGGGGCGTAAGCGAGAGCCAATGAAAAGACGAAATGCAATTAATCGAGATCTGAGAACTTGGGATGTGCTGCCAGATTCACAGCAGTTGATATTATTACAATATTACAAACAATAATAAGGTTTCATATACCCGGACCTGGTGGTTGGCTCATGCGTCTGGATAAATATACTGCGGGTCCTCGGAGCCCTGCTTCCGAGAACTGCGTTCCCAGTTCCAACTTAGTTCCAACCGCGTCCACTTCAAATCACTTCACATGTGTTCAAGATCAACTGTCAACAACGCTCCAAGGCGTTCGAGTTTTGAAACCAGAACGATTGAGTTCACGGGAGAGGGTCAAAGTCTACAGAAAGTTTTACTAGAAGGTTCGTGAGGTGGGAATAAAAGTAAGCTTTGCGTCTATTTCCTAGCCAAGCCGCCTCCACATCTGTCACTTGTCACCTGTCAAACGTGCCGCGCACAGACACCACAAAGTCTCTTCCCCGCGAATTCGCAATTATTTTTGCACAGACCAAGATCAGCTAGTACATGCAACTTGGCCAAATGACTTGGTGTCCAAGACTTTCGGAACCAGCCGTTCTGAGTATCTGATCTTCAGATCTCAGCTCGTGGCTTTTGAGGTGGCACAGGAACCCGGTTATGACCGATGCGCTCAGATGCTTTGACATCAGAAAAGTGGAAGACGAAGAGGATGCACTCATGCAAGCCACCTTTATTGTTCACATGGACGAGTCTTTGAGAAACCAACGTCATGGAACACAAGGTTGCAGCTGTCGAGATAAGAAATCTCACAGTGAAAGATTGTGAGGAACTGAAGTTATGTTGCGCTCTATGACTGACTCAGCTTCGGGTCACTACTTCTAGGAACAAGCCGCTCTATGAGCCGGTGCGGCGGCACAGCTTGGATGGCTCCCGGGGACCGGGTCACTCGTTTGAGTGATCCTTCACTTCACTATCTTTGACACTAACGCCGTCATCTGGTCCCTTATCGCCTCTCCCGGCTTGTCAAAACAATGGCTTCCTTCAAACCGGTTTCTCACGCCCCAAGTTACTCAAGAGATACAGGGACCACATCCTCCCGCCGCGGATCAAGTCATAGCGAATCCCTACTTCGGTACAAGCCCCGAACTGATCCGCTCAACACACATGAAGGTGTGTTGAACATTGCCATGAAAGTTCATGCAGGTTGACCACTAGGTACCTATGTACCTAGTCGTCACAATCACTGTAAAGAGAAAGATCTTCATTTCCAACATGAAGAGAAGTATTTTATACGGTCCCTGTTATTACTTGCGTACCCCACAAACCTAAAGTCTTTCGGTCCCGAACTTCAGACACACAATCCTAGATACGACGTTTAATCTCAACTCTTGCTGTCTCTCGTCTTGCCGCTTTCTGAACCGGATCCACGTATCATAAGTCTGCTATATGATCCTCTTTTCCTCGTTTTGCTAAAATAAGTTGGAGACTACCCGGCTTTCTCTATATCTCTGCTTGTTGTCTATCAGAACATAGCAGGGCATAGAGAACTATGGCATACGATCTTCACGCGAATAAAGGTCCTCACGTGCTGGGGATTGTAATAGCTTTCCCGATCTTGGCGGCTTTTTGTCTGTCATTGAGGTTATACACTCGGTTCAAGATTATTCATAATGCTGCTCTTGAAGACTACTGTAGTGTGGTTGGACTGGTAAGTTGTGTCATGTATAAACTTTGGTTGTTTGGCTATCTGATATGTCTACAGATCTTCTCTATTGCAACCTCAGTTTGCATGGGCTATCGTGAGTAATACCTGGGCCTGTTTTTTATGACCCGTTTTTCTAACCTTTTTCGAAAATACAGAAGTCAAGAATGGCATGGGAAGACACATGCAAACGCTCACACCTCAAGATGGCGTCAACTCAGTCAAGGTACTTCTTTCTCCCTCGCATCTTTCCATCTACCACTACTCCTCAAACCAGCTCCGCTCTAACAAACCAACCAGTTTCTCTTCGCCAGCATCCTAACCTACAACATCTCCCTGCTTTTCATCAAACTCTCCATCCTGCTCCAATACCTCCGAATCTGCATCTCTCCGCGCGTCCGCCTCTTCTGTCACCTCACACTAATCCTCATCATCTCCTACGGCATCGAGACCTTCTTCACCGGCCTCCTAACCTGTCTCCCGGTTTCTTATTTCTGGGACAAAACCATCCCAGGAGGGAAATGCGTCAACGAACCAGCATTATGGTTCGCTAATGCCGGGATCAATATCTTCCAAGATCTATGCTTACTCGTTCTTCCGTTTTTCATCCTAAGAGAGTTGATCTTGGGAAAGAGACAGAAAGCGGGTTTGATGCTTGTTCTTTCTCTAGGGGCTTTGTACGTTCTACTTCCTTAGATGAGAGAGCAAGACTGATTCAAGAATAGTGCATGCATAGCATCAATATGCCGCCTTCACGCTCTTTACGAAGTCTCCGTCAGCAAAGATATGACATGGGATAATCCAGGAACTGCGATCTGGTCCTCGATCGAGCTCAACACGGCTATAATCTGCACCTCGATTTCGGTACTGAAACCCCTTGTTTCTCGCCTTTTGCCTGGGATGCTGTCTTCTCGTAAATCGAGCGAGGCGCCGAAGATTAGGAGTGGTGGTAATGGGACCGTGTTGAGTTTTTCTGCCGGAAAGTGGATGGATACGACGCTGGCGAGTTCGGAGGACGGGAAGTTTGAGATGATGGATGAGAGTGAGCGCGAGGTTTGGGGGCTGAGGGAGGTGAGGGAGAGTGTGGGTAGGGAGGCGGAGAGCAGGCAGGGGTTGAGGGATGGAGTTGGTCCAATGAGTGTCGAGGTGTAAGAATAGGCTTGGGAGTATGGGAGTATGGGAGGCATTGGAGTTTTGGTTTGTTTATAACTAAAAGTTCGGGGAGGCTCTCCATGGTGTTTGAGCTTATGAGGTTATGGTCACTTGCCTATGTAGAGTGCGGAATGGAGGTCAAATGGAGAAATGGAAGTAATGTATGCTGGGAACTAGCGGTGTAAACTATGAAAATGTCAAATATGTTTTCAGTACGAAGTCCGGACCCTGTTAGTCTCAAGATGCAACCCTGAGAGGACAATAGTTCGCTTTTTTTGACACAACGCATAGAGACAATAGTTGATTGATTTTCATGATTCATTATGAAATCTCTACTTCATCAACCAGAAATCATACACGCCACACAAGGGACTAGAGCTGAGTTGTTACTTCGCAGGAGAGGAAGGAGGAAACAATTGCAGAAAGGAGTATCGAGTAGACTGAGACCGCCGCCACGATGCGCCGAGATGACCCATGTGAAAGATGCCATTGCCTCCGTGGTCGTTACAGTGAGGATTTAAAGAAGAGGAATGATGTCGTCTACTTCTTCGGGGGGTACTTGTTCTTGAGCATGTATCTGTTTGCATGTTAGTCCACATCCGACTGCTTTCTATGCACCCACGGAGTCCACCTGGACTGGGAAACAAGTATCAAGCAACACTCACTGGCTCAGATAGTAATCACCCGCGGCAAACAGCCCAACAACACCAGTCCAAATACCCACAACCTTCCACGACAACTCTCCCGCAGCATATTTCCGATAAGCACCAAACCCTAGTCCAGCACTTAACCCCACGACCGCGACCGCATTGGCGATAAAGACTGGGTTATCGCTATTCCTGTCCACATATCCTGCAGCTTTCTTAGCCTTCTCCTTAGCTTCCTTGCCCTCTTTCTTGGCTTTGGAAGCAGCGGCAGACATCTCCTCCTTGGCCCGAGCTTCGGCGGCTAGGGCTTCATGCTCCAGGCGGTCGAGTTGGGTGGAAGTCTGGATATCTTGAGATCCGAAGTCTGAAGGGACCGTGTGGACTGAGTTAGAGTCGACGTCGACTAAGGATGAGGAGGAGAGAGATTCCGTTGGCTCGATTTCGGGGGGAGGTGGTGCGCGTTTCTGTTTGAGCATGTTAGCCTGCTTTAGCTATCTCAGAGCTTGGTGAAGCCTTGATATCGTCGATCACACTAGGTCTTTAAGGTAAAGATGGAGATACATACCTCCTCAGCCGTTTGCTTTGGGCCCTTAGCTGCTGCTGCTGCGTACGACATCTTTGCTTTCCTTTGAGGTGCCTGGTGCGGGGTACTAGACTATCTCAATATCAATCACCACAAGTCATAGAAGAATAAAACTCACGAGAGAATGCGGTTGAGGAAAGAGAGAGATTTGCGGTGGAAGTCTGGAGATGTCTCGCGGGAGAAGTCGTGTGCCTTAGCTTGAAGACCGGGAGCATGTGATGGAAAACAGGGTTGGTTGCTCGCCAAATCGCGTTGACGTAGGCGGCTCAATGCGAAAAGGAGAGTGTCTCTGCGAGCTTGGCTTGGAGGGAGAAATGTGTTCTGAATGTTTAAGGAGAGTATGTGCATCATGCATATTGATATTTTTTTTTTTTTGTTACATACGCACGCATAGATGAGGAGAACGACAGGATTAGTACGGCTTCGTTAGGGTTCCTAAAGTTCCTGGCTCATGAGCACTTAATTCAGGCACGCATCTTCCATTATGACACATTAAGCTTGGAAACATGCAGATGTCTGCTTGGGAGATCTTTCCTTTATTGTACATCTCAACGCCCCCCTATGCCTTTGATACATCATACATCTTGTACACGCAATCATCGAATCTATTTCGATGTAGCATCGTGAGCAGCCTTTGGTAATAGCTCTCTACCCTCATCACTAGCTTGTACTGTCTCTGCTGTGGTCGACAAACTATCTCTATGTGATTCCTCGACTGTCTTCTTGGGTTCTGTAGGTTGAGGAGTAGCTTCGGTAGTTGGTGTTGGTACCGATTCAGTTGTCTCCTTCGGTTTCGAGGGAGTTGAAGCGCCAGCTTTAGTGTCCCTTTCGCTTTTCTGAGCTCTAATTTCTTCCTCGACCTCGTCCTCATCATCTTCTAATTCACTTCCATACATCTCGGGATGTAGTCTAAAGCAATCTTGCATGCCCCTATTTTGAGATTAGCATTGTTCCGCACCGTGTAACCCACTGCGTAACGCCATAGGCAGACTTACTTGAATTTCTCGATACACTCCACCCCCTTCGGCTCCTCTTTCGAGTACACAAAGCAGCTGAATGCCTCTTTGAATTCTGGTCCACACGGTCCATGTGCCATACCTCCAAGACAAGGACAATCCCAATTGATCTCACCCGTTTCCGGATTGAAAGCTCCTTGTTGATCTGCCTCTTCTTCTAATCCTCCCATTCCATCCTCGCCTTCTTCGGTTGGAAGTTCGCCATCTTCTGCCACAGCAACAGTAGATTCCGCAGCTTTCAGTCGTTTCTCATCTTCCGCTACCCGTTGAGCAGCTCTCGCACGCTTCTCCTCTACAATAGCGTCTACCGTAGGTTGATCCGATTCCTGAATTCGATGCAAAGACTCGTTTGTCCGCTGAATCGCAGCTACTCCGGGGGAAACAATTAGCACCCAACACTCTCATCTAATGTACTGCGGCAACAAGCAAACAGGATACCAACCTTCCGGCTCTTCCGCAAAAACATCACTCGTATTATACCACCACACGCCCGCTCCAGCAGCTACCCACCTCGCAGCACCACTCTTCCAACTCCTCTTTCCTACTGTCGAACTAGCAAATCTTCTTCCACCAACTCGTGCAGCTGTCGTCAACACCGTCCTCGAAGCCGAAGTGGCTAATGTACCTCGTAACGCGGTTTTGAACATTTTGCAAGCTCAAAAGAGACGAATTGAAGATGGCGGAATGTCGTCAGGAGACAAAGGAAAAAGGATGAGTGATCATTACAGCTTGGTGGTCGAGATGATGCTTACAAAACTTCTTCGCGGTTTTCGGGAATTTTTGGAGATGTGGCTGGTGGATGAATCATGTGACCGAAAACTAGGAAGTGGGGCTTGAGTGGGGCTTCCGTTATCAAAGAACAAACGAGCTTCATGAATGAATCACTGACACTTGTTTGATTTACGCTTTCTGTACATGTTCATCTGCTAATCTTGTTCTTGTATCTTCTTGGAGTTTAGGAGCCTGGATAGATTGAAGATGCTGAGATAGTTCTCTAATTCCCTCTCTTCCACCTTCAAATCATAAATCACATTTCATTGTATGCTTTGCTTTACAGCCTTTCTATTCTGTACGGAGAGGTAGTTTTGGATTATCATCATTCTTTTTCGAACCCACGAATTCCTATCTCAATGGCCCCCAAAATAATAACCTGGGCTCCCCTCGACATCTTCTCCCCCGCCCCCATCCACCACAAGCCTCTTGCAATCATAATCCTCAACCAAGAGCTCAAACTCCCTCTCTACCTCTACCACCAGCTCTGGCTCAATTCAACCTTCGTCATCGCGGCCGATGGTGGAGCCAACCGCCTCTACGACCTCAACAAAGCACACTCCACCACCTTATCCACCAACGCCATAATAGGCGACCTCGACTCGCTCCTCCCCTCCGTCCGCTCATTTTGGGAAGATAGAGGAATCCCAATAATGCACGACTCAGACCAATATTCTACCGATTTCACGAAAGCAGTGAATTACATCCGCGCCTCGCCGTCTCGGAAAGACATCGATATCGTTGTCCTCGGCGGTCTGGGCGGGAGGGTAGATCAGGGCTTGAGTGTTTTGCATCATCTGTATCTATTTCAAGATTCGGTTACTTATGAGGATGGGAGGATGTATTTGTTGAGTAGTGAGGCTGTGACGTTTGTTCTAAAGAAGGGGAAACATGGTATCAAGGCGAAGGAGAGGTGGGAGGGGATTGGTTCTGGTGAAGGCAAGGGCGAGGTGGGGTTGGGGAAACATGTGGGGATCTTGCCGTTGAAGGGAGAAAGTGTTATTTCTACCCAAGGTTTGGAGTGGGATGTCAAAGATTGGAAGACGGTTTTTGGGGGGTTGGTTAGTACGAGTAACCATGTGAAGGAGGAGACCGTGAAGGTTGAGACGGATGAGGATGTGTTGTTTACTATTGATTTGAATTTCGCGGGTGGAGGTGACTGAGATGTTGACATCAATAGCAGAGGGGACCTACCTTGGATGTGCGGATTGGATCTGAAGTGTTCAAGGAGAGGAAATGTTATTTTAGGTGTCGCCGAAGTAAAGGACAAAACTTCAAAATACAGCTTATTGATACTATAAGCAGATGTCTAAGAACATAGTAATAAGAAATCTGAAAAGCCTACAGATCTCAAATCAACCTTGGAAGTTGTTGGGCACACGTGATAGTGAAGCAGAAAGTCCATTCCCAATCCATGGGCAGTACTTTACTACATCTTATGCCTCATCCCCCATTGATAATTGCAAAAATGGTCTTCAAATCCCAATAGCTAAAAGGCAAGCACAGCACCTATAATATCTGAGAATCACACTCACGTGCTAGACACAAAGACAAGCATCCATGCCAAGCAGCCACAATCGAGGCCTCGGAATCTGATATGCAGGAAAATGACGCACCTGACAACTCGAACTTTTAAACTCGGGACCTCGAAATAAATCACACGCAACACTTAGGAACATTTAGTGTCCATTATGCTGCCAAGGCATACCTTAGAAATAAACCCCTTTTGAATGGCTCAAATAGAGAATAAACACGCATAAAGTTAAGTGGGCTGAGTGGATCGACAGACACTATGCAACGGATTTCAATACTCCTGCAGCATTGATCAATCACTGCGAGGAACAGGAACACGACTCAGACAATTCAAATCTTCGAGACAAACCTTTTTTGCTTTTGCTGGATTATATACCTATCTAGACATTATCGCCACAGCGATTACCAATATCGCAATTTATAGACCGCATCGAAGCTATTGCATTCATCCTCGGCGATCTCGCACCGAAGGTTAACTCCATCCGTACAACATCTTACTCGAAATCCTCCACAGACATTTATATGCATTATTGGCAAAGGTAGCACGCACCACAGGCTCTCTCGACGCCTAGAATGTCCTCTTCCCGCAATGCCTCCATCCCACACGCTCCCACGACCCCGAGCGGATTGCGCGAATCCCACACGATAGCAGGCTCACCAGAAGACACCCGAATCGCAGAAGCAGACACGGCGCCTAGCAGTTCCGAGCCTTCTCCCACTTCTAGACCTACGCATACCCATCACGATGACGAGCCAGACGACTTGATGGTGGATGGAGAGCCGGAGAGTATAGGGAGCAAAGTCGCGAATGAGACGACGGCTTTGCTGAGGAAGCCGTTTGAGTTTGTGACGGGACACCCGCATGCGGGACCGTGTAATCATGGGACGTTTAGTCCCGGGATCGAGAGTAGAGCGGACAGTATACGGAGTGGGCACAGTGGGAACAGCTTTGGCGGGGCGAGACCTGGCTCCGGAGAAAGCAGTAGAGGCATATTTGGGAGTTTGATGGAGAATATGAGGATGAAGAATGGCGGGGAGAACGGGAAGAAGAAGCAGAGTACTACGAGCTATTTGGCAGAGCGGCATGGAATAAAAAATACCAGGACTATGTGTGTCGATTCTAATCCCAAGTCCTTTATGCAACGTAGGCTGATAAATTCATTAGGTATCTTCCCTATTATATCCCGTTGTTTGCCTGGATGCGACAGTACAAATGGGTATATCTGAAAGGAGATCTGGTTGCTGCTATTACTATGGCTTCATTATACCTCCCTATGGGATTGTCCCTCGCCGAAAACCTCTCACACGTTCCGCCCATCAATGGTCTCTACTCTTTTGTATTCAATCCTCTTATTTACGCCATACTTGGAAGCTGTCCGCAGATGGTAGTTGGTCCCGAAGCAGCTGGGAGTCTGCTTGTTGGAAATGTCGTCAGATCAAGCATCGATGCTGGTAGAACACCAGAATGGGAGGATGAAATGCATGCTAGGGTAGCAGGTGTTGTTACTGGTATGGCTGGTGCCACTATCTTTATCGCAGGTATCTGTCGACTAGGATTTCTGGATAGTGTGTTTAGTCGGCCATTCTTGAGAGGATTCATCTCTGCTGTTGGCTTTGTTATTTTTGTGGATCAACTTATTCCTGAGCTGGGACTCGTGGAACTGGCTTCAGAAGTCGGTGTCAGTCACGGCAGTAGTGTCGACAAGATTGAGTTCCTGTTCAAAAATGCGCACAAAGGCTCCGGCATCACTGCTGCTGTTGCAGGAGTGAGTTTCGTCATCAGCATGGTGTTTAGGTATTTATATCCCAAATATAAAAGCTGCAATGTTAACGAGTTACAGGGAGATGAAGAAACGTCTGCAACCCCGCTACCCAGCCGTCGCATATTTTCCAGATCGCTTCCTCATTGTCGTCTTGTCTGCTGTTTTGGCCTGGCAATTGAGGTGGGATGAAATGGGCCTAGAGCTTCTTGGCAAAGTTGAACCTCCTTCTGGAATGCCATTCCAATTTCGCTGGCCCTTCCAGATATCGCACATGAAGCATATCCGCGAGGCCATGGGCACCTCCTTCGTCATCTCTCTGCTTGGCTTCTTCGAATCGTCGGTTGCTGCTAAGAGCTTGGGTGGCGGGGACAAGGACGGACTCGAAGGCATAGCGCTTAGTCCAAACCGTGAACTCATTGCCCTGGGAGCTGCTAATCTGGTAGGATCGTGTTTCTGTGCACTTCCTGCTTTTGGTGGCTATGGGAGAAGTAAGGTCAATAAGAACACCGGAGGCAAGACACCTATGAGCAGTGTTTTCCTAAGCCTGATATCCATTTTCTCAATTCTGTTTCTGCTACCCTGGTTCGCATACTTACCTGTATGTCAACTTCCAATGAGCTCGGACGCAGCATGCTAATCAGAACATAGAAAGCCATTCTATCATCTATGATCAGTGTAGTGGCATGGTCACTCCTCGAAGAGATTCCTCCTGACTTCATGTTCTTTGTCAAGATCAGAGGATATACTGAACTAGGCTTGATGATGATCATCTTTGCATCAACTATCTTCTATGATCTCAACATGGGTATAGCTATAGGAGTAGGCCTATCGCTCCTTGCTGTCATTAGGCACAGCACTAGACCACGTATTCAGATTCTGGGAAGAATACCAGGCACAAACAGGTTTGAGAATGCGGAAGATAATCCGGATAAACTCGAATTCATCGAAGGCTGCTTGATCGTCAAGATTCCTGAACCTTTGACGTTCGCCAACACCGGAGATTTGAAGAATCGTCTACGGCGACTCGAGCTATATGGCACAACAAGTGCTCACCCGGCTTTACCAAGAGTGCGGGCTCCAGAGCACAATAAGAACATCATTTTCGATATTCATGGCGTGACTGGGCTTGATGGGTCTGGAACTCAAGTCCTCGAAGAGATTATACGTGGGTATAGAGAGCGCGGGGTTCGTGTGTTCTTCACTCGTGGACCTGCGGAAGGAACTCCTATTATGGAGCTGTTTCGAAGAAGTGGAATTCTCGAGGCGTGCGGGGGAAGAAGTCATTTCGTCGCGGATGTCGGGGAAGCTCTTCGATTAACCGAGATTGAAGAGGGTGGTGAAGAGTATCCGAATGCTGCTGGAGATGAAGGCGGAGGGTAGATCTCATGTGTGTATGATGTGCTAGGTCCACCGTGTTGGTGACCTTATTTGGAAAAGCCGGTGAACTTCTGAGCGGTGGTTGGATGCGTGCATTAGAAGGAGTTTGAAGGGCACTCGCATGGTAATGACATTGTGCCATGAATTGGCACACACCAAAGTCACTGCTTCATTGCACGAATTGATGAATCGAGTCGACCTTCATCACGTGTCGTGGAAGATATCATCCGAATGGAAGCCAAAAGAGGTATTCATTTCCACTTCAGCATTCGGTGCGATTGATTCAACCAAGATCAAAGGAGTATACGGCAACGGTTCCGTTCCCATCTCGCGGTCTCATCCGAAGCAATCTCCTGTTAAGATCTCATCACAAGCTTTGTAGCAAGTGCTTAGAACCAGGAGCTTCTCTAGACAGCAAATTCGTCTCGACCTAGTTGAACGCGCGTCCTTCATTTAGCTCCTACGACTACGGAGCTATTTGATACAGCTCGTCTAGAGATAATCGAAAGACGATCGTCCTATCCCCTATTCCACTGTCAGACAATGTCGTGCTTTGTTGGCAGTATGCGAAAATCTTCCATATCAAGAACATCTGCATAGGCCCGAATGTTTCTCCAGTCCTAATATAGTGCTTCTTCCGTCCTTGCATTAGCTCTTCACCCAGCAGGCGCCTTGACAGCGGTTTGAAATTCGGAGCGAGCTTCCATACTTCGTCTACTGCCTGTTTTGCCACGATGTCCTGTCATGAGGCCTCTATACAGCGCTCAATCCCAAATCGTCAATGAGCTTCAATGACATCAGCCACTTGTATACACGTGATGGTATTTCTTGTACTTCTCATTCGGTCCCAGTAGCCTGAGTGGGGAACCAATTTGGATAAGTCTATTCTGAAGATCACTCATGCAATCATGGTTGAATCAATCAAGATTGAACAAATCAACAGATCTCAAAACACCCAATCATGCATGGCCAACTTTTTTTCTCATGGAGTCCCCGCACTTGGAACGGCTATTGTTCTGAATAAATGAACGAGAAGCAGCATCACGTGATGCTCAATCCTGGACAATACTGCCTATATTGACGCCACAGTAGGGTGCAGGGTAACAGCCGATGCTATTTATCAGATGTGCCGGCGCTATTAGTCTTGTCCCTGATGATCACTTCCCCGGATTTCCCTCCTGGTACGCTTGTGCCACCGCATGCCACTGCCTCTCTCAATTGGAGGAAAATCGAAAGCCAAGGTCTAGATGCGATGCTTGTTTTCATGCATTCAATATAAATCTGCTGCAATCGTGCGGTTCCATTGTTTTCCATTGAGAACAATATGGATGATCTTGACACTTTCATCTCTTTCTAGTGTAGGGTTTCGCTAAGGACTTCTTTTATGAGCGAGCCCAACTTGAACGTACGTTGGCGAGGGTACCTTCCCCGGAAAGCGTCCTGTCTTGGATTAAACGGGGGCGAAAAGAGGAGAAGGGTTTTTCCCGTTTACATGAAATGCGAGATCTCAGATCTGACGAGGGAAGTCTTCATTTGGTGGTGGTGATGGTGTGCGGAGAGCAATTTCGTTTGGATCGTTGGGTGGAGAAGCCGTGAAGCCGTCCATTCCTTCTTCTCATGGAACTCTAGACGATGGTTGGGCTGGAATATAAATACTGGACTATTGCCCTCCTCTACCAGATCCAAGCAAGCAATACCAAGATCACATTCTCTCGTACCCACTCTTTCAAGAACACTCTACTTTCAAGATGCTTTTCAGCAAGTTGATCCTTTCGGGCTTGATGGCCGCTGGGTACGTACTCAGGTTACAGAACTTGTATCAGAGTAGGACTAACGAGAACACAGCCTCAGCTTTGCTGCTCCGGCTGGAGATGCCAACCTCGCCGTTCGCGAAGCTCAAATGCCAACCGGATCTTTCACCTTTACACACACTGGCACCCACACTCGTGGACCAAGGTATGCTCCCATAGGACTCTGACAACTTAACAAGACAACAGCGCTGACTTGCCTTTCAGACCCACTGGCAGCTTCACCCGTGGCCCAAGACCAACAGGTACTGGTGGTGTTAGGTAAGAACCTCTTTGCCACTGGTTCTAACTTAAATCTTCTCTCTCAGGAGAAGCTTTTCATCTTCTTAGATGCAAAACATATACTAACGCGCTTTCGTGTAGAGGAACAGGAACACACAGCCACCACGCTCACCCCACTGGATCTTTCACTGGATCCTTCAGCTTCCCATCACCAACCGAATCCATCGTCTCTCCTCCTATGGAGACCACTACCGAGTAAATTCGAGGAATGAGGTGGCGTACTTAGGGTGCGGAGGATTGGAAGGTAGAATTTCGATTCTGGATGTTGATATTTTGAGTTGGAGATACCATTGATTGGTGGATGTACATATTCTTGTCTGTCGCTACTGTTTATAGGAGGAAATCAAACTTTTTGTGTTGACGATATGATGTACCTTTATGACGAGACTAGTCTGTGGTAAGGTGGAAAGAAAAGGGGCTTAAGCGAGTAGTGATGGCCATACCCAGCGGATGTGAGAACACCAACACATGAAATGAACAGATAAAATATCCAATCAAAGAAAATGGTTAGACGAATCTCAAATCAATATATACCAAGCAGTATATACAAAGCAATATATTAATAAACAACATAATACAAACGTGAAGGAGCTCGCACTACGTCCGCTCGCCTACTTGCCCATCTCTTGATACGCCTTTACAACCCATTGATCGAGCGCCACCTTCACAATGCCATTCCTCGTCAAACTATCACAACGTCAGTTCTCTTCCAATAATCACAGGATCTCCAGGTGCATACTCAAACTTAGTATCCTTCCTCGCCGTACACCATCTCAAGTAAAGATGAAACTTATACCTCGTAACCGACCAATTCATAACCTCTTTCCCTCCCTCAAAAGCACCAAAGAAGAAAACATACAACTCCTCTTCCGTACTAGTATATTCTTTCGTCTTCAGATCGTACTTTAGCATCTTGAATGGATCCTTGACAATGATTTCCTGCGTCATTCGATCGTAATACCTATGTTTTCTCGGCAGCGAAGACAAATGCCCACCGGGTCTAAGATCCCACCCATTATCAATCCGCAACACATCATCCCCAGAGCCCTTAGGAACTAACGGACGCCTAACAAAGAAGCGACCAACTTGAGTCCAGAAACTCACCAGCCCGTGAAAGTCGACGGCATCCATTTTCTGATCGGGACGCAGATTATTGTTCAGTCCCTGCATAATACGGGTACTTTCTGTCCTTCGGCTCCTGTCCCTCGTGAAAGAATGCAGTTTATCGCGTAGTATATTTTCAATAGCGTATAGATTGTCTGGCTGGAACAATTCTTCTTCTGGTATCGCTCGTTTGATGCCGCTGTTTCTCCGCTCGAAGCAAGTCTCCCAGCCAGCATGAATAGGCTAGACCCTCTGTCCGAAATAAGTCACTCGAAACAGCTCGCCAGTGTGGGTACAGTAGATTAAGAACGCTTCCAGCAATTCGTTTGTCAGCTTTTTGGCTAGCTTGGAATTTATAAGATCGTAAAACTGCGGTTTCGTCCATGATGAAACGATGTAGTCGGGATGAAACAGTGGAAAGATATCCGGGGATGTGAAGAGTTCTTGTAAGATGGTGCCGTTCATTTTCCTACCTGGTTTTCTTTCCTCAAGCATGGCTTTGGCAGAGGCAAGTGTCATGTTAGATGCGAAGCCGAATATATTGTTCGTGAGTACAGAAGTCTTTATTGGTCGCTGGAGTAAAAGAGATGCATCATCTAGTTTGCTCTGACGATAGTCTTGCGCTTCGGGACGAGTAGCTCGTCTCGTGATATCGGAGATGTCATCGGCCAAGATGTTGAAAGCCGCGTTTGCTGCGAACATTTGATCGAAGTAGATCTTAATGTGCTTACTTCTGTATCGGCCATTTTCTGTCATGGGCAAGTCCTCGACATTATGATCGGAGATATATTGGTTAATTCTGTTGACAATGTTGCGCTTTGTTGTGACTGACAACTGAGCATCTGCAAGAGTTGATCGTATTACAAGACTCAAGCGGCGACGTTCGCTGTAGAGATAGCATATATTATGTATATTTACGAACGCATCTTTATTCCTCTGATCTAAATCGTATTTAGCGACTTCCATCAAAGTTGTATTAAGGAGGTCAACAAGAGTATCAACAATTCCATCTTGCTGCTCTAATATCTTGAGAATAACATCTAGCTCAATTGACTTGGTCTTATAAACTTCAAGAGCTCTGCGATCTTGTCCATCTGTAAGGACAAGCTTCTCCCGTCGCCGATTCATTATCGCAGTTTGAATCTGCTCCTTGAAGTCAACGGGCCTGTCGTCCATGAGTTTCTTGATGGCAGTATCAACTCTATCATCCGCGTCATTCGTATCTACACCGTCCAGCTGAGTCTCCAAGGTTTGGGCTAGGCCAATAAATCGAGCCTTCTCTCCAGGAAACGTTTCAATAAGGGTCTTGAGTCTCTTGGTATGACTCGCGACATCTTCTTTTGCTCGTTCAAGCCACCAGAATGCCTCCTCGAGAGACGATAGCCATCGTTGCGAATTTGCTGGGTTACGGCTGGATCGGTACTCAAAGCGAGTATTTGTGTGAGGACTGGTAGAGTTGAAGATTGGATTGAACCTTGGGGAGTTACTGACGGCGTATGGAGTAACAGCTGGGGCTTCAGGGTCCGCTCGGCGAGCCGGACCAGGAGACAGAGCTGGGACCACAGGGCGAGCTGGATTAACGGCTCGTCCAGCGGGAATGGGAGGATCGATCGGACCGTCTGCTAGCATTTCAACCTCGTTGAATACCTTGAATCGATCCCACACAATCCTCATCAACGACCTATTCTCTTCGAACCATGCCAACTTCTCCTTCTGTCTCTGCGTTTGATGCTGAATCTGTCGTTCATCATGAAAGTCTTCTTCATAAAGAGCCCGATCCTGAAGGGAAGCAAGAGCTGCCTCGGTCCTCTCCAAGCTAAGCTTCTTCTGATGCCAGTCTTGCTTATTGCGAGTCCACCATGTCCTCATTCCATCGACATCGTCCAACATTTCCCTAAATCCATTGTCTCCACGAATCAGTTCTTCATACTTCCTCCGTTTGAAATACTCGTCTCTTGCCTTGGCCCGTGGGCTACTTGGAGCAGGACCCAAACTGTGAGGAGAGGATGGGGGTGAGGCCAAGACATTGTTTGCTGGCGGGACTTCTGAAGGCCCACCATTTCCTGACTTTCTGGCCTCAGCTGCACTCTCGTCTAGCGCCTGCTGCAAGTAATCAACTCTAGATTGTTCGTCAATAGACTCGACCTTAGACGTCCAAGAGTCTGAGCTCACAACGCTTCGGGATCTTTTTGCTTTTCCTTTTGAGGACATAGCTATATTTCAGTGGTTTAGTTTGAAGCCAGAGACTGTGTCATTTCTGGTATAACGGATGCTTGCATCGTGGCAAAATATGACATTATGTGATTGACATAATTCCTTGTCGTCGAGATTTGTCATCAAAGAGGTTTCGGACACAAAGGTATTGGGCCAAATGCGTCTGGCTTCATTATTAGCAACGGCAAAATTTCCTTGTCTTTGTGAACACTTATTCTCGTCACACGATATTTGCAATAATGAACATAGGGCGATACCAAAGATCCGAGGGTAGGTCGTATTTTTTCATTATCCTCTATAATTGCGCCTTTCTTTCACTGCCGTCCTCACAAAACTCCAATAATGCATTCGCTGCAACTCACAAGACTTATTCAATCCTTTCTATTTGCCAGCATCTTCTTTCAGACTCACAATCCTGTTCAAGATGACCTTATCTTTCGTGCTATCCGAATCCATGGCCTTCAATGATTAGTACACATCGCTGAAGTCGTGTTGAAGGAAGGGGCTCACCATATACGCAACACGCATCGCCTGGAATCTCACAGATTCGAGGCCACCTTTGCCAAGTTCCGATTCTCCGGCAGCTTCTGGCCAAGGTGCACGTCGTCTGACTTCATCGAAGCCGGACTCGATCATCGCATGTGGCCAAATCTCTTCGCTGTTGGGATTGATATCATTGAGGAAGCCGCCTTCAGCGTTGTCGGGTTTCTCGCTCTTAAAAAGTGCATTATGAATGCGAACTTCGACTTTGCGTGATCCTGCTGCAACCCAGTGGATGTATGTCTTTGGTTTCTGCTTCGACTTATCGTAAACTGCCCGAATTTCCGTTACCTTGTCTCCGTCCTTGGTGAACGAGACAGCCTTAATCGGTAATGGGACCTGAAGAAGACCGACGGATTTTCCTGGGGCAAGACGGAAGTACTCTTTACTGTCTACTTCCCTAAAATCACTTCGCTCAATGTACACGGTCTTTGTTAACTTGACCCAGTGACTACCCATAGCTGGGATCTTTGGGGAGAAAGGAAGCTCCACATCGAATTCTTCTTTGGCATCTTCAATGACCACAGGAATAGGGTCGAGAACCAACATCAAGCGCGGGACCGTACGCTCCAGATATCTTCGAATAGTTTGGTCAAATCGTGCAAGCTGAATGTTGGTTGGCGCAGTGGTAACGCCAAGCTCGTTAACAAACTCGAGAATTGCACCTGGAGGCACTCCACGTCTCCTGATTCCGATGAGCGTGTACAATCTTGGGTCGTCCCAGCCACGAACGTGTCCTTCATTGACCAGCTTCGCAATCTTCCGCTTTGACAGAACGGTGCCTGTGATGTTCAGACGTCCATACTCTCTTTGCATAGGTTCGTAGACACCAAGTGAGGTGTTGAGCCACTCATATGAGACCCTGGATTGGATGAACTCCGTAGTGCACAACGAATGGGTGATGTTTTCAAAGCTGTCGCAAAGACAGTGTGTGAAATCGTATGTTGGGTAGATCTTCCATTTAGGTCCTGTCCTGTGGTGCTCCGCATCCAAGACTCTGTAGGCAGCTAGGTCCCACATTTGAGGGTTGCCGTCTTCGACATTCTGCTTCATCCGCAGAAATGCTTCCCGTGGCTTGTACTTTCCATCTCGCATACCGCGGAATTCCGTCAGGTTGTGCTCAATTGACTGGTTCGCATGTTCACATCGGAATCGTGGTCCTCGCTCCTCGCCTCCTCTTTGAGCTTTGATTTCTGCATCTGGGGGAGGTCAGCATATCGAATGTAATCTAAAAAGCGAATGCAATACCTCCACAATGACACACATATGCCTTCTCGAGCTTGATGAGTTCTTCCGCCTTCTCGTAAAGCTTGTCAAAATTGTCGCTTGAGTATGTAACTGCCACAGGCTTAAAGCCTAGCCATCCGACAATATCCTTGATAGCCGTGAAGAACTTCTCTTCTTCTGCTTCAGGGTTTGTATCGTCGAACCGTAGATAACAATCTCCTCCATGATATCTCGCGAATCCGAAATTGACGGCAATTGCTTTGGCGTGGCCAATGTGTAAGTATCCATTGGGCTCAGGAGGAAATCTAGTGACGACCGGCTTGACAGGTCGTTCCTTGTATACCTCGTCCAGCCAGCCTTGAGCGAACATATTCATGGGCTCCACCTCTGCGGCCTTTACGTTTTTCTGAGCTGCCTTTAAAGCTGAGGTAGCTAACGGGGCAGGAGCCTCTGCTTTTGCCTTCGCTTGAGCTGCTTTCTTCGCTCTCTTGGCTAGACGTTTCTTCAACTCCCCCTTCGACACCATCTCCCCTGTTTCCTCATCGAGCTGAAGCTTAGCTGTGCTTTCTGTAATTGCGTCCGCCATGATTGCGTTACGCTCCGAATGGACCGGATTCGATACGTTGAATCTGTAATAGTTGATCGAATTGCTTTTCCTGTCAGAACACAGATGTTGCAGCTTTTGTAGTCTTTTGGAAGTTGATCGTGTGAGTCAACAAAGAAAAATACAGCCGCCAAATATTCTTGGTGAGGCTGTGAAACGCTAAGCCGGGGCCCACTTTTAAACACCCCTCACACGTGACCTGCATCAGCCTTATGAGCTGGCTGCAGCCTTCCCTGGACAAACCCATCTCCTTATCCTCATCAATCCCTTCTTTCCCGACAACTTTCGCATTCGCATGCTCAGAATCAGAAGAATCATGGCAAACGTACCGGTAACAGAGATACCAACTGTATCCCTGCTCTATCGACTCAAGAAGCTGGCACCTGCGCAATTCCAAGACGAATCCGAACGTCCCCAACCTTCGCAATCATTCAACGATCGGATCGGCCTTATCAGAGGGGATATCACAAAGCTTGAAGTCGGAGCTATTGTCAATGCTGCAAACAACTCACTTCTCGGCGGTGGTGGTGTTGACGGAGCAATACACAGAGCTGCTGGGCCAAAGCTCTTGAAGGAGTGTCGGAGATTGAAAGGTTGCGACACTGGCTCAGCTAAGATCACCGGTGCCTACGAACTTCCTTGCCAGAAGGTTATTCATGCTGTTGGACCAGTCTTCAACTCACGATTCGAGCAAGAGTGCGCAGAAGATCTCGCAGGTTGCTATACTACAAGCTTGGAACTAGCTGTCGCCAACAAGTGTAAGAGCATTGCATTCAGCGCTTTGAGCACTGGTATCTACGGCTACCCGAGTGATGAAGCTGCACCTGTCGCTATCAAGGCTGTTAAAGACTTTCTAGAGGGTGAAGATGGAGATAAGCTGGAGAAGGTAGTCTTCTGCACTTTTGTACAGAAGGATGTCGATGCCTACAATCATTGGTTGCCGTAAGTCCCCCACAATGATTTCCTTCCAAGTCTAACTTGTATAGTCGCTTCTTCCCATCGACCGAACCGGAGGCTGAGGATGAATGGGAAGAAGTTGAAGGAGGAGAGTCTGCGGAGAACGGACCAGCCACACAAGAAGAGAAGGCAAAGGATACAGAGGAAGCGAAGGAGGAAAAGGAAGCCGAAAAGAAAGAAGAAGAGGCACCAGTGGAGCTTCCTGATGTACCAACGACTGAGCCAGCTTCTGAGTCAGCAGAGGATGGTCCTGCCACAAAGAAGCAGAAGTCTGGTGACGAAGAGAAGCTTTAGGTTGATAACATGCTGCTTTGGGTGCCTAGGAGTTACGGCGTTGGAGCACTGGAGTAGAACGAATTCCGAATTGTGGTTGGCATGGATATAGCGTTGGTTTCTGCTTTCAGAAGCACCGTCGATGTGGCCAGGTAGATTGAGCCGACTTCTACCCTTTGCAGCAATGAAGCAATCATTTTACCACAAAACTTTAGTAAAACATTTTTGAGTGAACGATGCATTTTAAAGCATGTGTTTAAGCTCGCATATTAACTTTCTCAAAGTGATCCAAACTTGGAATTATTATGAAGTTGTAAGTTTGCACAAAAATACCTTCCATTTTCTACCTTCACGACCAACCTTGGCGGGGTCAAACGAACCCCACCTCGAATCTCAGTCCTTCCGCCCCTCATCATGGCACAGAACAGTACCATCTACGAGGATGAGGTTGATTTTGCGACGTTGGCTCTACAGGATTCAGAGTTCGCCAAAATGTGTGTATCGCCTTAACCAGTCTCATTGGCAGCACCGTGACCTATGGGCCGTTCCATCTCCCTTTGACAAGGAGTACTTTCTGGCACTGCAACTAAATATGATACAGATTGAAATCAAATGGACAACTAGACTTCAGTAATCCAGAGTCTGTTCAGCAGCTCACGAAGTCTCTCCTGAAGAGAGATTTCAAGTTGAAGCTAAGCCTGCCACCAGACAGGCTCTGCCCTCCAGTGAGTCGACCCGCGCTCTGTCGAGACTTGAAAGCTGACACTCGAAGGTTCCAAATCGTTTGAACTATATCATATGGATCCAGAATCTCCTTGATACCACTAGCGATTCTTACAATGACAAGTACGATCCTGAAAGAGAGGTCCTGGGCCTAGATATTGGGACTGGAGCAAGCGCCATTTATCCTCTACTAGGATGTTCACAACGTCCACAATGGAGGTTTGCTGGCACAGGTAAGGCGAACCCGAGTCATGTTGTTACTTTGGCCTAACATGTATTAGACATCGATGACAAGAGCCTGCAATTTGCCAGGCAGAATGTGCTAGAGAACGAACTTCAGAGCAGGATTAAGCTACTCAAGACTCAACCGAGCGACCCGTTACTTCCTCTTGACAAAATGGGCTTTGAAAAGTATTTTTCCATTTCCTGTTCAGTATGAAAGTCTATTGATTACTCCCAGCATCGATTTCAGCATGTGCAATCCACCGTTCTACGAGTCCAAAGCAGATATGTTGACTTCTGCTGCTGCAAAGCAACGACCACCATTCACGGCAAGTACTGGTTCCGAGAATGAGATGGTCACCACCGGTGGAGAAGTAGCGTTTGTCTCACGCATGATCGATGAAAGTCTCATCCTCAAAGACCGTGTTCAGTGGTATACTTCTATGCTAGGAAAGTTTTCAAGCGTGGGAGTCATTGTGCAAAAGCTTAAAGAGAACAGCATCGACAATTATGCTGTGACTGAATTTGTCCAGGGGACTAAGACGCGGAGATGGGCTGTTGGATGGAGTTTCGATGATTTGAGGCCTTTGATGAGTGTGGCAAGGGGAGTGAGTAGTCTTCAGAAGTCTCTGCTACCCTTTCCATCAGAATATTATATTCCTGTAAGTATCTCCCCATTTTATCTTTTGCGTTATATACTCACAAGTCCACAGTCAAAAGACGATCACGTCAATGTAGGTCTACGCGTCAACGAGACAATGTCTCAATTGCCTCTGAAGTGGCAGTGGCGAGGAACCATAACTACGGGTATAGGTTTCAGCTCGAAGGCGGTATGGTCCCGCGCTGCCAGACGCCATGTGACGAAAGTCGAGAGTGAGAGTATGGAAGAGGATGAAATGGCTCTGGGATTCAAGATCCGTGTAGAGCAGCTTCCAGGAGGGCAGCCTGGATCGAGGACCATGATACGCTGGCTCAAAGGGCATGACAGTGTGCTTTTCGAGAGTTTCTGTGGAATGATCAAGAGAAAAATTGAGGAAGCAAAGAATTAGTGGAATAACCAGGATTGACATGTCGTTTCACGACATTTTCAATTAAGGGATCCTCTGGTACCGTGTTCCGGCGTGGTAGGAATCAAAGAAGTAATCTTAGATTAGCGACTTCTTATGAACTTGAAGCGGTTGATGTGAAGTATATGATTCCGGCTCTCTAAATGCGGGAATTACATGTTCGAAAGCCATGCATTGAATTGTATTTCGAACATGCCAAGTTCCAAAGATATTTATTTCTTATTCGTTTCACCTTATGTCAGCCGTTTGTGAAACAACTCAGCCTCGTGAGCAAGAGTCTCTCGTCACCCCACTTGAGACCCTCATCAAGCGCCCACCTCGACAAGGTGCGCAGCATCTTCGTCACCCTTTTATGATCTCATTCTTTCAGTATTTCTACTCGATTCTGTTCTTTATCGAACAACATAGGGACATTTGTCTCGTTGGCGCTCATCCGGCAGTTCGACGCCCGGTATCACGATCAGCAAGCCTCAGACCATCCAAACAGGGGTTCGCTGCAACGAGAAGCTCGCAAGTGGAAGATTGGCTTCCAACAGCCACAAGGCTTGTTTCCATCCGACAATTTCATGACATTAATTTTCATCCCATTCGAATTAGTTTATCCCGCTCGTCGTATAACCTAGTTGTCAGCAACACGAGGTTTTCGCGATCTCTCCTCGGCGAGCAAATAACATCGCGAAATACATCCAACAAACATCCAAACCCTCCCTTGCGCATAAACACAAACAACTATCTGACACAAACAAGATGGCGAAGGAATCAGAAGCCGTTCACGATCCCCTCATTCCTATCTCCGACGTCCCTACAGAACCCGCCATCGAGTCTCCCAGCAAGACCAAACCCAAGCCGCACATCCCCCGCTCTCTGTCCACTCCACAATCCTCCCTCACGAAAGCTCGCGCCAACCTTACTCGACCTTTCAAATCCCACACACCTCGATTCTCCAAATTCAACCTGCTTCCCGCAGAAATCCGTCTGCAAATATGGGATGAGGCTTTCGTACCACGAGTCCACGAACTGCACCCTTGCGCGAAGCTGTACAACGACCGAATGACCTTCCGGTCTAACAGCAGCCTCACACCCTCTATCTTCCACGTTAATCAGGAAAGTCGAAATGTGGCTCTCAAGCATTATGAGTTGATGGAATACCAGCCTCCGCAATCTGGCACAAGTGGAAAGGGGATCTTGCGGTTCTACTTCTGTCCGGAGCTCGATACGCTGTTGTTGAATAGCCTTATGGGATTATTTATCATGTTCATGCTGCTTGAGGACGAAGAGGATTACGTTGGAGTAGGCGTTATGAAGGGCTGGAAGAAAGTTGCATTCGACGCCGAACGAGCACAGCTCATTTCCCTACTTTCTGGCATAGCTGGTCATTCACCACAACCTCGATTCAAAGCCGTGTTCCCGAGTCTGCAAGAATTGATCATTGCGTTCGATTACACGAGTAAAGGCAAGACGAGATTCAGGACTTCGGTCTGGCCAGGCGAGAACGGCACGAGTTTGAGGGAAGTCCGCTTACCGCAGGCATTATCAATCGATGAAGGGGAGTTGGAGAGCACGATCTTTGGAACTATCTTTAAGCCTATGAGGGAATATCTGAATAATGATTATAAGGACGAGGATGGCGGAATACCTATTATGACTGTGGCTAAGGTTAAGAGAAAAGCATTCATTAGAGGGGATATTCGGTATGCTTTCCGGAAGACATGTTCGTTCTTTGGCTTGAGACCGAGAGGCGTTTTCAGGCGGCTTTAATTGCGTTATTGAACATCGATAAAGGAATCTTGGGCAATATGGGACAGTGGAGTTAACGAGGAATAATGATTTGAAGCGGTGCACTTTCAATGGCTGCTTGCACTAAATCACGACGCCATGACATACATGACATTCGAGAGCTGTCGCTTTCATATGTAGGATATAGACAGAGCAATAGTGCAAATTTAATTGCAATTATGCTTCTGTATTGCTCGTTTTCATCAATCAAGGTGCGCCATAGATGATGCTGTCTGACTTTGCAGATGCATATCCATGTATCTCGATAATAGTCCCAACACTCATGCCTCCCAAGAAATGTACGCCGTCAATCGTCATGCCCACGCTCTCTCCATACATATATACCATCCAGTGGCGTCTAAACTCGCTGCCGACCTGCATTCCGTGTACCCGCAGTCGTCATTTACCACTTAGCTTCCTTTCTGTCCAAAAAGCCCTTCAAGATAGCCAATAGCTTCACCAAAGCCGCAAGCCAAACCCTCAACTCTTGCTCGACCTTCTCCTGATCGTCTCCAAGCTTGACATAGAAATCTTTTCGGTATGGGCAGGCGCTCATAGCGGCGCTGAAGATGGGCTTGACCATGAAGCTGTGATGGGGTTTCAGGGTGTTGCCGTATGCGTTTCGGAAGGAGACGGAGAGTTCTTCGGAGGCGGTTGCGAGGTTCTGGGAGAGTGCAATGGCGGTGAAATCTAGGCCTCTGAAAAGACAAGAAAAGTCAGTTCGGATCTGCTGAACATGGTTTTGAGGAGTGGTGAGGGGTCGAACCGGACGAGCCAGACTAGACCTTCTGTAGCGGTGTGCTTCTTGGTTTTCAGCTCGTTGAGAACAAGGTCTTGGAGGTTGGCAGATTCAGCTGGAGCTGCGTGTTGTCTATCTCTGATTTTCTGGAGATTTTGTGAGCTCAATGGCTGGTTGTAGAGGACGGGGAGTGGGGTACTTTGACGTTGCCCAGCATATCGTTCTTCACAGGTTGGAAAGCCATGGAGCCAAGGACATCTGCCAATAGTCAACACCTCACTTCCAGATAGCATTGCTTGGAAAAAGTTACCAAACAAAGTCGTCAACGACTCAGCGGCCTGTAGGAACTCGGTGGTGGAAATCGCATAGTCTTTCTCCTTGTCGACCGGGACATCGGTGAAAGAGGTCTTGACAGTATCGAGGAAGGTTCCTCCTGGGGGGTATGCTTTGGTACCTGCCATATTGTATGTACTTGGAGAGAATCTGCAGAGTCGTGTGAGAGTTTGTTGAGACACGAGGAGCTTGAGGTCGGTCAAGGAATCGGCAGGCTAGACCCTTGATACTGCGCACGTGATGGGAGGGGCAAGAGCGAATTCAGGGGGCTGGTTTTTTGTCATCGTCTTGTTGGACTTTCCTCATCTTCTAACAACTCAAATTCACGCTCATGAGAATATCTTATTATGGCAAGAGAGCATCCTTGATCATTTTCTGATTTGTCGTCGCAGCTCTAGGAGCTCGAGTGAGCGAATCGTTCAGTAGCTACTTGCCCATGTTCTTTTTACACATACTTGCAATTCTATCTGCACTCTGCTAGGTTCGATTTCAGTTTTTGTAAAAGGTGAATTCCAACCTCTGCAAGTCGCCAAAGCCTCCTGATGAGGCTGTGGGGGCGAAAGCACTGAATGCGTGTATTGAAGAATACATCTCATCTAAAATGCTTGTCTCCGAAGTCTCGCTGTCCCTTGTCTTGACCCCGCTCTCGATTTTGGCACATGGCGAGAGACTCTTAATCTACTTGATTGCTATTCCACAGAGACTATCAAGATTGCAGTTGATGAGTCTGTGGTTACTCTTTTTAGAGGATTTTGCAGACTCGGTTCAAAAGTTCCTTTCTGATGACCTCGCCGAGCGTAATATTTCCTTGGATATGTGCTTGGATATGTGGAACTACGTCAAAAGATCTTGATCTCCCTCATGTTATGTTTAAATGGGTTACTAAGAATTTGCTTTGCCTCGTTCTATGACGTCTCATGACAATCTCCTCAGTTCATGTGCTGTAGTCAGTGTCTGGATCACAAGTCTGAAGCACATAGAGTAAGATGGCGGCTTATATATCTTAATACTGCCCATGAATCAACGGTCAATCTTGGGAATGTCCAGAAGTGCTGGGAATCACATGTAAGGAGTAGCCTAAAACCACGTCAGAAAAGCAAGATTTTCTCTGGATCGATCTTTCGGGCTTACTAGAGTAGCAAAAGGGGGCGTAAAAATTCAAGGACCTATATGTAGAACGATATCAACTTTTTACTGGAACAGGCTACCTTTGCGAACAAATTAGAGGCATGGAGGTCACTAGGTTGGGATGTTGCAGTATTTATAGTATCGGAGATCAAAATAGTCTTCGGTTCAGGGTGTAAAACTACTATGGCTAGATCTCAGTTCGCGATTATAGAGAAGTGGAGTCTTATGGTCGACTACGTGATAGGGTGTTAGACGATGCTTCGGTAGGCTTTGCAGCATGGCGGGATGGGAAGAGGTCAGCAGCACGGGTGTTTGCAGTCCTTTCTTGCAGGATTCTTGTTGGCGGGAACCGGGCTAGAGGAAAGAAATATATGGCTGTGGGGAAACCGTGGACTACCATATGAGCCAATTTGAGGAATAGACATCTCTAATGCTTGAATGAATTGTTATTCTCTAGACACTATTGTACTGTTCGCTGAGATAGATGAGACCACATATATTTTGCTTGTCCTGGTATTTGACAGATCATGATTGAATACACTCGACTATCAAATCTATTTAATCAGAAAGTGACTTGTCAAACCAACTTTGAAAACATCTCCAGCATCCATGAACAATTTAGCTTCACACTGTGGTTCGGCGTACGAGCTAGCCAATAGTATGGAGTTCGTTTCGCCAAACAAAGCCTCCTTTTCGTAATGTCCCAAAGAAGCTAGTGCTGACGCGAGCCCCAGCCGAGACTTGGTACCTCGCAGGAGCAACTCATAAACTTATATAAATCTCCAAACTTCTCTTTCATGAATTCTCAATCAATGGTTTGATCCAAGGCGACATGGCGATTCCACTCCTTTTAAGCACCGGTGTGAATGCATTGGATGTTATTATCGCCATTTTCGGAAGCGTCCTCAGCATCTGTGCGGGGACGTATATCTTCACTCAATCGCGCTTCTGGCTACAATCACGAGGCAATGCAGGTCGCTTTGAGGGGCGTGAACCATTAACTTTGCCATATTCAATCCCATACCTCGCGGGCTTTCCTCGATTGTTAAATCCGCATGCTATGTACGAATATGCATTGTAAGTCTCTTTTTGAAGTTGACAAGACTTTACTGAATACAACCCAGGCGCAAAGCACCTCAGAACGCACCAGTGCAATTATCAGTGGGGCCCATTTCAATCTACGTTCTCTTCGGAGACAAGAACATCAAAATGATTTTCAAAAACTCCAAAGTCCTGAGCAAAGACTCCTCCTCAAGACTCATCATGAAAAGCTCAGGCATGAAGCCCGAAGACGTCCGTATCTTCAGCAGCGATAGGTCAGGTATTGGCATCGCCCCGAAAACATCCATCTCGGAAGAGAAGCGCATTTGGAAAAAGACGCACGAGACCGGAGTCAGCCATCTTTCCAGCGGACCAGCCGTCAACCAACTCACCAATGGTTTCATGGCCACTTTCATCAAAGAGCTGGATAAGGAGCCGCAAGGACATTCGTTCACGGTCCCGCTGTGGGATTATGTTAAGAAAGCTATGTTCGTCGCGTCGACTACTGCTCTTGCTGGACAGGAGATTTTTAGGGTTAATCCGGACTTGGTCAAGACTTATTGGCATTACGACGAGTCGTTTCTTCTGATTGCTCTGGGTCTTCCTAAGTTGATTTATTGGCAAGGACACGCGCGACGGGACCGTATGCTTGAGTCAGCGGAGCGATGGCTCGAGTCTGCTCACGCGAATTTCGATGAGCGGGACAAAGATTCCGAGTGGGAGCCTCTATTTGGTTCTGCGTACATGAGAAATACACTTTTTGATATCAAGAATGTTGGCGTCAGTACGCATGGTCAGGCTGCTTCTGTTCTATCCATTATCTGGGCGTGAGTATCATTCATTTCCTCGATAATCCCAGCCGATTGATGATATCTAGTATCAACTCCAACGCCATCCCCTGCACAATCTGGATCCTCCTCGAAGCTCTCCAACGCCCCGGCCTCATCCAACGTCTCCGCTCAGAAATAACCCCAACCTTCCACAAAAACTCAAACGGAGACCTCTCAATCGACGTCTCTAAGCTCATCACCGAATGTCCGCTCCTAACTTCCGTCTACCAAGAATGCCTGCGAACCCGAGCCTCCACCACCATCACGCGCCAACTTGACGACGACATGGAATCAGATGGCTATATCCTCAAGAAAGGCAAATTCTTGATGTCGCCTTCGTGGCTACCGATGCATGGACCGCTGTGGGATGTACCGGGCCACCCCGCGAAGGACTTTTGGCCGGAGCGGTTTGTGGAGATGCCAAAGCTTGCGCCGAAGGATGAGGAAGGGAGGTCGAAGTTTGAGATGGCTATGAAGCCTGATAATTGGTTTCGTGAGTATAGTCTTTCGTACCCAAGTGCTTGTGCTTGCTGACTTGCGATACTTAGCGTATGGAGGTGGAAATATGATTTGCACAGGACGGTTCTTTGCCAAGCAAGAGATTCTGGCTGCGGCTGCGTTGCTAATTCTGAAGTTTGACTTCGAGCCTAAGGAGTGGATTATGCATGGTGGGAAGAAATCGAGTAGACCTGCGGCGCCGGACGAGGCTTTTGCTGGATCGGGGATTTTGCCTCCTGATAGAGATTTGATGGTTACGATGCGGAGGGTGGGCTGAGCTCTGGATCTAGATAATGAATACCTAGCATTGGAGGCCAAGTACGTCTTCGTTCAGTTACAAAGGTCCCTCTCGATATCAGACTCAAGTGACAATTTTCCGTGCTCATATTCTCAGGTACCTGTCATCCGAGCACAATGAAAATCAAACAGATCGTCAATTCATTATTCTATCCCGACAGGACATATATAGTATTATACAAGTACTTTCCCAGATAGTGTACGGGTATCAGAAGTAAAAAGAACAAGAAGTCATTATATCCACACCAAATCCGAATCAATTCCCCATCATAATCATGTCCCGCTTCCATTGGGACTGCTACTACTACCTCCAGACAACCGTGAGACCCAAGCCGCAGCTGCACCCTCTAACGCATCTTTGGGTTTGGGTGAATTCTCTGCTGACTTGTTGAAGTTATCAGTACAGTACCAGACTGGCGGAGCTGGGGGTGCTTTGAGAGTTGCAAACGAAAGATGTCAATTTACACTCTATCTCAGCTTTCCCTTTTACTAGGTATGTAGAAGCCCTTACCAAATATGTCCACTATCATCAGCAATAAACGATATCTCAGTTTCCGTTGCATCCTTATCGAAATTGGCAATCAGATCGGCGATATCATCGAACCCCTGACTCCTCGCCGCCTCCGCCGGCGTTCCCTTCACATTATCATGAGTCGACACCAAAGACCGATCAGCTCCGCTCCGCAGCAGAAGCTCAACCACTGAACGACGACCCTTATACGCCGCGATATGAAGAGGCGTACCTCCTCTGGACGTGGCATTGTTGACCAGCGCTCCTGCGTCTAATAATGCCTTCGTTGCGTCCAATTTCCCAAATAGAGCGGCTTTGTAAAGTGCACACTGGCTGCTATGTTGGGCATCGATCTTGGATCCGCGGACAAGTAGTAATTTGATCACCGGAACGTGATTCCTAGCTGCTGCTGCCATTAGAGGAGTTTTGCCCTCGTCGTCTACGCTGTCTATGATGGCACCGTGGTCAAGAAGGACTGTGCAGACGGTATCGTGACCGTTCTGAGCTGCTGCGTAGAGAGCAGTAATTTTCTTTCCTCCTCGGTGATCGACTTCCATTTTTGCTTCCAGAATTGCTTTCACAGCTTCCACATGTCCATGAGAGGCAGCGACTATAAGGGCAGTACTCCCGTCCGTGGCTGCTTGTACGAGGCTTGCTCCTTGCGAGATCAGAAAGTTCAATGCGGCAACAGATCCGGCCTTGGCTGCGAAATGGAGAGCGGTCCATCCTTTGATATCTGACTGCTCGAGAGGCACCCCTTGGGATATTAGGAATTGAAGGGCATTCACAGATCCAGCTTCGGACGCGAAGTGTATCGCAGTCCATCCTGCTATGTTCGATAAACTGACGTTTGCGCCATATTCGCACAAGGACATCATGGACGTCATGTCGTTGTTGGTAGCAGCACTCATAAGGGGACTTCTCCCTGTTTTACTCAATGTATCGGCTTTGGCTCCGGACTCGAGTAAAAAATCCGCTATCTCGTGTCGTTTATTCTGAACTGCAAACTGCAATGGCGTCCACTCGTCTTCTTCCTCCGCTTCAATGTTCGCTTTCCATAGGATCAATAGCTTCACAACCTCGAATCGATTATCTCGAACGGCAATGTGCAAAGGCGTTCTCTTATCCGAGTCTCGCGCATCTAGTTCGGCTCCTTGTTCCATCAAGATCATGACAATAGAAGTATGCCCAAAAATAGACGCGACGTGCAGTGGCGTCTGACTTTTCAAATCCCTGGCGTCTATTTCCACATTGCGATTAACCAAGAGCTGCGCAATAGTAGCATGACCCTCTTTGGCAGCTATGTGCAATGCTGTATTGCCATCACCATCTTTCCGAAGAACGTCAGCTCCAGCTTGTAGCAGTACTTCAACGACTTCTGACCAACCATGGAAGACGGCTTGAAGAAGCGGAGTTCTACCATCGCAATCAGCTGTATCTAGCACTTTGTTCCCGTTCCCCTGAAGCAAGAGGCGGGCTAATGCGGCATGGTTCTTCCTACAAGCGACGAACAAAGCTGTTTCCGAGAATTTGGAAGTCTGTTTTGTCACGTTTGCTCCTTCCTGAAGTAGCATCTTGACAATTTCAATCTGATTCCGTGAGGCAGCCCAATGTAACGCCGTATATCCCATGGATGGTACAGCGATGGACTCAGGCTCTGCGCCATAATCGAGCAGAAGTTGGGTCATATTGGCAGAACCTGCTTCGATCACTATCGCAAGGAATGAATAGACATTGGCTCCTTGCTCTGTTGGGGCCATGCAGTCGATGTCAACTCCTTCTCGAAGACGAGCTCTGACATCCGTAACATCGTCTTTGGAAATACCAGCTCTGATGGCCGCGAGTAGCTCGGTATTGAATTCAGTGGAGTTGTGGATGTCAGTATTTTTGACGTTTTTGGATTGCCCGCTCTGACCTCCACTCCCATTTGGAATGGAAGGAGATTTAGGTGACCTTGATAAATCTCCAAGGGTTGCCCCGTCTTTGGTTGGTGTAGGGGTCGACTTGGCTTCCGGCTCCGGAGATCTTGGAAGTGGTTTGTCAACTACTGGCTTGCTAATCTTGCTAGATTCCGGCACGTGGTCATTGGGACTTGCTGGGGTTGATCCTTTACTAGGAGGAAATTTCGACTGAAGAGTTTTCGTTTTGATAAAGTTTCGTCGCAATGCGGCTTTGGCAATGGAACTGATCCCGGGAATGTCCTCCGCATCGCAATTCCTATTCCAGTCAGATCTCGCTATCAAAGCTATTGCCTGCTTTTCAAAAGATTGTTGACTTACAGTTTGACACAAGTCAATAGGAAACTAGCAGAGGATCCTTGTTCACGGAAATGTTGAGTAAGCTCTTTCAGTCGCTCTTCACGTTTGCCTCGTTGCTTGGAATCCAGTACGTCGGGTTTAAGTAATTCTCCCTTCAATTTATCCAATTCCTGGTCCGCAAGAGATATGATAGTGCCGTAGCCCTCGACACCCATCTCGAGACAGGCCAAAGTTTCTCTCTTGGACTTGAAGATCATGGCCAAAAGATTTGGCTTGCTGAGCAGCGCTTGCTCTAGCTGGGAGAGGTTCCATGACGTTATCGTACACTCCACTGAGAGTAGAGCGACTGTAATATGTGCAAATTCAATCTCAGCTTTCAGTTTGTCGAGATACAAACCAATTTTGGTGCAGGTTTTGATGAGGCTAGCGACTTTGGTGGTGATGGTCGACTTCGGCTCGGCCATGGCGGCAAGCCGGCGCTTGGACTTTGACCCTCACAAGCGTTGGAATATCGCAGCAGCAGACGGTCTGAGGGTATTGTGGCTATTGTCATCGGTAATTGAGATGTAATGTGATCACCATGGGAAGAGCGTTGCATGAAGAAGATGCACAAGGCTCCAGCCAGCTCATCGAAATCGCGGATCTGAGGCTGAGACATTGCACTAATGACAAGGCTGTAAGTCTTGGCTGGCGGTTGCATGACCGATGATACTGTAAGTCGAATATTGAGATATCGTGAGTTGATGGTTGGAACACAAGTCTGACCGTAGATTCTGCCTAAATCTGGTTCATCGTCTCTATTTCCAGTACTCAAGAGTTGCCTCGAGACGAGGCACTTCTTGTCACGTGCACAATTTGCATGGCCACTCGCGGATCACAGTTGCCGAGCCTCAAACGGTCGAGACTCCTTGAATGAAGACCGGTCTGTAGAGATGTTTTTTGATTGTCATTGAATGAGTGGCGACTTAAGGTTGTTGCGATGCGAAACCCTCGAAGTCTAAGCGATTGCGAGGACATCTAAATCCGGTAGCAGCGATTCATGGCACAACCTTCCTGAACATTTCCTTATTGGACGGACCTTTTCTCCTCGTCTACATCACGAAGTCCCATTCCAAGCAATATCCTCGCATTCCTCGATCCAAGCCTCCAAAATCCCCACGATCTTCCTCACAACGATCTTACGTCCGCTCCCCTTGTACCCTCGCTTAAGGCCCCCTTTCCACCAATCAGACTCGCTTCTGCCTACGGCCGAAAGAAACGGTCTAACATCACAAAGCAAACATGACGCAGCTTTCAGGAACGTACTCTTGGTAGCCTTCCCTTGCGTGCGTGTACTTGGGCGTGGTTCGACGGACAAGTAAGCGGGGGAATTCAAGGTTGTATTGCCACAAGCGTTGCCACTATCTTATAAGACCGACCTTCACTTTTTGGGACATGTTTGCGCGGTTTCGAAAAGATATAAGGACGTGAGTTCTACGAGCAGGATTCTGTTTCTGGATATTAAAACCCCCGGTTCATCTACTTTGCACTTCAGACAACTTCACCAATCGAAATTACCTCTGATCAATCAATCATTCAAACCATCATGTGCTGCCACAAAAATCGTCGTGCAGGAGGCTGCCACAGCCGCCGCTACAACAACATCAATCCCCCTCTCGCACCAGGCCAAGAACCTGTAGTTGTCTACGACCGTCGTCCCGGTCTCATGGGCATGTTCGCTCAACACATGGCTCAGAAGCGCGAGGCCAAGCAACAACAGCAGATGGCCTATCAGCCCAGGTCGATGTCTATCGCAGACGGGAAACTCGAAGATCAGAAATTGCATGAGGAGAGGATGGCGCAGGCGTATTGGGACGAGAGGAATAAGGCCGCTACTGGAAGAGGGGTTGATCATGTGGATGTAAAACAGGCTGCAGAGAATAATAGATTCAGTAAAATAAGTGTTGGGACTGAGTTGCCGAGTTATGGGCAGGCTATGAAGCAGTGACGGATTGTTAGGGAGTCTGGTTTTGTTTTGAGTTCTGTGTTTAGAGCGTGGAAATTGGTAGGGGATTGGATTTTTGTATTCAAGTAACATAGAGTGTATTTGTATCTTCAGTGGTCGTCGTCTTTGAACTATATCTCAATGCCGAGATCCATAGCCGGCAATGGTCGTCATTCAGATACATTCTTCTATATCGCTGCATAAAATTGTCAACTTTCCTTGAGTATGTGCAAATCATAGTGTATGTTCTAGTCATATCAAAATAGACTTTATATAGAAAAATAGTTACCTCGTAAATTATATCAGTATTAACCTTTCAACCGTTTCTGCTAAGAGCTTCTGTCAAAGGACAAGGACTAAGGAAGCTAGCAACTAAGAATGGTTTCATAGCTATATTATATGCAAATACCACCTACCTACCTACCTACCTGCCCACCTCGGTACCAGATCACGTGGAAATACCTTTTCAGCACGAATCGAACCTTGGAACGCTCAGTAGCTTTCATAGAGTAGATCAATAGATAGTATCCTCCAAAGCAAATACACAATTCCTTGGAGCTTCAGGACTTCCGAGACAATCTTGAGACAGCTTAGGCACGTGTCATTAACAAACAAACAACCGGATGGTTTGAATTTGGTGATTGCTGTAGGCTCCTCTACGGGGCGGAAAAAAGTGGCTGAATTTGTAGGCGAAAACCACCCAAAAAATCGGCAACTTATTTCCGCCCCGTAGAGGGCTCCTCGGGCGAAGCTTGATGTAGGCACGCTGAATTCATGGGATATAGTAATGCTATCAGTACACTTGTACCAAGTAGAGGGGTAGACTTATTAGATGGCGGAAGAAGAAAATGTGTAATAAGCAAGCGTCTCCCAAAAGATCACGCCTTTTTCGTGCTCTTTTATCGCAAATAAATTCCCAACATATAGTGCATGACAAAGATCTTTTCATTGCCATTACGCATTTATATAACTCGCTTTCCACACCATTAAATACGAAATAAGTAGATGGTATATATGTCCAAAAGTAGTGGCGGTGGTGTGTGGTATCAATCTCCAGGCCACCATCAACCCAATCCCAATGCACCGACGACGAGAGAAAAAATTTATGTATCGTATCCCCATCTTTCTATATACCCAGAAATGAGGATCTTAATCGGCCTTCAACTCATTGCTATTGCTAGGAGAGTGTTTCTCAACCATAGCGTGAGGATCGTGGCCTAATGTAACACCGCCCATTCCCAACTCGCCGGGTCCGGTCTCTGATCGCTTGACGTAGTGACCTGCGAGCAAGTGCTCGTGGGCTTCGCAGGGTCCGAGAACGTATGCTGCTTCGCCGTGGATCATGTCGTCGCCGGCCTCCATCTGTTCCTCGGACATGCGGAGAGGGATGCGGAGCACGTACTTAATGAAACACATGATGAGGGAGGTCCAGACGATGTTCCATGCGATGACGAACAAGGCGCCGTAGATCTGGATGTAGACTTGCTTGCCGTTGCCCTCGATGGCTCCGCCCAAGTTGGAGATACCGAATGCAGCGCAACCGTCGATGGTCGCGAAGAGACCGACGCAGAAACCTCCAACGAAACCAGCTACGCAATGGGTGTGGAAGATACCTAGGACATCATCGATCTTCTGGAAATATGCGACCTTCTTGCCCATGATGTTCATTGAGAGCCATGGGATGGTACCAGAAGCGAATCCAATAGCGACGGCTCCCCATCCAGCGACAACACCGGCAGCGGGGGTGATGGCAACAAGACCGGTGATCATACCTTGGACGGCACCGAGAACGGAAGGCTTCTTGAAATAGATCATGTCGCAGATGGTCCAGCAAAGAAGAGACATGGCAGTTGCCACGTTGGTGTTGAGAACGGCGACACCAGCATCTGCGCTAGCAGTGTAAGGATCTCCTCCATTGAAACCGTTCCAGCCGATCCAGAGAATACCAGCACCAATCAGAACACAGAGAATGTTGTTGGGACGGGCCTCTGCTCGGTCGGATGCGAGACGGGGACCAATCCAATGTGCGCCGACAAAGCCTGCTGTGCCGGAGGAAAGATGAATGACATATCCACCGGAATAATCGATAACCCCGCGTTGGAAGAGGAATCCACCTCCCCAGAGACTGTAGGCTCCGATGGAGTAGGAGAAAGTGATCCAGAGAGGAACGAAGATCATCCATGCGGTGAAGTTCATCCTTCCTAGGAAAGAGCCAGCCATAATGACGATTGTGATTGCTGCGAAGACAAACTGGAAGTATACCATGGTGGAGAGCGGGAAAGCTTGGCAGAGACCACCATCCGCAGCGGTAGAAGGAAGACAGGATTGTTGCAGTTCCATATCAATGGTCATGACTGGACCTGGTCGACCAGCGAATGGCAACATGTATTCACCGAAACCCACTTTGTAGGCCCAGAGAACCCAAACGATGAGTGTGGCAGCAAATCCATAGAAGGCCATGAATGCGCTGTTGATAGCCCACTTGCTTCGCATAATACCCGCATAGCTATGGAAGTTGTCAGAAAGTGAGGCATTTGGATTGGATGGGAGAAACTTACAGGACGACCAGACCAGGCACACTCTGGAGACCGACCAGAGAGGCAGCTGTCAACTGCCAGGCGTTGTCACCATGGTTAATCCATGTGAGTTCTTCCGTCGCGTTGTAAACCATCTTGGCGGATGTGGAGAGAAAAGTCGGGTCTTGAAAGGAAGGTTGCTACTCAATTCCCCGTGGAAAGAGTGCTGGAGTCGGACAAGCCCTTGGGAAGAGACACAGAAGCTGCTGTGTCTGTGAGAGCAGATGCAAGCAGGATGACCAGGCTACGAAAAAAATCGATCTGGATGAGCAGGAACTCCGAGCTTATAAGAGCTGCAGTGGTCTTATCGCTATCTGGGCCCTATGGGTCGATTGGTAGCGAGGGCATCCTTGAATAATGAGTGAATATAAACATGGGCCGTGGTTTGGTAGCAAGTAGGTGCGGGATTGAGACTGACTGGGACTGAGACCAGGATGCAGTCTTTCATCCGCGGTCTAACAAGGGAAGCTAAATGGGCTATGCAAGGGGATCGAGACCCGGGTGCCACAATTAGCTGGGTCTCTGCCCGGAATCGGCACTAGAAAAGAACTCAGTTCCTCCCCACGCCCGTCGACGCTCCCATCTCGTGTTCGAGGAAGGATTATGAGAGAAGGATGCATGGCCTCCGACCGTGTTGGTGGGATTTGCCATTTGGCATACAGTAGCATGGCATGGCATGGCATGTACCATTCGCTCACGGGTCCCGAGTGCCAATGACCGGCCACACACGTAGTGCATTCCCATAGACGCTGTGAAACATTCTTTTATGCGGTTTCGTTTCCGGATTAGATCTGACATGTTCATATTAGTGACCCTCTCCGTCGTGTCTACGCCGCAAGGCTCTTCTTTCTTCCGGATGACGTTGGTTCCTCCTGCTGGGGAGGGTCCTTTTTGCGGGAGGCGGGGCATGTGCCGCTCATTCATGCGCAATTGCTGCTTCTGTTATGCTAGAGAAGCTTCTCCCGACCTCAACGGCGAGCCCTCAGCCCGCCGTTGATCTGCCTTCATTTCTTCTTCAAGGAACCAGAGGAGCAGACGATCAGCCTCTGGGCGCCTGTGGCCTCAATTCCTTCCTCAATCGACACCTGCTGCCGAGTGTCACGACCGCCATCAATTTCGGGCCAGCAGAGCGCAGCACGAGGAGGACGAATCACACAGGGTATGCCGCCACAACCGCAGAGGGCAAGTCCCACATTGGTACATTGGTCTGAACCCCAGCAATGCTGTCGACATCCTTATCTGCACGTCTCCTGTGGTTTCCTGGTCGAGTCTTGCGGTTGACGGAGCAGAATTATGTCGAAGTGGTGTTCGCAGCAGGAGATGAGGTTGGAGTGGTCCAATGGCGAGCATTTTCCTTATCGGTGGCGTTTCTAGGGCGTTGCGACCGGGTCCAGGGTGTCTGTCCAGTTGACAAGCTTTGTGGGGGAATAGCCTGATGCAAGTCAAGCTCATTAGTGAACTTGGCGAGCGGCGCGCATGGGCAGTGCATAGCGCGTACCAGGTAAGACGTTCCTTATCTTGGGCGTTTTTAGAGCTTCTGTCTTCTCCGATGCGCTGCCTGTGGTGGCCCGCAGCAGAAACAGCGGTACATGCACATGTAGATGGGGGTTCGCGGTTCGCGGTTCGCGGTTCGTGGTTCGTCAGCCTGCGAAGCTCTTGTCATACTCTGGACTAAAGTTGTTCCTGAATGCGATTGAGGATCCAGGTCGAGACTCGATGTCTCAGAAATATTCTGCGCTTGCACCTGGGAACAGCTCATTTCATCTCATCCCATCTCAGCTCATTCAAATACTCAGAAAATGCTAATGGGAATTGTCCGGTGAACCTAGTTCCCAGTCTTCCGGTACCGCTAGGTCGTTCTCTGTCTACCTAGGTAGTATTGCGAATGTTAAACTTCTCGCCGGATTATACTCCATAGACATCGATTGCGCGTCCTGTCCTGAACCTACGTACTGAGCCATAGCGGTGACGATTCGGCTTGGTATATGGTGTATTTTCATGTACAGTAGTGGCGTACTGCGACACTGGTGAAGAAGTATAGCTGGATTGGCGTGGAAGTCGCAACCTGGGGCGCTGCGAGGTCTGCAGGCCACATGGGCAACGGCAGTTTCGAAAACATCCTCAAAAGTGGATACTGAACATCAGGGGCATCGATTGGAATAGGGGAAGAAAAGCAATTTGAAGATTTAAGACGGCGCGACATTGTTAGAGATGACGCGAAAGAGGAGGAAGTCGAGACCGGATTGAACCGAATTTCAGCCATGCCTCGTCACGTGCTTGTCCCACTACGCTAAAAGATCTTCCTTCTTTCTCTTTTGTGGCCTGTTGCTTCTTCTAGACTTCTTCCATGCATGAGAGACTGTCTTAGGCTCGATCTCAGCTTCCAAGGATGAAGCATGATGCCTAGACGCCTCCTTAGATTCCCAGGTCATCCATAGATGAGCACCTAATTTCAAATCCTTTTTCGTTGAATCTCTGACTACGATCTGGGAAGATTGTTTTGATACATCCGCAGCTGAATAAAAGTGCCTATCTCTACTTCTTCAAGTCATGTTTAATTTCTCCCTCTTGGTTGTTGTTGATCATTTTCAGCATAACTTCGTCCTCAATGGTAATCATTCCCAGATGGTTTCTATAGTGGCATCTCAAGTGAGCATTCAATTTAAGAATTGCTGTGACCAGCATCATGTCTGCACTCATCGAATCCCTTTGGATCATCGAGACAGAAAATTTAGTTTCGCCTCAAACTCGACTTGAGTATTTCAGCGGCTCTCGCACCGCTGTGCCGATCAGTAGCCTTGCATTCAGCTGAGCCACTTCAACAACAGTACCTGCTATGTATGAACAGCGCTCAGCCTTACTGTCCACCTCATAGTAAGGTGCTGATGTCAGCGCAAGCCTCGCATTCGGCCTTACATATCGAGACAGAAAAGAAATCCGCGTGAATTGTCCGTTTGCTGCAAGTACAGCTACAAACTATTTCAATAGTTGCATTCGTCTCTCCAATACTTTTCACGTTTTCGAATTGAAATCCACGTTTTATCGGATACTTGCGTGAGCTGAGAGCTGCTGTGGAGCCTCGCCAATGTTTGCGATGACTTTATTCGGGCTTCAGCTCCGTTCGCGAGATGGTATCGTTTGGAAACTGGCCAATCATATGCCGCACAGCCATTGTTTGTACACATCTTTCCGTGAGAATAGTTTCGGAAGGATTGTTGATTGTGGGCTCTCACTTATCATAGAAAACTATGCTCACTGAGTAGATATAAGATGTCTCTGTCCACTGATGGATGATATTCAGACCAAAGTCAAAGACCATTTTGCAAGTCACGAGATTCAGCATTCGTTCTGTCACATATCAGGCAATATTCTCTCCATCCACGGAGTCACTAAGACCACAAGCCAGAGTGGATGAGTCAAGCGCATCGACAGGAAGTCGGCCTTCATCGATGGAATCCTCGGACCCTCTCAAGTAAGCATCGGCCAAGACGTCAGCACTGCATTTCTGACATGTGTAGAGCGAGTCCCACCCATAAAACGTCTCGAACCAGTGTCCGCTCTTTTATGAAAGGCATATCGAGACCAATGAACAGGCATGCAGACAAGCTGTTGGTTTTGGACTGCATTGTTGGTCATTCGGATAGTTTGTTGGTCTTTGAAGGACATCTAGGTGCTGGTAACAGTGAAGGTAGTATTATGGCAACGTAGTCTTTCGGAAACAGAGTTGAGATTCGATGTAAACTTGGAGTTTTTTTGGATTATTTGCATAAGGGTTTTGATTGATTCATTTAATACGAGACGGAGGCAATGTCACACGAATTAAGCAGTTTTTAACTATGGATCTTGGGTTACGGATATTGATGTGCCAGTACACGCAGTAATGTTCGGATATCAGTGGATGTTGTGAGTTCATAGTCCATCCAGCTTTGAGTCAAAAGTCTTTAGTTTGTGATTCATATGTTTGGAGGAATCTCTTTCTTATGACACACATCTGGCAATCCACGTTAGAATTCAATGAGATGTGACTTGGACAGCTGTTTGGATATCTTTACAGAAAACTTCAAAAACTCGACAAGCTTCTGGCCACATGCACTCATTCAAGGAATTTCCTTTACACTATGGATACCAAGAAAGAAAGCGACAATGACTTGATCAAAGACATAATACCCAAACCAACACCCATCGATCTCCGCTTCAAACTGGCTTTCGCCCTCCTCTGCATCGTCAATTTAGTTTGTGCTCTTGACGCCACAATCCTCGCAGTGGCCTTGCCCGTAAGTATCTTGTCGCTTCACTCAATTCACCCCTTTCCATCCAATCACTCACTCACTCACACTAACCTCCCCAGACAATAGCAACCGCTCTCCATGGCACCGCCATCCAAGCCTTCTGGACCGGAACATCCTTCCTCTTAACTAGCACCATCTTCGTCCCCATTTTCACCTCCCTCTCACACCTCATATCCCGCGTTCCCATCCTCATCACCGCCATCCTATTCTTTACCCTCGGTTCGCTCCTCTGCTCCCTGGCTTCCAATTTCACCATCCTCCTACTCGGCCGCTCTATCCAAGGCATCGGCGGTGGTGGAATCTCAGCTTTGACTAACATCATTATCTCTGATGTAGTCTCTTTGCGGGATAGGGGTAAATGGTTTTCAGGTATATCTTTGATGTGGTGTCTGGGCGCCGTTATTGGTCCTGTCCTAGGAGGATTGTTCGCTGAGCGGAACTGGAGATTGATTTTCTATATCAATTTCCCGTTTTGCGGCATTGGGCTAGTCGGTTTACCATTAGCACTACGATTGAGGAAGAGAGAAGGACGAGTACTGAAGCGGCTGAAAGAGCAGTTCGATTGGATCGGCAGCATCTTATTCATCGGTAGCTTAACCGCAATCCTAATTCCTCTCTCTTGGGGTACGTCTCCCTCCCTCCCACCTCAAGCCCCCACTAACAATCCCAAATAGGCGGAGTGATGTATCCCTGGACCGATTACCACACCCTCCTCCCCCTCCTCCTCGGCGCTATGGGCCTCCTCTCCTTCCTCGAATACACCCACATCTACACCACCCACCCCCTAATCCGCGCCTCCATTTTCTCAACCACCACCGCAACAGTAAACTTCCTCTGCACCAGCCTCCACGGCGCCATCCTCTGGTCCCTCCTCTACTACATGCCGCTCTACTACCAAACAGCCAAAAACGCATCCCCGATCACATCTGCAATCATCCTATTCCCCTTCACCCTAACAATGGGGCCAGCTAGCGTGGTCGACAGTGTAATAATAGGCCTCACAGGCCGCTATCGCCCATCCCTGGTACCTCTCTCCCTCCCTTCCCCCTTCATAACTCAACTAACAACAACAACCCAGTGGCTAGGCTGGACCCTAACCCTCCTCGGCACCCTCCTCCTGCTCTCCCTCTCCCCTAACACCCCCCTCGCAACCCTAATAGCCCTCCAACTGCCCCCCGGCCTCGGCTTCGGCATCCTCTACCCCGCCATGTCCTTCGCAGTCCAAGCCCCCGCCTCAGACACCGACCTCCCCTTCGCCGCAGCAATGTTCACATTCTTCCGCACCCTCGGCCAATCTCTCGGGGTCGCTGTCTCGGGCAATATCTTCCAGTCCTCGTTTCACCACTATACGCAGCACTCGGTTATTTTGGCACCGCTGCAGATACCGGGGGACGCGAGTTCGTTGGTAGCGTATGTGAAGGGGCTGCAGGAGGGAGAGGTGAAGAGCGAGTTGGTGAAGGCGTATTGTGCTGGCATAAGGGGTGTGTTGGTTTTGGCGTGTGCGGCGGCGGGGGTTGCCATGGTGGTTAGTTTGGTGGGGACGAGGGCGTTGAGTTTGGAGAGGGAGGTGAGGACGGAGCAGGGGTGGAAGGGGAGGGATGAGCAAGAGGGAGGAGTGGCGTAGAGAGCTTGTAGGTTATTATCGTAGAGTGTTTTGTGGTGTCGAAAATGATTTTAAGTCCTACCTCGCGAGAGCATATGGGTTGAATGCCAGTTCTTTGAAAGTCCAAAGCCCAAATCTTCTTAATACGTGAGATCTTAATGTCGCCACTTCTTGTACCTAGGGTAGACATAACTGAATTATAGCCAATCCACAAGTTGGATTCGGTTTAGGTGCCCTACGGGAGCAACGGCTCGGTAAATAACGAACTAGTACGCTAAATAGCGAGTAATCCCAATTAAATGTCGTTAATTAATGTCTAGAAACACTGCAAAAAAACTAGAACACTTCACTACTATCGATATCTATAAATATATACTCATTAATTTGAAAATTTCCTTGTTTTCATTGCTCTTGCTGTTTTTATTGCTGTCACTGCTCTCACTACTCTCACTGCTGTCATAATCTCAAAGTATATCCTCATTTTGAGTAGTAGTGAGTGATGCTCTTGCAATTTCGCTACGGTATTGTACTGCTACTGTACTGCAATTCATGCCAGCTGACTACTCAAGCTCTTAAATTTCTAGAAGTGAAAGAGTAAGAATTGTGAAGGCATCGACGGCAGCGCAAGTCTTGCAGCGGAGACTTCAAGAGCTCGGACAGTGTGTCTGCTAACGCGTCTCTTGTTAGTTGAATTGAGGTTGTTTACATGCCTTGTGCACTCTTGGCGCGGTTCTCCTTTATTTCCTACTTCACTTTTGTTACGTGGCTTTTTACTTCAGTAGTTTTTTATTTTTACTATTTTTGTGTTTTGTATTAGTATTATTAGTTGTCTTGTATTGTTAATTGCATTGCATCATTGCTTACATTGTATTATTATAATGAATTGTATTGCTTACTGTTAACTACACATTTCTAGATCTTAAAATTGGATTCTCTGTTGGCACCGGACTATTTCTTGGCATTGAACCCTTGAGTTCTCTGTAGGTACGTATATTAACTCTTTTTGATACCTTATCTAACACAATTTCAAGGCCAGATTACAGGGAGTACAAACAAACGATTCATGTAAAGAAGACAGAAAAATGGGTGGATATGCTAGAGTGCTAATAGTTAGGAATAGTAGCATACTTGAGGATAGGAAGGCAAGTGAGTGAAATCTGGGCAGAGTAGCATATTTAGGAAGTGAAAAAAGGGGGACACTAGAGTAGCTAGACTTTATATTCAACTACATATTGTCGCTTAAATAAGTAAGTAATTTTTATATAGCATTAACGACTTCGATTCGTTAGTAGTTTCACTTAAAATTAATGAATAGTACTCATTATTTATCGACAAAAACAATGACTTATACTCATTAAATATAGATCAAGGTAACGAGTGTTTTACGAACCTTAAGTCGTTGTATAACGAGTCGTTGCTCCCGTAGGGGTGCCGTCCATCCCCTCCTAGCTCGCATCACGCCACTCACTCGAAGCAAACTTGACAACCCAATACGATTACCATACGACTTTATCCACGTCCGTTCTCTCTTTACACCGACCTCTGTGATTTACAGAGAACTGTACCACTTTATATTCTCATCGACTCACCCCCAAAGTTTTCCCACGTGTCCTTATCAACAAGCCTCAAATGCGGACTCCAATTGACATTCATATGACTACGATCAGGGAACTGATCATGACGAGAACTCAACCCCGATCTGCGTAGACCACCATCACAGTACACCTCCTCCACCCGTCTATCGGCTCGGATCTTGTTCAGCAGATATTCATCGATATCCTTCCCCAGATAAACAATCTTATCAGGACATGATACACGCAGAGCCATCATATCGACGATACGAGGAAAGATATCTACTTTGAATCTTTCAGCGTGTTCCTCAAGCGAATAATTAGCCTCGAGGTAGACCAGATAATAGCTATTAAACGAGCTCGGTCTTGGAGGCAAAAGAGGACAATTCCTCAGCGGTGCGTAACGTCCGAGGATCTTTACCCTACGGTCGCATTCGACGCTCTCCACACCGGGATCTGATCGGATGGCGTGAAGAAGAAGTGGCGAATAGAGGTGTTTGCCGAAATACGCGGTTGAATCTGGGAAAGAGAGGTTGTGGTGAATGTAACGCTGGATATCTTCGTTGGTAGATTCGAAGATGACGGCGGCGTGTTGTTCGATGGTATAGCCTGGTTTGAACATGATGGTGAAGACGCCTGGAATGACGTCTCGGTCTGGTGCTGGGCAATGTAGACGAAAAGGGGTATGTGTTTGACTCGCAACTTCAGTACTCGTTGTAGTGAATTGTTCTCCTAGAGCGGGCTTGGCCATGATCAAAGCCGCAAGCAAGGCGCAGAGCGCACTGAAAATAGCTGCTCTACTTATTTTTGGAAGGTATATCAGATGGATCGATTGAGGTTGCGACTTGTTATTGATAGCCTTCTGCCTAGAATTTTGTTGCATGTTCAAGTACGAACGATGATGCCGATGTTGGTTGTTGGAGCTTCGAGTGCTCCTTGAGTTAGTGATGTTGGTAAAATGTGAAGGAAGTTGGCATTAAGACAACATGCCAACATGAGGTCTGCTGAAGAGTTGCAAGGGTCGGGAAACGCTCACCGTATTATTCTGCCACCAACCAGATGTTCTGCTTTGTATAACCAACATACTCGTATTATTATTTAACAATCTTCGTTGCCATTTTCATTGCATTATTCACTCTTGAAGTCCATGGATCGTGTTTGAATTATGCCAAAATACATCTCTATTCTTGTGAAACGCCGAAAACGGCTCAATGTTCTTTGTAAAGAGCCGGAGTTTACCAAAACTACCATGGAATATCGGCTAAAAAGCCGTGCCCGCTGACTTCTTCGCATCTAATTGACCCGTTGGTAGCGTATCTGTCTGCAAACGTCTTCAGGTTCTTTAGTAACTAGACGGATTGTAGATCTGCTATGGTTGATAATATCAGTAAAGTGTCAATGTCAATTAGTAAATTTTTGTTTATGATTTGCAACTTGGTGGAACCCTCGCCGCCCAGATAAACATCATCCCGCAGGTTCTCTTCTTTGGCTAGACAAAGAATAAAGGTAAGACCGTATCGGTTAAGAGCTACTGAATGCACAATCGATATATCTTTCTAGTATTCAGACCTTTTAACGAAGCTACCAAAACTTTGGTGTCGCTAAGCGAAGCCCCTTTTGACTCATGCGCTTATCGCGGGGCCGCTCGAGTGTAGCAAGTTCTCCAATTCCTGCGATTCCTTGAACAGTTTGTACTAAGTCTGAAGTTCGAAAAGAAAATACAAAGCTGGTGTTCTGTTGTGGATTTGATTACTGCGAGTGGATATATACTGTCGTGGTGGTTGAGAATTGTGTCGGGTAGTAGTCTTGAGTATACTAAGGCGCTTTGTTATCGGTGATAACAGCCACCAAAATGAAGAGTTATAAGAATAGGAGATTCGCAATGTTTATTTAATACATATGTTTTGTAGCTTGTGTTCCATTTTTGAAGAAAGCTCATTATGACGCAATTTTCCAGAACGCAAATTCAAGATATTGTGAATTTATGATCGTGTAACTAGTGTGGCTATTTTTTGTTCACTAAGTTTTAGTGCTTAGTTTACTAACTTTACTTACGCTCTAGTTAGTCCAAAATCAAATCTGGACCTCATTAAAAACCCGCCATTTTCTGCTGAAAGTTGCCTTCCTCCAAATATTCCCAAGAATTGAAGTTCGAAAAATAATTTCCCCGATTTCACACACCGACCTTCTCAAACTCACCCACAACACCTGCAACAGCACAATCGAAATGGACGAGCTTCCACAGTACTATTGGGACGAAGATGACAGAATTGCAAGTGCCAAGGTCCTTCAAGTTCCACACATAAAAAGCCCCTCAAACATAATAATCGAGTATGCCTCCGACACAGAAGACTGCCGCCAGATGATAACCATTTTCGAGCGTTTGATCGGCTCTGCAAATCCATCACACTCTCCCGAGGAGGCTGCACATGCTGTCACCTGTGTGTATTCTGACGAATTGAAGAGCTACTTCAAACGCGCAACTAAAGAGAGCTCTGTTGTGCGGTTCAAAGATGGATTCCTCTGGGGATTTTACCACTTGATCTTTGACTACTCGAAGCAAGTCGACGGCATGGCTCAGACGAAATTGGTACAGTTCGTCGACGCCTTCCGCAAGATGCCCCGTACAGCGAAGACGGAGAGCAATGTTGAATGGTGCGACCTTGGAAAAATCGGCTGGGCTGCGCGTGACACTGTGGATCGTAAGTAACCCCTCCTGGTTCCGAGATATGGTCAAGCTAAGGACGGTCAGGATTTCCCGTTGGTGGCGGAGAGGTCGACAAAAGGACACAACAGATCCAGGAGTTACGGTTTCATGCATTCATCGCGCGACTAGCGACAGAATCTACGTTAGACTTTTCTTCCTTAGCATATTTCTATTTTAGGGATGCTTTGGAAAATGTCCCAGATCCTCGATCAAAAGCATATCATACGCAAGGCCCCCTGCTGGAAGAGACACTCCTAATTCCTGCCTAATGGATCAAGATTTCCGGCACAACTATTTTCTCGAATTCCCAGAAACGAGTAGGATCTCTTGCCAAGAAGTCAGATGATTTCTCCCAAGAGCGGTGGAAGCTCTGGAAGGAAAGATTCCAAGAAATTTCGGATTTCGATCAGGTGGGACAGGAGACAAGGTTACTCTCTTTACAGACAGCAGAATTGAAGGAGCAAATCGAAAGCGCGCATAGGATGTAAAATGTACTCGTCTTGTACAGCGTATACTGATTCCGCCTGTCCACCACCATACAAAGTACGCCATTCCATGCGGACATTCTTGCTCCTTAATAACCCAAAACCCAAATCCTGGGGTTTCCGTATTGGATGCTGGGATCGCTCTTATCATACGACGATGGGAGCCAGTTTTTTCTCTCGAGGTAAAGCTTAACACGAGCTCTTCCCCAAAACTAAAATTCACCTCGGCACCTCGCTCTCAACCTGCGCAGATCTCTCAAGCGTCACAATACATTGCCCATTCTTATCTCCTTCCACTATCCGCGAGTCAGGAAATATATCTCTCGTAATCTTCGCTTCCCAGGTCCGGCCACTTTCAGTGACTGGACCAACAACCTCTTTGAGGTGGAGTCTTTTGCTTTCTCGCACGGAATCTTCATTTACATCGAAATACCGCTTGTTGACTCGCTTTACTTGTTTCTTGATGTCACACGGATCGTCCAGTGCAAATTTTTGAGGCCAATCAATGCTCTTTTCGTCGAATAGTAAACCAGGAGGTGACTCTGGATAGTCGCGAGATTTGGGATATAATCCGTTACAGCGATAATCTCCGTTCGCTGCCCAGTCTGGAGGTGGACGCTTGCCATCGAGGATCGGAATTGAGAGCTTGATTGTGGGAGAGGGTTTTGGACAATCTTCCACGCCGGTAGCTGGATGAGCCTCGACGGACTTTGAGGTAGCGATGAGTTCCGTTTCAAATTCGAGTTCGCTAGGAGAGTGGCTACGTAGTCCATTGCTTGTAGGAGTCGTATCGATTGGTAGGATTTGAGTAGAGTCAATCTCAGGTATTCCAAAGATCACACAACCTCTGTGCTCAAGGTGTCCTGGAGGCTTGATAGGTCCAATGTCCGTCACAAAAGTGGGCACTACTTGTTGAAAGCGGACACAATCACAAACTCCACCCGTTTTCGTCTTACCCTCGCAATTCTCAAATAGCATAGACGGCTTATGCCACTGTAGCTTTGAGGGAGTAAGATGCGCATACGAGGAAGAACCAGCTTCCTCGCATAGCCTTTTCAAGAGGGGGACTGTAGACGCCATGTAATCTTCGTATTTCGGCAGAGTTTTCAACTGGTAACACAGTCCAGACGAAGGGTACATGGGCTGAATAAGGTCACCGAAACCACTGGCAAGTAGGACAACGGCATTGACATCGTGAACCAAATTTTGCCATCCACCAGTAGTTTTCTCCAGGTCCACCTCTTTTCGCTGTATTGGCGATTTCCGATCGACCAGAGCCATGAATTCCCAACCTTGGAGTTTCTGTTGGGTCAGGATTTGTGTTGAAGTTTCTGGTCTAATGTCCCCGGCATTTTGAATCTCTGATAGGCCTTCCAAGAGCGCCCATACGTCGCACACCAAATCATTGATGTAATAGTCATTCGCTCGGTTCACATCATCCTGGACAAGCCTCACCGACGCCATATCCATAATGGCTCTTTCTGCGGCTTGATCTTCGTCTTTATAAGGGTCAACACCAGTGAGACGCACTGGCTTGCCGTCGACACGAAATGGTCGTTTTGCATGTCGAGTGTGGATAATATGAAGTATCACATCCGACGCCCTAACGAACCATCCTCTCTTGTCTGCGACATCGTAGAGCAATACTGGCATCATCTCAGCCCATTCTATGATTTGTTGCAAAGGACCTGCTCGAGATAGGAATAATTTGCTATCTTTGGCTCCGATGGACATGTTTTGGCTACTACATATGAGCTTCGAAAAGCCGAGTCCGCCTGAGCTGTTCGCCACGCTCGCGCTTGGCATTGCTGAGGAATAGGTTGTGGAAGCATAATTGTGATTGGACGTCCCCAAAAACGTTTTCGAAGTCTTCCACCACCCCAGAAATGTACGACTGCTTTGCAGAGAAGCGTGATCCACTTTGTCAAGTAGAACCCTGTTGGGACATTGCGCCTTGACTTCTGAATATGATAGGCGAGTTTTCGCGCTATGGTGGATAAGATGCCATTGAATGGAAGCTGCATGTCGTTTTGTCGGAACGAACATGGAAGAGAGCCCTTTTAAGAGCAAGCCTCCCTCGAATTCCACGGCATAGCGTGCACCCCCGAGAGCCGCCATCATCCCAATTGGAATTTCGAGACCCGCCTCGTCGTTTTCGCGTGGCGCCGTTGGAAAACCTCGAGCGATAACAGGATTGACGAAGAGTGGGTACCAACAACTTACTTCGCCTTCAGGTAAAGTCTCTGTCGTAAACTCCATGAGCAGCGCGTTCCGATTACCCATGTGGTTGGGATTTAATTTCAGTTTCGAGTATTGGACTTGATCAGAGCTCGATGTACGAAACGCAGAGCCCATCCACGCAATCACCTGGGAAATTTCCACTATGGTCTTTACTGAACCTCGTAGTTCTATTCTGATGTAAGGTTTGCAAAGATCGATCGATATCCAAAAGGGATGATAATTCGCTGTGTAATGTTAGAGAAAGTTGAAGGTAGATTGTATTATGAGAAGTCGAGAATGAGGTGACTTGTCGGTCGAGTTTACAGACAAGAACAATCGCTGGGAATCAAGACAAAGAAACCCACTTACTAAATGAATGCTCGTGTGGAGAGTCTAACGCTGTCTGTACAGCAGCAACAAACTTAGGTCCATTGTCCGGCCAATTCTTCTGGACATATTCGGCGCAGGTGGAAGCCTGCGCATGGGCCGCTGTCCCGCTCAAAGTAATGACTGTATCGATAGATACGGGTTTCTCTTCATACTGGTCTTGTATGAATCCTTGAAGATCCCAGTCGATAGAAAGGGACACGCTGTAAACGCGAATTTCGCCACAAATTCCAGGACGTGAGGAGAATAGGCTTTGACAGGCCCAGTCTTCAACAAGCTGACACGGAGTTTTCTCGACAATTGGATTGCTGAACGTTGTCGCAGTAGCAAATTTGGATGAAGGAGGCCTCTCGGTAGATTTGCTTCTTCCGATCCCCTTAGACATGTTTGCTAACACCGGAGCTTGCGATCTATCAAAAGAATGGAGCGACATAGAGCCGCTTTCGGTACGTGTCTGATACTGCAGGAGCGAAGGACTCAGATCAAAATGCGTGTAATTCGTGTCCGACACTGGGGTGGGATAGAATCCCTGTACTGAAACCGATCGCTGGAAAGAAGACGGTTGGTACAATGGCTGAAACGTATTAACGTTTGCTGTGTATGAATCTTGTTGCTGGTAGGAGTATGGAAATTGTCTGGGACTTTCGGAGTCCACAGGTGAGACTATGGAATCAGCGCTGAGATCTCTTCTTTCGACGAGTTCGAGGATAGGAAGAGCAATATGTTCCATATGTTTCGCTAAATGCGCTGTCAACTTTTTCCAAGTAGCAAATGTTTTCCCGCAAAACTTGCAAGGCTCATCCTGCGGGCGATTCACGGTTTCGTGGTGACATTTTTCTAGCAGCATGATCCATGCTGGTTCCGTTGATTGAGCTTTTTTGATTGCAGCTTTCGTCTTTTGCTTAGGCTCGGGCAGCTTGTGTTCTCGAACAAGATGCTGAAGGAAGTTATCCTTCCGGTAACAAGGGTGCCTGCAATCGTCGACTTGGCATATCCACCACTCTAAATGACGATGGCGTTCGTTCTCGTGCCGAACCCAGTCTCCTTTCCGTTTGAAGGACTTTGGCTCTTTACACTTGTCGTACGTGCAAGTGAAAGGTTGGATGTCCTCGTGTACATGCTTGACCCAATCCTAGACAGGCAGAATTAGTATGTCGCACACTGGAAGAACGTCGAATTATAGTAATCGTCGCACGTAATGAGAAAATCGAGAAGAATGTACTTAAAGTCCAACGACATTGTTTGAAGGAGCTCAACTCACAGATGGTGTTTGAAATTTCTTGACTTTGAAACAGATCCGACATTCAAATTCAGCAGGGTACCTTCGATTTGGCGGAACTGGAATTCCAGCAGGGTAGATTTCCTCGACGAGTTCAACATCATTGTCGGTATGGATGGGGGCTTTCTCTCTGGAGGGACTTGTAGAAGGGGACTGCGGCTCTTTCGTAACACGGGGCTTTTTGGTTTCCGGATTGGTGATAGACCCGCCCAACTCAAGGCAATGACCAGCAGATGGACAGTTCTTAGCTTCGACTGCTTGTGAATGTTTGATCTTGAGATCCACAAGATTTTTATAACAAATCTCCCTTTGGTGCGCAATCCTGCTAACGAGCCAATTGTAGCGAGGATCAATGTCTGGATTCAAGTTCCTGACATGAACTTTGAAGCCGTCGTAGTCTGCTCTGACCTTTAAAGTGGATGAAAGTCCGGGCTCATTCTCTTCATTCTCCCCCTTTAAAGTGGATGATATTCCGGGTTCATTGTCTTCACTCTCCCCCTCATCGTCGCCATCTTTATCACTAATCTGCTCTTCATCTTGGCTTGATAGAAATTCGAGTTTCGTGAAAGCTGATCTGATTTGGGGCCGATCATCGTCGCTGATAGTAGAAATATCGGAATCCCTATGATGGCGGGACATTCCAAACTTTCGGGACATTTGGCCAACAGATGTTGCGGCACGAGGCCGTCCAACTTTTGGGGATTCAGGCTCAAGCTTAATATATTTTGCAGGAATAGGCTCTAAGTTTGAGCGTGAGCGTTTTAACTTAGTACTGCCGAAATCGGAGAAGATAGAGGAAGAAGGACTTTTGTGTTCGACCAGATTGTCCATGCTGGGGCTAGCCCCTATTCGTTTGAGCAGCATACCGTTTTCTTCAGATTTAATGTCTGAGAGGGTAGGCTCGCTATTGCAGCGGGTCCCCCAGGCTAAGAAAGAACACAGCAGTCAGTACAGGCTTACACAATGACTCGAAAAGGGTCAAACACTTACTTGCTGCCCGAGAGACTACGGAAACTTCATCTGCTTGACGGTTCCATCGCCTAATAGCTTCGTTTGATGTATTGGGCTGAATAGAGGTCATGGTAATGTATGGCTGTGACGGACTATCATGCCAATAGCGGGAAAGTAATTCGGGGTCGACTGAGTCCATGACATTGGTATTGTAATAGACTTGGCCCTTGATAAGTCGGTTTTCGCTCATAGCCAAATCATCATCTAGAGGCGGAAGGTTGTTATCTTCTGATGTTTGCTTGTCTTTCGGACTCTGGAGATCCAGAGATAGGTTATTGTCAGCCATAGCGGCCGTCTTTAGGTCAAATCTACTAGCGTGTAACAGAGATGCAGCAGTGATAAGGGTACTGGAGGGCTTTTGTGGCAACGGACTTTGCATTCTTTTCCGTCCAGCTCGCATCTTGTGATCATTTTGCTCGACTTCCAGATCAGGTATTTCATCATCGCGAGCTCGATTCTTTCTCGTTTCCTGAAAAAGACACTCCTTGCCTTCTATTCTGCATCGTACACACGGTGGATCGCTTGGATTGGCTACACCCCCGAGGTTGCATTTTACTCTGCGGCGACGACAAGGTAGGCAAGCTTGATAAACTCGTCTATAAGCAGGTTTCTGATCCTCTGACTTGGGATCGTCTTGGCGAGTTTGAATGTCTGGTATAGCAGATGGTAAAGAATTGGGGTCACCTGGTCCTGGATCAATCGTTGCCATCCAATCTGAAATTCCAGCGTTCATGTACATAGTCCTATGCCGCTCTTCTTGTTCACGTAAGCTTTCCACCTCGATATTCGCAGGCGTTCTCCCTTTGCCATCCTCTGTTATATCGTGTCTGGTGGGCAGTGTAGCATATGTGTTCGTCGACCGAACTCGTTTCCACGGGTTGTCGTCCAATTGGTAGTTGTAGTCCAATTGGAAGGATGTCGAGGCGGGTGCGCGGCCATAGTTGCTGCTGAGTATTGGAGATGATTCCCATTGCACCTTCTCGTCTGGGAGTGTGAGATGGTACACACCTCCTACCGGCTTCTCTGTACCTTGGTCGTTGTTCTGAAAACTGCCACGAAACTGGAGTCCTGACTGAATAGAAGGATCGTGCTCCGACCATCCAAGGCTGGCATGCTGAATGCTCAAAAAGCTGTTTGGTATGTCCCTTGAGTCCATACTTGTCTTTTTTTTTTGACTGATTCGACTAATGGCTATGCAAATATATTATTAGCATCTAGACCGACAGTCAATGGGGTGGTAGAGGGCGAATACAGTACAGCAGGCGCAAGGCTGCTACTTATAACAGTGGCCGAGAGGAGCAGATCATGTAGACGGTCTCGCAGATCCTAATGATGCGTAATATGCGATATGCTAGCTGGAAGAAGTCGAGTACAATCGTCTGAGATAACAAAGACAATAAAACAAATCGAAGGATAATGAGGTTCACAGTGAGAAGGCTGAAGGTTGTCTTGGCATGAATTGCACGGCAAGAAAGTGGCGCTTTCAGCTGAACTCAGCCACACACACACCGAACCCTCATGCACAATAAGAACCTGACGAGATCGGACTTGACGTGATTTACGGCCTGTCACAAAGCTTACGAATTGTTAAATAGCTTATAAAGAGATATATATATGTTGCTCACCCTCTACCCTCTGAGTTCTCTACTTTTAGATTTTCAAATATACTCGCTTTTCAGTTTCTGGGCTATAGCCTAGCTGGGCCTGTCACAATATAATTAATACTTATAATTGCCTATATTTTTCCGCTAAAAAATCACTAGCCAAACGCCTATAATATTTAATCGCTCAAAACCAAATAGTTACAATAACACTACAATTTAGAGAAATTAATATTTAATTCGGGCTATTTAGAGTATTCTCTATAACTTGTAAAGTTTTTGGAAATTTCGAAGCACTTTGAAAAATTTATGTTTTTTTGGTGTTCGGAGAAGAGTATAAGTGGGTTGAAGAGCCATAAGAACGCGTTTCGGGAGACTATCGAAGTGTATTACCGACAAGATTTCTTCTATCTTTTCATCCAGGCAGTATGTATTATTGAGAACTCTGTGGGAGGCTGGTTCACTGAATCGTCTAAATGGGGGACATGTACGCACAAGGGTTCCCTCAATATTGCTGGCAGCGGTTCAAGAGATGGTAGTGGTGGACTCCTCCATCACGTCACTTTTTCATCAACTTCTCCCTTCATTCTGAAATGGGAAGACGCTGGCAAAACCGCCTACAAGTTCATGGCGGTCCTGGATGACATATCTATACGGATCAAATAGACAGTGCAGCCATGGGCTCAAGAGCTTGGATTCTCCAAGAGAGATTGCTATTCCCGAGAATCATTCGCTTTACGGAAGAGCAAGGGTTTTTTTGGGGGGGAGTGTTACTGTATTTATACAATATTTTACCAAATACAATATAATTCGTGTCCTCTTATAGCCGCCTAATTTAACTAGCTGCCGGGCGTGTAACGCATATTTTTATGGCACTAAAAATTCTGGGAGAAGCAGACAACAATCATGAAGGCAAAGGTTCAGATGATGACAAGAAAAACACAATCGGCTCGGAAGATACTTGAGAAGAAGCATGGGTTCAGCTGATAGCACTTTGGGAAGGTGGTAAAGATGCTTGTTTTCGCCACTTTGAGACTCCTAAGTCTGCGCTCAAGACACGCCGTCACTAATGGCTGATCCAAATTCTGAGAACTTTCTCTCTCCATTTGACAAGGGGAATGAACGAGGATAAAGCTTTTCCACCTGGGGATAGAAGAAGTTTCTTATTTGGGGTCAATTGAGAAGAAGATGTCAAGTTTAAGTCTCAACGACTAGGTCAATTGAGGGTTGATGTGTAAATTGTCTACAAAGAGGGGGGAGAGTTCATAAGGAAGCTCTGATATTATTTACATTGTGGGCACGCTGAAAGTAGGGGTCCAAGGCTAGATCATGCTTTTCAGCCTGCTTTTGATCTCGCTTCATATCGTCACAGAAGAGTTCTTTGGTTCTTCAGCAACGGTTACGGAACCTCCCGGTACACTTAAAGCGACATTTCTGAGCGTGCTGAATGGTCAGTATTTTAGTGAGGCGAGCCTGCAAACAGAACCACTCAGACTGGGCCATACCCTGTCCAACAGATATGTTACACAGGCTAGACAGCACAGACCCCGCATAAAGCATATTGGGTTACCATCAACACTATCTCTTTCAGTGTCGTCAAGATTTAAAACACTCTAGTCTTTATCTAAAAACTCACACAGCAGCGGCATCACAACAATGTCGTTACGTCAATCCAGTCCTGCACTCACGTCTGCACAAGATATCATAGCCAGTGGCAGGGAGACCATTGTCTCCCCGTGTTGCCCAGTTTGCCAGAATCTCGACCCCACTGAACACCTTACGGAGCGGAGTGTCATACCTCGAAGTCCCTTGGGTTCTAGGGGCAGAACCCTATATTCGGATGCGGAGTTGCTGAGCCAGTGGGGTGCAGGCCGAGTTGCCTTATTCAACCGAGAGTTTGGGGAGCTCAATGAGCGCAGGAGGACAGGCTGCATCTACTGTGCGTTGCTCCTCCAGGCTTGCGAGATTCTCGGTGTGAAGGGAACCGAGATCAATCTTTGGCTTGAGCGCGGACAGAATCCCAAAGTTACCGTCTGGACTCCCTGCAATAAGCGCATTTCTTTTGAGCTGTTCACGAACAGAGGTAAGGCTCCGCCTAGAATAGCTTTCAACCAGAACTTACAGGTCTTAATCACAAACAAACTCCAAGTTACTGAGACCAACACAGATATCGGGGCTCCTTGGGTTCGAATCCACAAGCTCGATGAAATATCACGCCATCCAAACGGACCCGAAGCTGTCGACTTCCTTGACAGATGCATTCAAGAATGCACTTCCCGGCACACGATATGTCGCTCAGCAAATTCCTTCACACCTAAGAGGCTCATAGAGTTGAGACCCAAGGAAGAAAGCTGCAGACTTATGGAGGGAGACAACGAAGCATCACTCATATATACTGCTCTAAGTCATTGCTGGGGCCAGCAGGTGAAACGGCTGAGAACGATCTCAGAAACGCTCGAGCGTCACAAAACCATCATCGGCTATGACGAGCTGCCAAATCTATTCCGTGACGCCATACTTCTGACTCTCAGGTTGAAGATTAAGTACATCTGGATCGATTCCCTGTGCATCATACAGGACGATGACAAAGACTGGGCAGAACAAAGCGCACAGATGGCACAAATCTACGAGAATGCCTACCTTGTCATAGCTGCAGGATCGTCCGCACATAGCGGTCAGCCCTTTCTTAACACACCAAATCGGTGCGAGTCGCAATCAATTCCTGTTGGCCAGAACAGTGGTTCTACGAGTGTACTTGCTCGAAAGATCCCGGCCACCGGCATGCATGAGACATATGAAGGGCATTACAGTAATCCAGATCCGCTCGATGAACGTGCTTGGACTCTCCAGGAACGAATCCTCGCTACGCGTCTTGTCAATTACTCCAGCACAGAGCTCCAATGGATGTGTAAGACTCATAGAACATGCGAAGGAGGCCACCGCGATAGGTCGCAGCATCATTCTTCCATTCATTCAATCGTAAGTCAGTCCGGAGCTTACGCATTCTGGCAAGAGACTGTCAAAGAGTTCTCGCACCGGCGCTTGACGTACGCCAAAGACAAGCTCCCTGCACTCGCCGGTGTTGCATCTAAAATTGCAGCAGCAACCGGAGATGAGTACTTTGCCGGCCTCTGGAAACGTAATCTAGTCTGGGATCTTTGCTGGGAGCGGCACATGTGGGAGATTGTACGGTGGCGCGCGACGGAAAACCCGAGAGCGCCGTCTTTCTCCTGGGCGTCTGTGGAAGGCAACGTCTACTATCATCCTGATACCAGCGCAGGGAGAGGAGGCACCTGCCATGTTGAAATAATATACGTGGACTGCAAACCCAAAACTTTCTCCAATCCTTTTGGCGAAGTTAACGAAGGTGGCTTTCTGCGCTTACGAGCTCCCGTCAAGGAAGGCCGAATCCACATCCACCCTAACGCTGGCAACGGATTCCTCTGGTCGCACGAACTATGGTTGAACGAGACGCACTGGCGGATCCCGTTCATGGCCGATGTACCTCTTGAACATCATCATGTCAATCAGATCACTCAGGATCACAGCTTAGCAACCGAAAGCGACAAATATGAGTGCACCGCGGTCCGAGCTCCTCCTGACTCAAATGGTAGATTAGTAAACGGAGAGCGCGTGTGGATTCTCGTTGTCGGCTTCTGGCACGAGAAAGATGAGAGGACCGGAGGCTTGGGGAAGATTTGGTTCTCGTGCATCATTCTTGGGAGGCGTACACCGGATGCATTCGAGCGATTGGGCTTCGTGAACACTGGTTCACCAGAACCATACTTATCCCAAGAAGATTGCCAACCTCTTCTTTCCTTCCTTTGTGGAGGGAAAGATAAAACTGAGCTGACCATTGTGTGAGTCTACAAAAGAAGTAAATGAAATTTAATGAACTGCTTAAATGCGATCAAGTTCCTACTAAACCGAGTGCAATAAATCAGCTGAATAGTGAATTATGTGATCGCCCTGAACCAGTGATCGTCCCTCAGAAGTTCACATTCGGCTGCCCGACTTTGATAACATAGGAAATAATGAACTTCAACCATTCCGTCTGGCTGGTATTCTCGCTTCTTAGATGCATAGTCGTCCCCCAATCAACAAAAGTATCGCCCTTTGTGTAAAGCTCGACCTCCTTTCCCTCCCATTGAGAAGCAACATTTCCCTCGAGGACGAAGCCTGTTCCAGCGACAGGGTGGTTGTGAACTGGTGCCGCTACTCCTGGAGGGTATTCGAAGAGGACTAGACGTGATTCCCAACCCGGAAATTCAGGGATTGGCAAGGATTGAAGAATCGTGCGCTTGACTGACGGTTTGTCGGGGGTTGCCGAAGCCATTGTGATGTACTCGACTTTTATGAAGGCAATTCAGAAGATGCTTGTTGAAGTCTTGGTCGCAAAGGTTTTGCTTTCAAAAGCGAGCTTTGTCAACAGTATGTTTGTATGAATTTAAGTGTTGTGTTTGAGAAAAACAACTGAGATTCAGTACTACTATGCAATATATATATGCAGACATCCCATAACTGAACGATGTCCGATAAACGATGAACGATGATGATCTGCATCACAAGATTACAAGTATGCTTAATAAGGAAAAATTAATAAGCTTCGAGCGCTAGAATATACAGCAAGTGCTTAAGAAACAGGAACATGATTTCAAACTACAACTAGTACCAGAACTGAGCGCAACTTCAGCACAAGTCCCTGCTGAAATCTATCTTCTAATTGGATATGAACACGAGATACACTTGCCTCTCCTCTCTTCCTAAGCAAAGATCGACTCAGACGTCAGGGAGGGACCGACTCATTACCAAATGCGGCGTTAAAAATTCGAACGTATTGATATGTTCGTGATTGAAAATCTCTGGGGTAAAGGTAAGCAATAAGTGCCAAGACGCTAGAAAAGCTTGATTGGCTTTACTAAACAGGAATAGGGCCATCGGATGGTGGAGCATGGTCTAGCCCTTGTCATAACGCCGTTTCTGCTTCTACAGAGATTCTGACGGCTCTTATGTACAGACACGATATCCGAAGAGAGAATAGCAACTTTTTGGCATACTTTTAATGACTAACCCTGCAACATTGAGTACCTAGACAACTATGTCTCGTGCTCTGCCGAATTTTTATTTTTTCCTGCCCTCAACCAAAAGTCCTCTTTCGAACCTCGCTCAACAACCCATCTGACATTAAAAGAAGAGCCTTGAAAATAGTATTATATATTCTTTCTCAATGTTTTGACATCACAAGTTCTGCCGGTAAACGGTACCCCGTCAGGGGCTCGCTTCGGCAAAACGTTCCCCGCTCCAACCTCAAGGATGCTTCTCCTCCACCCCACCTTCTCTCAAATAAAAACATCCACGATGTCTGCCCTCGATCACCAAACACAATGGCGCCGTCAGCAACAATCACAGCCACAAACGGCACCACCGGAGTCGCAGCTCCAGGCCGACAATCGTACAACATCGCCTTGATCCCCGGTGACGGCATTGGCATCGAAGTCATCCACGCCGGCCAAGTCGTTCTCCAACACCTAGCCAGATGTCTAGATACCTTCGACTTAAAGTTCGAGGAGTTTGAATGGAGCAGTGCATACTACAAAAAACATGGCCGCTACCTCCCAGACGACGCTTTAGATCAAGTCCGCAAATTCAACGCCATTCTCTTCGGCGCCGTAGGAGCTCCCGGTAAGTGTCTTTCTCCTCAATTCATGGAATGAAAAATTCTAACGAACACCCTCACAGATGTACCAGACCACATATCCCTCTGGGGCCTCCGCCTCGCCCTCTGCCAGCCCCTCCAACAATACGCCAACGTGCGCCCAACGCGAATCCTCCGCGGTACCACCTCCCCTCTCTCCAACTGCGCGCGCGGGGACCTCGACTGGGTGATCGTGCGCGAGAACAGCGAGGGGGAATACGCTGGCCACGGGGGCACCTCTCACATCAACCAAGAATGGTCCGTTGCGACCGAAGTATCAATCTTCACCCAACACGGCTGTGAGCGCATCATGCGATTCGCCTTCTCTACAGCGCAATCCCGGCCCCGGAAGAAGTTAACCGTGGTAACGAAGTCCAACGCGCAGAGGAACGGGATGGTGTTCTGGGATCACGTAGCTGCCAAGGTAGCAAAGGAGTTTCCGGACGTGGAGTGGGATAAGATGTTAGTGGACGCGATGACGACGCGGATGGTGTTGAAGCCGAGCAGTATCGATACGATTGTAGCGACGAATCTGCATGCGGATATCTTGAGTGATTTGGCGGCTGCGTTGGCGGGGAGTATTGGGATTGCGCCGACGAGTAATTTGGATCCTACGAGGAAGAATCCGAGTATGTTTGAGCCGATTCATGGGTCTGCGTTTGATATCACGGGGTTGGGGGTTGCTAATCCTGTGGCGACGTTTTGGACGAGTGCGGAGATGTTGAGGTGGTTGGGACAGGCTGAGGCTGCTGAGCTTCTTATGCTCGCGGTTGAGAATGTTACGGAGGGTGGGATTAAGACGCAAGATCTGGGTGGAAAGTCCAAGACTGTGGAGGTCACTGAAGCAGTGTGCAAAGAGATCGAGAAGCTTGCATCGTCGCCAAGCAAAAAGATGTACTAATGATCATCAAGCAGAATATATGCATTGAAAGATTGTGCCGTTGCACCCAGAGTCTACAGATTTCACGATCGGTATATCATACAAAACAGCCTTCTAGTACAGTTCAACCCAGTCCCAAACTCCCATGATCGAGTCGTTTCGAAAGTCCGCTCATCAAACTGCCCTAAATGCCACGCTCAAAAGCAGTATCAACTAGAAATGAAACTTCCAGTCATGCTCCTCTGTTTTCCCTAGCCAAATCTCACTTCGTTCTACTAAGCCGTCTCCCACTGTCAAATGGATAGACAGCGCTCGATGGACTCTGTGGTGTGGCTGGAATCTTCATCTCAGGAAGCCCTAGTTTGACTTCTCCAACCTTGCGAAGCAGTCCTTGCAATGCTATCCTGACTTCCACTCCCAGATCCATGTTCAGCAGCTCCACGGACAAGGGATAGAACACCTCAATGTACTTCTCGAATCCTTCTCGAGGGAAAGTCGTATATCCTTCTAGGACATTCACGACAACAGGTCTCCAGGCAATGATGTTTCGCTGCTGAGACTCTTCTTCTAATTGTGTGAAGCCACGAATGATGTCCGTACAAAGAGGCACAAGTGCTGCCTCGATGTCCCCGCGACTACGCTTTCGTTCTTCGCCTTCATCATGGTACATTCGCAATAAGATGCTGACGTACGTCGCAGCACTACCACTCTCTTGCTTCAGCAAATTGGGTGGCTGCTTCATGAAACCCTCTCGCCATAGTCGCATGCGTAGTTCCTTGTTCTCATTAAACTTCTTCGCGAAGAGGTAGCTTTTCTTCAGTAGTGCCATTAGTCTGAGGAGTTCTGGACTAGGGATCTGGTCATAGACCGAGTCGTTGGAAAACAGCTCGTTCACGGTCTCGATCATGAGAAGCTGCAAGACACAACGAGTGATGATCTTGTTGAAGAAGCGCCTTCGAGCTGCAGTCACCACAACGGGCTGTTGCTGGAGACCAGATTGCGGCTTGAACTCTTCCAGGCCCGCTGTAGAGGTTGTCGGTGTTTTAGCCTCATCATCGTTGATGCTGTCTGTTTCGGGCGAGGTCGTTCCATTGGTACCATTGATCTTCAAGGATTTCTCATCCCCGACCGGTTCTTCCATTGGCGAAATGACACAATCTAATCCATTGTCCAATGCGTTTCCGCCACCTGGCGTGCCTGCTGCGGAAAATAATTGGTATGCGGTAGTCCGTTCGAAGAGGCCTACAAAAGCCGTAACAATCTTTGACCAGTGCTCAGGTTTTAATTTCGAAACGTTGTTCAAGATCAGCTGCTGCAGAGAATTGCTCCCAATTCTGGCAATGGTATCATTCTCTTGGCAAATGCACAAGGAAAGAAGTCCCAACAGGTCACCAAGCATGTACTCGAGAGCTTCGAAGTAATGAGTGAACAACTTTACGATGTTACGAAGTGCTTGGATCATGGTGGTGGACAGCCATACCGAGAGCTCTTCGTGTTGTTGGATATTCGTCATCTCGGAATTGTCCTTCAAGACTGTGAACGTAGGGTATAGAATCTGTCTCCAGAGAGTATCCCAGAAATCGACAGGGAATCCATGACCGTGGTTTGTCAAAGCTTCGAAAAGATAATCTAAAGCTTTCGATCGCACTTCAAGATCCTCTGCATTCATGATCACATCGTGGAATGAGAACATGACTGGAAACCAGAATGCCTCCTCCTGAGATGTGCGAGAGATTTGTTTTGAAGCAGGATCCGACGACTTTGCAGAGCCATCCGAGTTCACGTTTGCCTTCTTTGACAGCGGGCATTCCGGTGTTCTTAGCATGGTAGGGATCACGGACTTCATGACTTCGATTGCCTGTAGCCCCATTTTCTGGAACTTCTTATTCTTGGAGAATTCGGCCAGACAGACCATAAGATCTGGGAATGCTCCCTGGGAGATGACTACTCCAAATCTGGTCTTGTACACTTGCGTGACGTTCTGGAAAGCGAGGTTGACGATGCTCTCGTACGGCGATTTTGCAGCCACTGTAAATGTACCAAACATGGTTCTCCAGCCAGATCGAATATTCTCGCCTCGAGCTTGGATCATTTGGATCAAGCAACGAAGAGCCATATCCATGACCTTGGAGTTAGTGCTGTTCATCATGACATGCTCGAACGGTCTTAAGAAGTCTTTCTGGAACTTAAATCCTGGCAGCTCTTCAATCTCCATAAAGCGCATCGATAATTGTCGCAGTGAGTCCAGAGCGAAAAACACCACAGCTGTATTATTGTAGCACCCTACACGATTGAAGTGCTCCCCTAGGACGACCCAGATGTTCGTCCATTCAAATCTGACACGAGTCATATTGTAGTAACTGATCTCAACCAGCTTTTGCAGACTGTAAGTTCTTGGGGATTCATTCTGACCAGAAATTTTGATCTCTTCCCAGCTGACTTCTGTCAAGGCTCGTACGAAGTGCACGATAGCCTCACCTGAAAGATCCTTCGTATTCGTGAAGATTCTATCAACACTCCTAATCATGTCGTCCGACCTGCTTTCAATGGCAATTTCCATGGAATAGCTCGTGCTTGTAGTAGTGGATCTCGGCCGAGGGCGTATCGGTCGTTGTGATTGACTAGACTTCCTCGAAGAAGAGCCTGTATCAGTCCGTGATGGAGGTACTATCCGAGCCTTTGAAACGTCGGGTATTGAGCCTTCGTCTACGCCATCTGAAATGAGTTGGAGTCTGTCCAACTGACTGACACACATAAGAATATCTCGCCATGACCCTTTTAGTAAGTTGCCTTCGGTCTGGGCAATCTCTAACAGAATCTTGAGAGCTTCAACGTTCTTTGCCTTCATTTCAGTAGGATTGTTGAGGTTGGTGGCGTTCTTAAGGGCAGAGACAAAAGCTTCTCTTGGAGTCTCGAGGTCGAACAGGCAAGCAATACGGATGGCAAGTTTCATACCCTCCATACAAGTCTTGATAATCTCAGTGTTCTGAGCATGTTGCATCTGACCTGAAAGCCCAGAGAAGAATGACATCCATGTCACATCAAACATCGGACCAACATGTTTGAATGACGATGCTGGAATAAATCTGACAGCTCCAGCCTTGGTTGCATTCCTGCGTTGGTTCCTGAAGAGGTTCTTGAAAAGTTGTTCTGACCGATTTGAGATCTCTTCTGACTGCTGTATGTATGCTTCGCGCTGCAAGTCCCGCCCCACAGTTGCAAGAGCTTGTCCGAGACTGGCTGTGATTCCGTTGCTAGTTTGAGGGGTAATACCTTGCGCAGCTGCATCTCTGCGCTCGCTTTCTAGCACAATCTCGTCATTCGCAATCTCATCATATATTTGAAGGAGGTATTCGTCCGGAAGATTGGCATTATCGTTAATACCTCTGTTGTTCTTGATGAAATCCTGTTGTGTCATGTGTTTTACAATCTTGCTGCTGTGAAGATCGGTGTTCAACAGAATCACGGAGTAAGCCAAAACATATGCTGTATCTGCATTTGCGAAAGCGTTTGGGTTTCCAGTCACGTATCGTTCTGCGAATTTCAGCATGAAGCGATCGATCTTCTGTGCTTCACCAGGCAATCGGAATGACTGGAGAAATTGTCGCAGAGCAGAAACAAAGCGGCGTTTTGCGAAATCCATACAATCAACGAAAGCATGCATGATCGCAATGTTGCGTTCGTCGCCATCACCAAGAAATTCTCCAATTTGCGCTTTATCCAAGGCCTCCTCTCTTAATAAGAATTGAGCAATGTCCTCTGGAGTGTCATTAGGAATGAAACCTTCGGACAAGAGAAGCTTGATCCCTCGCTTCGGCTTGAAATTAAACGCCTTCACGGCGTTATTCATGGCAGTCTTCCTCTGCTTTTCTTTCTCGAGTTGATCTGGATCATCATCGATAATGGGTGTTGAAGGAGGGATAGGAGTATCGCCGTTGGTCATTTTGGTAGAGCTGTTATTCGCTCCAGGCTCAAGTGACTGCCGGTAATCCTCTGATGCCCTGGTCTCATTTTCAAGTCCACTAGTCACTTCAGCAATGCCTTGTTGCGACCAGTTGACCAAAGATCTCAGAGTCTCAACAAGAAAATCCAGAGCCTGTCGCTTGATTATGTATTCTTTCGGAATCTCGTCATCGGGACTCGTGTGATGTTGAGCCATATTGGTTGTGGCTAAAGATGGTGGAAGCAGCCCTTTCATCTGCCAGTCAGACATCGACAGGTTTGCTCTAGCAACCCTTTCTTCATATTGTTGTTGATGACTGGGTAAAATCATGACAGGCTGACTAGTTGCCTTGGAGAGGTCTTCTATGAGAGTTTGGAACATGTTACCAGTATTTCTTTCGCAATCGTAGTTGAGATAAATTTCAACCAATGCCTTGGGATCTGAGCAGAGGCGTTGAAGTATGTTCATGAATAATAGCTTCTGGGTAACAGGAGCGTTCCTTCGCTCTAGCATGGCAAGATATATCTCACTCATGAACACCTCAATTTCTCTCTACATATCTATTAGCCTTAATGTCTTGTCGGTAACTGGTATACATACCTTCAAAGGAGCTCTCATGAATTTCATCATGAGCCAAAATATCTCGCAGCAAACCTCGAATACTCTATCGACGGAGCTAGCAGCATTTCGGGTAATACTAAGACATAGATGAAATTTGGCCGCTTGCAAAAAAGGGGTAGGTGCGCTGCTCTTGCTGTTTGTGATCGTACATAGAGATGAAGTGAAGACCAGCATGTTATTATTGAGTAGAGTATGGATAAGATGAAGAGATATCAATTTCGAGCGCATAGCTTGTGATGTGAGGTCGTAAAGCTGCTTGGGTGGTACTTGTTTGATGCTAAGATTGCAGAATGATCGAAAGACCAGGTAAGCATCCCGAGCATATATCTCGTCTTCGGTATCGTCTGATTCCATGCCATCATCTATGCTGCTCTCAGGTGGTGTCTGGCCTGTTGGGGATCTAGGCGATGCTTGTGCACCTCTCAATTGTGTCACCATCGTTGGCCCTTCACCCATCTGTGAGTCGTCGAAGCTCTTTCGGTGCTCAAGGTCCTTGAGAGTAAGTTTTGGGCCATCATTCGAAGCTGCTTCAGACGTAGCACTGTCTTCCACAGACTCCTCTTCATTACTTCTGCCTGCATCGTTGATCGAATCTGACGCATCGACCGTAAACGAACTGGTGTTGGCAGCACCTGTCCCTAATTTTGATAAATTCAACCTGGCCTCTTTCATGTGTATTCTTGTCTTCACCCTCTCGAAGACAGTTCCGACCATCTGTGTAAGCGTCCCTTGTGCAACCTGCTGATTCGCACTGCTCTTCGACAAGAGGAAGACATTGTACACTTGTCGAACTGCTTTAAGGAGACCTGCACCATGCACAACTATTTTGTCGTTCAGCACAGCCGCAAGCAATGATTTGACAATCTGCAGCTGAATCTCAGTCGGTGTAGGGTCCCCCTGAAAACAATCGCATATCGTATCAATTGCTCGCTCGATCAGCGGCTCTCGAGATGCCTCTTTGTCGGCATTGGGCGATGATGGGACAGAGAAGTAGGAGTAGCTTATGAGCTTTCCGATGCAGTCCAAGGCACCTGTCGTTAAGGGGATGCTGCCGGATTGCGTGGCCAGCTGCAGCGGCGCAAAGATAATCTCGGGATCTGGTAGTTGAGGTTCATGCTCTTTAATGTCTTTCAGCGCCTTTTGTACGGACTCTGATAGCTGCTTGTTCTTGTGGGCCTCTTTTGAAGCTGCGATAGCTTCAAGTGCAGACACCACGAAGACAATGCTGGACGAGCTCATATTGCCCTCTGGTATGCGCCTGCTTCCATTCGTATCCTCCCCTCCGTCTGCAACTTTCGTCGTCGAGGGTTCGAGTCGATATTCGTTCGTGGTGGGACCGTTTGAATTATGGATTAGCTACCACGTAAACCTCTCAAGGCTCAAAGAAATGATTATGTTCTCAGATAATAATCCGTCCCGCGCCAGGCCGCTAAGCACCAAAGTAAGGCTTCACTAGGCTTGAGAACGCCCAGGATTTACTGGGTCGTCTTGACCAATGAGCAGGCCGGGGAGTCTTCGGGCCCTTTTATTAGCGAACGGAGGGTTTAGCGGTTTAGCTTATGCTCAGCGAGATGTAAATTCCCAACGAAGCTTTTCAACCATCAAAAAGAATCTCTCGCTCTCACGACCCTTCTTCCCTCCGCCCAACCCATTGGTGAAGCGCATCTAAGACATCAATCGTCTGGATAGGTGTCTCACATTCTCTTCCGTTCTACTTTTCATTTACGTTCCTTTCTGCAGCTTCGTCGAGATGTTAAGTTCGGTTTTGAGACGCCGGGTTGCGAGCGCCCTTCCAAAGTCGCAACTCACCTTCCACCTGGCACGATGCTATGCGTCCAAGTCATTCCCGCCTCACACGGTGGTCACAATGCCTGCCCTGTCCCCGACGATGACTGCTGGTAACATTGGTCAATGGCAGAAGAAGCCCGGCGATGCAATTGTTCCGGGTGATGTCCTGGTTGAGATCGAGACGGACAAGGCACAAATGGACTTTGAGTTCCAAGAGGAGGGTGTGCTGGCCAAAATCTTAAAAGAATCGGGAGAGAAAGATGTTGCAGTTGGCAATGTACGACCTCAATTGAGCTCTAGGGACTTTTTGTGCTGACTGCAAAACTAGCCGATTGCGATTATGATTGAGGAAGGAGAGGATGCGTCGGCTTTCGAGTCTTTCACACTTGAGGATGCTGGAGGAGAGAAATCACCACCACCAGCACCAAAGGAGGAGGCTAGTGAATCTTCTGAGCCAGCAGATACTAAGTCCGGAACTGCACCACCACCCAAGCAGGAGTCAGCACCAGCTCCGGAAGAGACTGAGTCGAGTGGTGGCAGATTACAGTCAGCTTTGGACAGGACGCCAAATGCCAGCGCTGCCGCTATCAGATTAGCAATTGAGACTGGTGTCAAGATCACTGGTCTCAAGGGAACTGGAACCGGTGGACAAATTACGGAGGCCGATGTTAAGAAGGCTTCCTCCGGTGGAGCCGCAGCTGCACCAGGCGCTGCCCCAGCTGCTTCATACGTCGACACTCCCACTACTTCTATGCGCAAGACTATCGCCAACCGCCTTACCGAGTCTGTGAACCAAAATCCTCACTACTTCGTCGCTGCTACCGTCTCAGTATCCAAGCTACTCAAGCTCCGTGCAGCTTTGAATGCCTCAGCGGATGGAAAGTACAAGCTCTCGGTGAATGATTTCTTGATTAAGGCCTGCGCTGTTGCTTGCAAGAAGGTTCCCACTGTCAACTCAAGCTGGAGAGATGGTTTCATCCGTCAATTCAACAACGTAGACATCAGCGTAAGTTTTAGCCCCCACTTTCACACAGCCTTCTGAAAATGGCTTCTGACAAAATTCTCCACAGGTCGCCGTCGCAACCCCAGTTGGACTCATGACCCCAATTGTCAAGAGCGTCGAAGGACTTGGCCTTGAGTCAATTTCCGCACAGGTTAAGGATCTTGGCAAGCGCGCCAGAGACGGCAAGCTCAAGCCAGAAGAATACCAAGGCGGAACCTTCACCATCAGCAACATGGGCATGAACCCTGCGATCGATCGATTCACCGCTGTCATCAACCCTCCCCAAGCCGGTATCCTCGCTGTCGGAACTACAAAGAAGGTCGCTATCCCAGTTGAGACGGAGGAGGGCACATCAATTGAGTGGGACGATCAAATAGTGGTTACTGGAAGCTTCGATCACAAGGTGGTGGATGGTGCTGTTGGAGGCGAGTGGATTAAGGAATTCAAGAAGGTCGTGGAGAATCCTTTGGAGCTGCTGTTGTGAGGAATGGATGGATGAGGAGGGACGAGGAGCGTTGCGACTGTAATGATGATGGCATAGAGATTCCCCATGTAACCTGTACAATGACTCTGCTGCATTTTCTCGCAATAAAACTCGGATTCTCTTGCTCTTGCGGTAGGCATCCTCTCTTCACAAGCTTATGCAAGGCTAGCCGCTACTGCAGGTCTCACTGCTGAATGCCGATCAGAGAAGAAACACAATTGCCTCATCCATAAAGTACATCTTCTGTATACCAGACATAATGCCACACTCCCAAACACCATGCAATGACCCTCCAAGCGCCAAACAATGCATCACGCTCGCTCAAGTTCAAATTGTAACTCCTTCCCAACCCCAACTTCTTATCTAGACCCCAAACCCAGCGCACCACCACCACCATTAGCCTGCTCCCTCGCATAAACCCCCGCAAAATCCAACTGTCCCAACATCCCATTCACAGCATCAATCTCCCTCGTCAAATCATCCACATTCCCACTCAACGCCTGCACCTCATCAAACTTCCTCGCCTTCTTAGCATCGTTCACCATCTCCGTAACCATAAACCTCTGCTCTTCCAACACGATTAATCGTTCTCGCAATTCCTTCTCTTCGGCTTCCATGGCGGAGACGGCGCTGCTGGAGCTGATTTGAGAGGCGGAGTCGATGTCGTTGTATTTTATCGAGGCGAGGGCACTGCGGCCGTTCGGTGGGAGACCGTTGGAGCCGTGCGGAGAGGCGTGTTTGAGGATTTTGGGGAGGGATTTGAGGGGGAGCATGTGGATGCTTAAGAAGTTGGCGCTTTGTTGGTAGATGGCTCTTTGGAGTTTTTGCTGGGTGGTACTTGTGGTTGGGAGATCTCGTATTCTTTTTGCTGCTAAGTCATACTTGCCAAATGAGTCTATGAGTCGCTTTCGGACTTTGGAGGCTTCGGTGAGTTGGTTGTGTGATGGTGGTTTGTCGGGATCTTGTAGTGCTATTAAGAGTTTTTGGAAATTGGGTAAGAGAAGACGAATTCCTTTTTCGAATTGCAAGAGGTTCTCATATGCACGTTGATCCGGTGGTTTGTGAGATAATTCAGCCGCAAAGTCTTTCTTGCTGAAAACTGTGGCTTTGCAATCTCTGCACATTCGAACGTCCACGTTCAGCTGAGAGTTAGATTGTTTTTCTGACTTTACGTCAGTTACTGTCAAATGTCAACAAATGAAGAAATTTGTATAGAATCTGGCTTACCAGCAGCAACACTCAAACCTATCTCGGATGAGCATCCAGTCCGCGGATCTGCACAGACCACTCGTCCACACAGTCGACAATGGTGCCTTCGAAATGACCATGATCCGAATTCCTGTTGGCAAAACGGACATTTTATAACATTCGCATCCTCTTCCCAGGTGACTACAGACTGCTCCAATAATTTGCGTTGGTTCTTCTGCCCAGCTAGGGACAGTATCCCACCACTATTTCCAGCCACATCCTCTGGCGGGTTCGCCAATAATTGTGTCAATTTTGTAAGCCTCTTCTCCAGCCTCGAGACTTCCAAATACTGCTTGTCGACCGTCTTCCTTCGCATAGCTAGAAAGTCGTTCGTATGGTCTCTCATGAAGCCATTATGATCATTGTAGCCATCCCTTGACTTGAAACAAGTTTCGCAGACCCTACACCAGAATCCTCTTATTGGTTCGTGTTGTGCTGACCTCGAGAGCTTCATCTGGTACATCGTATGATCCTCGCAGAATAGTCGCCCACAGTGTCTGCAGTTCACGTTCCCATTTACGGACCCCAACCGTTTCCCGCATGCTGGCTCTGTACATAAATCATTGTACCCTGATCTCTGCCAATGTGCTCGAGTAACCACTTCATCTGGATCTGGCCGTGCTGGTTCAGGCGTAGAAACGCGGTTCGCAGGATGGATACTAGGCGAGCTCGTTGGAACTGGGGGTTCGTTCGATTCGAACACATCCAGCCCTTTGAGTTTCTGGTTTATGACCGCCAATGGCTGGAACTTCTTCGCTTTGACAACTTGCTTGTTGAACCAGTTCTTGACCTCATCCTGCTGAACTTCGGGGAGTTCTTGATGGTTGTCGTCGAGATGCCTAGGAAAGTTAGATATGTACGGCACAACACTGGTGTTAAGCATACCGATTCAACTGTAATAGAGTCATCTATAAATTGTTAGTCGGACCAGGCAGGTGTTGTTGGTTAAGCTTACCATCTCTTCATTGCAAATCGGGCAAAGCAACTTCGTGCTCGCAGCCGTCACTGAAGACGATGCTCCATTCTGCAAAGATACCACCGAACTCAAGTCTTGGTTGATTTCCGGTAGTGGGGACGTGGCCAGAGGTGAGGCAGTCGATCCGCCAGACGAAACAATACTCTCAGCAGGAGACGTGAAGTCTGAAGTTCGATGCGCCGGAGGGGCGGGAGGCGCCAAAGACTTCCCACTTCCAAGTATCCTCCCGCCTCCCAGCTTTCGACCAGACATGGCGGTGGTTTATCAAATGCGTAGCCTCAGAGCTTTGCCAGCTCGAGGTGTTTGAGGATCTCCAACTTGAAGGTGGTCCGTGGACATACCAGTTCGACGCTGCACTAGGCGACGAGCTACAGCCTTATCTTATCGCCTCGCTTTACTAGGATTACTCAAAAATATATCTCCGTTTCAATTCTTTCAACATGGAGGACAAAAAGTTCTCTGAAGTTCAAGGTGGTGGTTCACTGATACTGGCATGGCAGATCAGAAACAAAAGAGTCTTGGTAGTAGGTGGCGGCGAGGTAAGTCATTCTCAATCACCTTTCCAATTGCCACTGACAATGAGTAGGTTGCTGCGGGGCGAATATTGAATGTACTCAATGCGGACGCAAAAGTTACTGTCGTCTCTCCACGAGAAGGATTAAATCCGGAAGTCGCATATCGAATCGAGAAAGGACAAGTTGACCACTTGGACCGGAAATTTGAACCTTCAGACCTTGACAATGTGGATATGGTCTTGACGGCAGTGGATGATCCGGAAGCTTCGTCACAAATATGGAAGCTCTGCAAAGAGAGAAAGATTGCTGCGAATATTGCAGATGTGCCACCTGAATGTGACTTCTATTTTGGAAGTGTACATCGGGATGGTCCTCTCCAAGTTATGGTTAGCACGAATGGGAAAGGTCCAAGACTGGCAAACATAGTGCGGAGGTCGATAGCAGAGAATTTGCCAAACAACATAGGGGAGGCTATAACAAAGGTCGGAAAGTTGAGACAAATGCTGAGAAAGGTTGCTCCGGGTCCTGAAGAAGGCCCAAAGCGGATGTCTTGGTACGTGGTTTGAGAAACTACAATGAACGAAATACTGACAGAAATAGGATGATTAAGGTCAGCGATGCATATAGCTTGGAAGATCTATGTGAGATGACGGATAAAGACATGGAGACATTATTAGGGTTTTATGGGCCAGACAAAGTGCCCAGACTAGGTTGCTTGAGGGCGATGGAAGGGGAGATAGATGCCTTTGATGGATCCTTTGGGTTCTGCGTTGGATGGGGATGAAGCACTCGCTATGTAAGGTAACTTGTATGATCACAGAGCTAGAGAAGTGTACACAGAAGGAGAGTACTAGCTCATACATAGTACATAATGACACTTAAAAGCACAACTCCAGAAACTCCAAGTCAACCTCAAGTTCCTTCTACCCATGTATTTGAAGACAACAAAGAGGAATACTCATCAACATTCACAACCTGACCACTACAGCTTCGCCTTGACTTTCCCACTCAACACCGCCTCCAAAGCATCGACTCCAGCTTGCACAACCTGTTGATCTTGAGCCGGCGTCCCAGTACTTGCTCCAATACCACCAATGACCTCTCCCTTCGAGTTCGTAATAGGTAATCCTCCACCAAAAGTGGTGAATCGCCCTCCATTCGTGTTTCCAAGTCCAAATGCCGGTCCTCCTGGCCAAACGGCTTCTTTGTAGGTATGCGTGCCTACTCGATGACCTGCAGCTGTGAAGGCTTTGTCCATTGCGACTTTATAGATGTCAGAGTAGTTCTTTGAGCAAAACTAAAAGACAGGAGAGTCAAGATCAAGAACGCCAACTCCATTGCCCCCACTGAAGAGCTTCACGTGATGCAAAAAGAACTCGCAGAATCGACAAAAAGGCAATAATAGTATAGTAACTTACTACTAATAGAAGTAATCTTTGCATTCGGCATCCGAGAGAAGTGTAATAGGTGTGTAGAGGCATCGACGATCGCAATATTCATGTCAACGCCTATTTCACGTGCCTTCTTCTCCGATGCCGCGATCGCGATCTTTGCTCCTTCCAATGTGAGCATTTCTTGGTGTTTTGTTGCCATTTTGTATGAGTTGTTTGGAGTCTTGTTATTGAGAGTATGGATTGAGATGAATTGGTTGAATTGAGATGAGAGTTGGGGTTGTTGTCGATCATGCCGAGCCATGACCGAATAGCGCCGGCTATGCGGAATGAAGCTATTTTGTTACGGTCTTTATAAACACAAAAAATTAAAAAGGAAAGTAATAGAAAAGTTAAAAAAAAAGTTTATGTTCAATGTACTGGTCCCAGCAGAATTTGCATCTGCAACTCTCAGTCCCATTTATCTCGATTGCTCGAGGAAACAGGGGGCACCGTTTGCGTCTATGAAGGGGGTAACCTTTTACAGAGTATGTTCCTGTTACACTATAAGACCATGTTTAATTGTGGCAGATTTTGGGTTGTTTAATTCTATAACGTAGTCTGCGAGAGTTGTTGAAGAGCTTTCATCTGGTATATTGTAGCGAGCGAGCGTGGCCCACTAGCATTCCGGTATGTTGGAATTACGAATTTCAAGTAAAGACATTCTACTGTTTTCACTTGCAATGTCACTCACATTCCGATGAATAATTTGGGCTCTTCTTTATCCGTTTATCTCAGGTCATTGCCTTCTGTGACCGCAGCCTGCAGGATGGTGCCAAATTCCTGGGGAAGGAGTCAAATTGCTCCTCTTCAGCTCCACACAAGACCTTACAACATCACTTCTCTGCATATCTCGCACCCTCAAAGTCATCTTCTGCTTATTGGAACTTTTCATTGATACTTTACTGCTGATGAACAACATTTTCAATTTTCTCCGCCGCACTACTTACCATTTCCCTCCTCTGTCTTTGCCTTTCCCACCTGTAAAGAGGCGCCGGCTTCTTACTCTTAATTCCAACCAGCCTCCTGAGCCACCACGGTAGCACTTCCCGTAATTGGTACTCGCAATGCCTCCTCGTCGGCACTCCAAACACATAATTCATATCCTCCAAAGTCGTCACCTCAGCAGTGCCAGGGACAAGGAGCCACACGAGCAAGAACGCAACAGCGTCGAGTCCAGCGAAGAGACTCAAGAGGCCGGTATGTCCTATGGCTTGTGTCAACTGGGGAACGGTGAGGGCGAGGACGCCTGCGAGGAGGAAGTTCCAGAAACAGGCCCATGACATGCCGACTTCGCGGGTGAGGAGGGGCCAGATTTCGGAACTAACTGGATTAGTATCTCATCAGCTAGAATATTGGATGAACACATACCTATACAGAAACGGCACGACTCCAGCGCCCGGGCTATACGCCAGTGTAAAGAGAACCAAGAATGTTGCCACAACACCGATCCTCGCGTTCTCGTCCTGGATCTTGAAACTGAAACCAGTGGCCAACAGCATTGGAAAGCAGCATAACAAAGACATTAACAGAAGGTATCTTCGTCCTTTGGTGTCGATAAACCAATAAGCCAAGGGCGAGAACAAAAAATTCGAAGCGCCGAACCCAAACGATAGCCAAAGACTGTTGATGGGACTGAATCCAGAATCAGCCAGGAAAGACGCAGCAAGAAAGGCAAAGATGTTGATGCCACTCATTTGTTGCGCAGCCATCACGACAAGACTTGCAACCGCTGCTCGCTTGTTGCGACTAATGGTAAAAAGTTGTATGAAACGACGAGGATAACTCGTGTGTTTGAACTCTTGCTGATACATGTCTCGATCGACATTTGCGGACCAGTCATTCAGTTGCCGTTCGACGTCTTCTCGTTTCGAAAACAAACTAGTTTCGACTTGGATCTGGGCGTGGATGTAATACAGATCCCGTGCTGCTAATAGCGGATTCTCACGGAGCCGTACAAGGACTTCGTAAGCCTTCTGATATTTGCCTTGTTTGATGAGCCACCTTGGAGATTCGGAACAGACAAATGCCAGTGTAAGTAGGACAACAGCTGGTATGAAACCCGATGCTGTCTGCCACCGCCAATCCTTATGAACGATGAGATTGGCCGCACTTCCCAAGAAGATACCCAGAGCTGTGAACGTCTGCCAGGAAACCAACAACCGTCCTCGAATGCGAGCTGGAGCAATTTCACTCTCGAAAATAGGAACAACGCTCGCTTTAGCACCCATACCAACACCGACCAAAAGCCGACAAAAGAACAACGACTGCCATGCTTGACAAAACGCACTTCCAACTACACCAACAAACGAGAACAGACCAGCAATAAACAAGGCACCGCGACGACCATAGAAATACTCGTTCAAAGGATCGGAAATCCAGGCCCCGACTCCACTAGCAGCAAAATAAGTAATAGAATTCACACCACCAAAGATCCACACATCTCTCCTTCTTTGCGAGACACCATCAACACGCAATCCAAAATCGGTCGGCCAAGAGAGATTAGCACCAGTAAGAGACGCTTGGTCCCAGCCTTGAGCAATAGCAGCGATACAGCAAGTCAATAAGATCACTTTGAGCTCCTTGCTTTGTTGCCAGAGGCTCGACGTCTTCTCGCGATTCAAGGCGTCACGCTCGAGGTCCGTTACGTTGCTGCTGTCAGCTGAAAGGAACAGTTCTTCGTCTCTGGCTAGACGACCTCCTCGCACGAGGAGTTCTTCGGAAATCGAGTTGGCGAGGTTATGTGCTGCGTGAGTCTTCCGGACATTGTCATCCTGGACTTCGGGATCTGTCCAGAGGAGTGGAGAGTCGATTCTGGGTTATCGCATCAGTGATCTGGGTTTACGGGAGCAGTGGGATTGCTTACATGCCCAATTCATTTCGCTCTAACAAATCCTTGAAAGGAACTCTGTTCCTTGAGCTTGGATGCTGATTCACGAATTAGCCAACCATTATACACTCTCAGGCATCAAGGGAATCCCCACATCAGTTCCCGAAGCCATGGTTGTGGGGCATTCAAAGGAGGCTCTTCATATTCACGCCGGAATTGCGACGACGATTGACGTCCCATATATCAAAGATATGGTGGCTATAGCGAAGATTTAGGCAGCACGATTTCGACCTCGAGTTGTGGACGCCCCGTCGAGATTAAGCCACATGTGCCCATCATCATCCTGCAGCATTACTGTACCGTACCAAGGCGCCGGAGTCCTGATTTGTGGGAGGCTCAGCTGTCATGTGTGAATTCAGGTTTGTCCGTGTGAGTAAATCCGGGCGGGCGATGATCTGCAGTGTCGAAAATGAGGCGGGCAAGCGGGGTCTGAGCCGTGTGGCGGGGTGTGGCGGGGTAAAGTCCTGAAAATTGCTCGTAGAATTCACGATACAGATCCACGTCGTGATATCACGCATTCACATGTCTTTTAGGAGTTCTTTAAAGGCAAAAATTTAGCATTAATTAGAGGAATATTACAGCATATCCAAGTCTCTCATAGGGTATCAAAAACCAGCAAAAATAATATCAATCCATCCCCGCTTGTTCCCATCCCCCACGAACGCCTCGCTATGGACGTCTCACAAGACCCTTTCCTCACGCCACCGAATTTCTTGACCTCCTCCAAATCGACTTCTTCGAAACGGTAGAAAGAACACTCTCCCTCCTAGGCGTAGGTTCCTGAACTGGTTCAAGAGGTTCTAGGATTCCCATATCCTCACATTCCTCAAAGAAACGCTTCATATCAGGTTTATCCCACGCCGAACGATCGCAAACTGCTCCGCCTTTCATGAGAAGATCTACCATCTCGTGTCTCTTCTTCTGTACTGCGATATACATCGGCGTCCGCCCCGCTGTATCTTTCGTCTCTGTTTCTACTTCGTTCTTAAGTAGAATTCCGGCACCGTGTAATTTGTTGTTATTAACAGCGCAATGAAGAGGCGTCGTCCCATCACTTGCTGCTGCATTGACATCCGCGCCATGTGTCACAAGAAGCTCAACCATATCTTCTCCTTCCCAGCCCGAGAGTGCGTAATGGAGAACCGTCCAGCCATTCTTGTCGCTCGCCTTTACATCTGGGCTCTTTTCATGCTCCAACAATAGTCGAACGATCTCCGTATGTCGCTTTTGTACGGCGAGGAGAAGTGGTGTTAGGCCTCGCTCGTTTCGTTGTTCCATGTCTACACTTCCTTCGGCTAGGTCGAGAAACCATTTTGTTGTCTCGTAATCGTTTTGTTCGATCTTGTGTAGAACTAAGAGCCCGGATGCGGTTGAACTTGAAGCGTGCAGATCTGCTATGTTCGTGCCTATAAAGGAAGAGTTGTCTGGTGATTGGGATCGGACTCGCTCAAGCTGGTCATCAGAGGCAGGCGGAGTTGGGGGAACTAGATCTGGAAGATGTGCTGCCATGATATTTGGGCCAGAATTGTGGGCTGAGGTTGGTCTCTTGGGTTCCGAATGACTTGGATGTCGTTGTCGATAGGTCATAGCTTTCCCAGGCTTTTCCCAATAGTCATACATCTGTGACAAAAGATTTCCGGTTTGCCTCAAGCTTGGGTGGGTTTTCCATACAATCGTGGAGTCCGGTCGGTCTGGAACTTTCATAGCTGAATCATACGCTTTTAAAGCATAATTCTTCCAGTCCTCAAACAAATTGTCATCTGTCTGACCCATGTACTTATCACAGTACTCATCGTGATAAACTTGCGCCAGAGCATAACAAAGCCTGCCTTTGGTATCCTTGCCACAGGGCGTTGCTTGAGCATCTCGTAAAAGGTCTTCATACTCATATTTTGCATCTTTGTACTCCTTGTTCTTAGCTTTTGCAAAGGCGAGAATTTCTCGAAAAGCAAGTTCATCCTCAAAAGGGAAATTGTGGATATTCTCTCGTTCCTTTGCTGTTTCCATAGCACCAATAATGTGAGTTTGAGCGGTCGAGTATTCTCCCTCATTCAGTGCAGTCACAGCCATCTCATAATCGTTATCAATATGATCAGTGAGGATCTCCAAGCGTTCGACAGCTGGTGCTTTGGGGTCCTTCGTCTTAGGAGTACTCGGTATTGACGTTGTACCTGGTGTTGGGTCACTGATAGCCTCATCTGGATCCGAGATTGTTTGCCTCGCAGATTTGACAATTGTACTAGGACGGGATATCTTTCCACACAGCGAACTTGCGACGCTAAGACACTCGGAAGCCATATCTGAAGCTTGGTCTTCTATATCGTTGGCCACCAAGTCCGGCTGTGCGTCTGTCTCGACAGCTGTATTTTCTTCTTTCACTTTCATTGTTCCTAATTTGCTTTCGAGCGTCGGCTGCTGCACTATGCTCTTCAAGCCTGCCATCATAGCATGTATTTGCTCAATATGGGAATTCGTCGCATCGAAGCTAGTCTGAACCACGGTCTGAGTCTCCTCATGAACAAATCTGCGAAGTGTCAGGATAGAAGTACCAAAATTTGGACAACACTTACACATTGATACACTGAAGCATCAACTGCAAAGACGAAACACTCGTCTCAACCTGTCTCTCAATCTTCACAATCGCCGGATTCCTAACCTGGACCTTCATCTGCAACCAAGCTTTCTCCCAACACCTCTTACTCCTCCCACCGCCCAGCTTCTGCAGCACTTGCTCCAACCATTTCACGCTCCGTTGTGTTTTATCCAGCGTCCTCTCAGTCTGCTCGTAAATCCCCCTCTCATCCTCACTCACCGGCCTCGTACTCAGCTGCGCCTCCCTTCTCTTCAACACGACATGGACCGCCGTCGCAGTACTGTACAAATACTCAACCTGATCAAACAAACGACTCCTCGTCTCGACGACCTCTCTCGCATCTAGAATGAACGACGCGATGGTCTGCGACAGGACTAGTGAGGCTCCCAGAACCTGAATAACGGCCGATGCTGCAGAAATGCCATCCATCTTGACCGTCCATGGCGAGATGGAAAGAAGATGGGTGGATCAGGATCGTGAAAGGACAGTTTATGGGTCGGAGGTGGTTGCATAGCCTAGTAGTGTGGTCAGCCTTCTTTTCGTGGGGAGCGGCACGGGTGGTGGATCGTCTGCCTCATGTCATCATGCACTGGTAACCAATTGCAGGAGCATAATTCGGTGGACTCGTACCGTCCCGCGGGGTAAGGTTTGAGTGGGTTAGGCTGCAGGAAATGGGACTCTACGCCCGAGTTGTGTGCAGTGAGTTGAGCCACCGTGGGATGCCTCGCTTAGGAACGATACCCTCTGGATCCACGAGCCACTGGATATCTTGGGAAGAGAATAGATGGAAATGTAACACAGGGGTAAAAAAGAAATACAAAATGCTATATACTACCAACCATAACTCTAACAGAATTCACAGAATTCTTGTGAATTTACACTTTCTTTGGCAAAATATCTATCTATATATCGTATATCAAGTACTGCCCCAATCTATGGCCCTCTGCCGTCACCATTTTTCTTACTTAAACACTCCACTAAGGTCCAATGATACTTCCGACTAGACTTAATTATCTTCGAGTTGTCCCCAAAGGGCTGAGATATCCTAAGAGCCAGATAAGTCCTCTCCACTTCCCTTTTCCCCTTTCCCCCCTCAAGCCGTGACAGCACGAGTGACAAACGACGTAACCACCTTCGCTGTCGACGTAACAGTAGCTATAGACTGCGTAAACGTCGTAGTCGCAGTTTTTAGAGTGCTGGTAACGGTCTATATTATTCAATTAGCACTGGAAGCCCGACTAAAAATTAAGATAGGAATCAACTTACCGCGACCGACAATGTGGCGGTGGTCGTATCCACTTTTCGAACACTGGTCACGGTCTGTATCATTGGATTAGTATTGGAGTCTGGATAAATTTTAGTTGAGGATAGATGTACCTGAACGGATAACGTGGCAGTGGTCGTGATAGTCTGCACCCTCTGAACACTGGTCACGGTCTATATGATTAAGTTAGGGCTGGAGTATGCATGGAATTTATGCTGGAAAAGAGCTCACCTGGACAGACAAGGTAGTTGTGTCTATAATTGTCTGTGCCTTTTGCACTGAGGTGGACACCGAGACGAGAGTTGTTGGCACTAGTTTGGTTGATATTACTGTAGAGGCTGGCAGATCGCTGATTGAGGTCACTGTTGTAGGCACCAGCTGAGTTGAGGTGATGGTGGAAGCGGGGAGGTCGCTGATAGAGACAATTGTTGTTGGCACGTATTGTATAGATGTGACCACCGAAGCTGGAAGAGTGCTGTAGGATACCGAGACGATTGTGGTAGGTACATATTGTACAGAAGCGGGCTCTGTACTAGTTTGCACAACGGTAATGAAGTCATCTTCTGTCGCTATGGTTGTTTGAGTCCTGAGATTTAGGTCAGCAAGCTAAATCAATTGCACGAACAGATGCCAGGCGCTAGCTTACACTGTAACTTCTGAAACAACAGTTGAAGCGGGTTCTGTACTAGTTTGCACAATGGTAACAAAATCGTCTTCCGTCGCTGTGGCAGTTTCCGTTCTAGAATTAAATTTAGAAAAGTCAATTACAGGATAGAGGGTATATGAGGGACCTACACTGTAATAGCTGAGGTGACAGTTGAAGCTGGAAGCGTACTAGTCTGCACAATGGTGATGAAATCGTCCTGTGTATTAGTTTCGACAATAGTGACGAAGTCGCTCTCTGTGGCTATGGATGTTTGAGTCCTATGAGGAAAGTCAGAGATGGGACTCGATTTAATCAGGCGATTTTGATGATACTTACACAGTGAAATCTGAATAGATAGTTGTTGGGATCGCCAAAGTACTGGTCACTGTGACAGTGTTACCAGGCACCAAGGAGGAAGAGGTATTCGAACTTGTGACAGACGAACTCGTCGAGACAAGACTGGACGATGAAGAGCTCACGACTAAAGAGGTTCCGCTGGTGCTTGAGAATAGAACAGAGGAATTTGACGAGCTGGACAGGCCTGTTGAGCTCAGAACGCTGCTTGTCTGCGAAGTCGGCACGGAGGAGCTCAAGGAATTGCTGGAGCTGAAGGAGGAGCTTGACAGCAGACTCGAAGATGATTGAAGACTAGAACTGCTCGTGGGTTTGCTGGTTGTTGATGAGACACTGCTGGAGCCTGAGCTCAAGACGGACGAGGTGCTAGTAGGCGCAACTACTACAGCAGTGCCTCCCCAGACAATGTTCAGTGATACAGGTAGAGGGGTCGCATATATAGTTGGTTTAGTAGCGGAATTGGCTACAACCGAGGCGTAGAACGCCTCTGAGCCTTGGAAAGTCAGGTTGCCGTCTGGTGTTTGGCCGAAGACAGTGGCAGCACCCGCTGAAGTAGCCACACATCCGAACGAGAAGTCGCTACCAATGGTGCAATAATTGGTGCTGTGCTGGATGGTGAATGCTGTCCCATTGGGGTACAGGGGGACAGCAGTGTAAGTGGCTGTATTTTGGCCTGGTGTATTGTACCAAGTGCCTGCGCTACCGATATCTCCCTGAAGTGTACCATTGCTCCAGACGAACAGATGCCCCTGCCCATTGAAATTGGTGTAAGTCGGGTAGACTGCGGTACTTGTTGTCGTGGCTGTATTTGTGGTCGATGTAGGGTTTGTTGTCACGGAAGACCCAATTGATGTCGAGGACGCCGAAGAGATGAATGATGTAGAGGAGCTGCTCGATGTAGTCGTCGAAGAAGTCTGCAGTGTAGCTGCATGTGCCTTATAGAGGACGGCAGAATCAAAAACAGTATTGTTCGCGGACCACAGTGTGTCAATGGTCATATGGGTGCTGTTGGCGAAGGAAATTGTTGACCACGCATAGTCTGATGCCTCATGATACGCACTGTAAGGCTGGATGGTTGTGAATGTATCAAGACCATCATAATGTCCTGCTGCGCCATTCGTTATGTAAAGTGTGGCGCTGGGGTTGTTAACGAACATGGGGACAAAAGTCCGTGCGTTCAGGGCATCAGAATCATGAATTTTATTAATTAATTAGCTGTAGACCAGCCACATCGCTTAATTA